TAGCTAGATCAAAGTCATCTAGCTAGATCAAAGTCATCTAGCTAGATCAAGGTCATCCCGTTTAATCAAGGTCATCTAGCTAGATCAAGGTCATCCGGCTTATAAGTGGTTATACTGCCTAAAAATTAAGGCAAATTTCAGCCTTGTAGCCTTCTATAAAATGCTGTAATTTAAATAAATACAGTATTTACACTGTGCATACACTGTATGGTTTTTAATTTCTAATTTTTATGTTTTTTAAAAAATTAGAGTTTTTGCACTCTTGCACACTTTGCCTAAGGTGCCACCGTATCATTCTCCGCCAGGATACTACGCTACTATGCCAGTTAATCCTTGACGGACTGGGCTGCCACCAACGATGTTTAGACTTCATGATTCACATGTTTTTATTGCTAAAAAGGGACAAAGTAATTGTGAAATTTGTTACTTTGCCATGACCAGTCCAACTTTCGCTCATGCCATTGGAGTAAGCTTCCACTGGCTCCTGCTCCTTGGCCCAGCCATATACGCCACCTCGTTTCTGGAAATCCTCCCGTCCCCTTTGATCTCTTTCATAGGTACCCTTCACCTGCGAAGTTGACCTTTTTCAGGAGAACGCGTTGCAATAGCCGAAGGCCTCTCTGTGCACGGGAGATATCTTCCATGTGTGAAGTCTTTACTGTGTGAAAGCAGAAGTAGGCCAAGCTAGCGAACGTTCAATCCCAATCCAATTACAATCGTCTATAAAGTTCCAGTCATAATCTCATGCGTTGGTAGGTTACGCTGCTAAGAAGCGAGATTCCCGTGGCGCATCCTTTCTCATGATGCAGCAACAAATCGAAGCCCCTAAGACATGGGCTTGAACGACCCATATGACTTGTTGCATTGGCGTGCAAAAGTTGTCCATAGAGGCGAAAACCTGACCTTTTCTTTGTTAGTGAACAATTGAAGCTCAGGCGAAGTCAAGGGTCACTACAAGTGCAGCTAAGCTAACAAGTACCAGAGCGAGCAACATTGTTTGTTTTGGAAAATGAATACGTGTATTTAAGGAGACGGGTGTATGGGAGGCATAAATGGCGATGTACAGGGTAGAATATGACGATGTAGGGAAGAAGATCACTTGTTAATACGCTCATTGGGCACGATAGAAACGCATTTGGAGAATATTACATGCAACGGCTGAAGCGTGCCCTTTGTAGAGAACACAAAAATTGTGCGGGTCCGTTTTCGTGACGCCGTGAAGCCAAATGTTTGGCCTTGCTCATAGACAGCTGTTCAGTGTCTGCAGCTGGTGGGCGCACCAGAGTAGCATGGGAATACGGGATACGTGTAACTTTGAATATAGGAATGTAGTGTTTAATGACTTTATGAGTGGATTGAACAGTCAATCACCATCATGTCACGGATTGAGTAGTATATTAAAGCAGGTATTTATTTCGTCCGAGACGTGGTTTTAAAAGCTCACATTAGGGCCAATACACTTGAGAATTTAGTATATCATCAGATACTACAAAGCGAGAGCTGCTTGCGTTCAAAGATACATATCTTCAAACGCTACCCTCAAACTCGTGAGAAGATATCGTTGAAGGTGTCACCACCCTGCCGGTAGCCATTTCGCGTCTCATCTACAAACCTCCTCACTTACATATCGTCGAGTTTTGGCTAATAGCCTCAAGCCAAAATGGCCTACTCTGGTATTGATCAACCTGCTTTTCATTTTTTATTTGCCTCACCACCCTGACATCACCATCCTCCTGCAACTCAAGGAGCAACTAAGGCTTGGCATAATATTGAAAAGTCTTGATCTTTCCAGCCCTTTACGGGCACGATGTATAGACAGCTAGCAAAGGGCTATTGTCGAAATGGATGATGCGCTCAAGATTACAAGCCTCCAGAGTATCAGCCAAACGATAAGATGTGTGATTAATGTGCTTTTCCATAAATGAGATTAGGGACGCAAGTTAATAATGTAATCGATTCTGTTTTATGCCGCGAAGACGCAGTCCAATGCGTGTTGAAGACAACATCTATGAACTATAAATGTGTAATCCAAGTATACCATAATGAGCTTAAAAAAAAAAGCGAACAGTCCCAGATGAAGCCATTAAAAGCATATGAGACATAGTAATACACTGAGCCGCATCACACGCAGCTTCATCGTACATCATCTTAGCATACAGCTTGCACACGGCTTATAAATTCGCTTCTAATACAAGTTGGAAAAAAAAAAAAGAAAAAAACAAAACTCTTGCTCCAAATCTATTCAACTCCCAGTATGGCAATGAAATGCTCAGCAAACAGCAACACCAACAACCCAAAACAACACAATGCAACAGCAACACCACACCATCACCAACCTATTCATCACCCATCCACCCAAAACCTCCTCATCACCCGCTCCGCATACTCCTCGCTCATCCCCCAATTCGCCACCGCATCCCGAATCCCCCTCTCCATCCTCCCCACGTATTCCTCCTTGGGCTTCCCCTCTCTGGTGCGCTTGCGGTCAATGTAAACCAGCACCTTGACCGGCGTCAATTCCTCCCTGACAAAGGTCCCGCCGTTTGTGCTGATGGCCTGTGTGTGGCTCACCCAGTCAGCTTCGAGATAGGCCTTTTCGTAGGCCCACGGAACGCCCTCGTATCTGTCTAGGCGCTCTTCGTCTTCTGTCGGGAGGAGATAGAGCATGCCGTATACTTCGCTCACTTCTTGGCCATTGGTTTGCATTACGCCTTTGCCCTTTTGCTCCTTGACTTCTTCTTCTTCTTCGCTGTCTTCTTCGCTGTCTTCTTCTTCATCCTCTTCTCTCATTTCAGCGTCTTCGTCTTCTTCTCCCAGCTTCACAATGTTTGCATATCCCCTTCTGTTAATGATCCACTTCCACCCCGTCATCTTCCCCAACCCAACGGCTGTCGAGTAAGGGCATCTCTCCCGCATCTGCTCTGTAGACAAATTGCTTCCATAGGCAAAATACAGAATCTCTCTTCTGTTCTCGTCTGTAATAGTAAGGGTGCTGTCTTGGGAATCCTGGCTGCTATTGCTGCTCTGAGACTCCATCGTGATTATCCCCTCTTTGCTCTCTGTGTGCGTGATGAGTTGTTGGTGGAACCTTTAGTGTAAGTCGATCGATGGATCCCCCAGAATGCAGGACAATGCAGAGAGTAATGCACGTCCGCAGCGAAGGCAGCGCTGACTCAAGTAAATAAATACCACTTGTTAACAACAACAAAAAACGCCCGGTTGATTGAAAAGATGGTGTGATCGTCAACTGCCTAGCGCCACCCAAATCTGCCCTGTACCTTTTTTTCCAATAAAGATTAATTATAAAGTAAATCAGACCTGCCACCACCGCTTTGCGATTGCGCCCCCGGGAGGCCGTTGGCACGGTTTCCCAAAGAAGCAATTGGATCGGGTCGCGTAGAATTATGCAGGGCTGAGCACGCAAACGGCCGCTCCGAGCAAGGCAAATCCAGCGAAATGTAAACAAAAATAATACTGAGCACCAGAGAGGACCGCAGGGAGAATCAATAGTTTTGTTTCGTCCTTCGCTTTCCTCGATACAACAGGTATTTTTCCACTTTGTCTTAACCGAGGGAGGGGAGCTATGACACACAGAGCCTTGCGTACTGGGTACATTGGTCAGCCGACTGTGGTCTCCCTCCAGGCAGCAAAGCAGAATGTCACCTTGGCCGGATGCCTTCATGCGCCGTGCAATCAGGCCGCCAGCCGTGAAATAATAATCCACAGCCCAGTACTTTTATTGGGCTTTCTTTTCTCTTCTCTGCGGGCTTGCGGCTCTTTTCGCAGAGCAGCGCAGCTTGCGTGTTGGAGATGGTTTCGATTGACCAGGTACAGGGACATGGGATGTGCGTATCTCAGCAACTCATACAACTCGCAAAAGTTACAGACACAACGCATCACAGCACGGCAAATGCTACTCTTTAGGTATCAAATAATCATAATTCATGCCAAGTCTCATATAATACACTCTTTAAATGCCCCCTCCGTCTTATTCCCATACTCCGCCATTACCACCGCAGCCCTGCCCTCCGCAGGCTGCCTCCGAACTCTCGTGAGGCTTCTACTTTGCAACAAGATCCCTAAAAGTTTTCCCTTCTTGTCAAGTTGCCTGATAGCAGATTTCCGTAACAAATTTTCTTTTTACCATAGCTGTAAAGCAATCCAAATTTCCCGTCTCTGAAAATGATGTAATGAATAAATATCCTCCTCGTTCTCCTCCTCCATAAAAAAAAAGGGCAAAAAGAAAAGGAAAAAACCACCGCAATTGCGTCTATTGGTAACTTGTTCATCTGGAATGGTGCCTGCCTTGTTGGGTCCACAGAAAATGCGACGCATAAATTAAATCTCAAGAAGAAGAGAAAGAGCCAAAACCGAAAGGAAATGCAAAAGAAATTAACAAAGGTGACCTTCTTCTCTTCAAGTAATCTGAGCGAGGAAAGGGCTGAGCATCAAGTCGTCGGCACTTGGTCGCTGGTTGTGATCCAGCTCAAAGGTCTGGTTCAGGAACGTCTTCGCATCGTCACTAGCATGCTCTGGAATGGTAGGAGTTGCTTTCCCGCCGCCGATCCTGAAAATGGCCTGGAGCTGACTGCAGTCTGGGAACGGGTGCGACCCAGTCATCATCTCGACAACGAGGCATCCAAGAGACCAAATGTCAGCCTTGCGCGTGTATGAGGTTTGCTTCACCACCTCGGGCGCCATCCAGAACACTGATCCCTGCAGTGATGGCCGGTGCTTGTTGTTAGCAGCACCGTTCAGAATATTGGACGCCTCCAATTTCTTGGAGATGCCAAAATCGGAAATCTTGATTGTGCCCTTGTTGTCGACCAGGATGTTGGCACCCTTGATGTCGCGATGAATAATGTCCATGTTGTGTAGGTACGACAGGCCCGTCAAAATCTGCCTCACAAAACTGCGAACCAGGGGCTCTGGCAGGGCTCCATACGAGTTGAGCATGGTCTGCACCGAGCCACCAGGAACGTACTCGAGGAAAATGTTGAGGTTATCGGTAGAGGAGCTGCAGCCCAGATATTGCACAATGTTGGGATGGCGTAATTCTCGGAGAAGGCTGATTTCGCGCTTTAAAGCCTCAATCATGCTCTTCTTCCGGCTATCAGCTTGACCGTTGTCGCCAGGAGCAGGCATATCAACTTGCTTGACAGCCAAGAGTTCGCCCGTCACGGCATGTAGTGCCAGGTAGACACTGCCGAATGATCCCTGGCCAATAAGGGCTCCCTTCATCCACTTGTTGTCATCCCACGAGTCGCCAGCCAAAAAGCTCTCCAGCTCTTCATCAGCTTCATCGCCGTCGTCGTTGAGCGCTTGCTGCAGCTCCTGGAAAGAGCCAGAACCTGTGGATCCATCTGCGTCGTAGTAGCTCGTGCTCGTTGTGTTGCCTTCAGGGTCCGTAACACTGAGACCAGTAGTCTCACTTGCGTCCGAAAACGACACATAGGACTTGCGGTTTGGCTCCACGGGTGACGACGACTCCTCTTGCAAAGTCCCGAGCATCGATGAGGCAATCGAATCCCTGCTATAAATGGTAGGGGCTCGCCCTTGGGAGCGAAACTTGGCCACATGGGCGTTTCCGCTCAGCCAAGAGTCGGCAATGGTGGGAATGGGAGGAGCATCCTGGATGCTCGAGGCAAAACTCAAGTTGCTCGCCACGCTGAGCCGGCTATTGATCTTGCTCAAGCGGGTCGATCTCCTCATAGATAGCCTGGCGGTCCGATCAATATCCTCGCGGGCGTGGTCAGGGAAATACGAGGTAAGATCTGAGGCAATGAGCTCGCTCGGTGGACGGAGCCCGCCAAATTGACGGAGTCCTACCTTTCTCAGAGGGTTGCGATCGGGCGATGAAGAACGGTCCAGTTCTCTGTATGCGTTGGCAGTGTTTCGCTCTCGCGCCGCAAAAGAAACAGGCGATAGGGGATTCTGGAGCTTCTCATTCCAGCTCTCGCCCAGCACCTTTTGTACTTTTAGCTGACTCCTCTTGTCTACGGATTCCAGCGCCCGCGCGTGTTTCTGCTGCTCCTCCTCCATGGCAATTTGAGCGGCGCGTTGCAGCTCTGCCTCGCCTGGTTCTCCAGCCGGCACCCTTCTGAGAATCAAGCGGTTACGCTCCGGCCTACGTTGATTCTGAATGATGCGCCATAGCTCTGTGTCGCCCAGGCGGCGGCACTGCTTGGGGTCGGCGTCTATACCGGCCAAGACCCAGAAACAGTAGTTTCGCTCATGGTCTTCGCGGAGGCCAAACTTGCGCAGAGTGACACGCATGACATCTTCACATGTGTTGCACTCGGCAATTTTGACGACCTTTGTCACGCCACCAGTTGAAATCACACGAATGATGTGTTGGCCCTGAGGCAAAGTAGCCATAAGCGAGCCATCCACGCTGGACTGGTTCCTTGTGTGAGTGGGGATCAATCGGGCACCGGAAGCACCAGGGGTCGGGTTGCTTGAGTTCCCGTGGGCCACATATCCTCTCCCAGGGAGATATTGTTGAGATTGCTCGGGTTGCTGTCTCGTTCGCACGTCCGATACTTGCTGAGGAGAGCCGGGCCGAGATGTAGGTCTTCCGTGGTCGGAGGCGCCGGCGCCAGACATGTCGACCTGTCGTGAGTAACGCTTGTTGACGGGCGCGGATCGTGCGCTTGAGACCTTGGGAGAGCTGCCATAGGCCTGCACAGGGAGGATATCTAGGCCAGCAAAGGAGTCCTAAAGCAGCCACCGTTAGTTATTTTCCTCCTGCTACCAAAGCATACCTGATGATAGGAGGGATAGAATAAAGAGAAGAAAGGAAAGCTCACTCTATGTCGCTTCTTCTGATTGGCATATGCTTTTGTGCGAAGCTTCTTGATGCTGAGAAAGAGGCGCACGCGGTCGCCAACCTTGTCGATTCCCATCTCCTTGAGGACTTCCTTGTCCATCTCTAGCAAGTTCTCTCCATTGATGTGATTCTTACGAAACAGCTTCTCGTATTCTCCACACTTGACGCTGGCAAGATAATCGCACACTCTATCTTCGTCCCAGTTCTTGACTGAGTCTGGGCCTTCAGAGTCGGAGTAGTCCGATTCTGTCGGGCTTGCATAGCCGCCGCCGCCGCCGCCATGGGAATTGCCAGTCACGGCGGGAATTCTTCTCGAAGTCGGTAGTCCAGACGAATAGTCGGTGGTGACCATGGTAGGAGCACCCCCAATGGGAAACGTGGTTTTCGCGAGCATTGCCATCTCGTCTGTGTCTTTTTATGTGATTGTTTGCCTTTTTTATATAATTTTGCGTTGGTAATTATTAATCATGAAGAGCTTGTCGGGGTCCTGGTGCGAATGGGAGATAAATTATGTTGTTATTTCGATTGCAAACGCGGCCTGCTGCGTCTACAGATGGTGTTGAAGGTGGATGGGACCTGCAAGCGATTGTAGGTCCGATGTCGTGGTGTCTCTCCGCCGCCAGTTCTTTCAAGTTCGTCTTCGTCGCCGTGATCTTCGTCTATTTCTCGTCCGCCTTCGAATTCACGCCCAGAACTGCAAGCCACCTCGTGCGCGGGCTGCTGCGGCGGTTCGTCACGACAGAGGCTCCCGGCTGCTGAAGTCGCTCGACGATCGAAGAGAAAGGAAAAACAGAGCGAAAAGGGGAGCCAGCGGGAGAGTTTAAAGCAAGCCACGATGACCAGCACGAAGTGTAGGAGAAAATAGTGGCGCAAGGAGGCGAGGCGGGGGGTGCGCTTCTCCTCCTACGGTAGGCAGATGGGCGATTGGTGGCGATTGGCCGCTACGCTACGGGCGGGCCTCCCCCCTGTAACCTCGTGGAAATCAGCACGATGCGCTAAAAAGGTGCGCTGAAGAAGCGCAGGTTTTGGAGCCGCGGGCAGTGCAGGAAGAGTCGCCCAGGCCCGGCAGAGTGAAACCTGCGACAAAGTGCGACGAGCGTTGGGCTGGAGCTGAGCGTTTCTAATGCGCTGGTTGGCGCTGCGCCTGAAGATCTTCGCGGCTTGCTAATGAAAGGAGCGACCACCAAGTGCCGGCTGGCGTTATCTCAGCTTGCGGTCGATGTTTCTGGGGCCTGGCGCTAAGAGCAAGTGGCTCAGGTACGAGCACAGAAACTAGTATTTTTCAGGCACAAAGAATGGGCAGCGTGTTTGTCGTGTAGAGCAGCCACCGCAAGGACAGGCCTGGCACCTCTAGAGCTGCTGGACTAGAATAACTTGATGTTTGCACCAGCATAGCGAATAAACAGAAAACCGCTCCCGCAGATGGGCAGGGCGTCAAGTCGTGCCGAGGTGGCCATACCGAGTCAAGATATTGATGGCGACATGGGAATTTAGATGGGATTACGATGATGCCGTCTTTCCTTATCTGGCCTGCTTACAATGTACTGGAGCAGATATATAGATAGAGATGCTACAACGAGCGCTTCCGCTTTGATTTAGCAGCAACTTACAGCCGGCTCTTGTCTGTTGATGGATCGGTGCCCATACTCAGGGAAAAGATACATACCTACTGCTACCTAACATGGCATTCAATCTCATCCCCATCCCCATCGCATCGCGTCGCATCGCATCGCATCTACATAAGCGGTGCAAGGTGTCCGGTAAATTACAGTAATACCAATATACACAGCTCGCACAAGTATCTGCTTTTGGAATTGAATCCCACTGCGCCGTGATAAAACCCCGTCTTTGCTGGCATCATCATCAGCATCAATCTGTACGCTCTTCCGATTTCCGCGAGCCATTTCCAGGGTTCGCCCAATACGGGGCCCTTTTACGGTGCGTTAGCCCCACGACCCCTGTGGAGATTGGCGCCGGTGATAGGCCCGTCACCTGCAAAACGTGAAACGAGCGGCGTTTCGAAGTCTCATCGCACCCACCGCATTTTGATGGCCCGTTCACTGGTAGTGGCCGCCACAGCTGCGCAGTAATACGGGGAGCTGGTTGTTTGTATGCAATCAAGTACTCTGTGCCCTCCTCAGTACAAACAGCAAAACAAATCGGCATACTAGGTACTAGGTAGACAAGCGTCAGATTGGCCGCGGTTTGCTATTTTCAATACAAGGAAGATGCTGGTAGAATAAACTCAAGACGAGAAACCGGCGCGTAAAGGAAAGAATCTTGAAGACAAGAAAAAAAATAAAAATAGAGGAAGACCCTAGCGGGAGCTTGGACGTTAATGACGACTTTGCTGGAGACCCGCCTGATTTTCTGATCTCATCACCAAGGTATTCTTCCACTGCGGATGCTAGTACGAGTACACCAATGTTTGTGGAATGAGGTACCTGCTATAGCACTAGCACTCGTTTTTTCTTTTTTTCCTTTTTCTTTTTCGAGATCATCGCATGCGGGCTCACTGATCGGCTGTTGGCGTATTACAAGTAAGGGATACCCAGGCTTTGCTTGACTCCTAGCTTCTAGAAGGCTGTAAGAAATTTTCTTTTTTTTTTCCCCTCTCTAGCCCACACAATCAATCAAAAATAGAGTCGGCCGGCTGCTGGCGACGTATCAAAGCTGCTAATTGCGGTACGTGCAGTTGGCAGTGTTTGCTGCAAATATGGAGATGCAAACACGGCCTTTGTTTTCTGAATTAATGACTACCGCTGCCTCTGGGATTCCGATACCCAGTGCTCTCTTCCCCAGCGTGTTTCCACCCAAGTGGCCGGCCGTCCACTCAGATCGGCACAGCTGCACAAGTGCTAAATAGCGCCGCATGCCTCGACACGGCGCATGATGTTTCACATTCACGGTGACAGGCTCTGGCGCTCGAAACAGCTCACCAATCAAGCAGTGGCAGACGGCTGGGCCGATGCGAATCACGGCAAGCCCCCCTAGTCAGATGCGTGATGCGATGCACCAGAGGCCCAGACTGCCCAACAAGGAAGGGTAGAGACGATATCCGGAATGCTCCGCACGGGCGAAGCAGGACGAGGCGGGTTTGCGTAGCATTCAATCTGTTTGCATGCAGCAGCTCCCGCCGACCTTCATTTCGCCCAGCAATCAACCCCAAACGGCGGACGCCCTCATTTTGCGCCGCCGTGACAACGTGTCTCGTGTCGCTCTGTCTTTGTTCATCACGCCCTTTAATTATACCACAACGAATCACCTGTGACTGCGGACTGGTGCCCTTGTTGATTAAATACACAGCAGCAGGGACGATACGCGACAAGATAAAGACTACTGTATTAATGGAAGTGGGACATAGATCTGCTGTGCGCAAGAAATGGCGACCCTGCACGGCAAGATTCGCTGATTCGGCAAGCATGTAAAAATAGCAGCATCTTGTCCGCATCTCTGTCCTAATGCCTGGGATCCCGTGACTAGTCCGTGAGACCCGAGATTTGCTGCTCAGGCTCCGCAATTGTCGGTTCATCTAAAGTTTTCTATGTAAGCTTCACGCGATATCGCAGCAGCTGAAAGATCGCCTGCTCCAGCGCTCGTAGACGGCGCCCTTTTTAGACCCCGCGATGGCGCCAAGTTGCGCACTAGCAGCATCTGCCGAGCAAACCGCTGGTTCCCGCTAAGGCGGTACTTCCCTCCAATGCGCCCTGTTGAGATGTCGCAGTCATCCTTATGTCAGGCACCACAAAAGAAGCTTGACATCTCTGAAGCAGTCACGTTTTTATCGTCTTTTTTTTCTCACTTCTCGCAGAACTCTGGACAGCGACAGTAGCCAATACGAGATTTGGTGATACGATACGCTCACGATTTAGCAAATACCGCCATATTCTTCCCCCCACTTTCCCTGGTAGCAGTGTATCCGATCTTCGGCAGCGTCGACTGAGGGACGAGCTAGGAGCTTGGAGCTTGGAGCTCACAAGCTACAAACCCGCGTTTTCTCTGGACATCAGCGTCAATATTCACAGCCAGGCATCAATTAGCTTCACACTTTGCTCTTACGCAATCAGCCAGCTCTATACAGTCGGCATGGCTTCATCTGGGAAGCCTGTGGTTAGCTTTCTGGGCCCCATCGCCTCATATTCGCATCAGGTAATGAATGCTTGTATTAGTCATTTTGAAAATATAGAGGCAAAGACTCATGCAAATCCGTTGTCCAGGCAGTCCGCCAAGTTTTCCCAGAAGCCTCTTGGGAGCTGAGGCCTGCAGCTACGATAGATGGTACATTAATCCCCAACGCTACATTATGTTAGCCAGCTAATAATGTTGCGTCTTAGACGTCTTCGACCAGGTCCAATTTGGAGAGGTCAAGGCCGGCGTGGTTCCCATTGAGAATTCTACAAATGGCTCTGTCGTGTTCACGCTTGATAATCTAGCCGATCGCAATGGCCGGTACAAAGATATCACAGTTGACGGAGAAATCTTTGTCGACGTTCATCATTGTTTGGTCGGACACAAGAATCCGTCGCCACTGCTGGACCTGGACGACCACGGCGACGGATCGGGAACATGCACTCCTACTCTGTCAGATCCTCGCCCGTCAAAGCCAAAATCGAAACCCTTCACAAATCTGAGGCACATCAAGAGGCTTTATTCTCACCCCCAGGCTTTCGGCCAGTGCAACGCTTTCATCTCGACATATCTCAAGGGCGTCGAGATATTCGACGTCAGCTCGACCAGCAAAGCCGCTGAGATTGTGAGCCAAGACACAACTGGCACTTGGGCGGCCATCTCCAGCGAGCTTGCTGCCAACCTCATGGAAGGCTTGGATATGCTGGCCAGGTCCATTGAGGATCGCGACGACAACACCACGCGCTTCCTCATCATTGGAAAGAATACCCCGGTTCCTAAAGACTGGGGTCTGGTGAACCAGTCAGTGGGAAAGGCCAGCACCAGGACTTTAATATCGTTTACCGTGCCGCACACCTCCCCGGGTGCTCTCGCAGAAGTTTTGAGCGGCTTCAAGGCATACGACCTGAATCTTACGAGCATTAACAGCAGGCCTAGCCTATTGGCGCCCTTTCAATACATTTTCTTCGTCGAGTTCGAGGGTAATAAATACGATGACCCCGATGGGAGAGTGAAAGGGGCGCTGGATACCATTGATCGGGTTGCAGAGAACTGGAGATTGTTAGGAAGCTGGGAGAGGTACAGGTAAAACGGTGCATTAAAAAAAAGAAAACAAAAAGGGCAACAAAGAAGAGGAGGAAAAAATACACATAAGGGAAGCGAATCTCGCCAAGTACAAGATACCTTAGTTTCCTAATTGAGTCATTGCGTGGCGACTGCTGCATCTGCTCTCTGCATGGCCTTGTCCCGCTGTTTGATGAGCCTCCTTTGCCAGGATCCAGCTGACGATGTCTGCTTGACCGCCTCAACGGCAAGAATCTTGGCATTTGCAGGAGGTTTGTCTTTGTCTTTGTCTTGAATGTCTCTGTTTGTGATGGGTGTGGTGAAGCGAGTTGATGATTTGACCGTTGTAAACCAAACTGAGAGTCAATATGCATTGTATTGCATCAAACAGTCAAGATCTACAAGGCACATACATATGTGCATAGATGCGAACCGATGATCGTGAGACACGCGCATAAAAATAGCACCGCCCAGACCGACTGACTGGTTGCAAGCCGCTTTCAACCGCCCAGCGGTGACGTGTGGCAGCCCTCGATCCCACGGCCTCTCAGCGTCTCTGCCCTAGTCCCTTTTGTCTCTGGGACCGCCAGGGCCAATAAGACGCTTCGGTGGCCACCAGCTTCTCGCCGGGCTGTCGGCGTGGGGTCACCGTTGGGATAATGGCCTGGGATCCACGAATATCTCTCCGTTTTTGTCCAACGAAGTGTTTTTTATTCTGGGGGTGAGAAACGCTGCCCGCTTTTGCGGAGAGTTACGGGCATTCCGTTGAGAGAAGTCCGGAGAAAGATACCTACTTTGCTACTGCAGTATACACGCTGAAGCCGCGCTCTGTTCCGAGGCCTTATCCGGTTTGGACGGCATGCCATCTCGTTTCTCCTCTTCGCTGACACACCACCTATCACAGCCGTAAGCTCGGCCACGTCCAGCCAAGCTACAGCCCAGTCCAGTCCTCACCCGCCGCCATGCCAGCCATTGCTGGGAATTTTATAATCAGTCTTGAGTCTTTTTTGGAGCCTTCCTAACCCTCATTGAGGTTCGTCTAGAATGACACGCAGCAACAAAAATAGCGCCCCCAACCCATCTGCCCTATTGGCCTTGCTCGATCCCCCCCCTTTGGCCCTTGCCGACGACCAACTGATGAAGACAGCATGACGTCGACGGAAGCAAGGCTGGCCGAACGGGAGCCAAAGGGGTGAATGGCGACAGGCCCTGTAGGGCTTGGTCGGCAAGGTACATGTGGGGACCGGCCCATATAAGTGCTCCAGGGCGAGGAGCTAAAGGAACGGCTGCGAGCGAGGCGTCCCAGGGCGACGTTCCGATGCTGGCATCCCTTCCAGACATGTGAGTGGTGATCTAAGGGACGCTTGGGAACGCCGCCTGGGGAACCTTGGTCCAGAAGAAGAAGCGACAAGGTTTCGGTCCCTCGGGGGTGGGCAGGTACTGCATCTTCCTAGTCGTAGGAATGATGTTGATGGCAAGGTTCAGGTACCTGGAGGGTTCCCATCTCAGTCTCCTCGCGCGATAGCCCGAAATCTAGATGTTATTTAACGTGCTCTCTCCCGTCCCGTGCCCCCCTGTGAGATTTCTAAATTCCCGCTGATCTACCTCGCATTTACTTACTATCCTCTTGTTTTCTACCCTCCTCTGTCTTTTGTATTTACATGGTAAACTTGAATCTCCAATTTTGCTAGTAATAACCATGGCTCCTCGACCTATTTTTGCCGCAACTCACCCCAGAGCTTGCTCTACAGCTTTTGAAAGGGTATGTGAAAAGCTTCCTATGGCAAAAAAATCTGTTACTAAGGCGGGAGAAAAAAATCTATAGGTCTTTATGGCCCGGCGTGATATCTTGGAGTGTGCTCACGAGCCTTTTGGCGATGCCTTTTACTTTGGCCCAGAGTTTATGAGCGACCGGTTCAGAGACGATGTTGCCACTCGCCAGAGCTCAGAGTATCGTGATACCACTTTCAAGAATGTCCTGGAGAGACTTGAAGATGCGGAAAAAGAGGTATTATTTCTCCCATGCTGAAGAAAAAAGAGGAATTGCCCTTTTTATTCAACAATGGTCTGAATCCCGAGTGGGAGAGACGTCACGGGTGGCTTTTATGCAAGCTGCCTCAATACCATGTTGGTGTCTTATTTAAATTGCTCTCGACTCGGCTTACTGTTCCCCCCCCTCATACATATGCACATTGAGAATCTCCGTTTCGATTGTACTAGTGATTTTTTCGGGACTGAATATTGAAGCTGAATTGGAACGATGCTTACACTTACTAGGGCAAGCGTCTTTTCATCAAGGACATGGCATACTACCTGATGCCGCCTGATGACAAGCCATCACAAATCGCGCCCTCTCTCGGAGGCGGCGAAGAGGCCGGAAACCCAACAGTTCTGCCCGTCAACATCTTGAAGCGTTTCCACTTTACCTTTCTCATCCGCCACCCCAAGCGCTCAATCCCTTCCTACTACCGCTGCACCATCCCTCCCTTGAGCGAGATCACCGGGTTCGACTACCTCATGCCCAACGAGGCGGGCTATGTCGAGCTTGTTCGACTCCTCGACTTTTTGATTGAGCGTGGCATCGTCGACAAGGACCACATCACAGCCATTGACGCGGATGACCTGCTTGACAAGCCGGAGCAGGTTATTCGGGAGTACTGCGCGAGGATCGGCATCGATTTTAAGCCGCAAATGTTGAAATGGACTGAGGAGGATAAGGAACATGCGGCAGAGATGTTTGCCAAGTGGAATGGCTTCCATGATGATGTGCTCAAGACAAATTGTTTCCAGGCACGATCTCATGCTCAGGTATGTTCATTCATTGCTATCTAGAAAACTGGTACTTTGTTGTCTTTCAACATGTCACTAACAATGAACCTTTTTGCAGAAAACCTCAACGGTTGAATCGGAGAACAGAGAGTGGTTGGAAAAATACGGTCCAGAGGCACAAAAGCTGATCCGTCAAACCGTTGATGAGAATATTCCCCACTACGAGTATTTGAAGCAGTTTTGCATTTCTGTTTAATGAATTATGACATCTGGGTAAAGGGTAAATGTACGGGATGAAGTGATATCTTTTAGAGAACTTCTCTCTTTTTTTGTTATTGGTCTATGATACAGTATATCGGTCTGGCTCATAGGGCCCACCGATTATCTTCTTTATATATATCCGTAATCAACATCGCCTTTGGTAACAAGTCTTCGTGTAACGTAAACAACCATCATACCGTTATTGTACACCCATCCAAAATATCCTTTTGCAGCTCATACCGGTTGGATTTTTTGTTCCCTGGTAGTCGCCAAGTCGCTTCCCAATTCCTCAATATAATTTTTTTTTTTTCTACTCTTACGCGGCTGCGGGCTTCGCAACCTGCTTTTCGGGTTCTCCGCCGGTATATGCGGGGACCTCAAAAAGTGAGTGTGTAACATTTTTTGACCACGATTCGGCAAACTTCTTATCTTGGTCGTTGGCCCAGCTGACTGTAACATCCACCAGCTCCTTCTCTCCTCCCTCAGTCTCTGCAGCCACAATTTTATTGCCGCGGCCCTGGCCCGCTAGGACAGCTGCGATATCGGCAATTGCGTTTTTCTTCTGGGCATTGAGGGCGATGCCACGCTCCTGTTTGCTTCGGATGGGCTGGTAATCGATTCCCTTGTCCTTTTCCGCGGCAATCTTCTTCTTGTCCTGGCTGCTGAACTCCTCCGGTCGCTTGTGTCGCAATTCGTCTGTCCACGCAACCTCGTGGAGGTGCTTCAACTCCCGAAGTTTCTGGAGTACTGAGCGGCCAACGGAGCCCTGGCCAGGCTGGAATCGGATGTGAGCGAGAGGTGACCAGTAATCCTTGCGAAGTTTTGCTGGCTTGGTCTTCTTGCCATTGAACGGCAGCTGTTTCAGGCCGTGGAACCCCTGTGAAACCCGGTAAGCACTACAATGCGGCAGAGAAGCATCTGGGATGAGAGCCCACTGACGTCCAAGACTTTGCTGAAGCTGTAAATCACCTGGTCCGACCTCCTATGGGCGAAGACCCAGATATCCTCGCCATGGCTCTCTGCGCTCTGTGACCCCGTTGCAGCCCCTCGAGGCCGACCTGAATGCGCATACCGCACTCCGGCTCTCAGGAGGCCCAGCAATTGGCCTTGCCCAAGTCTCGAGTGATTCATGGCTGCCGTCATCGATCTAAGCGTGTCATGCCACTTTTGCTGCAAGAAAAGCCATAAACCAAACCAACTCAAAGATTCTACGGAGCCAGTCATGTGACAAGCCAGCTACAGGCGCGATAAGATTGCAGCGGCCAATCACGCGGCGAGCTCCCCACTTCGCGCCCAGCGCCTAACCTTCTAGTGACATCAGGATGAATCTTCAAGGTTCCAGTGACTTCTGGGCAGCTCGAGCTACTGCTCGGGGTCGCTCGCAGCTTCATGGAGGTGCCAGCTGTCTGCCCACCTGTCGGGCTGTAACTCCACCCAACGCTAGATAAATTGCTGACGCCGTTTCCTCGTTTCTTGACGCCTTTGAATCTTCATCCTTTAATCTCTACATCTAGCAGAGGCACACGCCCGAGACTCGCAACGCTGTTTGCTTGCTTGATTGCTAATCCGCTTTGCTGTGCAAAAACGACAAAGATAAACAATAAACGAACCAACGAACGAAGCAAACGCATACGCCGTTTGTTCCCTCTAATCTTCACACACCAATATCCCGCTTTTGCATATTATCCTAAATTCTTATTACTTCTACTTCTCCTTCGCTTACTCTATAACTGCTACTCTTACAGAGTACAGTACATCAAGTCATAATACCTTTTCTACGCATTACAACTGATTTTCACACATATTCACCATGACTTCACGAATGGAATTCACGGACCGTGCTCAAAAGGCCATCGAGGACGCCATGTCCATGGCTGAGCAGTACGGCCACTCACAACTCCTGCCAGTGCATCTGGCTGTCTCTTTACTCGAGCCCTCTATCGACCAGTCCAAGGATCAGCAGAATGGACCTCCGCAGAATACAATCACCCTATTCCGACAGGCCATCGAACGAGCACACGGAGACCCTCAACTACTCGACCGAGCTCTGAAGAAGATTTTGGTTCGACTACCAAGCCAAGATCCTCCTCCGGACCAGGTCTCTCTGTCACCTTCGTTCCATGCTGTCTTGCGAAAGGCCCAAGACCTGCAGAAGGTCCAAAAGGATACATATATCGCTGTTGATCACTTGATTACGGCCCTGACGGAAGATGCTAGCATACAGACTGCCTTGAAAGAGGGCAACATTCCCAAGCCCAAGCTCGTTCAAGAGGCTGTCCAGAACATCCGTGGCACCCGCCGGGTCGACAGCAAAAACGCAGATACAGAACAGGAGAACGAGAACTTGGCCAAGTTTACCATCGACATGACTGCTCTGGCCAGAGACAAGAAAATCGATCCCGTAATCGGCAGAGAAGAAGAAATCCGACGAGTCGTGCGAATTCTATCTCGCAGGACAAAGAACAACCCGGTTCTTATTGGTGAGCCCGGTGTTGGAAAGACCACCGTCGTCGAAGGCCTGGCACAGCGAATCGTCAACAGAGATGTTCCCGACAATCTGAAGGCATGTAAGCTGCTTTCACTCGACGTTGGTGCGCTTGTTGCCGGCAGCAAATTCCGAGGTGAATTCGAAGAGAGAATGAAGGGCGTCTTGAAGGAGATTACTGAGTCAAAAGATATGATTGTTCTCTTTGTTGACGAAATTCACCTTCTCATGGGAGCCGGTTCGTCTGGTGAGGGTGGTATGGACGCTGCCAACTTGCTGAAGCCCATGCTGGCTCGTGGTCAACTGCACTGTATTGGTGCTACGACATTGGCTGAGTACCGCAAGTATGTTGAAAAGGACGCCGCTTTTGAGCGTCGTTTCCAGCAGGTTCTTGTCAAGGAGCCTACCATCCCCGAGACCATCTCCATCTTGCGTGGCTTGAAGAGCAAATATGACAGCCATCACAAGGTTAGCATCCTTGACAGCGCTCTTGTGGCTGCTGCCAATCTTGCTGCTCGCTATCTTACCTCTCGACGAATGCCCGACTCAGCAATCGATCTTATCGATGAGGCTGCAGCAGCAGTCCGAGTTGCTCGAGAGTCTCAACCTGAAATTATCGACTCTCTAGAGCGCAAACTGAGGCAGCTAAAGATTGAAATCGCCGCCTTGGAGAAGGAACACGATGAGGCATCTCAGGTCCGCTTGCAGCAGGCCAAGAAAGATGCCCAGAATGTGGAAGAGGAGCTTCAACCCCTCCGTGAAAAGTACCAAAACGATATCAAGCGAAACGATGAAATCCACCATGCCAAAGACAAGCTCGAGGACCTGAAGAAGCGTCTCGAGGATGCCATCAACGCAGGAAACCACCAGCGAGCTGCCGATCTCAAATACGGCGCCATTCTGGAACAAGAAGCTTTGATCAAGAAGCTTGAGGAGAAGAAGAATGCTGCAGATGTGGCACTCAACGCTGCTAGTGGCGGCGACACCAGTGTCATGGTCACCGATATTGTGACTGCAGACAACATCAACGAAATCGTGGCTCGATGGACTGGCATCCCCGTTACTCGACTGCGAACGTCAGAGAAGGAGAAGCTTATTCAGATGGAAAAGGTCTTGAGCAAGGTCGTGGTTGGACAAAAGGAAGCTGTCCAGTCAGTCGCCAATGCTATCCGACTTCAACGCTCAGGACTTTCCAACCCCAATCAACCACCCAGCTTCTTGTTCTGTGGTCCATCAGGTACTGGTAAGACGCTTCTCACCAAGGCCTTGGCTGAGTTCTTGTTCGACGATCCAAAGTCTATGATTCGCTTCGACATGTCAGAATACCAAGAACGACATGCATTGAGTCGAATGATTGGTGCCCCTCCAGGATACGTTGGACACGATGCCGGTGGCCAGCTGACTGAAGCACTTCGACGAAAGCCTTTCTCCATCCTGCTATTCGACGAAGTGGAAAAGGCAGCCAAGGAAATCTTGACTGTGCTTCTCCAGCTCATGGATGATGGCCGCATCACTGATGGCCAAGGCAGAGTTATTGACGCCAAGAACTGTATCGTCGTCATGACCTCCAACCTCGGAGCCGAGTATCTCGTTCGCCCAGGCGTGAAAGAGGGCAAAATTGATGCCAATTCACGAGAACTGGTCATGGGCGCTCTTCGCAACTACTTCCTACCCGAGTTTTTGAACCGTATCAACTCTGTCGTCATCTTCAACAGACTTACACGCAAGGAGATCCGCAAGATTGTCGATTTGCGCATTACCGAGATCCAGAAGCGTTTAGAAGACAACGGCCGCAAGGTTCATATATCAGTCTCAGACGAAGCAAAGGACTATCTAGGCAACGCAGGATATTCACCTGCATACGGTGCTCGACCACTGGCTCGTCTGATTGAAAAGGAAGTGCTCAACAGACTGGCCATCCTTATTCTACGAAACAGTATTCGCGATGGCGAGACTGCTCGGGTGGAGCTTGATGACAACAAGATCATCGTGCTGTCCAACCACCCTGATAGCGGAACAGATGATGATGACGAAGACATGTTTGACTCGGATGACGTTGAGGATGTTGTTGGAGAAGATATGGACGAAGACATTTATGATTAAACGCATCTTTTTTTTTTTTTAACAAAAACTGGGTTGACAAAAAAAAAGTCATTCCTTGCATAAGGCATATTCGGCGTTCAAGGTGGAACAGGCAGGCAGTGTTTGGTTTTAATGACTGTTAAAAAGTTGATTATCCGCTATAATGTTTCATAGAAAATACATAAAAAATTATTCTAAAAACTCAAGATGGCTCTATATGGCGTGATTTGTGGTGATTAATGGTAGTATATACCGCAAAAGGGAAAATTAACAAAGGTAAGAAGACTCTTAGTTGTATGCATTTTAGATGAGGCTTATTAGTACGCCATCTTCGCCAGCCCAGCCGAAATCATCCATAAACATGGACCAGTCCACGTCCTGGAACGGATCGGTGACTTGTGCATTATTTGTCATTTGTTGGTCTTGTGCCACGGCGTTTGTGCCTGAAGATTGATCTGTACGGAATTCTCAGACCGATGTTAGAAAAGGAGTTTCAACATTAGAGAGGATACAAATGGGAACTTACGAATAATCTCAAGGCACTTATTCACGCCATCTGTGCTCTTCTGCGCCGTGAGCAGGCCGTTCTTGAATTTTTCTAGACAGGCAAACGTGATGCCCGCCCCGCCACGGCTCACCCACGAAGGAGGCACGGTGTCGAACCGGGGCACGTATCTCCTGAAAGACCAAAAGGTTTCCATGATGACGCTGCCCCGGTACCAGATGTCCTGTTCCTTGACGGAGCATCGCATGATGGCGGTGTAGGCCTGCTGGGCGAGGAGGTCGGCCTCCTCGGCGGAGAGAGAGTCCGGGCTGGGACCCCATGTGGAGTGGAGGAGATAGACGATTGTGTTTGCGGCGTCGGTGAGGGCGCGGCAGAGGACGGCGGGGCAGTGGACGATGAATTTGGAGCGGGAGTCGAGGTCGAGGACGGTGTGGATGAGAGTGCGGGCGGTGGTGAAGGTTTTGAGAGCGTTGAGCTGGAGGGTTGGATTTGATGAGGGGGCTGGCGCTGGGGTTGAAGCTGGGGGTTTGGGTTGAGGTGGGACGGTGCTGTAGTTCGTGTGGATGGTAAAGTTGTTGTTGTTTGCGGTGATGGTGGAGGGAGACATGAAGTAGAAGAGCTGAATTTCTAGCTGGGCTGCGAGTCTAAAGACACGAGATACCTCTAAAAGATGATGTTAGTATAATATATCTTCTCTTGCATATAAGTTGGCGTTAATTCGTGGGGGAGGGGTCTTTACCTGTGTCGAAGCGGACAAGCAGCGGTTTGAGCGTCTCCAGCTCGTTTTCCCATACCGCGACGGCGCTCTCGGGGACGCTGCCCACGTTGGATGTCTGCGCGTACATTGCCATGTGAAAGCGGTTGAGGAAGCGCTGGAGTTCGTACGTGGCTAGCAGGTCGGCCCAGTAGTTGGATTCAAGAGAGGCTTTGCAACGCGTGTCGCTGTACTGAATGAATGGAGGAGGAAGGCCTGCGCCTGATGATATCCTGATGAATTCGAGCAGTGGTTAGAATATACCTTGAACATATCGAGGGACATGGAGGGAGAAAGAGAATCCGTAGAAGAAGAGGAAAACAATAAACTAACTTTTGGGCTAGTAGAACGCATGCTATCCAGGTTGACGAAGCCTCCTCATCGGTAGACGTATAGCCATGTCGACTTCCAACACAGAACTGAGGGTGCGATCCCCGGCCGGTGTGAAGACCAAGCGAGGTACACGCGTTCATGGCAATGCTCACCAACATGGATGATGGATCCGTAACGAAGCGGATGGTCGGGTAGGGCCATGCGCAGATGAGGAGGATGGCGTGGATCTCGTCAAGGCCCAACACGGCGTTGGACATCATGGACCAGAGGTTCTTGGTCATATGCTCGACGAGGGCGGTGAAGAGCTGGGTATCCTTTGCGTACCGGCGACATGACACGTATAGTACGGCCCAGAAGAGCATGGGCTGTGCATCGTAGCATTCATCAGGCTCCTTTTTGCGTAGGATTGGGAGAAAGGGATGGAAGTATTGGAGATATCTGACGTTGATCTTATTAACTATCTGTTTTACTAATAGTCGCATGAGAGGTAGATTGTAGCAATTCTGAACTCACTTGCTAAAGTAGTAGTCGATATCTTGCCCGGAAATAATTATGGAATCAAGAACGCGAGTTTCTGTAGGCCCAGTCTTCTTTTGCCTCTTCTCAGGAGGTTGCGGCGACGGTACAAGTTGAATGGAGAGAGGAGTTCGCACTGATTTCTGGGCGGCTGAGGGCGTTGCCTTGACTGAAGATGCGGAGAAGGGTGCCAAGGGGCTGGGAGGTGACCAGGCAGATTCATCGTTGGCCTTTTTGTTGTTGACGACTTGTTGGATGCTTCGTAGCTCTTGTTCGAGCTGTTCCAGCTTGCTTTTAAGAGGTGAGAAATGTTAGCTTCATTATACGAACGGGATTCACTTAAAATTTGCAAAGCATATTGCTTGATCTCAAGTAAAGGAGCAAATTCCTTCTTGAAGAGAAAGTAAACTATGGTGTTTACCTTCGTTTAGTCACCCTCTTGTGAGATTTGTCGACAACACATGAGATTTGCAGTTTGGCACATCTCTGGCATGGTTGGCCAGGAATGGCACTTGATTTGCACCGAACCTAAGGGTGTATCATGATTAGTTCATACACTCTGGCTCAGGATTTCACAATTTCACGAAAAAAAGATAAAATGAAAACTGCGTAAGAAATAGAAACAGCTATTATAGGGAGGAAAAAAAAAACTCCCAGTATATAAGAGCGTTTCATACTCACCTTTGAATTCCGGCAGTTCACGCACGCCACATTCCGTCTCGTCTTCTCATCGTGACTCGGTGAATCTGCTGACGGGGGCGTCGGCGCCATTTGGGCAAAGCTTTCTCCTGCAATTCACCTCCTCTCCAAATTCTTCTGAGACATCCCCCTCTGAGGCCGGCGGTATCTTCCCAAATCCGAAGAAAATAAAAGCGTTGCCTTGTCTCTTTTGCCAACTCGGGAGTGGAGACACGCTGTAGCGGATGTGCCCCCAATTAACGTAGTGTGAGTGCCGGGGCTCCGAGTACCATGTCGGAGAATTTAACGGCAACAATAAAGGGAAAACACTGCAGCTAAATCCCTTTCAGCTTCTTTTCATTTTCCCCTTCCGCGTGTGTCGCAGATGTCGGTGGCATCGTTGCATCATGGAATCCGATCGGGGGTCTGGCCATAAACAACCACCGGGGCCGGGAGTCCATTAACTCCGATTGCCGCTGGAGGTAGGTCACGTGCTCATACGGGATTGGACTATGGCTTGATATTACTATGAGTACAACACTGAGCTGGGACATGTGTGAAGCAAATATAGTACCTATTTTAATCAGGATTAACCATGGTCATATACCCGTCGGGCATCTTGCAAATCGGTGTTCCAGATATATGAAAATAAAATTGACCCTCTATAATAAACACCTGCAACACACTGCTGCACCTACACATGTATGCCATGCCTCTCCCAAGATCCCATCCAATCCAGCCATAACCGTATTATCTCTTCCCGCATTCTACCAAATCTACTGCTTCTTCTTGCTATCTCCCGCCTTTTTCGTTGCTGTTGAATGACCAGACTTGGCATATCCTCCCACCAGCTTCAACAAGACCCAAACAAAGCCCACCGCCACCGCTGCCGCCGTTCCAACTCCCACCCACTGAGATGCGCCCTCCGTCACCACGGGGACGTTGATGTTGTTGATAAGACGGCCGCCAGCTTCAGACTTGGGACTCACGTGCCAGAATTTTGTGCTTGGGCTAAACAGGCCATCATAGCCCAGATTGACACGATCAAATGGATTAACTGCGTAAGAAATATCTTCGCCGCTATCGCACGCCCAGAATACCACAGGATATGGGATTCCAGCTTCTTCTTTGCCTGTTGGGGTTGGCTTGAGATAGCGTAAATGAAGGGGGACTTCGACAGTCCAAGTCTCTGCCGCAGCGCCGCCTTTGGGAGGTGCCAGCTCCAGAAGCACGTTCGATCCCCAGGGCTTGGTCGTATACGCAGGTGCTTCGAGATCCACCGGCTCGCTCACGTACTTTGTGGCTGTCAGGTTTTTAGACGCAAGGAACAATTCGTCTGCTAGCTGGTATCTGTCTGCGAATATCACCTTGGGGAAAGTGAAGTATGCATACGGAGCACATTCGGCCTCGCCATCAGAAGGAGGAGCTGCTCCGCTCAGACTCAGCTGCAAAGCGGGATGTAGGCCCGTGGGTTGCTGGAATTTAGACGTAAAAGAGCCAGACGCCGTCCTGTGCCGGGCTTCAAAGGCGAACATAACCGGCGATGGTTCCTTTTGCTCACCGATGACGGTTAGAACACCTGAGGCGCCAATCTGGTGAGCTTCCATGTTTGGCGGCGCATCTATACCTAGGATCCCGACTTCTGTCCGACCCTTGGGTGATGCCGGAACGGATATCTCGCGTTGTTGAAGCGGCCATAGGGCTTGGACCTTGACGGAATCAGAAGTAGAATCGTAAGAAATGTCTAGGCTGGCGGCATCTTTGAGGTCTTGCAGCTGTTTCCTGCACTCACTGGCGGTTGGCCCTGAGCAGACAACCGGGCCGAGCCTCTTTGCAAATCCGTCTAGTTTTTCAAGCTCATTGTAAAAGAACAACGTAGAGGGTTCTTTTTGGTTCTCATTGCCAAGTCTAATGTATACCTATAAGCTTGGTTAGGTATACAATTCTAGAGGTCATGCCTAAGGTAGTAATGACGATACCTCTTCTGATGAGCAGTCTAGACGTCCAAATGCCTGTAAGGCTGTGCACAATTTTTCTCTACATCAGGTGTTAGCCACAAAGAGTCTCATTTTATAAATCTTTGATGGAGTCAAACTCACGGATCGTGATCCTCCTTCAGAGGTGTATATGATACGTGGAGACCTGGAGAGACGCGGGAGCTAAAGGGCTCCAGGGTTTCATAGCCAGCTGAAGTCGCCCATCTCAGATGCAGGTCCTGGACATCACGAAGAAGGCCGGCCAGCTCGGAAGGGAGCTCCGGCAGAGTCAGAGTGATCTTGTGCTCCCGTACCGCCTCTGTCGCTGGGCCTTGGACTTTTGTGTCCTTGATTTCCAGCTGCTTTGGGTCGACGGCGGCACCCGGCCGATGGAAGTAGGTGATTCTCTCTCTCATGGTCCTGGCGCTGATGCTGATGCGATGAAGCCCTTGTTTACGATGAGCCTATGGCAGAACCGAGTGCCAGATGGTAAGGAACAGCTCTGGTTGTCTTTGCGCCTATGGCTTCACGACGGCTGAGGTTGAAAGCTGTTTGTTTGTTTCAATGTTGCGATATGACCATCGGGCTGAGGTGTCCACTAAATCAAGCTGCAGCTGCGCCTTAAGCTGCCGAGTTAGCGGCATGAGCCGGGCGTCAGGCGCCTCCACAGCCGTTATAGGGGAATTTACCCCACTGCCTAAGGGGGAGCTCATTTAGCTCTGTGATTGAAATTAAGTGCATAGTACGTAGGACAAGCATGTACATGTGTCCAGGGCTTCATGTGTACATCATCCCTTTTCTACGAGTCGTTGGTTGGTACATGCAAAACAAGATGACAAAATAGAAACGCCAGAAACATTCCAACGGCGTGGTTTGGGCTAAACCAGAGGTTGTCAGCGTACGTAATATGAGGCTAACAGTTTGTAAGCCGCAACGCCGCATGCTGCATTATATGTGCTCTAAGCATTGATGTGAAGAGGATTAATTGGACATTGGGCTTCAGATGGATTATCATCATTATAAATCGGCATACATAAACAGCTCGTCTCATGTAGCCATCATGTTTCGACCCCCTTTATCCAGGTACACATGCGCTATCCTTCACCCCCTTGTGAACAGCGCCAAAACAATCTCCTATTCGTGTTTGGTACCCTGGACTGCTGCTCTTGATTCCAGGCTTTCCTTCGTTCAATACCGCTTTTCTGCCTCGTACAGCGCAATCGGCACTCCTTGCCCAGGGCACCCCACGATATCTGCCTTGAGATACTGCGCCGCCCAATCTCCTCTGTATTCAATCCTCTCGTATTTTTGCAGTAGACGGATCACTATAGTGACAAGACAAAATCAGCTCATGCTCTTCGACGCACCCTGCATCTCATCACATCAAAACATTCTGTCGTAATTACACTAAATCTCACAACCATCACTTACTCATAAATGCCATCTCCGTCATGGCAAAATTCTGTCCAATGCAGATTCGAGGCCCGCCGTTAAAAGGCACAAACTGCCACGGCTTGGGCGTCCAATGGTCCCATCGCTCAGGACTAAAGATTGCTGGATCGGCGAATGTCTCGGATACTGGAGGGTAAAGCTCCTTATGACGCTGCATAGCCAGAGTACTATAGATGATGTGATCGCCTTTAAGCGTGGCAATGTCGGGTTGACCTGGTTGGCCTGGCAGTGTTGAGTTCTCAACTTATTTTTATCAACGAATTAGCTTGCATCTCCTTTCTAGCACTGAGATATCTTCCCAGTTACGGCTGCATGTACTCACGGCATGTTCTGATGTTAAACGGAACTGCGGGATACAGTCTCATCGTCTCGTAGAGTGTATGAGTAAGGTACGTCAAGTCCTTGATGTCTTCGTATGTTGGCACTGCGTCTGGCCCGACTTTCTGCAAAACATGACTCCGCAGCTTGTACCAAGTCTCAGGATAGTTAGATAGCTCGTAAAGTGCCCACGATAGAGTCGCTGCAGTGGTGTCTCTTCCCGCCAGCAGAACCGCCATGATCTGATCCCGGATGACTTTGGGGTCTCGCGAAAAGAGGGCAATTTGATGCAGAAACGTGAATTCTTTGTCTGACTTGGATATCTTTTCCAGTTCTTCGGGAACAAGAGCCAAAGTTGCTTCGATAAAAGGCTGAATGAAGGCTTCGAGGACCTTAATGCCCCTCTTATATTCGCCTTTGGGTATGAAGCTACGCACAGGCCTATTAGACAGCAATAGTTAATACCAATCGACGATGTATACACACATCTAGGTGAATATACATACGCGAGGAGTGTGAGAAGCATCTGTTTCCGTTGGACGTATGTGAAAGCTTTTGAGAATTCACCTTTAGGGCTGGCAACGAGTTAGCTAGCTTGTCATGGCCAAGGGGATAAGCCTTGTAATGCTCATCTTACTTCTCAAGACTTTCGACGCTGTGGCCCAACAGATAGTCAGTCGTAGCATCAAGCGTCATGCGATAAAACAAGTCGCTGATATCAACTGTCTGTCCCGAGGCAGGTATTTTCGAAATCATCACATCGCTCCATCTTTCGACAATGTCCATGTCTCGAATCTTTTGTTTCAGAAACATTGGTCGGATCAAGGTCCTACTCTGTTGCCACAGCTGTCCATCTGTAGTGAAGATGCTATCACCAAGAAATGGCTCCCAAGTCGAGTGGAAGCGTTCACCCTTACCGAAGTGCGTAAAATTCGTGGCGAGAACCGCCTTAATATGTTCTGGGTCAATGGTCACTATGGATCGGCGGCCCATGATAGTTATTTCGACGGCACTGGGGCAGGAAGGGTCAGCGCTATCGAACATGCTGAAATAATATTCCAAGAGTCGGTTTTGTGAGTGCATGTAGGCGCCCTTGAAGAAGAAGAAGAATGCTGGGATATTGGTCAGTGTTATAAACCAAGTAAGAATCGTGACAATGCAGAGTATTCGTACAAGTGATTGGGTTGCCACCAAGGATAGAGGCTCGAACTCCGTCAACTTTGCTCAACCGGTAATCCGTTACCAGCCGTTCAATAATCCAAAATGAAGCGAAAGCGCATGACATAGCAATCGCCAGCGACGATGCTGATGCTGGAATCAGCCATGATAAATGTTGCAACATGGCCAGTATTGAATGGATGGAAAGTGAATGAGTTGAAACGTGGCCGGCAAGTAACAATGCCAAAGAATAGTACTAGTATTATATAACCCTGAAACAAGGGTATGAGTTATACCTGGGCCTTGGCAAGCTGAACTTTGGAAAATATTATATAGATAGTTCGTGCTTATGATACTACAGTCATCATTCTGGAGCCCCGCACGAGACTAAAATTGCAGCTGCTGCAGACTAGAGCTCTAAGTCGCTCACATTTAGCCAGTGTGTGTGAAGATCCTTCGTTTCCCGAGGGTTGATCCTTCAGTTATTAAGAGACGCTGGAAATCCAGCAGTTTTGACATCTGATTGCGCCCCTAGGATTTCGACTACCTTTCTATAGCCAAGCTTGCAGCGTAGTGTCGTCGTAGCGAAGACGAATTATCCCCCTTTAGAAATGGTAGAGTGGAGATCGAAAAGTATATTGTCTTAACGTTGGACTAATCAATGGTTTGAAGGAAGAGATGAAATAACATCACATGTGCGTTACATGTATGATATCTGAGAACTCAAAGTGCGTATTAATAGACAAAAATAAGAGAATGTCGCTTTCCGCGGTATCCGTGGGGCCCGATCCCGCAGTATTTATTACTATAAATGGTATTATTCAAAGTAGAACAATGAATGCTGTTCTTTGCTAGGTACAATCTCAATCAACCCGGTCACAAGCTGCTAGACTATCTTCTCCTTCTCGAATGGCAGTGCAAACTAGTCGATTCCTGGCAATACTCGCGATTAAATCTGTTCGTGCATAGGCGGGAAGTTCAAGCCCCACAGACATCGCCGCAGTGTGTCGTCAGGTGCTTTATAATAAATACCTAGCCGACCTATAGGCAATTACTTGTTGGAAATTATGCGATGTCATTAGCCAACATCAGTTGTACACGGCTTATTTGGCAGGTGGCTTATTCGCGGCAGTGATTACGTCCGCTTTTAAGATGGCTGCGTTTGCAAGTTTTAATAATTCAGTGATAAGTTGGTGCGCCTGCTCAGCTTCATTCGATTGGTGATCTGAAATGGCCGGTAGTCGCATCCTTTCCGTGATCTTCAATGCCAAAGCAAGTGATTCCGCGTCAGCTACAGCTCGAGGGCCAACAGGATGTATCAGAATATTGACGTATAATGACATCGCGGCTACAAGCGGGTAGATGATGCTATACCTGTGGCTCGGTGAGTATTAATCTGTATTCCATATGACGGGTCTAAAAGCGCATATTGGTACTTACCAAAATGTTTCTCGCTTTAACATGGCGATTGGCTCATTTAGCAGACGCAAAGTTGAGCGGCTGGCCTCTAGGGATAGATCAATGCTTGAATGCATGACACTATGAAGTTCCTCTGGTGGACTAGTTTCCGCGTCTTGGGCAGCTCCAAATCTTCTGACTGGTGTGTGGATAACTGTCAAAAGGTAATGATATTCTAACTGTAACTGCACGGATATCAAATAGCTTGGAAATGTGCCAGTAGGTGACACGCCTTGACCCTGGGAAATCGATAACTTGGGACGTATTGCATGAGAAATAGACAATCGCCAGCCCTCGAGCTCATCATCCAAGTGGCGAATCCGAGTGAGGAGTTCACTATCGATGATCTTGAGGGCCGAAGGGGAGTAAAGCAGCCGAAATATCTTCTCTTTCAACACCCCGAGATGCGGGTCTCCTGGAAGAAATGGGATAGCTCTATCCCAAGAAATAGTCTCAATGTCGTTGATATCGGCGCCTTGACCAAACCCATGCAAGAAAGTATTATGACTCAAATATTCTCCGAGTACACCCACGTCGCAATACTCGTTAGCGAGGGTGGGGGGTAACCCGGATAACAGGGCGAGATCCTTGTCAGCAAGATAGCATAGCCAGAATAACTTTCGAATATGATCTTTTCGGCGCTCAAAGAGAGATATTTGAATCTCATCACGCTTTTTTGGGTGATTGAAGTGTCCATTGAGCTCACAAACCATGCGGCAAGCTGCCGAATGCAAGGCTGCAGCGCTGCTATATTGGCCAGTAGCTGTTCGGTATTTATACTAACGAGAGGGGTGAGCTATCTGTTAGTATTAATGGATTTCAGATCAAAGCAGGTTCAAATAAATTATCTCACCAGCAATATTAATGCTTGTAAAATATCCAGGTTTGCAGGCCCATTGGAGAGTTCCAAAAATCGCTCTGCTCTAGCTGCACATACATTGCAGTCGAATGGTGAAGAGGTCTGACTGGAGATTTTCAAATATGATATGATGGCACATGCGGCCCAAAAGCACGCTCTCGCAGATATATTCGAGTGAGGTGTGTGCATCCCTTCAAACGGCCCATAGACTGTATTTACAGTCTCCTCGAAGAGCACCTTGTCGAGGGAGGGGAACAGAATTTGAAAAGAAGAAGGCGAGAGACTATTAAACAATTCGTGAGCCAGGCTCTTATCCGGCAAATCCCATGATTCTGTGGTGGAAGCATGCCCTTGAAGGTTCAGAGACTTCCAGTATGGCTGGCTGTAATGGCCTAAAGATAAATATGATCGCAAGGCTGTAGTGCCGTGGTCAGTTCTGGAAGCAATCCATTCTAAGCCATCTTTAGAAATAATTGGCATTCCTCTATGATACCAATTCTTCTCAAAAAGCCGAGTCGCAAAAAAGATATGTGCATGGATGCCATCTCCGGGTGTTTGACTGGCTTGCCCAGTGGGCAATAGGTCTCGGGTAGCACTACCATTTAGCCGCTCTAGACTCTCAGATATTCCACGAGTTCCGTCTTCATCAGCAAAGCATGATTTGAAATATTTGCTTGCGCTTGGTGTCTCAGCAATAACTTGGCTCTTAGAAGCATGAGCTTGAGCAAGAGCATTCTCAAGCTGCTTAATCTGTTCCCGGAGCCTCTCTACATCTTTCGCTTTGATCCTGCCACTTCAGTCAGCAAATAGGCATCAGCTGGATCATGCTATATCTAAATTTACCTTTTTGCAGAAACTGTTTTCTTTTCTCTACTCACTGTGCATTCCAATTTCTGATGGTTACACCAATTACAGGGTACATTGGGACCTGGCCGGCAACACTCTATCTACAGACGAGTCAGTATGAGTGCGAATATCCAGTGAGGATGCAACGTGCCTTTCTTTTGAAGCACACATCGCAAGCCCGGATTGGTGGCATAATAGCCAGAGAGTAGAACAAGTCCAGGCATAAAATGAGCTATGACTGACAGAGCGCCCAAGAGCCAATCTGCCTCCCACGACGAGTGAGAGAGAATGTCAGGCCACAGGAGGCGAAGATAACTGACTTAGTAATCGGCCAAAATCTTCCCAGTATCCGATTATGTAACATGAGCCATCCAGTAGTTGTTCTCCACCATCTACATCTGCCAATCAATTCATACATCACCATGGGGCACTTTACGGCCTGGGTAATTCCATGCTCAAGAAGAGCATTCAATAAAGAATGCTCGTAGTTAAGTTAATATTGCACTTGACCGATTTCATACACGCATAATAGGTGGAAGTTTTAGGTATAAATAAAACTCACCTCTCCCTCTTGTAACCCCGTTTTTCCTCCTGCCATTCTTGAAGAGTGATATCAGTCTTATTCTATTTTGTTAGTCTGAATATAATGGCCCATATGGCTGCTCGTTGGAGGAAGCTGGTATCCAGCACCGGCCTTTCTCGCTCCTCGCATCTTTTGTCAGCCAATGCTCCTGATATTTGGATTTTTGGAGGAGAACTCCTACCTCGCCAACCAGTAGGCAATGATATAGATTTAGTCGGCATGGGTACAGAATCAGAAGGTATTTCTCTTCATCACAATGCCAATATCCCACCCTATTAGAGGTGTGTTTGTCTTAACTCTGCTTAGAAATTGGAATAAAAACGCTGCCGGCGTCAGCAGGTGCACCTTCAGCCCGTGTTGGCTCAGCCAGTGTGACGGCTAATGGGCGCATTTGGCTCTTCTCCGGACGTGGGGGGCTGGCCATGGATCCAATTGAGGAGAATGGAAGCCTCTGGCAATACAATCCTGCCACCTACGAATGGCAGCAATTTTTTACCAAATCATTGGCTTATCCTACGTCACGCAGCTATCACGCAATGACATTTGATGGCGAGAAAACTATATATGTCCATGCAGGGTGTCCATCTCAGGGACGACTTTCTGACTTGTGGGCGTTTAATATCGAGACACTAACCTGGACCGAACTCCCTTCAGCTCCTGGCCCTGCCCGCGGAGGAACGTCAATTGCCTTTTGCAAGGGTCAACTCTATCGCCTGGGCGGATTCGATGGAAAGTCGGAGCAAGGGGGTGAGCTCGACATCTATGACCCAGACGCCAAAAAGTGGAATACTGTTACCTTCACGGCTGATGGTATTCACGGCCCCGAAGCACGCAGTGTAGCGACGCTTCTGGCAGTACAACTGCCTGGAAAAGAACATGCTCTAGTCACTATGTTTGGAGAACGGGATCCTTCATCGCTTGGACACGCAGGAGCTGGGAAGATGTTGGACGATGTGTGGGTGTTTGACATCAAGTCTTCAAACTGGAGCAGAATCGAGTTCTCAGAACAAAGCGCTACCCCCGCAGCCCGAGGATGGTTTGCTGCAGATGTGTCAAGGCAGTCAGATGGAGATGCGATCATTGTTCATGGAGGCCTTGCAGAAGACAACACTAGGCTGGGAGATGTATGGAGGCTCGACTTCTCGTAACGTAACAAATACTACGGTCTCTTTTGGTTTCCGCTCAACTTTAACAGCAATTGAGTTGCGGCAGAGAATGCAACTGTCAGGCCATGCTTGTAAGTCCAGACCAGAGCTTCTCATTGGCAGGATGATCTTATATAAGCGGAGTAGATGCTGTCCGTGGCGTTTTTAGCGTCTCGTTCGACGTGGGACGCAATGCCGAGCAGTTACATTCATTGCCCTCGACTTGAGTCGTTTCATGGGTCCCAAGCAAACTCTTAGCAAATAGCGGTTAATAGGAGAAGAAGGAGAATACGAATAAAAGTCTCATCCCTCTAGAGAATTGTAGAATGTAGTTTTTTACTTATAATTATTTGTCTTATTGTTCTGCACAATCTGCATCATGGCGTCCGATGATGAGCGCACCGCTCTGCTTGAGCCAGCCTATCGCCATGTCTCACCCGCAGTCTCTCGACGGCTATACGTGTCGCACTTTTTGTCAACTTGGAATTCTAGAGTTTTTGAGTTTGGCGGAGTGCTTTACCTGGCGACTGTTTTCCCGGGAACTTTGCTGCCAATGTCCTTGTATGCCTTGATTCGCGGTGTATCTGCAATCATCTTTGCGCCAGCGATTGGATGGTACATTGATACAGGCAACCGCCTTCAGGTTGTTCAAGTCTCCATAGGTGAGTCGTGCAACTAACTGCATAATTTAAGTCCATATCTCTGCATTCAAAAGGGGAATGATTGTATGATTTTTTGGTACCCTGTTCTCTCTCTAATACGCCGCAGTCTTCCAGAGGCTAGTAGTTGCAGCATCCTGTGCAGTCTTCTATATCCTCGCTGTCGATACACAATTTTCCTCTGGTGTAAGAGCAGGACTAGTCGCCGTCGTAACATTCTTTGCCTGTGTGGAGAAGCTATGTTCGATATTGAATCTAGTGTCTGTTGAAAAGGATTGGGTGAGCCAATGATGTCTAGCAACAGCAACGGTTTTGCAGCCATGTTCTCATGTCATTGAATCATACGCTAATGGCTGCAACTATATGTTATCAGGTTGTTGTCGTATCGGAACGAAATCCGGAAGTCCTTCGAGACATGAATGCGCAGATGCGACGAATCGACCTGCTCTGCAAATTATTTGGGCCTTTATTCATCGCCACGATAGACGCTTATTCGTCCCGGGTAGCTATCATTGCCAACTTTGCAATGAACGCAGCATCTATATTGATCGAGTACTTCGCCATCGCTCGGGTCTACTACGAAGTTCCAGAGCTACAAGAGGCAAAGATCAACGGACGGCACGAAGTTCCCGGGGAACCGGAAGCTCAGTCGTCTCACAACTCAAACCCTATTGTTAGTGCCATCTGGCAGCGACTGATCGCCATCATTCACAAATCGGCGCAGGATTTCTCTTTATATCTGAAGCATCGGGCGTTTCTCCCATCCATTGCCGGCGCAATCTTGTATTTCACGGTCCTTAGCTTTGGAGGCCAAATGGTTACGTATTTACTCTCTGCGGGCTATAGCTCCTTGCAGGTCGGCATTGCGAGAACGGTTGGCGTGGTATTTGAAGTCCTGGCCACGTGGGTGGCACCGTGGCTCATGGGACGAATCGGGGAGATCAGAGCGGGCCTCTGGATGAGCACCTGGCAGGTCACAATGCTGGTTGCGGGAGTATCTGTATTTTGGATGTTTGATATGAACAGCAACTCGCTCATAGCAGCAAGCGGCCTTGTGGGAGGCACCGTCTTGAGTCGTTTGGGCCTTCGAGGATTTGACCTCTGCGTCCAGCTCATCGTGCAAGAGGTATGGATATATGAACACTTTGTTGTGATTTCTGCGCAAAATCTCTCGTGCCATGTATCATCGCTAACGGCATTGCCATCATCATTAGGAAGTCGAAGCCGAGAATCGCGGCGTCTTCTCTTCCGTTGAGGCTGCTTGGCAAAGCGCCTTTGAGCTTCTCGCTTATACGTCCACCATTGTCTTTTCTCGCCCCGAGCAGTTCAAATGGCCGTCGCTCATCTCAACCATTGCCGTTGCGTCAGCCAGCAGTGCTTATGCAGCGTTTGTTTACCTGCGCCGAGGCCACTTGCTGCATCTCGAGGCTCTCACATGCTTACTGCGGGCCGAGAAGGGGAAACAGCGCGACCGAGAGAGTGACATTGAGCAAATCTCAGTTAGATCGGAGATGTAGAGAGATGCAGAGAGATGTGCTTGCTATTTTCGGTATCGCTTCATGTTCCACCAGCGTTGCTACCGTATTGCACAATTGATACTACTATCTACTACGTGTAGTAGTGTTCGTATTAGTTCTGCCGCCGTTTCTTAGAAGAAAAGGATGTTCCTTGCAAGTGAAGCATAATCGGTCACTCATTTTGGCAGCTGTTGCTGCGGGCGATATAAGCCGTAGCTCCATCGCCCGCTGCGTGGATCTTTTGCGGCTCGGGCAATTAAAATGAGAGGCACAAGCAGCATTTCCTCATAGGGCACCGAGCCGCATGGGACTGCCTCTGAACCGTGCCTGCGTGTGGCTGATGCACCGCCTGTCAGTTGCTGTCTGGCGATCGATTGGCGCTGCCGAAGCGAGAAATGCGCGCTGTGGCAGCACCTGTGGCGGTTTTCTGCTGCTGCTGCAGGGCGCGCTCAGGCTCTGCGGCCACTAAGCCGCTTTGGGGACCGAGTGGCCTGTCGCACCGCCGGCACCTTCACTGACACTTCACCGAAGCCCACCAGAAATGGGCGGCCGATCCACGTGCAACGGCGCTCTCTCCACTTGGTCTTGAGCATCAAAGTCTCGCTGCGGCCTCGCTCGATGCCGCCGATTTCTACCATCGCACGGCCGCGATGTTTCTTCTCCTGCTCTCTGCGCGTCCGTGCTAGTCCAGCTCGCCAGCTCTCGTCACATCGTCGGAGAACGCGATAGCCTCTAGGCAGGCCGGGTGCATGTGGGGTGACTTGGGGAACGCCCACTATTTGCGTGCGATTAGCCTCCGAGTGCTTGCCCAAGCGATTCCACCAGCAAGCCAACAATGAGCGATCAGCAGTCGTATGTCACCATCCGCGCACGGCAGCCCGCCGATGGAGCTGGTATATCTAATGGCGCCTCACCCGTACGTTGGAAAGCCGAACCCCCCTGCCATTTCCTTCCCTGTCTCTCTGTGTAATTTGGCGCATACAGGCGAGGAAGAAAAAGACAGCGAGAGTGTGTGAGCATGAGAGAAGCAATGGGCTCACTGGATGTGCTACAGGGAATGGGCCCGCGAGATGCGTATGCTCGATCTGCAACCCATGACATTAGCCGAGCGAGCTTCCATGTGAAGCATATCGGGCAGTTTGCCCAGAGGCTCGAAGACGTGCGTTTGGACCAACCCCCCTTTACAATGGGGTAGCTGCGATCTAACTAAAGGAATGTGATAGTCAGCGGCGAGAGCGTTCCCAAACCGTGGACGGACATCTCAGCGGTACAAGAATGTCCAGTCGCTGCTGATGCATTGGGGCTCTGACGACCTGTTTGTTCTTCCCGAGCTCGAAGACTTGGGCAAGTGTCTGCGCGATGACTATGCATTTGGCACTGAAATCTACTCAATCCCATCAGAAAATTCTCATCTAGAGCTCATGATGAGAATTGGACAGCTGATAAGAGATCACGAATCACCCGATACGCTTTTTATTGTCTACTACGGCGGCCATGCTCGGATTGATGAGTCAAGACAGAGCACGTGGTGTGCGTAAGTATAACTTTGATCTCACTCATTCACTCAGATAGAGCTTCCGGCATAAGAACAGCTCTCTAACTTGGGTAACAGTACGCGAGATCCCGGCTCTCCTTGGCTACAGTGAGTATCTCAATTATGATCAGGGCCTTGAAAAGTGATCAAGCAAAGCATCCCCCTAACGTCTTCTAGATGGTCCGCGATCCAGACGCTCTTGGAAAGATCAAAATCCGACGTTCTCATCTTGTTAGACTGTTGTGCCGGGGCTGCTAGTGCCACATTCCCTACTGGCAGCAGCGTCACAGAGACGATATCGGCTTCCAGTTGGGACGCCATTGCCCCTGATCCTGGAAGCTATTCATTCACGAATGCGCTCATAGAGGTCTTACAGGAATGGCGTCATAGAGCGTTTTCTGCCGCTATGCTCCATGCCGAGGTCCTTGCGCGGTTGAAGCATCCGAGGCCCATTACTATCAACGGCAAGCATTTCGAGGCTCGGTCGACGCCAGTTCACTTTATGATGACAGCTAACCACAGAGCGCCAAGTATTGAGCTATCCAGGACGCAACCAGTGGAGAAGAGATCCATGTCAGCTCCTACTATCCCTCACATGGACGTAGAGCCTATTGGAAGTCATGTTGGGGGACCTGTCGGTGGTCTTGCAGCTATGGAGTCCGCTGGACGAGCGGCAAGTCCTGCGGGTGCTCTCACAGGAAACCCCTTTCCGAACGAGCCCACCGAGGATACTCCTCATGTGATGATATCTCTGGCTTTGGAAGATGATCAGAGACTAGATATCAATGCGTGGGAGCAATGGCTGAATGCCTTTCCCGCCATGGCCAAGTACGTCAAGATTCAAGGTGTTTTCAAGAGCCACTCTACCTTGGTCTTGGTTTCGATGCCCGTCATGGTCTGGGATCTTCTGCCAGAGGATCCGGCAACTTCATTCATCGCCTTCATTCGCTCCAATAATATAGCAACTCAGAAACCGCAGCCGTCGCCAATTGTCACTCCTGTGCCAGCATCACAACAACAGTCTGAAGCGGGAGCGCCGGATACAGCCTCTTATGTATCTGGTGTTTCGGGCACCACTTTTGCGCCAACAGAGGCAAGCCGCTTCGGCGACCAGTTTAGGCAATCTTTCAGCTTCAGCTCTACTCGAGACATGAGATCAGCTCGGAACGCGACCTCTTCTGGTCAATCTGCATTATCACAACCAGGCCCAGCTTCGTCTCACCAGCCACCATTTTCTAGGTCCATGAGCGCTGCAGCCTCCCTCCCTCCCGTATATTCAGGCTCATCCTCATCAAGTACAAGTCCTGTGATTTCCAGGCAAATGATTCTCAATCAACAGCAGTCCCAAAGACGTACCACATTCGGTGCTGACGTCCCCGAACCTCAAAGCTTTTCTGCCCATGTTGAGAAGCGGCTAGAAGAATATTACCAGAACCACCCTTTTCCAAATGATGGCGAGAGCGCTTTCCTCGCGTCGAATCTTGGAATAGAACCTTTACACCTTGGCCTATGGTTCCATCACCGTCGCGAACGAGACTTGGTCACTAACCGGCTCGCTACCATGAAAGTTGGCGACATCCCATTTAACGAGGGCGGCGGTCCTCTCCTGATACTGCCGGCAGATCTCAGCCAGTTGCTAGAAATATCTCAACCTGGACAGGTTCTGTTATTTGATATCCGACCACAGTCGGAATATCAGAGATCTCATATCCGTGGCGCCATAAACTTTCGGGTGCCGCAGAATTTTATCAAAGATGCTTCGCTTGATATGATTGGACGCACTATTTCCGAAGAACATGGTCATGATGCCTTCTCAAAATGGAAAGAGGCAAGGTGTATGGTGTTTTACTCTCGTGGGCTGGAGAGAACATGGGGATGTCCCTCTGCAACATCATTATTACACAAGTTAGCAGAATCAGGATGGACAGGAAGAAGTTTCGTCCTTAAAGGTCACTATCGCGAGTTTAGTGTATCTTTTGGGCAACATATTGTAGTCAGCAAAAAGGTTCTTGGAGCCGAAGGTCTGGAGAAAAGCGAAGAGCCGACGACTGAAGCCGCTGCTGATCCAACTCTCAACCATGAACAGTATACCCAATGGCTAGCTCATGTAGAAGAGGAGGATCGGTCACGAACGAATGCATCCTCTCCTACGCGAACCACGGAGAGGACAGAATTCGTAGAAAACCAAGAGCAAGAATTGGAAGCGGAGTTAATGGCTCGGTGTGGTGATCTATATCGAAAAATTCGAGACGTTCAAGCGGACAGAGATCCATCTTGGGACGATAACTTCGACATCAAGGCTCCAATGGTCGAATATCTCGATCGTGGTCTGAGGAAAGTGCGTGCTTATCAGACGACGCCGCCACAATTGCCACCCAGCTCCAAGCTGGCTGCTGAGTACTTCGATCGGTCTCCTCATGAGCAGAACGAAGTCGAGGGCTATGTTGAAGTTGGCAAGGACGGTGATTCTACCGGCGCTATGCGATCTGGAAGTCAGGCTTCGACAGACAAAGGAAGTCCCAGCGAAGAACCTCTGCGCAGGGGACGCGGCGGTGGGTTGTTGAATAAGGTGTTTCGGCGGACATAGTGCATTTGGGTGAGTTTACAAAGGTGGCATGATTCTGGCATAAATGTGCTCGGGTAGCATTACGGTTGTTTTGGATGTCATGATACCATGGATATATATCAGCGGGGGATAAAATCTCTGGCGTTAGTCTGCCTTTTGAAGTTTACAATTATTATTTCGTATTGTCTTAAAACAGCTTTTTTTTTTAACTACTTTTGCGATCTTAAGAGTAAAGCCTATGGGTTTATTGAGTCTATAACTGTTGGCTTAGTGTTAATCCTTTATGTCAAAATGTTGGATTGAGTATATCTTATCTGAAAATATAACCAAGCTAGCAAACTACGGCAATATCTTGAACTTGCAAACAGACGACGGCAGGCGGCAGTACAAGGCTATATTTCTCTATGCTATACAATTCAAGACAGAAGATAGCAAATCTATTAAACTGCCTATGCTCATGTATGACAACAGCTCTGGCTTATATCCAAAGCTTCTCCCAGCGAGCGAAAAGGCTGACCAGCATGACACCCATCTTCATAATTTTCTACCCAGAATTTGCTGCTTCTTTTCCCCGGGTAACATTCTTCACTGAAAGTTAACTGCTTGCCATGGAATTATAACCGTAATAGAGTAAAGAACTGCGCGCGTGATATATATCATCAGGCCGTCTTTACCACAGCGATTGGTTCCAGTATGATGTAAACGCTCTACCCCTTACTTGTCGCTTTTCCATAATTACAAACCTTGACTCTAGCACAATTACAAGCGTCGCCTATACATATCTTATGGCGATTATATGCAAAAGGTATGTTTTAAGAAAACCGCAGTGCAGCTGTCCAGGAAAAAATCTTACTGTACAGTTGACCAGCTTTGAGAGTGTCTCGGGCAAGGGTCAGCCATATGACAAGTCCGAATTTGGACCGTACTTGTTTTTCCGTCTCTGATGATGGACAAGCCCCCCCTGTCAATGTCAAAATTGGCATCACCTTTTTTACAGGCTATAGATGTCAGGATTCACGCACGGCCTAATACCAAAAAAGACAAATGACTTCAAAAAGGGAAAGACAAAGCAAAGGAATAAAAAGACGAACTAAGACCAAAGAGTATGGCAGCTCCGGGTATGTATGTAAGATTTCCGGTTCAAGATCTGTGTGCAAAAGGGACAAAATCGGACTAATAAAAAAAAATATAAGCAAAACACGAATGATGCGACCTCTTTTCTTTTTTGGGGGGGTTTGCCTCTCTTTTCATGTTAAGCGAATGCTACACTCTGCGCCAGTCTTTGCCGCCTTTTTATTTTTGGTTTTCGGTATACTTCTATAAATATACTGCTTTCAAACACAGTAGCGCAATAGTCTTGTCAACATCTGACAAATCTGAGCATGCCAAGGTCTCCCTAACGATCTACTTGAAACGTTTAAAACAAAAAACGTTCGGCATTGTTTGCAATGTGCTCAAACGGGAACGCACAATGCATTTGCCGCTTTCTTCTTCTTTAAACGAGCTCACCCCCCTGAGAGTCTATCCAATAGCATGCTCGGTAATCTTGCCTAACAGAGGAGGTATTGAGAACACCCACCAGCCGATATCATCTCAGGCCGTTGCCTCCAGCCATCTCTCCCTCATCTGCACTGTTACCCAGTAAAGTGGTACAGATAGCTGTCTCCTGCGCATGGAGAGTGAGCTCTCCATGTCATATGTATCCCGCCACCCACTTATGCAAGCAAGGTTGCTCATTTTATCCCAGTGCCAACAGGACGGGAGATGTAGGAAAAGAACAGGAAATATCACTTTCCGCCCCCTCCAACTTCTCTTCCTCCTCTTCTTTCTCACCCTCCATCCACTCAGTCTCATTGCACGTACGAAAGACGGAGCACGAAGCAGAACCCCTCTTTCTGACGAGGCATTACTCGCTCTCATTGCTCTCACATGCTCAGTGCAGGCTGTCTCTGATAGGCCCATTACCCCTGTCTCAATTGTACTTGTACTGCACAACAATGTGTCTCTCTCACCGGCTGACTTCGCAGAGCCAATGGTTTTAGTTCTGTAAATGAAATGCCTGCGGGCGCTAGGCAGGGTCAGAAAGTGTGCGTGGCGGCTCTCGGCCACCCTGGCAAGGCAGCCCTACCACCGGGATCACCGTGACAGTTGCAGCCCAAATGATCAAGCGACGGCCCTTGCAGGAGCGCGATGGTGAGAAAATAAGGCTACTGGCAGCACGCAGTATCAACTATGGAAAGTTGTCATTATCTGGCCCCCTTCCGATATGCAAGTTTGCTACTTTGTGTACTGCCCGTAATTCAGGTACAGCGCCGGATTGATATATGCGTGTCGCATGTGTGACGTGTGAACGCATGTCGGGTGCAAAAGATGGATGCATGATAGTATTACACCAAACATGCAGAGAGATACGAGCACCGTGGACGGCAAGATAATCATAATGACGACGGGTGTGGGACATCACAAACCGTTCACAAAGACAACAAGATCTTGATGCACCAACTGGTCACACCGAAAGGAACAGGTTACCGATGCCCTTGGAAAAAAAAAAAGAGAGAAGAAAAGAAAACCTGCGCAGCTACCTGACAACACCACGTTGATGAATGAGCACATCTCGAGATACACAAATCCAGGTGCAACACGTTGGTCTTACAATCCAGCCAGCCAGGCGGGAAAGGAAAGGACCAAGCACGGCGTTCCTGCCCTTCAAAATGGAAAGGCGGGAACTTTTCTATATAAATTGCCATTGCGGAGTAAGTCGTAGGAGTCCAATCATAACGTCTGGGCGGGAGAAATGAGAAATGGTCTGATCCTGCGCTCGAAGGAATCGCAAGTCCTCTCCATGTGAGGCCTCTGCCAAGCAAAGCAAGTTGGGCTGGCAATATAACTGTGATACGGAATCCGGGAGAACTCTTCATTCCTCTCCCTGTAATACTTTGTATACTTTGTACACCAAAGCAATATCGGACATTAATGGCACGTACGCAGTGGCCTCTTGGAGACTTTATCTTTTGAGTAACATGACGACGCACGCGAGCTCGTGTAGGTCGATGTCGTGCCATGCGTTATCCGAGACAAAAGCACATCAAACCCCATCTTTGGGAATAATCGCCCATCTGCATGGACACTGCAATACTCTGAAACGAAATGGCTGGTCGATGTTTCGGTTACCTGCTTCAATGTGCACCTCCCTCACACCTACCGAACAAGAATTCGTTGCGATTCCCAACAAGCCCATCGGCGTCTGTGTAGTTGACTGGACGGCTTCGTGGTTATTGATACAATATGATTTTAGTCTGCCGACTTTGTATTTTGTGCCTCAATATCCTCAGCCATGATGACACGTCCTCATTATCCTTGAAAGCGGGCGCACTTGCTGATATATAATACCCATTAGCTAAGAGTGCTCATTGCTGACACAAGACCAAGTGTGCCCGCTGGAGAACGAAAAGTTAGTAAAAGGAGCTATTTGGTTATAAGATTCTAGCCTCGCAGTGCTCTAAAGAGACGGATTGGTGACGGGATTTCGTTCCGCGCCGCTTACGGGGCCGCACATGTTGCTTCTTACGATAATAATGTGCATGTCGTGCCCAGGGTCGTAGCCGATCATCTCTCACCAAATTCCGAACCCGCTTCCGGGAGATATGATCGTGGAGTCAACGGTTGCTCAGAGGCGGTGAAAATGCGACTGTCGAGGGGCACAGCTGCTTGATTAAACCGAAAAGGCGCTAACACTTGTCTGTGTCGCTACCCAGCGTGGCATTCAATTCATTGTCGAAGATCCGGAGACCGGCTACTGGCTGATCTTCGAAATGTGGAACTGGATCTTGGCGCAGCACCAGGCCTTTACGGCCGCTCTAGACACGCGGCACCAAATGTCAGCACCATAAATCAAAGCGCGCGTAACAGCTAGGCGCTCGAAATAGAACCAAGGGACGTTTGAAACCACGATGTTGGCAGGCATAATAAAGATCCTACAGCTAGTCGCAGTCAATGCTTGGCAGCGGCAGTAGTGGCTCGCAGCAGTTTTGAAATATAAAATCGTTATAAGTCTTGGCCACTGGAAGATTATAGATTCTCCGGTTTGCTCCCTGTCGGCGAATAATTCTTATTTATTTTCTTTCTTCGCCTTTAATAACAGGCGCCCTCGGTGTATATGCAATATCACACTTCCAGCTGCAAGTCGAAATGAGTCGCTCATAGGGGGCTGAGGGATACAGGTGCTTTAAGCATCATCGTACATTTGGAGTAGCACTATGCATTTGTATGGACGTCGATTGATGACAGCTGAGGCTGAGGCGTGTGTCAGGTATGCCTGTAGTTCTGCTTCGTGGGGTGTGGCGTGCTAGCACCGCGACCAGCTACCGAGTTCCAGCAGCCACCTTGTGAGTAGGAGATGGTACCTTGCTCGATGGCCAGAACGTCTTTTTCCAAGTTGAGTTGGGCTTGCGAATGCACCTCCCCTGCTTCGGGAGTGTGGGTAGGGGATGCTTGCCCTTGCTGTCACCAGACCTGTTATTGTCAAGGCCGGCAATGCGCCCGATTCTTCACTCTGTGCGTCCTCGCACAGAGCACCCCATACGTACAAGTATGGTCAAATCAAGGGCAACGTAATTCTGTAGTAGTATTACGGAGAAGCGACGAGCCAAGTGGGAAATGGCTGATGGAGCAGAGCAAGGGCATCGGCATCCAGTGGTAAGGTAATGCAAGCATGTACAAGTTCAGTAATTTCCGTCGCATTAGCCTTTCTCGCTCTGCTATACGGTAGTAGGATTTGGATTTCTCAGCACGCTGACCTGCCAGACTCGATATCTTCGATGGGACGTGCCGCAAGACGGGGTATTTTGGCAGCGGCATTGGTTGCCGACAAGCCTGTGTGTCCACCATGCGATGATAGGAGATCTCTGGGGTGTGCTGATACTAGGCGCATCACGTCAATCTGCAACGTCCGGCCATTTCGGCCCACTGACTTTGTCCCTTCTCGCACGACAACACGCCCGCAGGCCAGTCATGAACTGAGCATACTAAAGATGTAACCGGCTTAGCGCAGAGCGAAACGTGGGCATATCAGAAAGCTATCCCAGCATGCTGGCGTTGTTTCAGGAAATCATCTCCGATAGCGTAGAGGTCGATGTGGGCAGCTGAGATCCAGGTTAGGTGAAAGTGAAACGCAGCTTGGCTTTCCTTAGCCAGCCGACTACTCACTCATACGAGTCGTGAGGCGGCCTTGGCCGTGCCGCTATCAACAGTACCGCATTCCTTCTACATCGTATACTGTAGGGAGAGAAGTGTATATCATCCTTATCTTGACCGTCATTCTCGTATCTGCATAGGCATCATCGTTATTGTACATGTACGTGCGAAGGATGCTGCTGCCTCTGCCATTGACAAGCACGCCCGATGTAGGTGGCTATCGAGCTTGTGCTCTGTAAAACTTTATTGTTTCACGGCGTTAATGCTAGTTTCGAAGCTTCATTGGTTTGTTTATGTTTAGCCGAAACCAAAAACGCTATTTTTGGTGTGTGATCTGGCGATGAAGCCTGTTTTGAAAACATCAAACTCGATGGCACTTGTACTTCGTAACCATATTTGTTCCAGAGTGGCATAATGAACAAAGGGGGATGTTGTTGTTGTGGTTGAGCGGCTATCAAGACAGCTCCACCCCCATGTTAGTACAAGCAAGTAGGTAGGTATCAGCGTCGACGCATAAAAATAGAGGGTTTCTGAGAGATGTTTGAATCTGCGCTACTGTTCAGCTCCATATGAACTTGACTCGGCCTCAAGTCCACGATGCGAACTAATAATTCACGGGGAAAGCACCCTGCAATCCCTACAGCCGTTCCTGAGTACGACCAAGAGATCTGGCGTACGCTACTATACGCATGGCAGCTGTACACCAAGGAGCTGCCCCTTCTCCTTCTCTGTACAAGTATGGCGCATCCATATTTCAAACTTCGTACCGTATTTGATAATCCCCCGTAGAAAATTACTGCCGCATCGGCTGCGGAGGGGGTTCAGTCCCACATATTATAGTGAATATTGAACCCCAGTCCCCTTTAGTTAAGCGATGGCAAGTAGTGGGACATATGCAGTAAATCATGCTTGGGAAACTCTGCGCCTACGAAGACGCACGAGTAATGCCTTGTACGAGTATGCTTGCCTAGTCGTGACCCTGGTTCCAGAACTCGCCGTGGCATGAAGCTCGCCCATCCATGACCTGCAACTTGCCTGCCTGGATCCCAGCCCGCATGCCGTCGGATCATGGTGGAGCAATATTCGTCGACGTCTCTGTAGGCCAGCGGGAAGAGCCTGGTCGAGTGCAGGTGTCTCGCCAACAAGCTCACCATTCAGCCGGAAATACCTGGGAGAAAGGGCTTATTTACGTAGCCCCCACATGCCAGAGCACGGAGCACCATGGTGCCAGCGTACGACGACAAGCTCATGGAGCTTGGAGTGCAAAGAATAACAGCTGCCTGGCCGTCTCCATACTGTACATGTACTGACATTTTGCTCTGATGGCACAGGGCATGCTACGTCGCACTCGCACGGGGCGACTTGATAGGTTCGGCGTGCATACAGCCCTGAATCTAAACGTACGAATCATGTCAGAGGAAGGCCCTAGTCTGTTCGCTTCAGAGATCCCAAACCTGTCATGATAGATTGGAAGAGGGGCTGGACGAACACGCCGCCCAGTTTTACGGTCCGTGGTCAACAGCAGAGTGACCGAGCTAGCACTTTTAAACATTCTAGCAGGGTAGATAGCAAGAAGTCAGAAAAAAACTTTGCCGGCAGCCATTGCCAGAGACAAGGCTGGTAGCTGTGCCCGCTCGTTGCTCAATGCCGCCCTGTCTGCCGCTTGGGGTTTTTGCGACGTTGGAGATGGAGGGGCTGAAGCTTTGGCAGCCACAGAGGTCCGGGGTGTGGCAAGCGACACTGTGCTTGCGCGTCGGCAGTACCATTATAAGCGCGCCAGGCGGGGGCACGCCGCAGGTACTATGAGGAATCTCGTACAGTGCGCTGTAGGCCGTGGGCAACAGGTCTGCGCACTGGCTCCGTACATTGTCCAATCGCATCGCGCCAACTCTAATTTCCAAGCATTCAGGGCTCGGAAAATTGATCTCCTGCCAGCTGCCGTCTTGTCGGCCAGGCCAGGCCAAGCCATCAACAGGCCTCCCTCGTCGCCCTGCTAGACGGCCAAACGACGAGCACCTCCTCAGCCCATTGCTCGAGTTGGCCATGGCAAGATCCCCACCCGTCTAGGCCGCGTTCTGTCACGCTCGCCGAACGATCTGGCCCCTACATTGAGAGATCGCCAGGTCCCCATCGCCGCTCTCCTTGTACATACAAGTACAGTATGAGCGACCAGGAGCCTCGCTGGGGCCGTCCCGCTAAAGATCCAGTTTAGCGCTGTCAACGCTGAGTGCGAGGGGGTCAGACGGGGGGTTGGGGGCATGGCGCTCTGAGCAAGTGGTCGTCGCAGAGGAGGCACTTTGCATGGCGTCCTCAAATTACCTCGTACGAGTGACACGCGGCTGGCCCAGGGCAGACGGGCAGCACACAGAGAGAGGGCACAGATGGACCGGGCTGGCGTTGCGGTACAGTCCACGCCGAGCGGGTGCCCCTGGGGACTGTCACTGTGTTTGCAGGCACAAGGTGCTTACAGGGTGTGTCCAACGTGCGAGCAGGCTGAACGGCCCAAGCTGGAGCGGCCAGGCGCGGCTGCACAAGATTTTGATTTTGACAGCTCCTTGTGGTGGACCCAGAATGCCAACCACTTGCGAGACAAGCCTCACACAAGAGCGTGCATTGTGTCGTGCACCACGACGACCTCTCCCCTCGTGTCTGATAGCCCCGGCAGGCAGCCGGGGGGTACAAGTGCACCACTAGCAGCAATACCAAGTGTACGGGGCTGGCTGAATACGATAGACGCCGGCTTGATTGTCTACTATGTAGGTCTGCAGAGGTGGCAAGGCAATGAATCAAGACCTGTGCTGGCTGCCCAACTAAGCAGGCAGAGCGAATGAAAGAAAACGATGCAGCCCCAGGAATGCGGCATGGGGATGGGACATGATATCGGCAACTAGCAGTTCTGCAAATTGCAGCGAACAAATGCCGCCCGCTTCTCTCTCTTCGTGGCGTCGACGGCGCGCCTTGTACCCAAGCACTGCGGAGCTGGAGCAGAAGAGACATGACTCTCTCGCCCCGTTGCTCCAGAAGTCTTGCCCAAAAATTATTGGAACGCTAACCCACCGATATGGAGGAGGGCCTCGGCCGAATAGACTGAATCGACAAAATTTGGTTTTCGCTAGAGCTGGGACTGATGCAAGGGTGCAGAATGGAATGCCTTGGCCATTGCTCGTTTATAGAGAAGGCTCTCGCGTCGCAACTACGCAGAAGCACAGAGTCTTGTCTGCTCTCTCTTACCAGCACTGCATATACATACTCCACATGGAGTAGGTTCTCCATATACAAACAAGTACGGCATTTCGTTGCTCCAAGTGCGCGCTTTGCATCGCACCCCGCTATCTGTGACAGTACATACTAGTAAATTCGGCTGCTAGTGTCCACAATCGCAGCCGCTATAGATTCAGCGGTTCCCCTTGGGGCAGCCTTGACGCTGGACGATCGGGTATTAATATGGGGACTGTGTTTTTGCTTTTGCCTGGGATGTCCTGACATGGCTACCGAAACAGCTACACCGCTCACATGCCGGCCCATCGCTTACGGGATGCGCACTTATATTATTGATTCCAGAGGGAGACATGCTGGAGTAAGGCCGCAAATGGCCGGCAGCTGCTCGGTGTCATTGCTTTCAACTCAATAGAATGTCACGCAAGCTTTGCATTCTCTTCGTACTTTCAACTTATATCCACTTGGCCCCTGGCAAAACGGTGGTACCTTGTACTCGCAGTGCCTTGTTCTAGCCTCCTAGCCAGCGCCTCTTGATTACAATCACACGAAGCACATGTACGAGTACATTGCATGCACCGATATCAGTATACGAGTGCAGGTAGACGACCAAGGAGAACCCAATGGATGCACACTTGCATCCTGGATAAATTACATAGTATTTCCTGCAGTTATCATGGGAACTACTACTAGATGGACTTAGCACGGGCCAGCTCTTCCATCAACTCGTACGTGGGCAGATTAGTGCTTGCTGCACGTCGACGGAGCATTGATCTGACTAGTATGATTTGTAGCTGCGTATTCTAATGATCAGATCTATTACTCCGTATGTGTGCAATCGGATCAGAGCCGTACATATGGCAGCTCGACGGCTCGGATGGGACTCTCTTTGGTTCACCCACCGACCATCTCACGTACCGCTGTTCTCTCGCCTTGACTCTCAAGCATTGTGTCTTCCTCCCGGTTACACTTTTACTTTTGGGAGATGAGACAGACCGGCCGGACAACTCGCGTCTACGGGCGCCTCACCTTAAAAAAAAAACTCTGCCGCTAGCATCTTGTGCCTCGTCCGCGCAGAAATTTCTTTGCTATACGAAAAAGCCTTCTCCCAACCCCGTCATACAGGACCGAAAGGGTTGCACGGTAATAACTGACTGGCCTTGTCAGAATACCATTCAACGCACACCCCCCGATCATTTCTACATGGACACCCACTTGGCTTGAACCCACTCACACTAGCCGCTTGCCTGCGTTTCTGTGGCCTTTCTATCTGGCTTCCCTAAATCGAAGGTTCATCAGAACAGGCTTTGGGCCCGTGGAGCCGTGGCCCACTAGCACTTGTCCATTGACTTCCCTGTCCATGCTCGTGGCGACCCCGTGCTGTCCCTGGACTCTTGGTCGCGACTGGCATACATGTACATGCACACTGACTTGACTGGAGTTGTCAGACCAGCGCCACTTGGGGGCCTGAGTCGCGAATCCCTATTCATTTTGTTGCAAGCCTAATAATCCATGTTGCCGCTCCTATCGCAGAGGCTCGTCTACAGTACAGTACATTGCTCTTCTCCATCCCCATGCTACCACTCTATGATGCGACGTGCTCTTTTTAAAGTTCCGTGAGCCCACTTTATACTACTTCTCCATGCTGCCCATTCTGCTACCAGTACAGCAACCGGGCCCTGGTGTACACTACTTCCATCACTACTTGCCTACTTATAATATTGGCCTGCCCACCTCCCAGCGCCTTCTACGCAGCTTCTCTTTTGTGATTGCTATACTTTTGCATCTGCGGCTCTCAACAATTCCCTGTTTTGGCAACCTATTTAGTTCGGTGCATCTACCCGTCGTCAACACGACAAACCCTGGCTGTGTAATTGCGTTATCCCCAACATTCTGAGATATAACATTCGCAAACACCTGGACACTTGTTTCGTTATACTTTGGTCGATCAAGATTTATTACCCCGTTTAGCTTTCTTCTTCAGTCTCTTTCCAAGAGTTAGTTTGGCGTCGACAAGAGATATAAAGCTGGCAAACCCAATCCCCTCGCGCTCTCTCTTTCACACGCATATACACATACACATACAGCTCTCGCTCCTAACTCTGGCTCCCTAAAAACTCGACTCTTTTTTTTCCGTGTGTTCTAAAGAGGGTTGCCTCTATGGACCCTAACCCTTCCCGAAAAGAAACATCATATACCATCAGGCCTTACCCATTCGCATCATCATCCAACATGACTGTTATTGCTCAGCCGGCATCATTCCCCCGTGGGGACAACTTCTTCCATGGCGAATGGGAAACTTCTCGGTCAGCAGACGAATTCAGGCTCCCTCCGATCAGACAGGTATTTTCTTCACTGCCGCAAGACCTTTGATCATGTTTGCTGATGTATGCTAGATGTTCCCCGAAATCAACTTGCCTTACACGGATGCCGGTGAAAGATCACAGACCAACGGACGTGGCAGCATCTCCTTCTTGTCACCCGACTACGTTGCTTCACCCACAACTAAAAGGAGAAGGATCCAAGACGAAGCCGAAGAAGAATCGTTCAGATCAAGCCATGTTCCGCGAACATATCGTGGCCCTCGACACCGAGTCCCCCACTCTCCTCGATTAAGCCCATCATCAAGGGACTCAGAAAGATGGAACACCCCAGCTACAGTCTCACCCGTCACGACAATGGGCGTTCCTGCCCCAGTTGAGGTTCAAGTGCCATCTCCTGCACCTCGGGTTGCTCTTCCAAGCGTCACTCTGCCGAGCTTGAAATCAGCCGTCAACTTTGATAACGAGGTACCAAGCAGACCTCACGAACTCTCGCGGGCTTACAGTCACGATTATACCATGTACCATTCCCAAAGCCACTACCAGTCGCAACCTTCAAGCCCCATTCGGCCATTTGATCGCACTCCGTTCTCCAGTGTATACTCTACGCCTCATTATCATGATGCGGCCCACTTTGGGGATTTGGGATCCGCAACCGCTGGGGCGGATACGAAGCAGCGAAAGAGACGCGGCAACCTTCCCAAGGAGACGACAGACAAGCTACGGGCATGGTTTGTGGCACATTTATCGCATCCTTATCCTACAGAGGATGAAAAGCAAGACCTTATGCGTCAAACTGGGCTTCAAATGAGTAAGTGTTTAGCCCCTCTAATCGCCAATCTTGAGAATATAGGCTAATAACACCCTTTTTAAGACCAAATATCTAATTGGTTTATTAACGCAAGAAGACGTCAACTACCAGCTATGATCAATCAACAGCGGGAGTCTGATGCCCTCAACAGTGGGCGAACTGTTTCTACCCGAGAAAGCAACTCCGCTGCTTCGCCAGCTGCTAGTGATGGAGACGCAGTCCTAAGCGACGAGGGCATCGAAGTGCTCCGACATCGTCAGCTAGGAAACATGAAGCGGGGCAGCGTGTGAAGCTAATTTTGGGAAAACACTATAAAGGGGAAAAAAAGAAGAAAATAAAAAATCAGCCAAAAAGAAGCCACGAATAGTGGTCTAAAGAAATGACATCACGACATTATATAATGATCGGTGGAAGCGTGTTTTCATGTCTCGATGGAGGCTTTTGCATTTGGTCTCTTCCGGTTACTTCATGTGTGGAGTGGGCGTTTAGGAAGATAACTGGGTATAATTGGTTTCAAAGAATTATATAATTATGTCTAGAAAGGGCTTTTTTTTTTTGTATTAAAGTACATGGCGATACTTTTGCGCAACTACTTGCTACTCAAGATAGAGAAACGAATGGGTAATAGAAAAGGTAGATCCGCCGAGCTCTCTGTTCTGCCTAGCAATAATACTATGACGATCACATAAACTGGATAATGCAGCCATTACATCTTTAGAGTTTGCCTCAGTGATGGGTTTCTCTAGCTGCCAAGTTTCCTCTATGGCGGTGATGATGATTATGATGAAGGCGAGGAGGGTATTTTGGGGGAGGCGAAAAAAACAAAAATAAAAAAATAAAATTATAAAAACACGACGATCACCCCTCCCGCGTCAAGCCTTTTTTTCCCAACAAAGCGCCTAAAATAGTTTAAGCATCGCCGAAGAAAAAAAAAAAGTGATGGCAAAAACCTTGTTTGCGCCTCTTGTTCCCCTTAGCACCAGTTTATAAGTTGACGTATTATACAGAGTAAGCCGGTACGGCGCGGACTCAGCCCCCGACATAGGCCTGGGTATCGGAAAAGCATGCCCCTAGTGTAGTGCGAAAAAAAAAAAAAAATAGAAAAAAAATTTTGTTCATTCTTAAAAAAAAAATAAGTTGCTTATTTGTTTATCCTTTTCGTTAGAGTAGGTAGTGTATATGCAAAATTTGATTGATTTTATCCTCTGTCACAAGTCAATTTTTTTTTTTGCCAAGGAGAGCTGAATGCGCTGTGGCTTGGGGCCTGTAAGTCGCCGGTCGGTCGGGACTGGCTTATGATTTTATGCAGGCGCACCGATTGGGACTTTTATCACGCACTGCCACATTGAGAAGTTGGCGTGCAAGCGGCACAGTTGACAACAAGGTTTAGATCCCACTAGTAGTACTTTTTTCACTACTATTGTGTAATGTAGGTAGACCTATGGGACTTTGCTTCAGGGACGTGGATATGTGGCGGTGGTCTATACATAGGCACCACATAGTCTAGGGCGCATATAATGTAGCCACTATATAGGTTTGTATTAGTTATTAGTATATTGCCTCAAACTCGAAGTAGGCGATGCCTAGAGAGAAAGAAGATACTCCGCCTAGGAGGAAGGGATCGGGAATGTCACCATGCTTAGGATTGCCGAAGGAGGAAAAGGATAAACCCTGGGCCATTCGGCTTGGCACAGCCTTTCGATTTGCCTTTCGGCTGGGCTGGGTAAGAAAGCCCAGCTGAGCAGATCCTAGCCACGATTTGGTGTAGCATGCTGTATAAGTGACATTCTCTGCTGCATCACTATGTTTTGGAATTCGTATTTAAGATGCTCCTAGGAGAGGGGGAGCAGTGCGAAAGCCGGGCAAAGGAAAATAAATTATTAGCCGAGAAATAGTATTTATCAAATGAAAACTATGACGGTGCTACTGGTTGCTGTTTGGAGCTTCTTCTGCAGTAGCCAAAAGATTAACGAACGTAAAAGGGGGCACTAATGCGGGACGTAGAGTTTGACAGCAGGATGGGCGAATGGTAGCGTAAGAGATACTTTGCACGCGGCCGCTGCATGATTTGAAGGAGGGCCGAGACTGACTGATGGGCGCGGCCTGGCTGCTGCAGGCTCTGGAAGAAAGGGAAAGACGGGCAAAAATAAAAATTGGACATGAGGTTAGGTTAGGGGGATGTTTCGGTGATCCATGGCATGTAACGTGCTATTCCGGTAAGCGAACGGGGTCACTCGTACGAGAGCATTTGACGTAGAAGACTTGTGCTCCGTGCTCTGTGCCGTTGGACAACTGACAGCTACTAGTACTACGCACATGCGTCGTTACGAAACATCAGCAAGAGGCCAGAATCGGGAATCGCTAGGGTTGCTGCCACGGCAAACGGCGACGGATGTGGAAGGTTCTCCATGCAAGCCAGGGGTTCTGCCATGGTTGACTGGCCACAGGGCTGCCTTTTCCTTCTCTTCTGCTTGATGCCCGGAACTTACCATGGCCAGGGTGAAGTGCTGCTATCCATGCTTGTACATACGTACATGCAAAAGGCCTGATATTGGCGATCCGGGCTTGCTAGGATGCATGGGTGCTATGGCTCGATTCGGTTTATGCCATGAAGCATATTGGTACGAGTAACAAGAACAGCTGTAATGCCTTGGCTGCTGAAACATGGGGATAAAAACATTAGTGCATCCTTTCTCATATCCCAGTATGCCACTAAAGAAAACGAATCTCGTAGCGTTATGACGGCATATGCCTATTGGCAGAGCATACGGCAGAGGGAGTCTACAGTATGCATGCGAAGCGAGCCAGCTACAAGCGAGATGCCTAGTACAGGTACGGAAAACTCCATGCTCGTAGCATCACGATCGCTCACGGTGCTGAATACCTAGTATTTGGGCATGTACAATCCATACAGAGTATATGTCGTGGCGCATCCACTTGTCGGTTGAGGTCAATGTCAAGTAATGGAAGCGAGCACTCGCCTCGCAGAAGGAGACTAAAGATGGAGCATGGCGGCACAAATAGGAGGTGAAAGGATATTGACGGCATGCTGAAGCCTAGCCTTGCTAGTCGTATTCTTGCTGGTCCGCAGCCTGCCCCCCCCTCGTACGGAGTACCTAGGCGTAGTGCGTATGATGCTCGTACGAGTGAGTACAGTAAAGTCCGTGTGTACATTGCAGGACTAGCATGCAATAATGGACACGACGCGACGAGCTGAATAAAGCTTGAAGAGATGGGATCCAGCAAAGCGTGTGATTGATGTGATGGTGCAGGGCGTGCTAGGAGCTCATGCATGGGTGGTTGACGACTAGCAGATCCCTGCCGCAGCAGAATGCGCTACAGGGGCGCTTCCCCTTGTCATGCAGCTCCAGGGAGTTGGTAAAAGTGTCAAAAAAAGGCGCTGCTGGAAATAGTAGCAGCATGCTGGATCCTTCCGAAGAGCCGCTTGCTGCTGTTTGCTGCCGTGTCTCATTGGATCGGCCGTATGTCTCTGATGCAGCGTGATCCCGTGGCGTCAAGGGCGCCAGCTCCTGGCCGGCCGGCTGAGTCAGGCTCGGTACAGGAACGTACAGGAACGTGCAGGAACAGAGAGCAGAGGGCAAAAGCCACGGGGTACAGGCGGAAAAGCTAAAGGCGCTCGTCGCCAACTCCTTGGCTGTGCATACAGCGCCGAGCTCCTTGACGTTGCGCGCGGGCGGTTTTCCCGGTTCCCCGAGCGGCCAACTGGGCGGCAATCTTTAGTGCGCTGGGATGGTTTTGACATCTGCGGGTGTGGGACGAGCAGGGCCGGCAAGTGGGAAGCGCAAGTGGGCGTTTGGGGGGATGTCGATCCAGGTGCGCTGTGCGGCTGATGGTGGAGGCGTCCGTGGTGAGAGTTTGCCCCGGCAGCGTCGCAGAGGATTGTGGGCGCTGCGCTTATGCATGTATGCACGTTGCACATACGCGGCGTTATGCATGTAAGTGTGCCGGGAGGGCTGATTGGCCGCGCCAGCATGCACAAAGTCACCGAATACCACGTCGGTGAGCGCAGGATGCGATTGCACGTGCCGGGCTGCGACGGGCAAGGGGGCACTGATAGGCATGCGCCAGACTGCTTCGGCGAACATCAGGGACGCTGGCTGCTGCTGGCGACGGCTGAATCCAGGCAGTGGATGGGGATGGGCAGCGGATGGGCAGCGGATGGGCAGCGGATGGGGCCCCCTCTAGTCCTGGGGAGTCGTCGAGCATCTCCGCGCCAATGCAATGCCATATGTACACGCGCAGTCCAAGTGGCTGGCAGATTTGCGGTCCGAGTCGATGCTTCAGAACTGACTAAGCGAGCCGCCAGGGGTCTTGGCCAGCTTTGCGTCGGGGGCAGCTTTGCCGAGCTGGCGCGGCAATCTGGCAAATGCGGTCCGAGGTGCTGACTACGCATGAATCTGGAGGCTGGTCTGGGCCTAGCCCGGCACTCCCCCGTCGCCACTCTTATCTGCGGAAACCGGTTTGGGAAATGAGGCTTGCTCCATTCAGCCAGCCCAGTCGTCTGTGCTGGTGCTCGCCAACTGACCGTGCCGGCGCTGCTATTGGCGGTGCCGCGGGCGCGAGCGCCACAAGCGTGCCAGCTGAGCCCAGCTGAGCCACTTGCGTTGAGCCACCGACCTCGCAAACTCCTGCCTCTGCTACGAAGCTCTGGTGGGTTTGGTGGGCTTGTGGCTGGCCTGGCGGGATCTCGCTAACGCTTTTTGCATGTAGCAGTGATCTCGATATCGGCAAAACCTACATCCAGCGCTGGGACTGCCGAGCCACCTTACTGGCCCTGTGCATTGCATAAGCGGTGCTGGCGGCAGGGCGCGGAGCAGTGCCTGTATATCGCAGGTCCTCTGCGCTGCGCTGCGCCGCCGCCCCCTGTCCATCTCTGGTCGCGTTTCTGGCAATGGGCTTGCCGCCTCTCGAGACATCAGAGCACATTGCCCGCAATCCGTTTACTACATGCGGAAATTTAACCAGCACAATGCCAAAAAAAGATTCCGAAGCCGGGGGGCGCCCATGCCCATCCAAACGGTGCAACGTGGGGGCCATGGGTCCTTGCTGCTACTAGTACCAAGCACTAATAGCAGTACATGCTAGTAATGGTAGCGGTTCTCCGTATTGCTATCGCAAGATGATACTGATAGAATGCGTTTGCATGAGCAACCTGTGGGCTCTTGCGGAGTACAGCACTCGACAATCTAGTCTAGGCCTCAGGTCGCTCTCCAGAAGCTGGGAACGGCCCATTGCACTATTGCAAATGGTGGGTTTTGGAAGGATGAAATAGTACGTCTTGGCTTTCGGTATGTTGTTCGGCAAGCTGGCCTTGAATGGCATGACACTTACACACTATGGCTAGCGGGATATCCGAGGACAGCGGTGCATATCGCATTGTTGTCGCGGCTCGCGTCTAGGTCTATCCATGGCTGGCCTGCTGCAGATTTGACGCGGTGGGTTTCAAACATGTCTTTATTTTTTTCCCGCCTTCATTCTCGGAATAGCTTGTACGCCAAGTACGCGTACGAACTGACATGACATGACATGACACATGCCCACCCTTCAATTAGACTATCTCCGCGAGATTTGTCGGGTTGTGGGTTCTTATGCTGCAGTTGGCACCGCGACTTCGGCCGATATCTCATATTCATATCAAGCGTTGGGCCCCGCCCGCCACGCTTCTTTAGCCTGCATGACGGACTCCAGGTGTCGAGATGAACTCCCTTTGCTTCATCAGCCTTGCCAGGCAGCAAGCCCCTTTTTGCCCCTCTCCAACAAAGGTGCCCCTCGGGTGCCCCTCAATATTACCATCGCCCATTAGCGTTGACACAAGCACTGTCTTACAAGTACAGTACTAGTATGTCATGTACAACTGCTACCTACTCTCCTACTAGTGTAATGGGCAGATTAATCTATGGAGCTTTGACAACTTAGCTCAATACTTAGTGTCCTTTGCGGTATGGCGTTATCCGCCGTATATGCGGAGTACTAGTTGACGATCTGTCTGGCACTTCATTTGACGGATTATCCGATCATTACCTAATCCTAGGATTATTATTCTCTTTGTTTTAAAGTTGGATCTAAGAAAGCACCGGCGTGCAGCTCGACTTTTAGGGGGGCGTGAGCCAAGAGATACGAGAAAAGCGACGGTGAGGCAACATGGCGTTCTCAAGTTTCTCGAAAGACTTCCCAAAACGTTTGCGGGATCACCTACCCGCATGCTGGGGAAGAGGATATTCCCGGTGGCAAAATGTTCGCCTGACAGTGGCAAAAGGTTGACGTTCCATGACTAGGAAGACGCTAGGGAAGTTTTTTTTTTTTCCCGCTCCCTATGAACTTGCTTACCGTCTGGAAGCAACTTCGGGTGTTCTAGCGGCCACTCAAATTTTGATAGATGTAGCGTTAGATTTTAGTGCGTGAGACATCTCCGAAATTCGAGAATTTGATGTGGTTGGCGATGGTAGCTAAGAGAATGGAAGGGGGTTAAGCGCCATGGCACCATACGATTTCTGAGGTGAGCGGTGAGAGGTGAGAAAATTAGCAGCACGCTGAATCCGAGACGTGAGCAGTTCATAGGAAAATTGTCATGGAGAACGAAGTAGTGCTGTCACCAGTAGCTCGGTAGATGATTCATGCATCTGAGGTTCATCTATCTCAGTTAACTTGTAAAATAGTCTTTCAGTTTTCAGGTATTTATTAATGTGCAACGCAGTAACTCGTGAATGAATCACCGAGTCAATGATGAATGGTGTAAATATAAAGCTCACATCGTGTGAATCTGTGATTGTAGGAAAAGTGAGAGAAGAGTTGCTCGATATCTGATTCATTTATAAGACAACTTTCTAGCTGTGACCAAGTCATTTGGGAATGAAATAGACTGAGGGAAAATTACCACCTTACCGAGAAGTGAAACATGAAAACATGTAGAATATTTCAGCCAGATACGAGTTTCAAAATTCTTTGCGCAATGTGCTGGCATCTTTCTTTACCATGTGCTATCGCATATTCATCAGCTAATTTTATATGCCATCGTACTGAGATATATTATTAATGCAGCGCACAAAAGCTACAGCTTATTTACAGTAAGGTTTGAATTGTCTGTAGTTCAAATGAAAATGAATTCCTCACTTTGCAGAAATATGTCATTGCAAAAATTGGCAACTGGGCTGATGATTGTCGTTTCTTATACTTTGCGTGAACTTCATTTTCGGTATTCACCGCTCATGGATTCAACAGACTGGGCTGCTAAGATGGATGTAATGACATATTTTAACATAAACCGAACAATTTTCACAAAATTTATTATCTTTGGCGATTTCTTTTCGTCGCGTAGAAAGATCTTGAGATTTGTTGCATAACGAAATATGAGGAATCAATACATGATAGCTCTATCGTATTTCACACAGTATTAACGAAGGAAGGGCGATGCGAGATAGTCAATCGCTCTTTGAATCTATGATATTTATTATCTAAACAATTCGTTCATCAGCAATTTTAAAATTCTTTAACATTGCGACTTTCTTGAACAGTATAGAAGCTTGGCGTATGCTTGTCTTGCGAAACGCTTCTTACCGAACGGTCTCCCCCCGTGTGTTGGATATTGGATGAATGCGAAAACTTAATGAATTCTTTATCATTTATGTTCTCTGCGATAATTTAGCATTAAATTTGCTTATACTCTCTAGAAAAGGACATATTATGGGGACGAACACTGCGCAGAATCCTGGATGGGAAAGATTAACCTACAGACGCCATTGTCTATTCTTTTCTTCTCCCCTTGTCAACCACAGAAAGAATATGAATGATGAGGCATTGAAAAAGAGCACTTTATCGTAGAGAACACGTGAATACAAAAGTACATGGAATCCGCGCATAATTATACAGACGCCAGAATATGATATGTCCCTAGTTTTATTGGATTTATACTACACCATGACCAACTTACAGGCCATGGACCCCTCCGCCTGTGAGGTTGGTCTCAGCTCCTGTACGTGAATTCAATTCTATCACTATTATCAATGATTGAAGATCCCATGTTTAGTGGCAAGACTCTGAGCGTCTGGTACGAGGAGGATCACTCACGCCTTCGCAATGTCGGCAGCGGCAATAGCGGGGACGATGGCATAGAGAGCTTTGAATGGAAGCAGGAAACTCGAGGATGAGGGTAACCAAGATGGCATCTCCGTGATGAAAGATTCTGAACATCTCGCCGGTTGCGAATGGGATCAACCGACATCGACGCCCCCTTCTATTATTCAGCCAACAAGTATCAACCTATCCGCTGGATGGATGCACAGCTTAGGTCTTTCTGAATTATATCATAGCCTCCGCGAGCCTCATAATTATCGTAAATCGTGTAATAGTCATGTAGTATATTTAATCACACAATGGTTGGCAATGACTCACTTGGCCTCAAGGCGGAAAAGAAGGCACCACAATGAAATGAAGTTTGTATAGCAGTCAAAATATAAAGGCCCGACCGAGAAATAGTTGAACAGCCCAATTTCCCATTTCTGGCCAATTTGCGACGCTGACAGAAGTTGTAACTAAGGTTTCCCGCTGGCTGTCATTTCCGTTTATTGTCCCTCTCTTCTTCTGCCAATATTTTCATTTCATTTCATCTCATCTTAAATTTTTCACAAACACCATTCGTATTGTTGCATTCATTGCATTTGCAATTATATCCAGTGTTATAAGCCTGCTGCAGTTGGATGGTCTACAAAAGCAGAACCTTATGCTTGCTCTTGGAGGCTAAAAAAATTGCCAAGAGAAAAAAAAAAAAAGTATCCCTAGATCTTTTAAGCCAACCCGCTTCATCTCTCTTTGTGGCGTTATGAGCCTTCCTTTGGGGACTTGCAAATGCTGTGAAAAGCGTGAACTCGCCCTCATTCTGAAATGTGATGAGATACTGCAATGAGCCCTACAATTTTGTAATGGTGCGTAAATGTATGGAGATCCTCTCATTGGATAAGCAAAGCCTGAGCTATTTTTACCTCAGCCTTATTTCTGATGACATAGCCTATATATAAGCATATCTCTCACCACTCTCTGCAGAGCTCCTCTTAAAATATGACATTGGCGATTTGAACGTTTTTTATATCTCACGTCTAGCGAATGTGGCTCAATGCGCCCCATATTGCAAGGATGTTTATTTACGATACGTGCTGCTCTATATACCATTGGCAGGTAGGCTCATTCCAGTTTACCTCACGGCATCTGCTACTTGTGACTGATTTCGGCTTAAAATAGCCGCGTATTTATCCCATATTCATCATAATCAACAAACGTAAGCCTAATTTAATTTTTTTTTTTTTAAAAGATGCTATGGGCTATGGTGTGTTACTTACGTAGCCCTTGGAGGTTGATGACTGAATAGGAAACTGGTGCCTCTCCTCATTAGTTGCATCTGCGCTGTGCGAGTATGACTGCTTTATCAGCACGGCGACGTAAGCCAGGGCCTGCCTGTGACCACAAACCGACGTGGACGAACGAAAGCGCCGCGCACGTGTGACACACACTTTCACAGAGGATTTGGACACGTCGCTAGAAGGGTCAGCAGCTCTTCCATATCAGCAGCTACTCGGTAACCGCGAGCCAGAGCAATGCGCTGCTACCAAAGCTGGACGTGGCTGGCCAGTGGCTGATATGAAGGAGCCTGGCACGCAGGTATCGGTCTTAAGTCAAAAATCCGAGTTGAGAAACCAGATGCTTTTATAAGCTGCCGAGTGCTGGCCTTAGCTAACATTCATTCAATTCAATTGGCTGGTGATTGATAACAGCCCGTTAATCCGGCGATCGGACGTCGGACATCGGCGCAGAGACTATCCGGGCGTTCGGTTCAAGGTGAAAAAAACGTGACTTCGCGCCCCGGATGCGAGCTTTGTAAGCGTGGATTTAGGTCCAGATCGAAACTGGGTCGATGTTCACGTCACGATTCTCAGATAACGTATCTGCATCTCATCAGAGTTGAGTGCAACCGAGAAGAGTCGTTCTGTTTCGGGTTCCAGCGCTTATATAGAAGCCCTGGTGGCTTCTGCCGTGTCTCACCAAGTCGAACTGCCCTGTGACGGGCAGCCAACTGCGCATGTGACTCTCCTTTTTCTCGCCATGTCGACCGATGCCGTGACCCAGGCCGACGCCTCCGCGGCGTCTATGCAGGGCACAGAGCCCCTTGCCTGCGTTTCTTGCAGGGCGAGGAAGCTCAAGTGTGATCGGACGAAACCTGCCTGTACTCGCTGCGTCAAAGTAAACAACGAATGTGTGTATCCCGAGTCACGAAGGAAACCAACCTTTAAGCGGCGGAATGTCAAGGAGCTGGAAGCTCGATTAGGTACTTTATATCTGTCAAAAGCGCGTCATAGTGTGCAGGCTTACTCATTCTTTCATAGCTCAAGTTGAAGAATACCTCAAAGAGGTCAATAGGGGGGGCCATGACGACGGGGCAATTATTCTGGACGAGCCTGACATTACCCTGGGCGACCTTCCGTTTCCCGCTGATAATATTAGCCAGGATGCCAACACCTCTAGCACCGCATCAGATCCGAATTTGTCTTTTGATATACCACACCTTGCTGGCCAAGAGGATGGTACCGGCACCTTTATGAATGGTCAGTTAATGGGGCTAGGCATGTCTGAGACGCTGCCTCCCTTCGAGGTGATCGAGGAATTGTAAGCTGGATATTTCTTCTCCTCACTATCTCTTTTGAGAGGGTAAATGCTAATAGTTGTAGGCACAACGTCTACTTTTCGACGCATTATCATTATCTTCCCATTATTCACTCTGGCCGTTACTACCAGGCATTTTATGGACCACCAACGAGAAAACCACCAATGTGCTTGCAGTACGGAATCTGGGCATACTCTGCCAGCGGACATCCCAAGTACGATCAGTATGCCGAAGCATTCTATAAGAGGGCACGGCAGTACATAGAAGCGGATGAGATGAGAGTGAGTCCACTTTTTCCTCTACTTAGGTGGCCTGTTCTCCTCTAACTCAATATGTCCAGAGCGATGGCGAGCATTTTGTCACAGTAAATCACGCCCAGGCATGGGCTATCATTGCCAGCTATGAGGCTAAAACGATGCTGTTCACGAGAGCATCCATGAGTGCCTCTAGGTATGTTCGACTTGTCCAGATGCTGGGGCTGGATAGGCTTGATAGAGAAGGGGACGACATTCCCCCTACGCTCGGCCCAATTTCCAACTGGACAGAGTTGGAAGAGCGGAGGAGAGTTTTTTGGGGCGCATTTGCAATTGATTCGCATGCAAGCATGGCAACGGGCTGGGCAAACATGATTAAATCTGAAGATGTAAGATCTTATGGACTCGATCGCTTTTGAGGTACAGAATACTGACCTGTTTTAGGTAATGACGCGCCTTCCAGCTTCCGAAGAGGCATTTGTGTCGGGGACTGAAGAGAAAACGGTGTTCTTGGAAGAGGTATTTACGGGAGCGCCTTTCGAGAGCTTTTCTGGAGCCATTGTCATCTGTGAGGTCTTCAAGGTTATCCTGCGACATGTGCACGGGGCGAAACCTTCCGATCACGCCGATGATTTGATAAACGGTTTGTATTGGAAGCGCCATCGCGATCTCGACAATAAGCTATCAAGTCTTTTCATGTTTCTACCCGAGAGATTTCGTCTTCCACAAAGGATTGGGGACCCATCTGCGGTGCATGCAAATTTGAATTTGCATGCTTCCATTATCTGCCTACATCATGCTGCTATTGAGACTGCCGAGAAGTATGGTTTTAATGAGAATATTAAACAGAGCAGTCTATGCAGACTGAGGGCTGCCGCTGAAGAAATCGTCAATATCATCAAAATGACATCGCACCACACCTCATTTTTCGTACGTATTCTCTTTGCCTGATTGACTGTTTAATTTCAAACTAACCGCAGCAAACAGAAAACTCAGCTCTGTGCACTCTCCTTGTATTGTGCTACGACTGTATACGTTTATCTGGCCAAGGATGACCCTGTGGGTGGCGTGACTCCTATCGACGTTTCCAACCTGGAAATTATCATCAACGCAATGGAGGCCATCGGTCGCGTTCACATGGTTACAACTGCCTTTCTACAACAAGCGTGCCTTGATATCGAGCGCAATGGCTTGACGTCAAGTCTCAAACTTCCATCCCTAGCAAAATACCGCGATCTTTTTGGCGGCCCCGCATCCAGCATCCCCCTATTAGCCCGAAGCTCGATTTCGAAGCATACTGAGATGTCGCCGCCGTTGCCTGGAAGGCTACCTCTTGGGATGCCCAAGGGAAACAGGCGACCGACTAATTTAAGAATGAGCAAACCACTTGGCTCTCTAACAGGTGTCATCCCAGACGTACATCACACCACAGACTGCTTCAATGCTATTCTCGGCGCCGTTACCCGAAACGTGGCGCCAAAGCAACCCGCCCCTGTGAGCAATAAGCGGAGGCGTGTAGCCGTAAGCCCGGTGCCAGAGCCGGTTATGACGGCTAACTCTAAGGCATCTGGGACGTCGGCGGCCGGCTACTTCCGCTACAACATCAGTGATCAAGCTTGCGGAACTCTGTGGTCTCAAGGGGAGATGGATATGAATATTCAAGTGGTTGATCCGATTTTTACACTTCCGGACCGTACCACTTCCTCAGAATCATCACCAGCACAACGCGGAGCCGGTACAGAGCCGTTCTCAGGCAGTAGCCATACCTCACCCGGCCTGGGCCTTGGAAATACCCCCGAAGAAAATCGCATAGATCTTCGGCAATTCCAAGGCCGTATCGCAACGCCCATTTGGCAAAGCACGGAAGAAGGGCTTTTTAACCACATTACAGAAACAATTGCTCAATTCTCGGGAGATGGTGATGACCCCTGGGCGATACTCAATGGAGAGAATAATTGGAACGGCGGCACTACAACATCGTGAATGGCGTTTGGGTGCGAGAATTTAACAATCATTACTGGTGCAATACTTTAGAAGCCGATTAGTTACGCGGCTGTGGATAAGGGAACATTTCTCTTTTCTGTGCATAGCGGTTTGGATAGGGCAGTGTACGATACGATACCCCGGGCGTGAGACAGCACGCTACTCTTGTGAAATAGGTTACTTGGGCGTTCAGGATGGAACAGGATCAAAATGGTTGGTCTCATCACCTCTCTTTCTCGAAACAGGAACATTATATACAGAGATCTACCTATAGAATCTATGATGAAAATGCTATATAAAGCGGCTTTTGAAACGCCAAATTGCTGCGATGACCAGACTGCATGTAGATATAAGAGATTGCTCCGGCTGCAGCCAATCGGTGACTAGCCAAGATCCTGAATAGGGAATCTGCGGAGTGACTGGGTTACAGCTTGATGGGATAGTTTAATGTCTCCATTAATATGCCGAAAGACTTCCGAGTGTTGCATGTCTCAACGCCAGGGCAGATGCCGAGAGACTATGCTTAAAGAGCGGTCAGGTGACAAAGCGATCTATAACTGATGGTGTCCCCACATTGAACTCAGGATAGATTCGTTATTTCCGAGTTTATGGGCTGACTTGGGAAACATAAATACGTTTACCAGAGTCTGCATGCAAGGAATTGGCATTAAATTTGTTCTTATTTCCTTTTTTTTTTTGGTCCTTATTTTTTTTTTCTTTCAAAATTTCTTCCATCCTCACCCCTGGTCCATTGTTGTTGATTATCCTGGCACAACAGCAGGACAAGGCGGCAAAGATGGTTTCTTATATGGTCGGCCTATTCGCCATCCTTGTCCTCGTCGCAAATCCAATAAGCCAGTACTTCTTTCCGCAAATCTCTCGCACGAAGAATTCGCTGTCTCCAAGACCACAGCTGAATGAATCGCTGTTGGCAATAGATGGCGCGAATGCGAGTGCGCCGAATTGTCCAGCTGACGCGTACGGGGCGCGGATTTTGAGTCGAGAGCCGTTGGTTGTGTATCTGGAAGGGTTTTTGAATGAGCGCGAGAGGCAGCATTTGCTTGAGATTAGGTAAGTCTCGAATCAAAGATATGGGTTTGCTTTTCACTCTTCTTTTTAATTGAGGCCAAATCAATTGTTTGAATGTGAACTCTGGTGAGCGCTAATGGATAATCTTTACATGCACATAGCGAACCTATTTTTGAGCCGTCAACCATCACTGATGACTCTAGCTCTACGCATCGTGACAATACTATCCGAGACTCCGCTGTTGCTCTTTTGCCACGAACAGATATTGTTCGCTGCATTGAGGCTCGTGCAAAGGCTTTCCAAGGCTGGCGACGAGACTTATGGATTGAACGCCTGCGGACGCAGCGATATGTCGCTGGTGGGCATTATAGCCATCACTTTGACTGGAGCCGTAATGCAGATGGGTGGGGTAGAGTGAGCAGCTTTATGGCCTGGATTGATGCTGCAGATGGATTGCAAGGCGGAGGAACAGAATTCCCACTGTTGGAAACGATTACGGAAGGAAACAGGCCGAAGTGGTGTGAGTTAATCGAATGCGAAGATGAAGGCGCTGCGAATGGTGATGGCCAAAGAGACCAGAAGAAGCTTGGTGATGAAGAGGGAGCTGAGGGAAAGGGCACGACATTCAAAGTGGTTCCTGGAAATGCTGTATACTGGGAGAATTTTGCATCTGATGGGAGGGGATATGATGAGACTTGGCATGCTGGTTTGCCCGTGAAGAAAGGAGTCAAAGTCGGATTGAACATTTGGAGTTTTGGACGGATTGAGTAAAAAAAAAAAAAAAAATTCGCATTTAAATCGCCTATAGACCATTTGATGAAATGATTATACTGTAGAATGAATAGCCCTTGGGTGGCTAAGTTGGCATTAGCCAAGTCTGGGTGTATCAAGATGTAAGAAAATAAAGCAAATCCGGCCAAGGCTTATGGTGGTGTCGCTGCTTATTTCCATACTCTTTCACACTGGCCCACCCATCGGCCCCAGCCCAAGACCTTGCCGTCAATTTCCTTCGCGAGCTGTTCTCGAGTGGGCTTTGAGGCCGCGAGTGTTTCGTCCAACGGTTCACTTAGAGCGATGATGTCAAAGAAATCTGCCAAAATTCAGTTATTAGCGGACTCTGTTTCGTTCTTGTAACGAGAGTAATTAATGCGAGGGAATAGCGAGGCACTCACATCTATGGATGCCATGGTTGAGGAGAGGCCGAGGGGGGATCCAGACCCCGTCGACGCCATAGTAAAAGCCGCCGTTTAGTCGTGTAGACTTTTCACCTTCTGGCTTGAAGTCACTGTTTATAACAGAGAGCTTGTCTTTGGAAATTCCGAGATACATGCTGTTGTAAGTGATAAGAGTAATTGTCAGTTGCTGCATCTACCTCACATGTTTTACCCGTAAAATACCACCCTCGTTTTCGACTTACCCGTGACAAATGGGATTTGGCAGCGGCGCATCGACATCTTCACATATTAACAGCCACTGCTTCACGCCCGGCACTGAATCCCACTCCAACCCGGGTAAACGTCCATCTCCTCCAGCCATGTACTCTGGTGATAGCGTTGCGGGACTTGCGCCGCAGTCGGGAGATGTGATTTGGATGGTGGGCTCTGGGTATGAGGCGAACGGGGGGCCCTTTGTGAACGTTTTGGCGTCGCGGCCTCTGGCGTTGGCGAAGAGCCAGCTTGCCGTGACTTCGACGTATTTAAGCATTTTTAATTTTTGAATGATTGCCTCTAAAATAGAAAGTCTGTAAGAAAAGCAGTACGGATGGTGAAAAGGTGTAAGTTGCCTGAGGGGGTGGAGGAGGATTGATTTGGTTGTAAATGGCGGAGGCGCTGCTTATTGATTAAAATGACATACTCATGATTTAATAAAATAAAGAACCAGTTCGGAGATAACAAGGCCTTTTAATTTCTTGGTTTTTTGAGTAAGGGATCATAGATTTGTTTACGTGCCGACTGCATCCTGCATTTGCTGCGAATCCTGCATTTATTAGTGACGGTTGTCGCAAGTAAGCAGGGATTCGGTGCCGAAGCGGCGAACATGGATTTTGGCCGACATTCGCCAAACATGATCCACACTTTTCTCATGATGCCGAGCTTCGGCTGAGCTACGGCTTGCATTTTGACAGGAGAGCATGGGAATAAAGTTGGACTTGTATATCTTGTAGGGGTGCATGGGCGGATAAGCATATCTGCGGTGTGGGACTTTTCAGCGAATGGCTAATTATATGCAGTGGTGCTAGATGCTGCCCTTTGACTGCGGCTACGATTAAATTTACATGCAGGCTTTAGGCATAGTACTACCACGAAGGATACGATTTAATGAAGATGCTTACCAAAAGAGCTCTCTTATTAATTAACTATGTATATATATGTGAGGTGACATGGAATATAAGAGCTATTCCATTATGTCATGAATTCGTTCATCAGTGTCTGTGATCACCGAATAGACATCTTTCTCTAAACAAGTACAAGGTCACTTTTGCATAACTCTGCAATACGATACCATTAGGTATTGAAGACTATCACATATATTGAACTTATGGCAAACAGATGGCTGCTAAATATTATGTTGTTTTCATGAAGAGATTGTTCATAATACTGGAAATACTGGATAGTTCATAGCGCATATCGTAGTAAAAGGTCTTCGAATGTCCCAAATAGCAATACATTGGTGTATTGGAATATATGAATCGTCTGTTACATATAGAGATGCAAGCTTTTCTTCGTTAAACGAATGCTAAACATAACAAGGAATCGTGTCATATAATGCTGACTTTCAGTTGGCTTCGGCGCGCAGTGGCGTAATAGGGCTTGTTTTGTTAAACATGACATCGGGGTCATATTTGTGTTTCAATATAGCCAGTCGTTGTTGATTGCCACCAAATGGCTTATCAGTAATAAGATCGCCAGCTACATCAATTAGCCATGTTGAGAGATTTAACGAGTCGGTAACACTTACGTTCAACATAGTTGGCATATTCCAACGAGGTCTTGGTATCCCCAGAAAACTCCTTGCTGTCGATAACAGCTTGTCGGCACTTGGCCTGAATCATTCGACCCCAGGCTCTGTTTTCCTCATCCATCAGAGGATCAGTCCATTCCAAGCCGACAATACCGGGTCTATAAGACCCTCGGTTAGAAAACGCCATCGCTTCCAAAGGTACGCTTTGCATTTTGGTTGTGTCATGAATCTCTATGCCCAAAAACGACGCGGACATGTCGGGATTTTTCTCTACTTGCTGTGCATAGTCGTTGTAGAGTTCCTGAACGAACGCGACATCGATGTGGTCCGTAACCGTGACTGCTTTCAAAGCTTTGCGGCGACCATGCGTAGCCATCGGATTCAATAGCGTATTAAGATGGTTATAGGGCATCATCTTTGCGGTGATGGCGACAGGCTGTAAATCGAAGAGAAATTTGAAATATTCCCGTGCCGCAGCTTCATCGCCGTTATAGAATACATTGACCACAACCACCGCAACAGGCATGCCAGGGGGCTTTGCAAAGATGAGGATGCCCGCACCTTTGGGATCTGAATTCTTCATCCTGGTATTAAATCCTTCCACGAGAGGGACTAGCTTATCAGGAGTAAACACCACGCCACCGGCGTAAATTTCATTTGGTTGGTCATATCCTCGAAGGGTGAATTCAACTGCGACACCAAAGTTGTGGCCTGCTCCGCGTATCGCCCAGAATAGATCAGCATTCTCATTTTCTGAGACAGAAAGGATGCGTCCGTCAGCAACGACAACTTTAGCTGCGACGAGATTATCAACAACAGTGCCGTATAAGCCTGAGAGCCAGCCCATGCCGCCACCTAACGTTAAGCCACCAATGCCTGTATGATTCACAGTCCCGCCTACTGTTGCCAGGCCTTTTTCAATTGCGGCATTGTCGACGTCTTCCCAGAGGGCACCGCCTTGAGCAACGATCAATTTCGAGTCTTTGTCAACCTTCACGGCACGCATTCCCGAGAGATCAATGGTGAGCCCGCCTTCGGTGGAGCTGGTTCCTCCCGTGGAATGGCCACCTCCTCTCACGGCAAGATCAAGCTTGTTATCAGATGCGAATTTGACCAGCTTGGATACTTCTTCATATGAAACAGGCACAGAGACAGCACCCTATGGGTGTGAGCAATAATCCAACTATGAGCTTTAATTATCAGGCTCCATTTAATGGTTACATACTGCACGTTTTACAGCGTTATCTGCCCATCGGGCAATTAATCTTTCGTATTCATCGCCATCTGCGGCAGTGAGCAGTCGAGTAGAAGGATCTAGCTGAACGGCGAGCTCCTTTATCTGCTGCGCTGTGATCGGCTGTCTCATTTTTGCTGACAATAGAATAGAGGGCGTCAAGTTTGTTTTGTTTTGTTTTGAGGTTTAGAGATGAAAGAAACATTCAGCCGGATGCTGCAGCTCTTATATACCTGTTGGTTTGGTCTTTAGCGTTGCTTACAGCTATGAGTGAGGCGAAGTCAAAATAGTTGGTCACTAGAAGTGGATCCAACGGGTAGGGCTACTTTGTAGCTTAAAGACTTATAGATGGTTTAAAATGCTCTTTCATATTAAAGAAGAAAAAAAAATAACGTGGGAGAAGCGCTTACTTCTTTTCTTTTCATACTCTACAAGAGTTTTTAGCGATAAAAGTTGATCTGTGGTGAATCGGTTATGAGCTGTCTACCGCATACCCATAGCTTCAAGATAGTCAAACATATTTCCGTGGCTGTATTGAAAGCTGAAGGATCGCATGGCTTAAAGCCACGACGTTTACACTAAGCATAGAGCTTACGTTATATGAAGCTAGCCTTGTCATTTTTGAGATTTGCCAAGGGCAGTGTTTGTGCTATTTTCTCATTCATAACGAAACCTTTCCCTTTTATAGGCTAGTTTAGTAGCTCAAGTGATGAATTCAAAATTTGGAGTATGAGAATTATGATCGGATCGTGCGGAAAGTATACCGCAACACCCGCATGCAAATCAATGCTACTAGTAGGTAGTACTTAACTAATATGCCCCCTGAAGTAGTTTGCTTACATTTTAATGAGAGGTACATCAGAAAGTGTCACGGAATAATTGGGCGGTAATAAGATTCGCTTATTAATTCCTCGTTACTATCGTCTATCGCGCGATTATTTGAATAGTCGGACTAGATTATTGAGATCTCTTAGACTATATTTGTTAACATTGTAAACTTTTCTATGGAGGTATACAGTAGGCTTTGAGGAAGAACCGTTAGCATCCTGATAGTGATCATGAGATGATACGATTTTAGGCTTGGGAAATTGTCATTGGGAGCCGAAAACTATCACTTCAGTTGACGAGTAATACTTAATACCATTACAAAAGAACACATGACGTACGAACAACATTAAAGGAGGGGATATATGCTTGTAGCTGGAGCTGCAGTTTAATCCTCTTAGAGCTTTGGGGCAGCTTGTGGAGCAAGTTGAGCACCTAATGCATATATATGCATAACCAGGTCCATCCTAGCCCATCCTGACATAGACTTTCGTAAGGAAAGATATTATAATCTAATCCACAAGTATGCAGTTAATAACAACCAATGCTAAAAGAACCCGCTTTATGCCAATGTTCATGTGCTGCCGTAAAGAATGAATAACTTATTCTTCTATATATGCTGAGGGCGTAAAGACTGCAATACTCAGAAGACTTCCTTTAAAAACTAGGGAAATTCACAGCGACTATTTCCACTGCTCATGGAGCCACTAGTAGACTGAAATGTCCATGTCAAACAGCACCCAACCTAACAGGGGGTTTCAACCTGCATAACATTGTTTTCCCACGGCAAGTAGAACATCTTTAGAGACGGTGCAATAGGAGCTAGAAAGAAATATTTGCAACATTAAAGGGTAAAATTGTTCTTCAAATGATGGGGTCGACAAAATGAAGAGATGTAATTGATCAATGGACAAGTTCAATCGGGCTTTGCCGTGAGCGCGGAGAGATGAAAAGATTTGTAGGAGAACAGCTCCAGAACATAGGAGAATAAGGGTAATCTTGTAATTATGAGCGCAACGTGATACACTGCTAAGTATCATTTACATCCACAGACACAGGTATTTTAAGTAAAAGCGGCGCTTCTGACTAGATCTGAAGCTAAGAAGACTCAAGTGCCTCTAACTGTGGACAAGGCTTGCAGCATGTTAGTAGGCGCTAAGGAACAGATAACCATTGTGCTTCTATATAACTATTACCAATTTCTTTTCCAATTGACAATGTAGTTGACAAAGCATACGTAAAATAAATAATTCCACTTCTCTCTAAAGACAAGGTCTTTATTCTTTTTTGTGCTTACCAATACGAGTCATAGATGTTGTGGACCTCTTGATTCGTATACGCTTCGACACCTCATCGATAAGTTGGTTTTATAATTATTCATGCATTTCATGCCAATATCATAGAACATTAAAGGGAGAATAATGATGAGTAAAACGCGAATAAATTCAAGCCGAAGCATATCAGAGAAAGCCAGACTGACGTCACAAATGGATGATGTAGCGGATATTATTCACCTTAAAGAAGCATGTTCAAGTTCTCTATGGAATCGTATTGCGCCCAGAAACAATAAGATAATAAGAAGGAGCTTCTTAAGATCTCCTAGCTACTCGGCTTTCACCACACCGGGGGTACAGGCAATCCGTCTCTGACATAGGTGGAAATTTATTACCTAGGTATCCTACAAGGGCCTAGCTAGGGGGGTAGTATTATGCACTGGGCGGTCTGAACAACATGCCTAAGCTGCATGTAGCATGTAGATATGTATGTGCCTCGTTCCTCGCAAATGCTTGATGTTTACGCCTGATCCCCCTCTCGTTGGTGTCGGGTACCCATGTATAGCATTTTTTTTTTTTTTTTTGTGTTTTTGTATGACGCAATCAAGTATAGACTGACATTCAATAGTATTGTTCACGGATCTAGGATATACCAGATCATGGATGGATGACTATGACAGCATGGCAGTATCGCTCAGACTCAATGCGGTAATATGTGTGTGCCTTTCGAAACCTCTTTAGAAACTTGGTGGATCATGTATAGGATCCATTGCCCGATTAGTATAGAATTGGAAGAGACGCTCCCATATTGAAAAACAAGGGAACAAGTGGCGGAACCCTCACCGATCTTTGCGTGCGAGTTCGTATTGACCTGCAGATCTGAACTAGCAGCTATACGCGTGATTGGCAGCGTTCGTATTGCTTTGGGAAGTGTGCCGAATTTGCCGATAGCCGGAAACAGCTCATTACTCGATTTAAGCTCATTTGAAATACCATAGTCGATAGAAACTAACGGGCATATAAATAAAGACGGCGCCCTTTCTGTCAAAATCGCCACTCCAATAATCTCACAACCGTTCATTACAAGCACCTCGAAATTATAAATATAATTCAAAATGAAGACTTCTACTTTGGCCGTAACTGTTTTCGCCAGCCTGGCTGCAGCTGCTTCTCCCTACTGGTACATCACCGAGCTTCAAACTCTTGATACCACTTCCACGACTCTGGAGAGCAGTCTTCAATTTACATTCGAAGATGCAAGCACTTCGTTGACCACGAAATGCTCATATGTCAACTCTCCGGGATCTGGCCGCCCAGTCACCGTGTTGACAGCTACACCATGCGAAAACCCGCAGGTGCAATTTACCTATATCCAAACGAGCGCAAAGACTGGACAGATTGCCATCACTCTTCAGCATCTCAATGCTGCGTAAGTCAGAGTGGTTTTAACTTCAACCATGCATTTATAGAGCTAACACTGCATGTGAACAAAAGTGGCAATCTCCAAGGAGAACAGCACGGAACCGGCATCGCCGACCTCGCTTGCCACGCAGATGAGGCCCAAAGTGGGACAGCCTGCTATGCCCAGAATACTGAGATTATTCCTGGGCCTGAGACTGGCGCTTAAAGTCGATGTTGACTTTGCAACGGTTCCTTCTATGTATTCGGGAGCATAGCGGCAAATAGTATCGGGGCAAAACTGCGATTATTTGTGAAGATTTGGTTACTTATTCAAGCTCCTACTCTATTTTTGCTACGTAATATTTATGTATTTCTAGGATCACAGTAGTCCTCTAGTGAAACGATGGTACTATGGCTTATATCGCTGATCTCGGGTCTTGAAGTTAACTTATGGTGATGGGTCGATAGGGGTTGGTGAGATCAATGTACATAGCGAGATAGCAAATGGACAGCATAACTCTAGATTTCCCAGCTCTTAGTTATATTCAATCAGAAGACGTTGAACAGCAAACATAACTCGATCTAGCAAATTACTTGAATTAAGCTGTGCCTTGCATTCACTACTGAAGATAATCATTTCAGGGAGTCGAAGTGTAAAGAAGTGCTGTCATATATGCTAGTGCGCGCTATATTTTGTTCAAGCACTCCTCAAAATGCATATTCTTCAAATAATGTTTCCTTGGCAGTCTGACTCAATATCTTTCGTATTCTGTTCGATTGTGATGCAGCATTGGCACGCACGCTGACCAGTGATGATGATGAACAAGCAAAATATATCACGTTGGAACAAAAGGTTCACTATATTGTACCGCTTCTTTGCCACAAGAGCAATCCAGGATTCACTCGCTCTTTTGACTTGAAGAACGGTACCTTAAATGTACTCCAAACACAGATGTATCTAGGAAATTAATATGTGTGTATGTGACAGCTGAAAGCCGCAACAGCTCCAGAGACGAGGGCTAGAATTCTCCTGGGAGTACAAAAAAAGCATACTTAAAAGGGTGATTTAAAAGATATCGCCAGGTACCTTTCTACTATAAACGAGAGAGCTATAGATACTCCTAATCATATGAGCTAGGGAATAGGAACTCGGAAATTCTTGCCCAATCCACTATTTAAGTTATTGCTCCGTATTACTACCAAAAAAGCCGAGACTTGACACGTGGGGCGTAATCTTGGGCTTGCTGATAGCTAACCAGCCGCCATCCTGTAATAAAGCTAGACTAAAAAGCAGGCTCGCTGTATGCGCTTTGTCTTGGCTTAGGTACTATAGGCAAAGTTTGTAGTACTATCTCTCATACAACTTCATGAATAATGAAGATATTAACACCTGAGAAGAACTAAGTATAAGGTCTGGTATACTGTATGAGATAAGAAAAGTTCAAAGCGACTGGCACTTTGTATTATAATTCATTTTAATAAACACTTATTAATTTTCATTTACAATGTCTATACTCAAAGCTAGTTACTACCTATTGTGTCACAGTCGCCTATATATCATGCTACAGCACCGTTCTAATTGCTTTTACCATTTTCCCTCACCACCCTAATTACATCGTTGTTATTGCATAAAAAAGCGTTCTAAACACATGTCGTTTGATCACCATATCCGTATTTGTTTGGCTCACAATTCATCCTTCTTTAGATGACTCTTTTGCTTAACCTTCTCGCCACTTACACTGCGCAAGCGGTACGCTTTAGCAGCATGTCTAGGCACATGCACGTCAAAGCGACCGCCAGACTTGATGAGGCCAACGCGCTCGCCAAACAACCGCGGATCTTCGCGTTTCAAGCCCTCGGCATAAGACGTCTCCGTTGAGTTGTACCAGTTCAAGTTCTGTAACTTCTGCTTTCTTGCAGAAGCACTGTCGGCGTCAAGGACAGCTTGAGCGTCCTCATTGCTCATAGCAGCACCAGTCTTGCCCCATAGATCATAAACAGCCCAATCATTCTTGTTCTGAGGAGCAGTACCGCCAACTCCATTCGTAAGGAAGATTTCCTCAAGCGTGGCGCCCATATCAAGAGCCTCGTCAGCGACGTTGAGGAAGATGAGGATCTGATCTCCATTTGCTAGAGGACCGCTCCAGATATGAGTCTCGCCGACACCCCACTCGTCCTTGGGAACATTAAAGTTGCGCCTAACACGCTGAACGGCGCGGCCACGGGGATCTTGGTTGATAGCAATCATGGCTGGGTTGGTGACAATTGAAAGGTCAGAGCCTGACCACTTACGAAGATCGGTTCCAAGAAGGAGCGGTGCTTTCAGGGCAGCCCACATGGTGAAGTGAGCTTTGTACTGTTCATTGAAGTTAGCTTTCCATACCTAGATATGTCTTGATTCTCCAAGGAGATAAAAATCTTACCTCTTCCTCAGTCATACCACCATGACCGACCTCAAGCATATCGAGATCATTCCATCCACCAGGAAGGCCACGATCGATATAGGGAACGACTCGGTTGATGATGGCAAGAACCGAGCAGTGAGTGCCAGGAGCAATACAAGCCGGGTTAGCAGGATCATTGCAAGAGCATAGATCATCTGGTCGGGCAAAAGAGTCATAGATGTCCCCAAAAATGCGCCAAGAGTTGCCAATAGATGCAGCCCACTATGATATTTTAACACGTTAGTTTCAATGGATGTTAAGAACTAAATCGACATGATGAGACTTACACTATAGGAATAATCTTCACCCCAGTTGCAAAGACTGTAGAAAATATTCTTTCCTGTGGCTTTGAGGGCCTCCGCCATGGCGTTAAAGCGCTGGAATGAAATGAGAGGTGTGCCGAAGCGACCCATGTGGTAGCAGTTATCATATTTGAGATAATCGACACCCCAATCCGCAAAACTTTGAGCGTCATCCATTTCATGGTCCAAAGAACCAGCTGTATGGTATTAGATATTTTCTCAGACTTTTTTTTGTGCTGGTACATTTGGAAGTGAAGGTCCCTTACCATATCGTGCGCATGTCAATTCGCCAGCGCTCGAATACATGCCGAACAAGAAGCCTTGGGCATGCAAATCATCTGCAACGGCTGCCATTCCACGAGGGAACTTCTTCTTGTCTACAACCAGTTTACCTTTGCTATCACGACCATCGGACCAGCAGTCGTCTAGGACCACATATCCATATCCCAAGTCTTGAAGACCATATTCTGAGATGAGCTTCGCATGATCAAGCAGCAAGTGCTCAGAAACATCGCAGCCGAAGGAATTCCAGTTATTCTGTCGTGGGAATTAGTTATTTCTCAACAAATACTTGACGCTCCGTAGACGTAGAGAAAAGCTTACCCATCCCATCTGCGGGGTTCTAGCTAGACCATTGTCAATTGCTTCTACGACAGCCACAGAGGCGGCGACGACCAGCGCACTTTTGGACAACATCTTAGACCTGCAAAACTAACAGGCGTTTGGGTAAAATGAATGGATGATCAAAGTTCCAATTTACTTATTGAACTGTTACTTTTATAGATATATCCCATATAAATATAGAGCCTTCAGCTATCTTGGACGGCTTCAGGCTCACCCCACCAAGTCCCATCTATAGTTGCTCCCCACGATTAACGGAATCATACTTCCAATATGCGGGGTCCTACCTGGGTATCCCCATCTATTTGTCCGACCCCACGACGTTTTCCGACTTCTCTACTCAATAGCTAGCAGGAAAATTCGACGAGAATGGTCACGAGGAGCTAGCGGCTGATTACCCAGCGTCTGGAGAATTGCTCGGGAGATTGAAGGGCTCCACACGGATAAGAGATCCGAGTCAGCGGAAAAGCTGGCCGAAGCTCGTAGCCTTAGTGGAACACAACGCCGAGGATTCTGGACATGGTTAGTCGTGCGATTGAGTTCACATTTGCCATGGGGGGAAATTTGGCACATTGTTTTCAATTGCGGGGACGAGGAACTTGAAACAGGGTTCTGTGTAGATGAAGAAATGGTTTCAAAGTCCCTTGGGTCAATGGCAACAGTGTCAAACGAGGAGAAGAAAGACATGCATGAGTATTGTTTGTTGTTGCTCAAGGTTTTGGAATCAAAAACGGAATATAATGGGAATAGAACTACTATTTTGGCTTCAGTCCTATATTGTATACTGTTCCTGTAGGTTCTGAGCCTACCTCAGAAAGTTTTGACATGTTATTTGAGCGTTACTGTGTTCAATCGCTTCCTTGACAGCAAATTTGAGGCAGTCAACCATTTATTAACTATCGGTCCATAATTAGCAATATTCATATAGAGTAGTAATAGTCCCTGAGATGTCCCACTGTTCTGGTACATTCCAGGTATTTTTTTGGCGAGGGTTTCATATCCAGTTCTCTTCTATTTTACGTGAAGAGAAAACAGGATACGCGCCTCGTAGTATGACCAAGCTCCACCGTAATACAGCTGTTAATTGGGAGATTGCTATCCACTGGCACTTTTAAATCGGGAACTTAGGCACATGGACATGCAGGAACGGGAAATGATCTCGGAATCAGGTAACCGTAGTACATGCATTCTTATCTCTAAGCTTGTGGTGTGTAAGTTTATGCAGTTCATGATTGGTCGGGAAAGTAGATGCGAAAAGGAAGCTGACGCATAATATTAAAGCAGTGCATCATTTCTTGAAACGGAAAGAGATATACGTATGGGTTGTTAGATGGACTGATCATTAGTGATACTCGAAATAATATAGATTTAAGCTGTCATCTATATAAGTAGTAGACAGTACCATTTGCCAAGGTTAGATTAGGGTTAGGGATGATTTGAACGTGGAACCATCTCAAAGAAGAGCTGGCATTAAAGTGAAATGATACTAGGCCCCCGAAACACTTGCATGTCATGCTCAGGATCCTTGAATATAGAGGAAGCTCCTAAAGAACTAGATATACTACCAGTTGCATACTAGGATATCATCTCCAGCAAACTTCTATTCCGGCACTTTCACATCTAACTCCCAGAACTTTCATCATCTGAATAAAAGTATATTTGTATACAATAGATCTAGAAGGCGTTCTAGTTTGAGTGGATTGTAGTAGGCCCATGGCCGCAATCTCCCTCCTTGGTGAGATCGACCTTTTTTTTTAGTAGTATTTCGTATTACTGTAGCCATTTATTTGATTTTAATCTTAATACTATTTCATTCCGTGTTCTATCGACATATATAGCACAGGCAACATCGTATTATCTCAAGCTAATAAAGCCAAGCTCATCCTTGGAGCCTAACCGAAACACCTGTTAGAATGCAGCAGCACAATAGCACCATCTATCGAAACCAAGCACTTCTATATCTAAGCCAATATCTGCAGTGTCCGATTACCATTCCCTGATTTCGCCATCCGGGCCCCTGAAAGAGGGCGACTCCCATGGTACGCAATCCTTAGACAACTTTCGGATTACCTCTTCGTCTACCTCAATTCCCAAACCAGGGCCTTGAAGAACCTTTATGTAGCCGTCATTAACTTTCCAGACTTCAGGGTTCTTTATGTACGTTTCGATATCCTGCCCTGTGTTGTTATAATGGATTCCAATGCTCATCTCCTGGATGGAGAAGTTGGAAGACACTGCATCAACCTGTACATTTGCGGCCAAGGCAATTGGCCCTAACGGACAATGTGGCGCTAGGGCAACATCGTATGTTTCGGCCATTGATGCAATCCGTCTCAGCTCAGAAATGCCTCCAACGTGGCAGATGTCAGGCTGTAAAACGTCCACGCACCCTGCTTCCAAGTACGGACGAACGTCCCATCGGCTGTAGAGACGCTCGCCAAGGGCAATCGGGCAGCTAGTGAGCTGAGCCAACTCTTTAATTCCACCAATATTCTCAGGCAGTAGCGGCTCTTCAATGAAGAGAGGTCGATGCGGCTGGAGCAGAGCGGCCAGTTGCTTTGCCATTGGTTTGTGAACACGACCGTGAAAATCAACTGCGGCATCCATTCCTAGGCCTTTGACGACTTTGACCCTTTGCACTACATCATCAAGCACTGATGGCGAATCCAGCCAGCAAACATCCGCGGTTCCGTTCATTTTGACTGCGTGAAACCCTTGCTCTTTGCGAGCTATTCTGTTTGAGGTTATCAGCCTGGACCGAGCATTTACAAGGAGTGAATAAAATTTCCAGCTTACGCTTGTTGTTCTACCTCATCTGGGCGGTCGCCTCCGATCCAAGCATATACCTTGAGCTTATGTCTCACTTTACCGCCAAGAAGTTCATATATAGGGACGCCAAGTTTTCTGCCTAGAAGCCAGTCAGTATTACCGTCGCCATGCATATAAATTTCGTTTTTTTTTTTTTTTTAAAAAAAAAAGGACCAAAAAAAAAAATACACAGCAGGTTATTTAATGATTAAATCACCTTTTAAATCCCATAACGCAATATCAATTCCAGAGAGCGCACTCATAAAAACTGGCCCGCCTCGATAAAACCCAGTGCGCCACGCCATTTGCCAAATGTGCTCGATCTCGCTGTATTTGGTAAGCACATTTCGTATTTTATCCAGGTGCCGGATCTGGTAAACCTACTCAGCGTCATGTCCTTTGAACTTCTCAAACCACGAATCTAAACATCCTTCAACTGCCTGTGTATGCCCCTCTAGAGATGCTTCACCCCAGCCAACGTTTCCAGCTTCATCGGTTACTTTTACGAACAGCCACCGAGGCGGGACGCGAAAATACTCCATAGATTTGATCCTCGTCATTGTGAAATTTGCTGTAATTTTGAACTAAATAATGCAGCCTTTCATACCAATGGTGGTGAGGTAAGATGACAATTTGTTGCTCGTATGATTTGGAAGTACAACAATACTTGTATAAACGTATAGTACCCACGGCGAGAAACCAAGGAGAAACATAAAAGAGAATGCCGCCGCGGAGCTCCACCATTTCAGCACGGCTTACTTCTTTGAGAGCAAAAACGCCTCCCCGCTGAGTGGAACACAGCCCCCCACCACTCCACAGCGCACGGAAAAGCAGAGAGGGGGGATGAGGATCAGGTGGGGATGATGTCTATGATCCGGGAGAATGCAGCCCGAGTACCATGGGCCGATGATGCCCCGGTAGGAGAGTTATTTGAAGTGGGAAGACGCTGTTGATGATGAAATGAGGGACAATTTGATGACTTGAAATATCTGGGCTCTCCTTGACAAAGGCGGCAATTTGGTATTTACTGTGATCATATAGGAGAATCTCACATATCCCAGCAAGCAAAGATGGTCTCACAGACGGCACCGCCGCCGGGGGTCTTTGTCCCCGTCCCTACTTTCTTCAAGCCTGCTGCTGATTCGAATGAGCTCGCGGAACCTAGAGTCGATATCGAAACCCAGGTGGCTCACAGCGTATTTCTCGCCAAAGCCGGTATCACTGGACTGACCATCCTCGGATCAACGGGCGAGGCCATCCATCTCTCCCGGAAGGAAAGATCCGACCTCGTTGCCGGTGTGCGGGCCGGGCTTAAAGATGCTGGCTTTGACAATTACCCGATAATGGCTGGGGTACTTACAAACGGCATTTCTGAAACCCTCGACTGGTTGGAAGACTACGCAGCGGCCGGAGCTCAGTGGGGTTTGGTCCTGGCGCCTGGCTATTTCGGAAAGGCTGTAAACCAAAGCAACCTTATCGAATGGTTTACGGCGGTCGCCGATCGAAGCCCATTGCCAATTCTAATGTGAGTTCTAAGTCTCGTAATTATCACGTGGGCACAAGGATCTAACAGATGATCAGATACAACTATCCGGGAGTTACAAATGGGCTTATCGCGGAGCCGGATACATACAGAGCGTTAGCTAAGCATCCAAAAATCGTCGGATGCAAAATGTATGTGCTGCCTTCAATGTCGTTTTCCGTTCCATTTCCGAGGACTTTCTCTAACTTGCGATATGATCAGGTCGCATGGAGATGTTTCTTACCATGTCCAAGTATCCCTTGACCCTCAAATCGACCACAACAATTTTCGTGTATATAGCGGCTTTGGGCAACAGCTGGGGCCGATCGTTTTGTTTGGTGCCGCTGGTGTGATCGACGGGTTGGCAGCATTCTATCCTAAGACTGTGGTCAGACTTATGAAGCTTGCGAACCAGGGATCTTTCCAGGAAGATGTTTTACAAGAGATTAGAAAACTGCAGTTCGCTGTTAGTCGCGCTGAGGAGTTTATTGTTAGGTCTGGAATCATTGGCATTCGAGAAGGCATTATTCGAAAAACTGGCCTGGGAGCATTCGAGGGAGGTAGACTACCCCTGAAAGGCAGGCTACCTGAGGAAAATTGGACCTCGTTGCATCAGCTGTACTTATCAGATATCGAACAGATAGAGGCTACGTTGTAAAATTAGAACCTTTGATAGAAAATCGAGCCAGTTATTACAGCTATTGGTACGATATTTTCCTATGGTATTAAATAGCAAGATTATGGTCCTGGCACAGTGAGGGGGGTAGATCAACTTACTGTCACTTCTGAAGAGATCTATTAGCTACCTATGTAAGTTTACTATCATTACTTATCTAATCCGGCGGTCTAGCGTTGGTGTCGTAGATAGGTGGAGACAATTCTACATATGACTCTGAGATCTCATCAGGATACATTTTTACAATATACGTTAGCGTAGTAATGGCTTTGACTGTTCTTTAGACCTGTTGTATCATATCCATGACTTTGAACGACATTTAAATAGCCAGTGTTCCTAAAAATTAGTACTGTACTGTATACTATAAGGTTTTGAGTGTATGAGACTTTGTTAAGAATACCCTAACCCTAAAATTCTTCAACTCTAAGCAGTAAAATCGCAAGGAAGTGAGCCACAGCACCATCCGTGGCCTGCACTCAAAGCACCCTGAAAGTTAATGTTGTAGCATCCATCATCAGTCTCCCACATAAGAGCATAGAAATCGTAACCGCCAGGAGTATCCTCTCCAAAGCTAATCTTAGGTCAGTTATTTCCATGCCATGGTCTTCTCCCTCCCCTCTCATGTTCGGATTAACTTACAAAACAGTCGCCTGCTCGCTACGAAAGCCGCCATTGAGATCGCCAGAGTAAATCGATCCAGTATTGTAGTCGGTTAAGGTGATGAGTTGATAGGCAGGGCCCTCTCCACTAACTGTCAACGCGCTGGCAGCCATTTGGCCATAAAAGGCGGTAGCTGGCCCAGCAAGGGCAGCGACAGCACCGAAAATAACAGCAACCTTCATTTTTAGCAATTTTATAAGAGGGTTCATAGAGAGTCGGTTGTCATGTAGTGCAGGAGTGGTAAACTATTCCAGAAGGTTTATATGCAGGTCTCATGGGCTATTTATCTTTAATCGTCAACAAAGCATAATTTCATCACCATGGGTTGCTATTTTTAATCTTGGATTTTATAATGCTATCTTATATTCAACGTTTCTTTGAAAAGCGTTACATACCTTCTACTCATGTCAAGGTGTCTCTGAGCTTCATTCTCATTTTGCTTTGATTACTACCTGGTCCATCGTAACAGGTTAAATCTCTTTTAAGCAGCTGTTTCCTTTACAAACATTGCTAAAATTGCGATTATTGGCCTAATCATTTGCCCTGTTTGGCTTAACAGTATAGCGGATCGTTACAATATCCGTGTCAGATTTAGGCTGCTTAAACAGAACCTTTATATGGACTTAAAACTAAAAGACATTCTCAAAAGATTTCGAAACAGAATAATGAGCCTAGCTCCATATTTGTTTCTTACACCGCTTGTATCAGATGTTAACTGACAGCGTAAGCTACTGGTATGTTTGGTGGAAAAATTAGATTTTTCGTACTCGCATATCGTTTAACAGGGATTGTCCTGCCATCTACCCAGATAGGTAGTTATGATCTTACCAGAGTATTATATGACCTTCTAATACCCACTTCTATATTATCATTAAGCGATAAACGAATGGCTGAATCGTTGACGACCTGATAAAACTAGTTGCATCTGAATTAAGGTCAGAGGGGCTGCTATGGACACTATTAGAGATATCACTTGCCGAGAGTTCTTATATGGAGTTGATAGTATCTTCGAAGTTCACATTAGGGTAACTAGAGGAACAGGCTACATAGATTGCGTTGAGTGTGAGAGAAATACGCCGAGCATCAGAAAAATCAGCTTCTATACTGCTTCTTTAACATTGTAAAGATAGAATTCATGACTTTACTTGCGTTGGTTAAGAATTTAGCATAATATAATCGAGATCATTGTGGATGTTCATTCAGAGTTCAATATGATCGCTTGCTGACACGGGCGCCTCATTTCCATGAAGTGCTTAGATATGCTTCAAGAATCTCGCGCGACAACGAGATTCTGAAAGCTCTTTAAATAACTCTAAAAGTCTCGATGGTGATTTTATTTATGACTTCCTAAGTTCTCATGAATTGAGCGCCGCAAAAAAACTGAACCAGAGTTGATCATGTTTGTAAACTCGTTTGTCCATGATAAAATGCATGTGACCCGGAAGGCTTTTTTTTATTATTACGAAATATGAGAGTTCCGAGAGGTTGAAGAGAAGAGTTGATAAGCATATAACTCAGATATTCTTTATAACCCCATAAGCCTAACTCACAGCTTCCATTTTAGCAGGTTAGCTACGGAGGAGTACGTACTGGTTGGTTTTGCGCGCAGGAAAGATATCTGTACTGTTTCCGTACAAGCTTCAGACACCGTGGAAGGGGTGCTTGTTCCGGCGCTTGAAATGGGCCGCGGGCTTTTTTTTTTAAGCGGAAGAATACGAGTAGCCATAGTGTGTCGGAAACAGTGGAGCTTGCCCGCACTTTGAACTAAAGCCTCCGCATCGTGAACTTGGTGAGTCTAGCCTGTTGATTTATGGAGTATCGAAGAACAGCGCGAATTCCTCTCGAGGCTTCATCCACTTGGCCGTAGTATATAGTGTGTTTGCGAGCAAAAGATATTGAGACAGGCCAGTCTTGTTCTCTATTTCCCTTTTCAAGCTTTCAGCCATCTGCTATTTTTCGCCACCTTGGCCGCAGAGATAGCTAAGTCGGTTATATTGACCCTAGCATCCAAACAGGAAGGGATATATGATGGCCTTTGCAGGAAAGGTTTACGCCATAACTGGGGGTGCAAGTGGAATTGGATTAGCTACGGTTAAGCTATTAGCTGAGCAAGGAGCTACTGTGTGCTTTGCAGACGTGGACACAGCTGCTCTGGCGGCAGCCGAGAATTACTTGAAAGAGAAGGGGTCGAAGTTCTCAGCTACCAAGGTAGATGTGTCAAAAAGATCAGAAGTAGACGCTTGGATTGAGGGCATTGTCAAGACATTTGGACAACTGGATGGCGCGGCCAATATCGCTGGCATCATTGGCAAGCATCACTCTATTCACTCGGTTGGGGAACTTGATGACGACGAATGGGACAAGATCATTGCAGTAAACCTTACGGGGTGCATGTATTGCATGAGAGCTGAGCTTAGGAATATCAAAACTGGTGGCTCCATTGTCAATATGGCTTCAATCCAAGGAATCACGGGTAAGTGGCCAGTTCCGCTATGCTGCTCCAGTCTACACACCATCTAACTATTAGTAACCAACAGGTCTGGCCTATCACGGTGCCTATGGTGCGAGCAAGCATGGAGTTGTCGGCTTAACTCGGATAGCGGCAAAAGAGTATGGCAAGAGGGAAGTTAGGGTTAATGCTGTGGCTCCCGGATCAATTTACACCCCGATGATGCAGCAGTCTTGGGATAATACCGGACGTCCAGTAGATGCCCCCTTTGATGACCCCACTGCTTTTCAGAGGCAAGGAAAGCCAGAAGAGGTTGCAAAGGTTGTTCTCTTCTTACTGGGCCCTGACAGCACATTTGTTAGCGGCAGTGTTTATTCTGTAGATGGTGCTTGGCTCTAATTCCATAATGTAACATTAATATAGAATATATATGTGTTTCATTGAGTACTGGGATATAATATTTTGATGATGCAGCTCGTATTTTATGGTCTTGTCTTTCAAGATCTAATGTAAAGTTTAAATGATCATTTAGTTTCATAGAGCTGCTGTTTACTAAACACACACTGCTGTTACATTCTGAAAAGCTCATATAGAAAACTTGACATAGACGGCAATGTCATTAGACTATCATCATTCCTTTCTTCATGATTACTTGATTACTGTCTCCATATGACTTCTCCTGAATGCAAGGCCATCAACCAAAAAAAAAAAAAAAAAAAAAAAAAAAAAAAAAAAGGAGGGGGGGATTCTATTGAAGTTTACCAGCTACATTATTGATGATATTGTTGTCTTCTGTCCCAGCCATCAGCTAAATAATGAAAATTATAAACATCTTGGCTTTCTATTACTACTAGTGGAAGCATCTTCCGATATTCGTTTTTTTTTTAATAGCTCGGGTTAATACTCGGTAAGTAAACCGCTCAAATGTTAAAATAAACAAGATAGATAAGTCTCAATACTTCAATAGATTAAATCTATCGGTGAATGCTATTACTGTGAGTATAGTTTATCGATGTAGTGCTCTATTTGGCGGACAAATACGTGGTACCTTTTTCCGACGGAAATGCTCCTCTTTGTTGGCGGAAAAATCAACCGTTTCCCGCTATGGACGACAGCCCGTTTCGAGTTTGGCTACTTAGCCAAAGCGGCGTGCTCTGTTCGGAAATGAGAGTTGCTCACTTAACTACTGAACGAACTAGATCACTTTGTCAAATTTGGAGTAATGTTTGGCATTTTACTAGGTAAAATAGGTGGCCATCCACTGCGAATTGGTTGAACGTGACATTCCTACAGGGATGACAGGCGTACCCATCAGACGGAAATTTTGTTTCTTAAGGAATCTATTCACTAAGGACATACGAACATACGAGTATACGTAAAGGCAAGGGTAAGATGCCAAATTAATTACACGAAGATTTATGTATTCGAATTATTGCGTATGCTCGGGGTAACATGTAGATACCCCTGAGTGCCTCATTATTCCATTTTCACTGGCAGCCTTGCGCTGGAGTTTAAGCTGCCAAGTTCTAACTTGCCCTAACAGCAATTGATTGATGACCTCATGATACTAACGAAGCATGCATCGGTCTTATTTCCCGCAAACGGTTTACTACTCTCATTCTAGCGTCTCGCATTATACTAGAGCCTTTCAGTAGACCAAATGATTACATTCAGTTGAAAAACCACAATATTAATCGTTTCCCCTGTACTATGTCCAATTATATCGTCCATATCGCGCTTTATATCTATATTACCACCGTACCTGTTTTCTATATACTCTTTGACCACTACGTCATTTGGTTAAGACTCAAGAAGATGCCCCAAAACAGTCCAGCTACACTGCCAACTAATTGTCGGTAGTCAAAAGGCACCACACTCAAATTCAAGAGACCAACAATTGGCCATACACGATATCCTGCAACTAGCATGGGCCAGAAATCCTGCATGTTGGTGATTAGTCTTTTCTTAACCTTCCCACACAGGGATAGCTAGCCTGTAAAGGTGGAGTGACTTACGTTTTGGATATTGTCCCAAATCTGGCTGTTACTCTGTAATGTCATGCCACCCATGAGGTAGATGAAAGCCACCGTATTGAGCGGTGCACTAAGTGACTGATCCAAGAGAAATTTGACCGCCGTATTAGTTAAGCTAAGACGATCTTTAGCTACGTCTTTGCTTTGCGTTTGCGATGATTTCAAGTCAGATGTGGATTTGCTTATTGGCTTTCTAGACGGCCATTTGCGCTCTAAGAATTCTTGCCATTTGTAATTTGGCGGCGTAACAAGAGCAGTGTATAATACAAACCGCAGAATTGATTCTAGCTCGACTTCGTCAAAAGACTTTTGTTCAGTGGCAATTTTAGCACCCAATTAAAACAATTGTGGAAGAGAGGCGAATTAAGGGAATCGCGCAAATTGAGGATCTTCAACGAACCTTGGTTCTGTAGGCCGTAATGCCCTGAGCACACACACCAGAAAATCCATTTAGCAATGTTGCTTGGATAGTCGCTTCCGTAACTTTGGAATCCAATATCATCGTGGAAAACCTTAGTGGTACCGATCAATAATAGTCTGCTGCTCAATATGAAATCTTAACGGCATGCTTGCGATGCAATGAAGCTATTTGAACGCCACTACCGGATAAGCCAGTTTTGGCGGCACAAGATATCCGTCAGACTAAGAATCATCACTACGGCCCGGATTTACCCTCTATTACTGAAAAACAGTAGCCAAGAGTGACATGTTTCGGCGCCGTATTGGATAAAAACAAAGTAGGCTACTCCGAAATTGACCTTTTAGCGCCAAAGCTGAAGGCAAAACCCCAGGCCACGAGGCTATCCTGGCTGCCGTTCCAGGATTCAGGGCGGCCGAAAGCCGGCATTACCCCGCGCCAAAGTTCCATACAACAACACGAAGGAGAAATGCTCGGGAGTTGGTAAGCGACTTGTTCGAGGAGGGAAGAGAGTGTTCTTAGTCTAAAAAGCTCTTTGAACGGATGGCTGATCCGTTAAAGGCTCGTTCTTGTGGGGGTTAGCCGATTGTGGGGTATGGGGAGTCTGGATCTCACCTTGTCGCCTCGCTGGTTAGCAAGGGTCAAACAGGGCCAAGTCCTTGAAGAGAGGGCGTAGAACGTTGCTCATGGTGGTTGTCATGCGGGCGAGGTAATCTATAAATTCTACCGGCCTGGACATCTCCAGCATTGCGACAGTCGATCGTCACAAGGCGAGGCGAACGATACAGAGCAGTTATAAAGAAGCACTTTGGGCGCCTTAAACGGCCATCAATTCTTCTCTCCCTCTCTTCAGGTACCATTACAATTGTATTGCATTATCAGAACTCCACACTTTTTGTCGATCCTCAACATGGAGAAGGCCGCTGTGTCCACTCTCCACGAGGAGAGCCTCCCCGTTGGGACTGGGGAAAAGGCCACGATCAACGAGATCGCAGATAACGCGAGGCTGGCTGCAGAGGCCGAACACGAACTGTCGCCGCTTCAAGCCGTCCGACGATATCCCAGAGCTGTCCTCTGGTGTCTTCTCATATCAGCTTGCGTTATCATGGAAGGCTACGATACCAGTTTACTCAGTAACTTCTACGCGTATCCGGAATTTGCGAAGCGATATGGAAAATTCAATGAGAAGTCTGGCAATTATCAATTGTCAGCGCCATGGCAAGCCGGTCTTGGAAACGCCTCTGGCGTGGGATCCTTCTTTGGAACCCTCCTTAATGGCTACCTCGTCCACCGGTTCGGTCATCTGCGAGTCATCACCGGTTCCCTCTTTTTCCTCAGCTGCTTCATCTTCATTGTTTTCTTCGCTCCTAACACCAAAGTCCTGCTGGTTGGCGAGTTTCTATGCGGTTTTCCCTGGGGAATCTTCGCGACAACAGCCCCCGCCTACGCGTCCGAAGTCTTGCCTATGGCACTACGAACGTACCTCACCAGCTGGACGAACATGTGCTTCATCATTGGGCAATTAATTGCGTCTGGCATTTTGGCAGGATTGGTGAACAACACAACGCAATGGTCTTATAGAATCCCCTTTGCTATCCAATGGTTCTGGCCAGTTGTCTTGGGACCTATTCTTTTCTTTGCCCCTGAGACTCCGTGGCATCTTGTTCGGGCAGGAAACATTGATGAAGCAAAGAAATCACTCAAGAGGCTGCGCCCCAATGATAGCGAAGAAGAACTACAGGAAACTCTCAACTTGATTATTTATACCAATAATCTGGAGGAACAACTCTCTGTCGGAACTTCATACTGGGACTGCTTCAAGGGATTCGAGTTGCGTCGAACTGAAATTGCCTGCATGTGCATGGTTGGCCAGGTTCTTTGCGGCATTTGCTTTGCGTACAACTCTACTTATTTCTTCCAGCAAATTGGGTTGACCTCTACCCAAACATACCACCTTAATGTTGGCGGTACTGGCATGGCCCTATTTGGTACCCTTGTGTGTTGGTTTTTCATCATGCCCAACTTTGGCTACCGAACTACTTACTGGGTAGGAATGGGAGGCATGTGCGCCATTCTCATTATCATTGGCGGCCTAAACGTCCATACCAACGAGAAGCCTGTTGCGATGACTCAGGCAGTTCTGACACTTATCTGGACTCTCATCTTCCAACTGTCTGTTGGCCAATTGGGATGGGCTCTCCCTGCCGAACTCGGTTCAACTCGTTTGCGCCAAAAGACTATCTGCCTTGCCAGAAACTCATATGCTATTACTGCCGTCGTTGCAGGTGTCCTCCAGCCTTATTTTATGAACCCAGGGGAATGGAACCTTAAAGGCTATACTGGATTCATTTGGGGCGGAACCGCTTTTCTTATGACCGTATGGGCCTATTTTCGTCTTCCTGAGTCCAAGGGCCGCACTTATGAAGAGCTTGATGTCCTATTCGCCAGGAGAGTTTCGGCCCGGAAGTTCGCCAAATACAGAATCGACGCTTTTAATGAAGATGTCCTGGCATAAACGTTTCATTCTGTTTAAGAAGATAAGGATGGATGGATGGCGTAAGCTTTATCAGGCTTCGAAGTGGAGAAGACGCCATGACAATATTGAAGATGCTGATTACTTCATGGAATGTACGGATGCCGGCAAGTTGCGGATTTTCGGTGTAATGTTTGAAGTGCTTAGGGTAATTTTTTTCGCCGCTTACAATGCCGTTCCTTGCCTGGAAGGATAGGTAATCAAGTATCTCGCAGGCCTATTTGATTACAGCAGTCTACGTAGTCTAGTAGTCCGAAATCTAATGAGACACGTTTATTTGCATCTTGCCTATATCTGCGATTATAATAAAGCATTCAGTTACACCGTGGAGACTTTCAAGATGTAAGGTATCTAGTTCAAAAGTATCTACGCAAAGAAGAATAAAGTGAGGCATGGAGCAGTGTTTCGGCAGTTCCGATCGGCATATCGAGCCCTCAAAGACTTAACTGAAGTACATATAGTGAGGTCGTGCTTATTTCTTACATATTCTCCGTAGTATGACAAGGTACTACTATTAACTGGTAATGTCCTTGAATCGTGTTATAACCCATGTAACATAAGCGTTGCATCAGATTATCTCAGCCATCACCCTGCCACATTTAGTTGTCAAGGGTATTTTTTATATACTATACTACATAGTAGGATAAGATGCACGTCCTACATTAACTTGGATTTGTTTAGATTATCTTCTTCGTAATAGCTACACCACATCAAACATCAACCGCCTAGAAACACGGCTCGTCTTCATCTTCGGCGGCCCATCTTCATAAATCCGGTGACACGGGTAGCAGCCCATAAATCCGCCGAGGCAGAGGTCCCACCCCCCATTCCATCTTTGTTTTAGGGGCTAATGCCAAGAATGCCCTGCTAAAGCGCGGGGAACTGATGCCGCCGGTTTAACATAATTGGCTCCTTCGAGTTTGCAGGGCCTGTCTATACTTTTAGTTGGTGCGAAGTCGCCATGAAAACCGCAAGTAATGGAGCGTCGTAGACACATAGTAGCACGCTAGACCAACAAACCTATTGCTTATGGCTAAGCTTGTCTCCATTCTCGCATTTGTTTTAAGACTAAAAACACGAACGTTGCATTTTACGAGGTGATTAGCCAGGTACCTAGTTTTGTATAAACCTACACAGTGTCTTTGAAATAGCTCCTCCAAACACATTCCTAGCCCGCTCAAGCTCCCAGCAGCAGCGTCCTATGCATAGCCGTCTTTCTCCGAGTCCATGTCTCGGAAGTCAATCCTGTTCGGATATCAAAGCTGAGCAAAATTAATATGGACGGGTACACGATATCCGTCGCCGAGCAAGGCGCACAACCGTCAACGCCTTCGCGGCAGACGAGTAGAGACGTCAGAGATTCGAAGCGGATGCGGGTGACGCGCGCCTGCGATAGGTGCAAAAAGTGAGGCTCATTTTATACCCCCTTTTACGTTTCTTAAGACATCTCCACTAACTCACTCCTGCGCATTGCCATATAGGAGGAAGATTCGCTGTACTGGATTGCAACCATGTCGGCTATGCATTGAGGCCAACACAAATTGCACATATGACGCCGCCTATACTCGGGGGAGACACGGCGCGGCGGTGCCTCGTAGAAGCAGTCGCGCCTCTCCGCCGTCACAGGCGTCACAACACAGCAGCCAGCATGAGCGCCAGACATCAGACTCAGCACGCTGGCAAGCTGCTAACCGGCAAAGCCCTGTGCCATCTGGCCGACATCAGCAACTCAATGGCGAAGCTCCGGAGTCTTATTCAGCTCTCGGAGACCCCACACAGCCCGGGACTGAGCCGTTATCTCGGGCCTCTCCTGAGCCTGTACAGACCGATCTTGAGGGCCACTATGTCGGCCCATCCTCCGGAGTCTCGTTCCTGCTCAGGATTCAAAAGAGGCTAGACCAATTTGTATCATTTCCGCAAGGGTCTTCTATCTTCACTTTTGGTGACGTGCCGCTGCCGTACCTTGACTCTCTACAGAACGAGGCGCCGTACTTTGATCCAACGCTCTACATGATGTTGTCTAGAAGTGAGACTACGCGTCTTGTTCAGAGGTACTTCGACTTTGCTGTGCCTGTCGACAGGTTTCTTCACCAGCAGACCATAGAGATGTGGCTTGAGGAGCTGTATGAGACCAAAGGGAAGATGCATAATAGAGAGGATGCGTCCATCCGGAAAGCAGTCTTGTTCATGGTATTTGCTCTTGCTCAAGCGCACATGAGCCAGAGGCCAACATCTGATGATGCCGATGTGAGGTATTGTCATTCTATAAACCAATCTTGGACCAACACTTTGTATCATTTCTGACTTTTCCACAGCGTCCGATACTTTCTTGCAGCACATCAGCTTTTATCGAGAGAGAAGGGGGCTATCCGTCTAGAGAGCATCCAGGCTCGGCTACTGCAATGCCTCTGGCTGTTATCCGAGTCACGAATAAACCATTGTTGGAACCTCTTTGGAACCGCTGCACGCCTTGCATATGCTATTGGCTTACACCGAAAGCGTCATGCTGATCGTATCGATCGCATAGAGGTTGAATGTCGGAGGAGGACATTTTGGAGTGCCTATGCTCTAGATAACTATCTGAGCATGGCACTTGGAAGACCACGGACGTTTCATGATGATGATATCGACCAAGAGCTTCCATCTTGCGTAGACGATCACCAGATTTACGCCGATCACATCAACCAAGACAGCAGCCTCGGACAATCTGTAATGTTAGGGCCGGTAGCCTATGCCAAGTACGAAATACCCTTAATTGATCTCGGAGTCGTCAAAATCTGTAAAGCTAATCATTGCTGTAGGATGTCTCGAATTTTGAGCATGATTCTTCGAAACGTCTACTCCATCCACCCAACATCGCGTAATGACAAGCACGCCTTTGCTACTATACATACCAAGGAACTTGTCGAGTGGCGAGAAGACGTCGCTCATTTTCTCGACCCTATAACCCATATGCCTCTAATACCTATTTTCCAACGCCAGAAGAATGTTCTCAATCTGGCATACTGGCATACTATGATCCTCACTCATCGGCCCTTTCTTCTACGTAACTTTGCAAACCTGCAGAATGGTAGCAGACCAAGACGTGACGATCACGAATTCGAATCACGTATCGAGCAAAGTGTCAACGAATGTTTGCAGGCGGCTATGAATATCACCAGAACGGTTAATGATATGTATCAAGGAGGGCAACTTTTCCGAGCATATTGGGTATGCCGCGAGCAATTTTGCATTGTAAAGGAGCAGCGCTAACTTAGTCACGTAGTTCACATCATATTTCGCCTTTTCCGCTGCAGTCATCCTCTATGTTTACACAATTCAGAAAAGCAATGAGCCTGAGGATGTATACAGCGGATATCTCTCGGCCGCAATTCGTTGTCAAGACCAGCTCTCCAATCTCGCAGAAGATGGATCTTTAGTCGCGAGATACTGTTTGGTATTAGAAGAATTACGCCTGGAGGCTCTAAGGCAAACAAAACAAGGCCGAAATTACGCACAGTCGCCAACACAGAAACAGGTCGCCTCGTTACCAAATGACGCGAATGGCACTGAAGCATTCGAAAATACCGGCGATGGGACGATGGGCGTGGCAGACCTCGGAGCTGGTATAACGGATATGGGTGGCATTGGCGATATATACGTGACGCCGACCGACTCTCTCGCTGAGATGACTGGATGGGCTCAATTCGACGCTATGGTCAGCGTTTCCATGGATGGATTTTCACTTAATATCTAATGGAAACCATGTTCGCCGTAACATCACTTGCTCTATCGTGTACATATGAATTAAGGGAATAAAGCAGTAATATTCCACTCTCAAATAACTTCCTCAGCCGGTGCCTATCAATCCTTCGAATTCACAACTACTTCCTTAATCCATTCAATCCTCCCATCTTCCGCAATCTCCGCAAACATAAAAGTATGGGCAGGCAGCCCAGTTCCATCCTGTAACGTCGTCTTTGATACGTGCCGCTCCGCAAGCTGATTCCCATCACGCAGGAATTGCACCGTCGTGAGATCGACAACAAGCTTCATTTCACGCAGGCGGCGCATATGCGCTACAAAACCATCAAAGTCGTAACGTTCGTCTCCAGCATCAAATTGAAATGAAGGGGTAAAGATTTTCGCCAAGTCGGCTTCGGTTTCTTCAGGTTTCCCAGAGAAGAGGCTCCTGAGGGTAGCTTGATATGTTTCAGCGCTGTCGGCAAAAGTAGCTCGAGTCATGATGGACAGAGTATGGAGTATTGAATGATACTAAGAAAATGTGACTTGGTTTCTTCCTTTGTCTTATGAGTTCATAGACCATAATGTATTTGGAGGAGCAACTCCCTGGTTTTATGCGTGGCGTGAATATTGCTGCCTGAAGTATGTATTCGTCACCAACTCCGACGTTAGTAAATTTCTTCGCGGATGTATCTTGGGAACATCAGGAAAATACTATAGTAGAATGTCACTGCCTAAAATCAGGCTACAAAATCATTGATCACATAACTCTTTCTCAAAATTGCTAGTTGATGCACCGTGATATTTCTATGGTGCTGTGATGAGATTCTTGATTTTTGGCTTGGTCGTGGAAGTTTTATTAGTTTTTAGCCTTTCAGTTGGCTGCAGTTACAAAAACGAATCAAACGAATCTTCGATGGAAATCACAAATAGGCTACCAAATATGGCGAAAGATTAATCCTGCTAAGATTACCAGCATAGATTTGTGTTCAAGCCTTAATCTATAGCGAAAATAAGATAACATTTGGCTCGCTAAAACAATCATTCCACTCAGTTTGTCCAGACGCCCGAGCCTTTCTTAATATCTCCAAAGCCTTTAACGACCCCGGACCTGAGTAAGGATCACCAATTCCCATGTGAAGATGTTCTTCAACAAGTATCCGCTCCTCTGCGGTCCCGGTCAACGCAGCCACGCCGGCCACCACCACTGGCCAGTAAATGGTGTGCATTCGAACTGGTGAACCAATCGCCGCTTTCAGAGTATTGAAGAGTTGAGCCCGATATGTCTGTTTAAGATCCGCACACGACTTATCCACGTGAATTTTCAATGCGCAAGGTAGTGTAAGAGCGGCGTATAAAGCTACAGCGGCTTGAAAGATGTTTGACAATAGTAGAAATTCGTCGCGATTGGGAAACCCGGATGATTCAATCCAGCCAATGGCAGAAAAATCATGTATACGCTTCATAATATCGCATAGAGTCACCTGAGTCGACGGTAGAGAGTATATGGCCGAAGTTGTTGGTAGCCGCAACCGCAAACGGTTTACATAGAGAACATCGAGAAATAGATTGGGCGGACAGAGAAATGGCGGATATATGCTCACGCTGTAGAGATTGTAGAACTCTTTGGGGTCGAGGTATGTTGCTTCAATAATCTGATGTTCTACCGAACTGGTTGTATTGACCACGACGCAAGCGCTGTCGCAAAGTTCAGACAAGAGAAAGCGGTTGGAAATCTAGAATCGAAGGCTTACATCAAAAAACTTAGTATGATAAATTTTGAATTACCCGGCCTCTGCATAGAAGTTGTAAGGCCGCCTCCCTGTTGGAGAATAGATAGGAAGCCCGTGACATGCGCCCTCCAATGAGGTGAGTTGAGTAAGAAAAGCTGGGCAGAAAGTAATTAGACTTTGGTTTGCATAGGCGCACAAAAAAAAAAAAAAAACCTTGCCTCTGAACTAGCTATTAAATGAATGCTGCGAAAAACATTGGCCAAATAATAATCAGGGTCATCTCGGATCTCATTATTTAGGGAAGTCAGAGCTAGGCCGACATGACGAAAGAAAGACGTCCACAGGTCGCTTGCAGGACCTGCATTATGGGGATTGATGCTAAGGCGATGAATTTGAGTAAGGGCTAGAATACGGTAGCCAATTGACAGAGAAATAAGAGAGTGACGATTGGAGGGCACAAGCTGAGACAGTCGATGTATGTCGAAGGGCTTGGAATATATGTTTGGGAAGAGTTGGTTGGAGTTAACTATCGGAAATACTTGACAATTATCTGCGCCAAAGTCAGCGAATGATTCGGTTCTACATACTGCAGGGCACAATATCAATGTACAGTAATCTACTGCTTCCTCAAGTTCGAGCTCAAACGAGTATAGGCTGCGAGGTATAGAACGGATTCTCTGGTTCTGGATTAATCTGCTCCACCGCCGATCCTGAGAGACAAGACTCAGGCTTGTAACTCGAGTTTGAGGTATGATGATATTTGAAGATGAGAGTGTCCGGCCGCTTTCGCTCATGTGCTCATCTTCGTCGTTGTTCCTGCCCCTGTCATATATTTCGTTGCCTCTAGTTTTATTCCCTCTAATGGTCGATTTTGAATCAAATTTCTTTTCAGTAATCTTATCAGATCTCGACATTACGCTGGATAGCGCACTGGATTTAGATTCTATTAGACTCAGCTCCGAAGGAGGTGATAACAGCTGTTGGCCCGTCTGGAGGCGATACTTTTGAGATATAGCAGGCTTCGATGCCGCAGCAGAGGCTACTTTGACCCTTCGGTTGCGTGTCACAGTAACATAGCCTGGAGTAACCCAAATGAGAGGTCGACGATCTTCACATCCAGGACACACTATACCAGACGAGCGGCAACAGTCGCAGATAGGGCGATGGCCATCGCAAATCAGACCACGGCGGAGACACTCCCAGCACTGTTGTATCTTGTTGCTAATATCTAATTTTGGCGGCATCATGATGATGCGCGGCAGATATGGCGTCGGTTCTTTGTCGTAATATTGTAATTTTGTCAATTCCTCCCCTCAGCCTGTGTGTAGGCGTTGCCGTGGGTTGTGAGATTCTAAGTCTTGGAGAATACCCCAATTTCGCAATAGCTCAGTCTCCTCAGCTCAGTGTGTATGTTCGTACGTTAGGTTGGCGGTCTTCAGCTGTGTTCTCTGTTGATCGGTGAGTATCAAGCACATGACTGGTTGGTAGAGAAGGGCGCGTAACTTATAAGGTTCCCTGAGTCAGCTAGAATCTATATGGGAGGTTGGTTTGGGGAGCTTGGATGGGGTTTTTAAGCGCAAGAATCCCTCGTTAGCTCTATAGATCGCCCGATGGCTCTCCTATAGACAAAGAAGGGGATTCGTAAATTCCGCCTTAGTCTCACTGGAGTTGATGATAAACAATTCCAATTAAGCTGGATACTTTGCGCTTTTGAAAGGCGTATTTGGAAAGAACAAATTCATCCTTCAGCAACAAGTAGTGGTGCGGGGGTCTTGCATCCAAATGCAGGTTCCAGATGTCCAGATGCCATTCGTCGAGGCCGTTTGGTGGCAAAGGAACGCGGTGATGCCAAGCTTGGTAGTTGTGGTGAGACATCCCGTGACTTGAGAAACATAGCCACTTTGAGATTCTTTCTTTGAGTTTATAAATGATCTACTTTAGGCAGAGGCACGTTAGAGAGGAAATACGCGTAGCGGTTCCATCCGTCATGTAAGTCTGAGCTGAAATATATCGCTTCAATCCGCTGACCCGCTTATGCTTAATTTAGTACACTTTTAACAGGTAGACTTTCTTGGCTGTCAATTGCGCAACTCCACACAAAGTTTCCTGTCTACCCCGTATACAGAAACTCGAGAAACGATCACACGGTTTGTTGAAAAGCATTAGCGCTGAGCTCAAATCTTGAAACCTAGATCGCAGATTTATACAATCCATGCAAATAATAATCGATTTTTAGGAGCAGGCACAAAAATACCAGGCCTAAAAGCATGCGCTCTAGATTGAAAATTGACTGAGAAATAAAATTAATGGTCGGAATGCTTGCACCCATGTTAGAAAAATATCTCCACCTCATATACGAGCAATGTGAATAAAACCGTTGAATACATGTAACACAATGACTGGCAGAGTCGTTAAAATCTCGAGTTTAAATCTATAGATGGTTCTCACTTTTCGTTAAGATCGAAGTCCGACGGAAGATGCCTGTATGATACATACATTTGGACTATTCGAGCTTTAATGATAGTTTCTATATTCACAATGTGGAAGAAGAAGAAAAAAACAGAGATAGAATCATTAGTTGCTCCTTATTTTGTCTTATTTACTTGATAAGGTTATGTGGATCGATGGCGAAGCAACTGCCTGACCTCTGATATTGGTATAGCTGCAGAATAAAGACATACTCCTGTAATAATTGCATTGCAAATAGAACTTTGGCCATGGATGTTTTGCTTTAGTATTGTTGCCTAAGCCGCGCGCTACTGGCGAGTGACTCATCGCCAGCCGCATGAAAGTCATCCGCGTTACAACACGCCCCGAGAAGTAATACCGGGTACGGTAGCAGCCTTCTGGTCTAGCTATAATAGTTTAAGCACCAGCTGCATCAGGATCAATTCGCTTCATCGCCAGCATTAAAATGAATCCTTACAAGCAACTCACTTTTGGAACTGCCCCGTTCAAAGCAACCCGAAGCCGACTCGGCACTGGGTTCGGCTTCGGAGTCGGGCTTGTCATGTACAAGTGACGCTACGACCAGCCGCACAAGCACTTGAAATGGGCGGGTAACGATTGTTTTTATTTCTTTTAAGCCTCCCTTTCGAGACTTACTGACTTAAACCTGCTTCCCTCGCCTTTTGATCCGCTCTTATCTCCAGCACATATAATACAACACCACTGCAGACAAAATCGTGTAAGGCTCAGCATAACGTGGATTTCTGGTTGCTTCATGGCTCTTATAGCTGTAAGTCCTTTATGCTTTCTCTACATCTCTTACAACATTCTCCTCCACTGGCTCCGATTGTGTCAGCTGAGCCTGCGACTGTGTAGGTGTGTCTTGCTCTAGCATATAGACATCATCATCGAGTTTATGGTGTCTAACCCAGAAGACGATTGTTTGGACAAAGAGTGCAATGGCTGGACCAGCCCAAACCCACTAGATTAACCAGAGCAGTTAGCATTCTATTACAACACACATTCAAGTTTAGCAACGTCGCGTCGACTTACGATCAAATGCGGGTCGATAATGGCCGGAATCAGAATCTCGCCGAGTGCGCTTGACAGGGCGGTGGTGAATAAGAAGAGAGCAAAGACAACAGACTTGAGATGAGGCGGAGATCGCGCATATGCCAACTCATATGCAGTGACGTTACAGAAGAGCTCGGAAATGGCACCGAGAGCAACATTGGGAATCTGCCACCAGATGTTGATGGGAGACACGTCGTCGCAAGTGCTGGCTTGGTAGCCGCAGGGGCTCGTTTCATAAACCCTCCACTGGACGATGGCACCAATAGCACCTGAGATTGCTGCGAGCATGAAGCCGAATGTCATGCGGCGGATGGGACCAAATTTGATACCATATCTGGCCAAGAGAGGATACAATCCGTGCGAAAGGACTGGCGCGACGGCAATGATGACAAGAGGATTGAAGTTACCAAGCAAATCGGTTGGTGCTCCATTATTCGTCATGGATGCGCCCTGGTTTGACTGTACGGCACCAACACCTCCGTCGTTGATATTATAAACGGGGAAATAGAGGAAGATGACACAGGCTTCGATGGTACGCTGCACGTCTAGCACAGCTCGATCCGTCCATCCTACCTGAATCCCTTGCTCTGATAGCTTGGATGGAGTGGCTGCGGACCAAAAATCTTTCTTCCAAACTTGAAACTTATTATATCTGAGGCTGGCCCAAATGATTTTGAAGAAGTTGACCAGCTCAGATCCTTGAGGCCTCTTATTGATGATCTTTTTATAGATACTCAGCAAGAGGAAAGGCAGCAGGAAGTAGACGATACCCGGCAGGAGGAACGACAGCCAGAAACCAACATATTTTTCGGTGTACGTGGTTGCAATGGCGAAGAAGGCACCAACGTTTACCGCGGCATAGAAAATAATGAGCACTCTTTGAATCGTCGTCTCTGGATCAACGATGACCCTTTCGCCCGACTTGAGCGTCTTGATAATCTGTCGCTGATCTTTGTATTGGTCAACGACGATCGGTGCCACGTTGGGCTTGAAGATACCAGCACCGATAGCCAAGGTAAAAAACGATACAATGAAGGGCGCGAGCCCTTTGCCGGCTTTGAGAAGAGACGGAGCAGCTCCACCAATCATGATAACATGGGCAATAGCACCAATGGTAACGCCAACGATGATTGTCTTGCTAATGATTGACAGATATATTAGCACCTTCGTCGCGCTCAAAACTGGATTTCTTCCTATTTCGATATGTACTTACAACCGTCCGAGATGTGAATCAGCGATATAGGCACCCAGGATAGGAAAGACATAGGCCAAAAAGGTGAACAAGGTGCTAAACGCTGAGGCGAACTGCAGACCTTGGTTCCTAGATAAGTGAAGACAACGGTTACTCTTTGACTTCTCGTTGTGGTGTTATGGCCATGGCGTTTTCACTTACAATGCGCCGGAATGGCCATTAGGGTCGTCCTTTGGGACGGCACCGCTTCCATTGCCGCCCTCGGGAAGAGGGAACTGCATATAATCGTTGAAAACCTGACTGGCGCCATAATAACTTGCGCGTTCGGCCACCTCGGCTGCGCAGAGCACCCAAGAGATCCATGGGATGCTACCAGCGACCTTCCGAAGGGCAATCTTTTCTTCGTCCGTTGGCTCTCTCCCGTCGACATCTAGAGAGACCTTTTCTGTGTCATCATGGAGCCTATCTATAGCGGCGCCGACCTCCTCGCTTTCGATGGGGGCAGCACCGGAAAGGATCTCTACGGTGCCATGGACATGCGTGGGTCCGTCGGCAACGTGGTCTGCATCTGTGCTGGGTGTTGAGTAATGGTGATACACTGGAATAGAGGCTGGGTGTTACATACTCATCGTCGATGTCGTGATCCAGACGACTTTTTCCAAAGCAACGAAGTTCAGTTGTAACGGATTATGTCGAAAGTGTCCCTTATCTCACAACACATCATGGCGACCCAGTCCTTTCTTATTTATCACAGGGCAGACCGACATACTACACAACCATACGCGCGCAGAGGCGAGCTATCCACCTTAGTCCCGCCTGCAATCAAGTGCGTATTCTAGGGTGGAACATTACATATGCAACCTAGGGATTGATTTCATATTGTCTCTTTACGCACACAAAGGAATATGCCTCCAGCATTGGATGAAGCTGGCGAGTCAGGGGACCAAAGGCCGAAGCTAAACCACGCCTGAGACAAAAGTTCCCAAATAGTCCTTCATTGCCGGGCTTATTATGATACGACTGGGAGGTGTTGATTTGGCCATTTATGTCTGCCAAGAGTGCATTTTGTTGCTCAGCTGCACTTATTGATATGCCCTTCGGTTTGGGAAATAATCTTCCGCCTCCTCTATCTTTCCTTTCCATGCTGGGGGCTATTCATGCATCGCGGTTTTTACAACTTTAAAATAAACAGATGCAATGTTCCGAAAGATTCGATCACTACGACGCCGCATCTTAGGCAGAAAGCACGTTATGACTAGTAGCGAAGGACGAGGAGGTGAGAGAAAGGAGAAAGAAGACTAGAACGACCAGCATACCTCGTCCTGTTGCTCACCCACATGGATCATCTCGCTAAGTTTGGATATTAAGTATATGCACACGGAGAAATATTATTTGGATACAGAAATGGACAAATGATAAGAAAGCAACAGCATGCTCGCCTCTGTTTTGACTCCGTCGCTGCAGACGTTAGTCCAAGAGAAGCGTAATAAACACCAGGCACTCGACCCCCCACATACTTCTTAGTCTTATCCAGACATAACAAGCCGGAAAACCGGCACCGCAGAGCATCTGGCGCAATCGAATGGTATGGTTGCGACAAACGCTGATTTGCCGGTCTTGACGACGCAGCGGCTTACCCCAGCTTTTGCCCTTGCTCAATTTACCCTTTGAGCATATCGAAAAGGGCCCCCCTGGCATCCAAACGCAGCAGGTTGGTTCGGTTGCGTGATAGCATCACTGGGTGAGGTGCGAGACCCTTTTAGCAGCTCTTTGATTCCTGATAACGAGTGTGCCTGCGCCGGCTAACTGTCCACATGTGGGTATAAAAGCCGCTCTTATCGTCTACTGATTATCGACAGCGTCTAAGCGCCTTTCAATTCTCCTCTCTTTGCCTCTCTCTCAGCGCCTGAGTTGCTCTGCTGATGGCATACATGTCTCTCTCTGTTTTTGCCATTCATAATCATCAAAACGAAGGACGTTAATGACGAGAAGAATAACAAGGAATAGGCGAAGAAAAGAGCCCGGCTGGCTTTCGACCTAGCACAGGCAGAGAACAAGACCCCGCCGCCGCCCACCTGTTGCTACTTTACCTGCAGTACGGAGTGCTCCATACGATACGACTAAAAGAAGTAGTACATGGGTTAACCATGCCTATCTTGATTTTCGCTCTCCACCGAAGATGTCGTTCAGCCATTTCTTCATTGGCGGCCGCAATTTCTAGAAGAAATTGGGCTGATTCTGGCGATCATTGCACGACGGCAACGTGAGTGGTGGGGACTTTTAATCGATGGTCAACGGCCTAAACCCATTGCTCAATAATGGCGCAGATGAGACAACCCTAACCGTTCCGACATGGGCACGTTAGTCGTTGTATATGCGACACAAGTGCTGCTAGTGATGTCCAACAGAGCATTTGGCGATATGGGAATTCGGTTGAACTTGCTATCGCTTGACATCACTCACTTCTCACTTCGGAATATTAAGACGCCCTCACCGTTAACCACAGACAGTGCCACAACCGAAGCGCATCCTGCAGATAAGCTTTGCATGGATTTAACTGGATTATGGCAAGTCTAGTATCACTACACATGCTTTGCGAAGGTCGATATATCCATTCTCACTGTTTGATTTCATCGTCTTATATGCAAAAGTTTTGAACAAAAAGCTACATAATCGAGCTACATTTTGGTTCATCCCATTTTCTCCCTCTGTTATGGTATACACGCCTCTGATTTTTGTCACAAATAATTGTGAGGCCCTACTTTCGCTTGAGACTACAGCGACGTCTGCGTTTGATAAGGGCCTTCGTTACTGTGTGGGTAGCATATGCTTCTATGTCGCCGGATTGAACCATGGCGCTTCTACTTCGCTTATTGCACATCGGATATCGATTCAACCTGAGAACATTCTGCGCTGCAGAATACCTTTGGCATGCTTCTGCACAGACACAGCTGTACTTTAGAAATGGGTAAGTAATTGTCCTCGTATACGCACTGATAAATATAGTTTATACGTCTACTGGCTACAATTAAAATATAAACTGCCAAAGACTTGCAGCTTTTGGCGTTTGGGGCACTCACATTTCCGCAATCCTCAAAGGTCACACCCATCCCGTAACCAAAAGAGTTCAGTTTTAGCTTTCTAGATCATGCAAGATACTGCAGTGAACAAGCAAATAAAAGATTCGCATCTCGAGCGCAAGTAGCATCGTCAAAAGACAATACTAGCCGTAAAAAAGAGTTCATTATAGGCATAAGCATTGTTTCTACTAGTGAGGACACGAATACGACACATAGAGTAGCAACTATTCATTGGAAGCAATATCGCATCAACTATCTGATAATACAGAAAAATAATATTCTCGGAGTTTCAAATACTTTACGTATTTCCATTGTCCCAACTCTACTTACAAAAAAGAGTAATAAAAGATTAGAACTATAGAGAAGGTTGTCCTTCTCTCCAGTAAAGAATTTATCTTTCCGAAAACCAAGGAGTATAAAGCAGTGTCAGGCGTAAGATTTGCAGTCGAGTTCATCGGGATGCTTCTGTAAAATATCTGTGCCATCCCATGGGCCTATATTGATACAGAATGAACCGGCATACTTGGGGTACTGCTCCATACATTTAACTGAAAGCAACCCGGAAGCTGCTGCATTATATCCGATTGCAACTACGCCCTCCGATCTGCACATCTATAGAAGAGCCAGCCCAACGAAGTAGGAATGACTGAAGACTGCGGTCAAACTTATGTTATCCAGTATTTATAATTTTGAAGAAAAGTATGCTAGAGGCGGAAGGAGCAGCTCGAGACTGTATTGACGTTGAACAAACTCGTTGTCCTACCATGATACCACAATATGCTGATGTGTCAATAGAAAAGATACGCCAAGATTTAACGCAGTGATTTTGTTCAGCATCTCTCTATCTCTCTCTCTCTCTCTCTCTCTTCTTTTTTTTTTTTTTTTAAAAAAAAAGGTGATATTTAACTTCATACGCGTTCATCGCATAAGGTAGAGTCAGTTCAAGTCCAACCAGGCTACCTAGCTAACATTCCCCACAGAGACACTACAAGCAAGCATTGGTATGCAAAGGTACGATGCCGCTTAGCCACCCAATAACATCAACAATAAAGCAAGCTTCGGCTTATGACGACATAACGCTCAAGGCCCCCTCTTAGCCCTGCAGCAGCAGCAGCTCTGATACAGTTCTAAGAATTACTATTATCTTTCCTTTGTCACGAGGAACGTAGCAAACAGGGCTAGGCACCTTCTTGATAAGCATGCTGTCTAGCTAGGCCGCTCTTGAAGGAATAAGACGTGGAGGTGATTAAGACGGAACCTGGCTCCTACCAGCCTACTGCCTATGATGGGACCTGTGTTATTCGACAACTAGATAGTCATAATCGTTATGTAGTATTAAAACAAACAAACAATGAATTGTTTGCACTGGAGAGAGCTGATTACCAAGATTTGGAGGCCCTGGCCGTGATGATATGATTCAGGCAACGATAAATAATCTGCAGTTTCTGCTGCATGGGGAAATAGCTGCGAGTTCTTGAAAGGTTACACATCTTTATGAGTTCTGTTATTATAATGTAGTACTGTAGGATAAGCTAACCTTTTTATATTATTAGTTGTCTGCCTCGTCGAAGCCTCTGTTTGAAGAATATAGACGCAAATTCGGAATAGTATCGAATATGGTAATGCGCAGAACTGTGCACTGTGTTACCGAGAGGGCCCGGCCGAATACACCGCCAAGAGAGTCAAAGCATTCAAACATTTTATTCATGGCCAATTAAAGTTTCACATTCTCCTTATTACTCGTAAGCGCTCAAGGTGGCTGCCTGGGATGAGTCCTGCCAGTGCCCCATGCGTCCAAGTCTCAGCTGGCCACTGCCTTTGGAGCTTGGCTTTATGTGCTGTGTGTTTTCCACCTACTCCATATATATGAAACAAATAAATGCCTTAGCGTGCCCCTTTACTTCTCGGTGAGCATTCTGAGAAGCCTAATGACTAGGTAGCTTCTTAGCAGCTAGTCACTGTATGGGTTTCGTAACATCAATAATGGCAGATGCCCATCACTTTATGCTCATTTGACCACAGCAGAATTAACGTTTTTTGTTCTCATGTTCTCGCGAAGAATATATTTTGATATTTGACTGCAAAGAACGCATTAGAGCTCTCTGACGCAGTGGTTGTGCCTTATTGGCCGCTGTTGGACCCAGAATCGCGCATGTTGTTGGTACAACACAGTCTAGAGACAATAGATTAGCAGTGCTCAGGTAACACTATTAAGGCGGTCAGTCGCTGAATTCACTTTTGCCTAAGGTTTATTTATCTAACAATACCTCAACTACTTATTTTCCTCCTAGTTCCCTCTTCCACTTCTTGTCTTCCATTGTTCTGCCCTGTTCAGCGATAGCCAGGTCTACCTAACTATCGACTACAATATCAACAATGAAAGATATAAGTCCTCAGGCAGAAAGCACCACTAGCGTCGTGCGCTTGACCTTCCAGTTCGCTTACAAGGACAAAATAGAAGCTTCCGAGGAATGGTACGCTGCAACGGATAAGCTTAAGCAAGAGCCTAGTATAGGGTTTGTCACCAAAGGGCAGTCAATCGATGACGAACTCGACATTGTCCTTTTCATCTCATGGGACTATGCTGCGAAACCATCAGCCTGCTTTTTGTCCGGAAATATCGATCACATCTTTTCGTCCGTCAGCGACTTTCTTGCAAAGAGACCCCGATTAATCTGTAACGTCTGCCATGATGACCGAGGACAGTGCGTTAACACATTCACAACGAGCCGGTCAGGTTTTGAAACCATGAAAGAAATCATGGTAGTGCGCGGGCCAGTTAAAGCAATGGAGCCAATATTAAAGAAAATTGACGAAGATGCCAAGCATTACATGCACGCTCTGGATATTGGAATGGATTGTTACGATATACATATTTCTGACCAAGCTTTTTGGGGCATGAGTCTCTATCGCGTGAGTAACGAGAATGGCAACAAAGAATTAAGTAGCCAGGAGCACGCCGATTATGCTAGTTTTGCTCTTTTTTCTAAATGGTTTAGCCCATCAAGGCGAGCAGAGTTCCTAGACCCTAATATCCCTGACCGTGCGATACCACCTGTCTTTCAGGAGTTTTATGGCAGCAACTGGTGGCAACAAAAAGTGATGAAACCGATTGAGGATATGGGTGCCACTATTTCATCATGGACTTACCACAAGGGACAGATTGCCCGTGACCGGAAGTGAAGATTGCCCGTGACCGGAAGGGAAGACTGGTTATAAGCAAATTTAAAAACTGGCTAGAGTTTCGATACATGGACGATGTCTCGCTTGCCCAGTTCGAGAGACAATTGGCAGAAAAAGAACCATTGTAAGATTATTAGAAAGAGATGTGTTGGCAACAATTAAATACTTGTATACATAGTCATACTATGCTCTAGCACACATTTCTTCCGTGATAGATAGCCAGAGAGCTGATTTCGTTGGCAACCCACTAATCGCCATTTATATTCTTCGCTATCTCATCCCCGGACCAATCGAAATTATCCAAGTACCTACAAAAATATAATTGTCAGCTCTCTGGGTCGTTGGCGATGATTAGGCTTTGGCGCTGTAGAAACTCACGCCATCATGGCAAAGTAAGCATACGTCTCAGCGGTGTTGGTAGCCATCGCTGGTCCTGAATTTTGGGCAAACTCGCTGCCGGGGTGGCTACGTGCCAATCTAGAGCATCTCGCGTAGGTATCTATTTTTGTCGTATTGCGTTAGTTGCTGTATCTTCAGCAAATGAACTTGGGATCCCTTTAGGCCTCGTAACAATATTATTAAGGTAAAACTCACAAACAACCCACTTTGCATAGCTGATTCCTGGCTGCTGTTTAGAAGTAGTGGTGAGTTTAGGTCTGCCTACTTTGTCTGTATATACCCAGACTAGGTCCCCATCTGCTGAAACGGCCTGTTGATCTGGAACTTCATAAACGGATCATGTTAGTTAGTGATTCTAAAGAAGAGACTACACAAAAATAAGGGTGACTTACGTCGTATTAAATCTCCCTTCTCGTCAAATGTAGTTCCAAACCAATGGACGAGCTCATGAAACATAATACGCGATCCAGAATCCTGGAAATGGTCCAAGGTAGTTTCCCCTACTACTACGCTATTTTTTCCATCTACTGGCGATTCTGCTTTGGATACTCGATCAGAGAAAAAGTCACAAAATGTGATGAAGTCTTCTTTAACTCGAGTACTGGCAAAAACATCAGGACGGCAGACGCCGACGCCCCTGGGGTCACCGTTGGTAATAAATCTCTGTTTGTGTACCCAAGCTCCAGCAGCTACCTTGAATATGTCGGGTCTAGAAAGATATAGTGGTTTTGTCGGTGTAATATATGGATCGTTCATTTCTTTGGTATGCCACTTCCATGAGGCGTCGCCGCACATCCACAGCGCCTTATCGTGGAGGTCCGAGAACCCGCGCGGCGGATAGTGGACTTTACCATATAGAGCTTCACTCATCCGTTTATAAACGCCTGGCACATACATAAGTTATTCGGGTACATGACGAGTGTAGTTTACCTCCAAATTGAGGCAAGAGGAGAAGGGGGGGATATAGTGTTGTATGTATATGGCTTACCCAAAACCTTTATAAAATATATATCTTCTGAACCAGTTCCTTCTTCGCCCGGTTTGAAACCAAACATGTTTTCAAAGGCTCTGGCAATGCGGCCCATTCAATTCGATCCTGAAGGTGGCTAGGGCGAGGCTGCTGAACAAATTGGACGTCTCTCAGTGCTTTAGCAGCCATAACCGCGACATCGTTATAGGCCTTCCGTAGAGTCGATTGGTGCGGAATACAAGACTCGTCTATATCCCAAATGTCAAGATTAGGCTGCGCATTATTGAGACCAACAACTAGGTCGAAGCCTGAAAGCAGCGCAACAAGAATGGACAGGAGGAGCATTGCAGGGGCAATGAAAATGATATTTGCAAGTCTGAAGACACGATTGTATAAGTGCAAGAGTATACGAAATAAAAGATATGGACTTATAATCTAATCAGAAACAACAGTTTTATAATGTTTTATATAGTTTGTACAACCTTAGTTTCAGATACTGGCCATAATGCAGGACTATCTCCTGCAGTAAAGATACACCGCCATCATGGCACAGCTGGGGAGCTCTGACCTCCCAACAAACATGAATCTGACGACGTGTACATTTCCGCCTTATCACTTTGGTAAGATCTATATCATTCATGACTCCTCGCCATAATAGTACTTCTATTTGCTTCATGCTGTGCTCAGAAGAAATAACAAACGATGCAACCTGCCGTCTTGGTGGAGCTCCTCTTATCACCGCTTGAGCATTGGCCTCCTATTTCCAAGTCGTCGAAGGAATATGGTCGCTCGGAGACACCGACTATGGTAATAAACTTGCCACCTAATTGAACATAGCTCTTTCAGACGACGGTTTCGAAAGCAAACATTGTAAAATTGACAGCCAAACAGTCTTAGGAGACTCCGGCCGATACTCCATAGCCAAAACTAGAACTAGCAAAATGGTCAAACAGGATAGTTCCATACTCGCAGAAAAAAATTAATTTGTTCAGAGATCTCTATATTAGTACTGACATATTTACCTTTTAATTGCACATCCCTCCATTTATGTCTTGCTGCGCCTCCCTAATTGTATATTCGCCATCCGGCCTAAGAGCATCAACAGCGTCATATTCTACGCAAGCTGCGTTGCAATACACCCACGGTACTAGACTCAAGTCAAAATGGTTGCAATAAGGAAATTATGTTTCCTTGTTGCTGCTTGCTTAGCTTTATCATCTACCTTTGTTAGAGATGACTGGCCAACGCCTTCACCCCCTTACTATGGCCTACCTATATCGCTAAAGCACACGATCTCAGTCGACAAATATGTTCCTTCACCTTCTTCTCTGGCAATTCCTTCTTCTGTAACGACCGTTGAAGTTTCTTTCAGCTCTTATGGCTCCACATACGCGCCTACAGTCCACCAAAGCCAACATAGGAGTATAGCGATAAGTGCCACCCACATTACGGAGGCATTTGGAGAACACAAGACGCCAGAAGAAACTTCTACAAGATCTATTAGCCGCAAATCGACTTTTTCTACAATTCACGGTTCACTCACATTGGCTACACAGTCGTCTCGTAGCTCGGGGAGAGTCCCAAGCAGCGCAGGCTCCATGCAGTCTGAGAAGACATCCATTACCTCTCAATCCCGTTTAAATACAATTTCTGGTCCAAATACTTCAAAATCATCTGCATCATCAATTCCGCCAGCAAAAATTTCTGCGGATCATACACAAAAGCCCACAACGCGCCCAAGCCAGCCAAAGGTGACTAGTGGCAGCAGCTGGGCTAGGCCTACGGCGACACTGATGAAGCATTCTACGAAGCAAACGGAAACGGCTACAAGCAATCCATGCATAATAAGCACAAGTGTAAAGGCAAAATCATCTAATCACATGGTGACTCTTCAACCGTTACGAACGTCAACAGCCAACAAAAAGCCAACAAAGCAACCGACAAATTCCCTTGCTAGGTCAAAAGGCAGGGCTAGTTCTTCCATGCCCGGCGGTATTTCGACTACAAAAACTTCGGCCTCCAGTGCTCAGAAGATCATATCAGCGACGATTCGCTCTTCCAAAGAACAATCGGCAATGTCTAACAGCCAAAAACTCCCAACCACTAGCACAAACCCAAAAAGCCGGCTGAGCTCCGTTAGAAGAGAGACCAGCTCCATTACGACCAAAAGTATTGGCACATCAGCTGGAAGGAATAGTCTAAGTTTTACACTGGGGAATACAATTGGACAATATACCACTTCATCGACTCGTCAAATCATTAGCCGTTCAGCGGTTTCCTATGGCAGTACCGATTCGGCGACGACCAGGCAACCGGCGGGCTTGATCCCTACCAGAAGCACAGCTTTACCAGCGCCCACCAAAACGTATACTAGCAGGATAACAGCCACTATTGGCGAGTCTGCAAGCATCCTCCGTTCTACGACGACAATGACGACAAGCAGGCCAATAGAAACTATAGTTACTGGCTCTAGAGGCATCGTGGCAACCTATATAGCTACTCAAGATCCTAAGTACACCACCAACAGAAGAACAGCCACGACAACTGACGATCATGGACACGATATTATCATCTTCCCTGGAGGCTGGAGATGGATTCCAATTGGCCTTCCACCCTTGAGGCTACCACCTCCTCCGAAATCCAATCCAGATCCTAATCTAACCGATGGTCATGATCACGACGGCCATGGCCATAATGACGACGACCACAGCGATGATGATCATACCAGCCACAGCAAATCAACTACTAGTAGCTTGCGTTGCACCACAACAGAGCCTCCTGAATGCACCAAGACCATTTCATTCATCTCAAGTGGTACCGCATTCAAGAGGTAGAGTATCCACTAGTGAAGAGGCATATATCAGATCTAGCAGGGCTAATCATAGCGTAGTACCATTTTTGGAACTTGTTTACGTGTCAGCGGCTGCGTCTCCGGAGAGCAGAGTACTACGACGACTACCCTAGCAACGACGCTTCCAGTTATGTGGATTAATGAGCCGCTTGATGGTGATATTTTCTCTCCTCCGGATGATATTGACCATGACACAATACAGTACTTTAACGACCTTTTCGAAAAACAAGGCATCTCAATTGAAGATGATCAGAGAGCGCTTCAAGGTGTCAATCTTCAAGCGAACTGTAGCGGAAATACGCCAGGAATTTCTGTTTCATGTCTCAACTCCATCTATCCCCCCTTCTGCAAAGAAGTAGAGGCAGATTTGAGCAAAGGTTTGACCAAGTCATATACAGGCCTTGAGAGTACAACTAATTCTCGGATCGCCCGCCCTGGTATGATGAACCGGAGAATCTTAATGAAGAGAAATACTTGCGATAAGTGGACTTTTCAGCTCAGTTGGAGTGGCCCCCATGGAAAATGCAACAAATCATGCAGCAAATACTTTGGGATCATTGGCGAACAATGCATTAAGGATAAGAGCAGCAATAAAGGCTCTCTTGACGTTGGATGTGGCACCTATAATCTTGAAGTTAAGACCGCTTCTAAAACTGCTACCACTAAATCAGAAACATTTTCTCCCAATCCCACCAACAGCTCATACAGGCCGCTAGTAGTAGGGGCGGCCGTGTGTGAAGGCGAGGCCAACTTACCCGGCCACGCACCCATCAATGAAGAACACCAGGGTCAATTAGCCAGCATAGCCTGCCTCCGTCTGAACTTGGTACACCATATTAGCTTCATGAACGCTCATAGTATACCTATGACATATAGTGCAAATCCTGATGGAACGAATTACTTCTATTCTGTTTCCTGGATTGATGGTTGCGAGACAGCGGTCGAAAGTCAAGATCCTTATCTTCCATTAGGGAATGACCTCAGCCCTCTCTGCTCGTACATGTTCACTTGGGCATATGATTGGTGTAAGTATCTTATCACCCGTATTAATTGAACCAGACTAATTTGTTCCAGGTAATAATGGTGGCGTGGGTGGATATATAGACGCTGGCTGCCTTCGGTATCAGTTCATTGGAGGAAAATAAAACAATGCGTTGTGCTCACGTTGTGTGTGGCGTTTTGTCTGAGCTCTTCACATTATTTACCGGGTATCCATTTTCAACAAATGTTCATTTCAGCTCATGATTCAGTAGCCCACTAGTTTCTTCAACAACCTGTTAATCTTTTAGACGCATTTCTATATATTCTTGCAAACTGACGAGTTTTTTTATTGATAGATCAGAAGGAGTGTAACGTGGCCATTTTGAATGCATCATAGGAGCCTGCATAGAACATCCACAGAGAGGGGAAGGGCGCCCATAAGTCATCGTCTAATCTTACATTAGCTCGTGATAAGTTCAATAGCCCCATGGCAGAATGACTTGACTTTTCCCGGCATTTTCAAATAGTGGTTGGATAAATCGGTGCAAAAGTGTGGTAGTGTGGATGATTATTGAGAACTAACTTTGGTACACGCTGCAACAAGAAGGTTTTCAGTCTTGCGCCTCCGTTTGTGCGCAACAGGATGAATCTTTATCCCATGCGATCAGACGCTTACAACTTATAACAGTACCGTGAAGTACACTACGTATCAGCAGATACTAACTGTTATCATTCATCTGTATCAACAACATCTTAATTCAGTCATCAGCAAAGCTATTTCTATCATGGCGCAGCGCATTCTTCTTATCAACGGGCCCAACCTCAATCTGCTTGGAACGAGAGAACCTCAAATCTATGGCTCAACAACGCTCAATGATGTCATCAATCAAGCCAAAGTGCAGGCAGATCAGCTATCTATACAAATAGAAGATTTTCAGTCCAACCACGAAGGGGCCATTGTAGATAGGATTCAAGCGGCACGTGGAGAAATTGACGGCATCATCATCAACCCTGGAGCCTTTACGCACACGAGTGTGGCGATCCGAGACGCCCTGCTTGGCGTAGGAATATCATTCATAGAAATTCACGTCTCGAATGTCCATGCAAGAGAACCATGGAGGAAGCATAGTTACTTGAGCGACAAAGCGCAGGCAGTCATTTGTGGTCTGGGAGTGTTTGGATATACAGCAGCAATTGAATTTGCGGCGAAGCATATGAAGGTCAATACCGGAGCATCTAAGTTGTAAAATAGAAGTAAATTTTGTATTATTTGATATAAAACCATGGGATACTAGATTCACAATAGAGCTTGAGCCTTGTGCTCCTCAAATGATCGATCAAATCCCAGGTCGCGCTTCATCCGTCTCCATGACTGTGCCGCCCTTCTTGCCATCATTTCTGGTACTCCATCATCATTATCTAGCAAAAATCTATTAAATACTTCGAAGCTTAGCCAGCCTTGGTATCCAATTTCGCGGACAATAACGTCCAAGATCCGTTTGATAGGTAGATATCCGCCATGATGATTCTCTCCATAAAATAATCTTGCATTCCGAGACCAGCTCATGCGTGGTGGCTGTTCTTTGTTATAGAATGGATGATTGCTATCAAGTGGCTGGGCAAGTTTTTCTGCGTCTGCCATCTGGACAAGGAATAGCTTTTGTGGGTCGACGTAGGCAGCCATATTATGTAGAGAAGCCTCAATCGCTTCTTCGCAATTCTCGGTTCGGCCGGAGGATAGATATGGGTCTGCATAAATTCGACCGGCAATATTAAAAGTGTCGAGGCATAAGCCGAAATTAGGCCTGTTGACTCTTCGCACAACGTCCCAACTGGCTTCCCATGTGTCTACTCGTGTGCCCCAACACAATGCCTCATATGCATATCTGATGGTTGGGATGGCTTTTAGGCCAATTTCAGCAATCTCAACCATATCCTGGACAATAGTATCCATATCTGACGAGACTTCTGAATGAGAGAGGAAGCTGCTCGGCAGTAGGATCAAGTTTGTTCCAAGAATGTGTGCTAGGTGTACCCAAAGCTTCGCCTCCTTCAATCTTTGCTGATGAGCTTCTCTATCTATGAGGCCCTCATAATGCATAAAGGGCTGCAGACATAGTATCGAGAGATTGCGGTCATCGCAAAGCTGGCGGATCACAGCTGCAGCGGCAAGTTGATTGCTCGGCTTGTTACCTCCTGGCATTGATTTTGTCAGATCCACAAGATCTTCGAAAAATAATTCGATGGCTTGGAATCCGTATTTCTTTGCCATGTCAAGCTTATGTTCGAGGGAGTGGCCCGCAGAACACCGTCCTAGGGATACGGTGCAAATGCTTGGTTTATATGACATCTTGATAATTATGTTACAAAAGAGGGTTTGATGTGAAGAATGGGAATAAGTATATGATTATTCAAGTTTTGCCATGCATCAATGACTTTATTTCCCTATGTATTATTTACGATTTTCTGCTCTTGGGTGACAGCGAAGCTATCTTATACAATAACTACATTTTCTCATATATCAGAATACAGCTCTTCTATTTAAGAGATGAAGTATGAGAACATGAGAAACCAGCTCTATCAACTATTGTCGGATAAAGATTGAAGCATTCTCAGGATATAGGGAATAAGATTAAAGCTTGCGAGTGGTTGACATGACTTATGCCGCTTAAAAGCGAAGCGCGAGGCGCGAGTCTCTGTAGAATCGTCATTATTACAGAACCTACATATAGTTTAGCATGTAGTCAAATAAGCTACGGGCGTTTTGTTTTAGGCAGCGATCACGTTTCAGGGTAAAGCTTTAGCCGGATGGCAGCCATAGCCACCACTAAATGACCCCCACGATTAGTATACCGGCGCAGAGGGAAGAAAGCCGGGTATTCGGTAATCTTCAATGCGGTAACTATTGCGAGAGATCTGGGCAGCTCGGATGGCCTTATCACAAATTAGGTGTTTCTTAAAGGCGATATGTGATTCTTATTGCCGATATTATAATGTCCCGTCCCAGTCTCTTCGAGTATTTCGAAAATCACTTCATTGACCTCGCCCAATTTTGTAGCAAACATCATGGCACTATCAACTCAAGACGGTATTAATGAAGCTGAACGTGCCGGCCTCGACAAGCACGGTTACCTCTTTGGAAAGAAACTCACGCATTCACTATCTCCCTTTCTTCATCAGGTCATCTACGACCATCTTAACCTCCACTGGAGCCAACTCCGTCTTGATTCATCAGATATACAGCTGTTTTTGGACCTAGTACAGCATCCATCATGTTTCGGTAAGTAGTGCTCAATCAATTCTCATAGCCAATTTTTAATCTAATCATACATGTTTCCTTCAGGCGCATCTGTTACAATGCCCAACAAAGTGGCAATTATCCCTTATCTTGATGAAATGACAGAGGAGTGCCGCGATGTGGGAGCTTGCAACACTGTCTTCTTCAAAAACCACGATGGCCGACGGCTTTTATGCGGTACCAACACAGATGTTATTGGCATCCGCGATTCTTTTTTCTACAACGTAAAAGATCCGACCTCCACGTACCATAACCGGCCAGCGCTCGTCGTCGGCGGAGGAGGCGCCGCGCGCAGTGCCATCTACGCTCTAAGAAAGTGGATGAATGTCAAAGAAATATATCTTGTGAACCGGGACGCTTCTGAAGTCGAAGCTGTCATCCGAGACTGCGCATCACGGGGCTATGGCCAAGACCTCTTGCACATTTCTACTGTTGACCAGGCGAGATATGTTGCCGGGCCTGGTGCTATTGTTGCTTGTGTACCAGATTTCACACCACAGACAACAGAGGAGAAGCTGGCAAGGCAGATCACAGAGATTTTGCTAGATAAGGAGCACAAAGGCGCCATGCTTGAAATGTGCTACAACCCCACACCGTTCACTGCGTTGGGTATGCTTGCAGAGAAGAAGGGATGGGATGTAATTTTGGGAACAGAAGCGTTAATATGGCAGGGACTGGAACAAGACACGTATTGGACAGGGAACACGGTTGAAGGCTTGCCAGCTGAGAAAGTCAAGGCGGCGATTGCAGCAAATGTAGCTCAGAGATCTCAAGCTAAGTTGTAATAATACACACCAAAATAGAACAAAATTCTTCAAACTGTTCATTGATTCTTTTATATATATGTAGAAAAAAAGCAGCAGCTGTTTTTTTCTCCGTCCTAGGTCTTCAGCGTTCATCTGTTTTGAAGAATGTTAAGGCAGGTACATGTAGTCAAGTTACATGTAACGTTGCCTACATGTAGGCATAATTTTAGCATAAAACAATACGCCGTAAGCTGCATGGTCTCAATATATAAAAATAAAAAAAAAAGAAAGAAAAAAAAAACCTATCACAAAAGTAACTAAAAAGTTTATAGGTAATGTGACATTTAATTTAAAAAAGATTACACTAATGGTGTATTCATATAATGTAACGGTTTGCTACTTATAGATATCAATTGTCATCGCATCGTTTTACACTTTTGTCGTTTCGCCTTCTACCTGTTCGGTTGAGATATCCTTCTCGTTATCCCAGTTGACCCCTCGCGCATTCTGCTCAAAATCCTCATTCTCAGCTCGAAGCTCCTCCAGCAGAATTTTGTTTGCCTTCCAGGTCGGCTTGATCTTGAAAAGCCGATCCATGGCCTCGAGAGGCAGCGACTTTGTCTCCGGAATGCAGAAAAACACGAACACGACGGAAATTATCATAAGAGAAGCAAAGAAGAAGTACACCCCATAGCCCCACGCTTCAAACATTTGCTGAGTGAATCTGGCAATGATGAAGTTCCAAAACCAGTTGTTTGCCGCCGCGTTAGCTTGACCAAGAGACCGCGTATTTTGGTCAAACATTTCTGAGTTGATCACCCAAGGTGTTCCGTTCCATGAGGGCGTGTAGAATGCCGTCCACAGATAGAAGAAGAAAATGGCTGCGATACCTCCAGAGGATAGTGTGGTATTACTGCCCACCTTGGAATCAGGATCGGCAACTTTGATGTATGCTCCGATGAACCACATGCAGAGCGAGCCGCCAACGGCACCAATCATCAGAAGATTGCGTCGACCCATACGATCAATCAGGAAAAGGAGCCACACTATTGTTAAAACTGTTTTAACAACTCCAAAGATTCCTGTCGTTAAAAAGCCTGTGTTCGTTCCTGTGATGCCGATACTTTTGAACACAGTTGGGCTATAGTAGTTGATTGCGTTGATACCGGAGCCTGCAACTTGTTAGCGAAAAGGTTATTATTTACTGGAAGTCAGTTGTATCTTACCATTCTGGAAAATGAATAGAAGAGCGCCAAGCAAGAATCTCCATTGGATTTTGCGCTCTTTCAAGGCCAGGAATGGCTTCCAGAAACCAGCACCGACTTCTCGACGGTAACGCTCCAATTCTTCGTCGATGAAGCCCACTTCTTCCACGATATACTTGTCATCACGGTCAAGTTGTCTCATCCAGCAGAGAATCTTCAAAGCCTCCTCTCGCTTACTCTTTAAGAAGAGCCAGCGTGGAGATTCTGGGATGAACAGGGCACCAATCATCAGCATTCCTCCAGGGATCAGTTGGACGGCAAAGGGTATTAGCCACTGAGTATTGCTAGGCGCCATGGTTGTGTTGACACCATATGTGATCCAAAACCCAACAAGCCCACCAATTTGCCACCCAAGTTCATAGAGGCCGACGAGACGCCCACGCACTGCTGGCGGCGCAAGCTCAGAGATGTATATCGGTGTCATGTTGGAGCATCCACCTACTCCGAATCCAGCTATAACGCGGCCACCGATGATTAGGCCAAGGCCACGGCTGCCATTGGCGCCTAGCATCATGCCCGCTCCAATCATGAACAGAGCAGAAAACGCAAGAAGCGATTTCCTACGCCCGAGAAAGTAGCTGGAGACGTAGGCCGCCAAGCTTCCGAAAAAGGCTCCAGCTTGATATACGGATACGATGTTTTGTTGGACTAATGTGAGATGGGCTTTGCTGTATTGCGCGAAGTTGAACTCTGCCTCAAAAGACGGGAGAGCCAGAGTGGTGCCAATGAAGGCAGAGTCGTATCCAATCATGCATGCTGCAAAGGATGCTGTGGCAGCGCAGGCATACACCCTCCAGTTGTAAACCGCTTTGGGCGTAGGCCGATCTTCTTTTAATGAAAGGAGGGTCATGATGAAAGATGCTTGAACACTGCGAGAGTGCCAGGTGAATTGAAAGCTGCTGAGCAAAGAGGACTTTTGGCGTCCATCGATCAACTTATAAGAGGCTATGATCAGCCATAAGGATGTATTCAGCTTTCCCCATGGGGAAGAAGTCAGTAGCGAGGAGCTAATGCATACGCATTCGGTCGTGATTGTTGGATGAATCTGGGGTTGAAGGATTGGTAGCCGAAGATTTGATCTTGGTGGGTTGGCTTGGTAGTGGAGCCGCCACCCACACTTGGATAAAGATATATCCAGACGGGAAGCGGAAAGCATTTTAACCTGCACTCATCAATAGTTGTGAGCCACCAAATATCCATGTGACCATAAGAGCCTCTTACGTAGAGCAGCCAATTGATTGAGCGCCCTACGTGTACTAGGCAGTACAGCGCTCGTTAAAATCAAAACTTCCATTTCCGAGAACAGTGAAGATCGCGAACAGGCATATGGATTCTATTAAGTGGTAAAATAGCTAATTAGGCGCCAGAATCGGCATGAAACAGCTCTTCTAGGGTACATCCTGGAGCAAATCCAAGATTCATCATGAACTGGGGGTCCACGTCAATGCTGCTATCAGCATAGTCGATATTACCCAGTTCCTCCAGGATTGTTTCGTAGTCAACTGAGTTGGGTTGAGACTCCCCTGATTGTACAATACGATTAACGGGCTGCATTGGGCCGATCGAAGTTGGTAAGAATCGCATACCGAGATTCGGCGGAGGCTGTGCGGGAGAATATTTATGCTGATTTTCCATGTAAACGTGTCCGCTGGAGGGGATGTGTGTTTCCGCTGGGAATAGCCCAAACCCTTGGCGAAAGGATCTTGTTGGGGCTTCTCGGTAATCTTCGCTACGGTAGCTCATTGGGTTGTCCCGGCTCAATGGCTCCAGTCCAGAGATCCCTCCCCAGGAATTACCTGCTGTTGATGATTTAGGTGAAATTGCATTCTTAGCTGCCCCATCTGGCAACCATACAGTCTTGATAGCATTTAATGCGAAATTCCATCTGTTGGTATCAGATGTGAGCATTTCATCAATAATGCTTTTTTGTTGAATAAGTGAAAAAAGAGCAACAATGATAGGCGGGGTGCCACATGCCCCAAAATTTGATATGCTGGATTCGACCACCTCTAGGAAATTAGATGTAAGGGAAGATCGTTGGCCCGGAACGAGCTCAACGGTTGCGGCTAGGAACATGGCCTGGATAAGAAAAGCCGAAGGTACCATCGGCGTTGCCTCTCCGGCAATAACAGAATTGCAAAAGCTGAACTGTGGATCCAAGGATGACACAAGGTCTCCGACGGTAATAGCTTTACCAGGGTCATCTGGATGTAGCTTTTCGGCAGCATGAGTACTTAATATCTGGGCAAATCGACTCAACTGGTCCAAAGCGGAAAGAGGAGGTATCTGAGGGCGAGCAGATTCGGGGTTTAGTGAGAGTCTACCAAACCCATAGGCCGGAGAAAAGAAATCAGTGAAGCCCAAGTTGGATAGATCAGCCAGCGGGAAATTTCTAATGTCCAGTATCCGGGATGGCTGCCCAATACAAATCGATGTTAACACCTCGATAAGGTTACAAGCGGCAGCTAATTTATCCAAAGCTGGCTTTTGCGCATCGCCATTCACTATCCGCAGGTAGGAAATTAGCCGCATAGCTTTTCCTGTGATCAGTGATGTAGCCAGCATATTTTCACGGCCGATAAGAACAATTGCGTGAAGTAGAATTGCTCGAATGCCGGAAACATCGAAATGATCTTCCTCCTGTGGAATCAGGCTGCGTGCTATAGAAAAAATCTCTGTCGGTGATACAGCCCCCTCGCTAATGAGAGGAGCTGAGGAGTGTGCATCTTGGAAAGCAGCAACAGCTATAGCAGACCAGAGAACGGCAAGAATAGAGGAGGTAATGCTATTTTCCCTCGTGTAGTCAGATACACTTCCAGCTTGAGACTCGCAAATTGTTGCGATAGCAAAAATCTCTTCTCGATCGAGGATAGGGAACCAGCAATGGGTATATGAAAAATAGATGTTAAGGAGATGTCGGTAATTCGAAGGTAGTTTTATCGCCCGTTCTTTGATTGATTTGGGCTCTTTTAAGGAGAAAGCCTGGTCAAAGGCTCCGGCGTCTTCCATGTGAGGACTTGCCGATGGAATTCCTATTAGGTTGGTATCTTCTGCCACAGTGTCATCGTCTGTTTCTGAGTCTTCGGTATTAGATGCTTCCAGTTTTGGCGCTCCCCCTTGGCAGAGTAGTGATTCGAGCTGCTTATGAACACGGCACTTGCTCCACCGCTTATGAAGCTTATTCGCAGATTTGCCTTTGCTCATAAGAATGTCGGCGCCATCTTTGCCGTCATCCTTCACTAACAGCTGATGCAGGGCCTCTTCATTGTCGGGACTTCTCTCAAGCAGCCATGCAAGTGATAACTCGATTGCTCTCAGGTATCCGCTTTGTATACCTCTCTTTTTAGATGCCGGCGTGTATGAACAAGACCGCCTCTGAGACACGCAGCGGCCACAGTGCGGACGCCCGCCATCACATCTCTCCCGGGCTGTTCTGCAAGCATCACAAGCCAGTGACACTCGCCGTCGCTTGGTTTCTGTGGTTGTTTTATCTGGTTTCCTAGCAGGGTCCGACTCGTCTTTGGATCTTTTTTGGGGCGGCATGCCGATCGATCATATCACTCCGAGAATCTCTGTCAGCGCTGAGAAATGAATTGTCGTTTTGTCAATTCCTTGTCTCCGCACCAGCATCATTTTCCGGGACGCCGATAGCAACTCTAGAGGATTCTGCACAATTGACAACTGAAGGTCTAAGGAGACAAAACCAGACTCAGCCTCACGATAGTCTTTCAGCTGCGACTTCGGGACTTGCGTAATAATAGTACGTGTAATTACAGCCTGTCATTGGATAGGTTAACAGATAGGGATAGGAATCCTGGGGTAAAGGAGCTAGAAGCCCCTAGTGGGTGGCGAAAGGTTTCCGGGTAAATCCTTATCCCCCGCGCCACACCAAAGTTTAGAATAGTGGTAACGGGCGCCCTGTTTGACACTTTCAGAAATCCCATTCGCATTGCAAGAGACTCTGCCACACCACCACACGTTTGAAATCATACAAGCAGAATGAGGCATCATGGCTGGCGTAAAGAGATCGTTGGCCGCCATGATGAGCAATGAAGGGCCGCTCAGTGTCGACGGCCGGCTGCGGCCGTATGCCTTCATCAGTTCAAATTCCGAATCAGCAGTTACATCAAGAACCCCTACTCCGCCTCTCACGCCCACTAGCGGCAAGATACCAGGTTTCACTTCCGATGCCTCATTAGCATTGGTAGGGCTTCGAGGCTCAGGAAAATCAACATTGGCCATCATGGCCGCGTCAGCTTTGAAGAAGAAAGTCATCAATGTGGACGTGGTATTCCAGTCAGTTACGGGCTCATCGAGCTCAAGCTTCAAGCAAGTCCATGGGAACGCAGAATATCAGCGGAGGCAAGCGGAAGTGCTGCAGGAAATAATCCAGCAGAATCCAACAGGGAGCATTATTGTCTGCCCCTGGATGGAGAGGAATGTTCAGATTCTCCTTCGGCAGTTTACAACTACCAACCCAGTTATCCATGTCCTTCGGGATCTCGATGCCATCCAGGGCCACTTAAAACTCACAGACAAAACAAAAGTTCGCAACTTGATGAAAATGAGCAATCTCTTCTATCGCAGTTGTACGAATTTGGAGTTCTTCAACGTGTCCGAGGTTCGGGAGAAGAATGTGGAGCGGTACGAGATCGGTGGCCGTGGATCCACGGCGAACGCACCTTATTTGGCTCTAAAACAAGCTGAACGGCATTTCCTGAAATTCTTGTCGCTCGTTTACCCAAGCGGCACCATCCCCTTTTTTGAGTCCGCATTTCCTCTTGCTAGCATCGCACCAGAAGACAGAAATTTCACATACTGTCTCTCTGTGCACATCCAAGACATTTTGAGCGGTAATGAAAAATGGGAAGACTCCATAGTTGGCGTAGACGCCATTCAAATCTTCGTCAACAACTTGGCAACGGCCCGGGATCCTATTGGCGACACGGATGACTTAACTAATAGAATTACCGAAGCCACGGGAATTGTCCGAAGGAGCACTATGCTACCCATATTGCTCCACATCAAATTGCCTGATGTGCCCAACAACAGAATAGTGCGGTCGTACCTGGACTTGCTTTCGCATAGTTTGTCTCTAGCTCCGGAGATGCTCACAGTTGATTTGCGCTTGGACCAATCTGATCTCGCCAGAATTATCTCTTCAAAAAGCCGTTCCAAGATTATTGGAAGCTATTTTATATCAACAGACGTCCAATCTTGGGACTCTCCGTCATGGGCATCTTGGTATCAGAAAGCCTGCCAGCTGGGCTGTGACATGGTACGGTTAGTGCGAGTGGCAAAATCAATGGAGGACAATTTTGTCATTTCACGATTTAAATCCAAGATTTCATCCCTCCAATCTAACAAAATACCGCTCATCGCGTACAACAGCGGATATCTTGGCCGCCATTCATCTTGCTTCAACCAGATCCTTACACTAGTTGCTTCCAGCCCAGTAACGCAGGTCCAGGAGAGAATTGCTCCGTTTCCCTATATAACAGCAAAGGAAGCCACCAACGCCTTGTACGCATCTTTTGTATACGACGCAATGAAGCTTTACGTGTTTGGAGCCAATGTAGGATATAGTATGTCTCCGGCCATGCATAACGCCGCACTATCGTCCTGTGGCATACCACATTACTATGCGCCTTACTCGAGCGATTCTCTTAAAGGTGTTGAACATTTGATATACGATACTCATTTCGGGGGAGCTTCTATTGGACTACCATTCAAAGTTGAAGTTACAACTTTGACCAAATACCTTAGTCCCCACGCAAGGGCCATCGGGGCCGCCAATACTTTAATTCCCATTCGCCAACTCAAATCCGATGGCACTATCCCAACAGGTTCTGCTCTATTTGCTGGAATAAATAGAGCTGGTCCTGTTTTAGCTTTGTATGGCGAGAATACAGACTGGATCGGTATTCGAGCATGTATCCGACGCGGACTTTCCCCTGCAAATGCTGTAAGACCAAACACATGGGGACTCGTCATAGGTGCAGGCGGTATGGCCCGTGCCGCCGTTTATGCCATGCTACAGGTTGGAATCAAAAATATCGCCATTTATAATCGAACCACAGAGAATGCAGAGAAACTAGTGTCTCATTTCCAGAAGCTGCACAAAGAGGGAGAGCAGAATTTCTTAACCGATGACCAAGAGATACGATTTCATATATTTAATTCTCTTGAAGAGCCTTGGCCATCTGACCAGCGGTATCCCTCTATCATTATATCGTGCATCCCGACGCATCCAATTGGTAATACGCCATCGCCCGAGTTCAGGCTGCCAGACGTTTGGATGGCCAATCAAACAGGCGGCGTCATCATCGAACTTGGATACAAAACATTAAATACGCCACTCTTGAAACAGGCAAGAGATGGAGCTTCCCGAGGGTGGGTGGCTATGGACGGTTTAGATTTGCTTCCAGAACAAGGTTGTGCGCAGTTTGAACTTTTTACAGGTAGAAGAGCCCCCCGACGTGTCATGCGAAGAGAAATTCTGGAGAATTACAGGGATGAATATGGAAAATCACACCTGGAAGAATTACAGTACAGGCTACAGTCAACAGTTGAGCAGGATTCTTGACTGCCATAGCTTCAACAAAGCTAAGTAAGCTATGGGTTTTGATTTATTTTACGGTAAATACTCTAGTGTATGTACATAGTTTCAGCAAAAGTAGGCAAGTTATGTGTTTGATTTATTATTTAGTAGATAAGTCATTGTATATAATCAGAATACTCTTTATTATGATTGACTGTCAATTCTCTAACCTAACTAGCGTAGTGACATATCATTGCATGGATGTCTTATGGTACAGACGCTACAAGTGTATGGGGCGAAAAAAACCCATAGACAGCACTGCTCTGTCGCCAGCACCAAGCAATAAATCTCCGCTTAGTCATTGCCTACTCAAGGAGCGACGGCTAAACTACTATTAACCCTGTTAGTTTCAGGGCTACATGATTCTACGACGAAATTGTCTCACTTTAGAGGTGCTTACATGGAGCTGGTTGCTTCTCCTAAATAGATGAATTCAAATGAAATGAGATGAAACACAATAAGTTTTGATTAATTGCGGCGTTGTTTATTACTCATGATGAGTAAGATCTCCTGACATATGACATATGGCCACACTTGCATTTACTACTACAGTTAGCGCTCTGTTGAAACATGATGCACAGCAGGGGGTTTGCCGCTGATAGGCAAAAGAATAGGTAACAAGCTTATCACAACACTGAAAATACACGTATATATTCTATCTGCTAGCCTATTATCTATCCAAAATAGACCTTTTAAAGCTTAAAATAAGACTTGCACTTCAGGTTTGCTCACAATGGCCATAGTGCAGGGTGGGTTCCCTGGGAGCTAGTCAAGTGATTGACACAAGTTGAGTGGGATCAGTCAAGGCACCCCGGCCTCAATCAGAGGCATGGCATTCCAAAAAGCGCCGACAATTCTTGAAGCCACAGTTGGCGGCTTTCTCCACAATGGATCTTAATTACCTTATGTAAAGTCTTAGAATAAGCTCCATAGGCTGGGAGCATACTGTAGGGGCTGTTGAAATGCGCTTACTACATATAGTACGAATCCATGCATATCACGATTCATTAAGCAATATCTTCTTAACGCATACATCGCTCTTACAGGAAGCCTACTCTCTTTTCTGCCATAATTTATGTGCAAAAGAGTAACAATTATATACTATACGCTTGAAATAGCCCATCTTGTTGACTAATGTCTTGGCAACAGAGAATAATTATATCGTTTTGCGTGCGATGATTGAGAGAGCCAGCCTCCTCTATTTGACACGTTCGTCAAATAACAAAGAGATCAAATCATGAGCAGTAGTGAGGCTTAAATTTTCTAAGATCTATGGGACGTACATAGGATGTACTAATACATAGTATATTTAAGGTTTGGAAGGTCGCAACCTGCCTCATAACAATAATTGCGTGAAGAAGGACAATGCATATACACCAATATTGGCATTGACCCATCTTCTATGCGTCCTTGGTAGGTAGTTGTGTGGAGTATACAATTTAGAGGATAGAAAGATATTTGGGGCGTATTGAGAGCTTTGACCCTTCTCAATGATCTCGCCTTGCTGAAAGACGAAATGCCTCATAAGCTAACCTTTCCAGACTGCTTATTTTGGCAGAAATACGCGACTCGGGCATATGGATGTTACAAGCATTATTACACGTTGAGAGTTCCAATAACTAAGTATCCCATGCTCAACTAACCATCCCATGCTCAACTTAAACACCCCACATCTAGGCTACAGCGAAACAAGCATACCGCTTGAGTAGCCCGATCCAACGATCCACGAGATACCGCTACTGCAAAATAGTGCCGCTCGCATGAATGTTGTAGCAAGGATGGTCCTCGTCGTCACGGGTACAAAACTCCCCGATCGCCGCTTGGATCAATGCAAGGCTCTAGAAATGGGAAAGGTTAAATAAACCTCGGTCACTTCGAAATTACTGTTCTTGGCAAGACGAAAGCAGGGCCGTTAGCTGATGAAGAAGAACGCAACGTCAAAGCAAAGATTTAACGTTACTTCAGAAACGCCTTCTGTAGTTACCAAATTTCCTATCTTGGAAATAATTTAAACTACTACTATTAGTGTTTCTGCATGTAAGACGTGACAGGGTTGAAAGACAGGAAGGGCGTATATATGCCATAACAAGTTGTAGAATTAGGTGTTTGTATGTTGCTTGACTGGGATATGTTCAATCAGGCTTGGTTGATGCAGAAGCCGTTTCTAGCCGAAACCATCAATTTGTGTCCTTTGGCCTTGGTTATCTCCATTGCAGAGGCTGTATTGTATGCACTCTCTTCATACCCTTTTGGCAGCGTCTTACCCGTAGATCCGATTCTCCCTAAATCGCAAAGCGCTTATAGGCCACAGCGACCAAGCCTCACGGTCATCCCAGCTTCCTCATTCGACGAATACCAAGGCGCTATCGCCTGTCCAGTCCCCATTTCCCATCAGTCGATTCAGACAAGAACCAACAGAAGAAAGAGAAGAAAAAAAAAATTCTGCCACCAGAAGCATACATGTATGTACTAATGGCCCCGGCCCGCACCGGCCACGCCGAATGCACCCAAGCCATTGGCTCCGCCAAGCAGCAGCAGGAATAAGCCGCACTGCCCTGAGTCAACCACGCTTTGCATATTAACCATGTTAGGTTTAACTTCATGCTCTCGTGCTATTGTTCTTCAGTTGTTTCGGCATGTCACTGACCACACGACAGGAACAGGAATGGCGCGTTGCGAAGCTGTCAAAAGACGGCTACACGGAAGCAGGACGAAAAGTATAATGCCACTTGTTTCAGTTGAGCTAAACCACCGAGCTCGAAAAATACTAACATCCCGAGTCAGGTGCATTGTAGTACTTCCATGCATCTCTACAAGAAGACATAGAGGTTATCATACTGAAAAGAAGAATACCTAAAAAAAAAAAGCACAGAGTCATAGCTTATTGATTAGCGTTCCCCAAGCCAAGTAAATAAGAAATACTCGTTTAACATGACCTACCGCTTTAAGGCCAGCTTCTCATCAGGGTAACCTGGCCATCAAAATCTCTCTCTATGCGTTCCCGCTAATTGGGCGGACTCTAAAAGTCCGCTACCATTGACACGGCATCATTCCCGCCGCCACCATCATGGAGTCCAGACAAAATACAACTCAAGTCATGCATGCATGTCTCCAGGCCCACGTGTGAAAAAAAAGGACCAAAAAAAAAAAAAAACACACGCAAAGACGCATCATCGCATCATTTAGCTCAGGGTTGACACCCCAGTCACTGCGGCTCTCCAGCCATCCAATGGCATCCTCGTGCCTTGCAGGCGGTTAACCCAAATAGGCAGGAGACGATCCCACAACAGGCATCCTCACTGACTTTCTCTGCGGCACTTGGTTCCGTCTACCGAGCTTAAGGGGTGTCATTGTTTGACTCGCAGAGGCCGTCTGGCTGTCGTAGAGCGTATGGGAGTAGTGTTGGCCGCGTAGCCGCGCAGCCATGTATGGAGAGCCATGAGTCGATGGTTCACGATGAAAAAAGGCCTCGTGCGGATGTCAGGCACGGTAAAAAGCCTCGTCTTCTTTTTCGTAGCCTATGTCTAGCCCCCAACGACGTTTCACAAGCCGAAGAGGGTAATCCAATTGCCACAGCCTCTCTCGGTCCGTCTGTGACCTTCCGAGAGAGAGAGAGAGCAGGCTGTCAGCGTAGACGCCCGGTCCCCCTTCCAGGCTGTCAAGCAAGAATAGTACTGCATAAACCCTGGCTACCTGTTTTTGAAGTCAAAGATGGATAACCTGCTCTCATAAACGGCTTTTCCTTGACTGCCCCTGCTAAACAAGTTTCCGTAAAGGAAAGTTGTTTATGACCAGTTTGGGCTTAAACAAGGTAAGTGTACACTCATGATCCTATGAAGTTTCAAGTTGGGACTTGGCCCGGTGAGCACTAAAACAACCAACTCCATAATGTTACAATGGAGCAGGGAAGCATGAGAAGGCATGGGCATCTCCATTTTTTTTGGGTTCCCCCAAGAAATGGTAGGATCCTTGCGGGCCGCGAGGCATGAAAAAGACATATATAAGTTCATCTCACGATCCCCTTTGCCGATCTCTTTTCCCTTCTTCATTCTGAGTAGCTCTTCAGCAAACAGTCCTTCACATTCATTTCTTTCGAACGAAGTATCCAACTTCCTTCACTCCTTTCTTTGAAAAAAAGACCAAAACTCGGTTTTATAACTCTCCTTTCCAAAAAAAGATCCATTCCTTTTTTTAAAACCAACAAAAAAAAAACAAGATGCCTTCCTTCAGCTCTTCTCTCGGCTTCCTCGCCACCGCCGCTGCCACCGTCTCGGCCGTCGTCCTCCCCCGAGGCGGCTCCGTCTCCGTCACCCCCCACGAGCAATACTCGTCATCCATCGGTGTCCTCGGCTGCCACATCAACACCAACCGTGTCGCCTACTGGCCCGGAGCTGTCGACTGCAACAACATCTGCGTCAAGCTCACCTACCAGGGCCGCTCCCTCAACGTCCTCAAGATCGACTCTTCCGGCGGCGCCCACGACATCTCCTACGATGCCTGGAACACGCTCGTCTTCGGCCAGTCCGCCACCGCCGACCCCCAGCAGGGCGGCGGCTACACCATGGACTGGGAATTCGTCGACAACAGCCAGTGCGCCGACCTGCTGTACAACGGCAAGCTGCCTCTCAGCGCTGCCAACAGCGTCAACTATGTTGCCAGCTGCCTTCAGCAGCCCAACTCTTTTGCGGCTCAGAACTATGAGTTCATCAACATCCTCGATCCCGTGTGCCACTACGGTTATGACGAGGTCTGTTCCTTCAACCTGGCTGTGAGCAACCAGCCCAGCTGCCCTCACCAGCTCGGTGTCCCCAACACTCCCACCGGAGTGTCTGTCCAGAACATCCAGTATGGCACTGGTCTTGTCTACACTGCTTAAGTAGCCAGTAACTGTATATATCCAGCTGGTGCTGGCTGTGATGACTGTATATAGTCTCCTCACCTTATCGTTGTATATGAAAACAAAAAAATCATGAAAATGTTCTTTTTGGTTATCTTGTTGATCATCAGCAAACATTCTTGTATATTTATTTGAACTTCTTGTACATAGCTATGCATATAAAACGTTTTCAGCAGAAATGACTTGTCTCACGTGAGTGCAATACGCAAATAAATCCAAAGAGCAAATAATACCATATCCCAATATATGGTTTATTTGTCGCTAATAAATTGAGAGTATGTAGTCAGGTCAGGGGGAGGGGGAGGGTATCTATACTTCTATAATTCCCACGCCGAATGTATTGAGCCCACCTCATAATGCCCACTCATCAAGGTTGTCATCTCGGGTGATGAAAGGCTCGTCGATTCTCTTAATGGCGAAATCGCTACAAAGAATACTATGGAATAGTTAGCTTGGGTCAAAGCTCTCAAAGTCAAAATGTGAGACTTACCATGCTGAAGCTACCAAGGCATCAAGTTCGGCAACAACAGCTTCCCGCCGCGCACCACTCACAAGACCCTTGTGGATTTGCATTTGAAGCTCTTTAATTCGAGATGACTTGGCAACACCAGCTTGTTCCAAAACTTTCCGTCCCATACAATCCGAATGGAAAGAGTGTTGGCAGGGGAACACAAAGAACTGTCTGCTCAGTAGCGGCAGCCCACATACGTAGCACTTCTCGCCAGGCTCCACAATAGCGTATCGATGATCTAGGGCGGCAATATCCAGCTTGATATTCGCGGCCGTCTGAGAAGATTCATCCATTTCCTTTTTCAAATTATCAATGTTTCGGCTATAATCTTCGAGAGCCTCGCAAATTTCTTCTTTGAAGTCATCAATGACCACAAAATCGGGGAAGAATGGAATCAGGTCCTCAATCCGGAGTAAATCGCATCTCTTTAGGAATTCAATGGCCGTCTTGATACCGTCAGATTGAGAGATGACTCTTCGGGCAACAGCCAGCCAGAGCCTTTTACGCAGCTGAGGGTTTGACATGGGCCTGTCGGCAATGACCGCGGCCAGTTCGACCTCGTTATGGGAGAGCGCCAGATCGACAGCTTGAAGATACTGCTCCATGCTGGTGTATATATGAACACAGGAGAGGGTTCGGTGGTGATGAATGCATTGTCTTAAAGCAAAGTCGGAATCATATCGAGGGTCATCACCCTGCGCCTGCAGGTAAGATAGTAGTCCGGATTCGTCTTTGGAAGGGAGTGAGGCGTAGATGGATACAAGAGTGTTGTGAACCGCTGCATCGGTTGAATTAAGCTGGTATACCACATAATTGAGATATCTTATGGCCTGGTTCTGAGCCGTTCCCTCGCCAGAAAAGTCGCGATGATATTCCAATAAAGCGGGGATCAGCTTTCGTGGATTGAGATCCTGGTGTCTCATAAGGATATCTACCGTATCTTGCGCCACATGAGACATGAGCACAGTACTGTATCGATAGAAAACTTCCGGATCCGTCTGTTTCTTTAGGACATTGAGCACATCAGTCCATCTCTCCCGTTGTACCCAGTAAGACAAGACATAGTTGTAGTCGTTAATAGCATTGGCAAAGTACAAAAGTTCTTCTTCTCTACCATGGCTACTTATCACATCGTATACTGTCTTGTGGTCCAGATCGCCTTTGTATTTGTTGACGAATTCTTGAAACTCCTTCTTCGCTGCGCCCATTTGTTTTCTTGATTCGGCAGGGTTCATTTTTTCCGATAAGTCTGTATGAGTGATGATTGCATCGTCGAGGGAGTTTAGCTTGGCCATAAAAATCTCTACAAGCCAGCTCGCGATCATTATTCTCTGCATTACAGCAGACTTTTTGGTCGTACCCAGCTTCGTCAGCAGGAAGATGCGCAGCGCATCGGGTTGGTTGCTGTCTATGAGTTTGAGCGCAATCTCCTCAAAGGGCTTGTTACTCCGGCCGTACACCATGGCAGCCTCGCTCCAGTGACCCTTGGTAGAGAGGTAATCTCCAAACGCGGCGGAAACAGTCTCCTTCTGCATTTGTGAGCGAGCTTGCTGAAGAGCTGGTTCAAACTGCTGAGTTTCCATCATGATCTTCCAGATGTTTCTGTCTTCGTCTCGCACCACAATCTCGAAAATTTCCTCCGATGTAAACAGCCAAAATGTATTCTTTTGAGAGTCTACCGAGAAACCAATGGGCTTCTGCCCGGCAGAGAGTACGTCATGTTCCGATACCATCTCTCCAGTCAGGCGGTTGGTAGTAATGACACGGCCACCAACCAGATTTACAATGTGCCACTGGGTAAGAGCAATGGCATCAATTGTTTCTGTAGACGGTTTCCGTTTGCTTCCCGCACCCTGAGTGACGATCTGAGCTCTGGGGAGCATCTTCGATTCCGCAAATATCTTGGATCCTAGTGCGGCATCCGTGGGTGAGTTTAACAGTTTTCCGTGATAAACACCATGTGATGATAGCCAAGCATATGCTCGATCCGGAACATCATCATCATGCGGGCTAGTATCAGGTGGATCGGGCGACACAACGAAAGTGGAGCTCGCGCCGGAAGTAACTCGTGAAAGCTCGTGGATGATGGGCTGCTCCGTCTCAAACATCCTTGTATAGATAGAGCCGCTACCATCATAGCCATGGCTAATCCTGCCGACGAGGTGGAACAGTCTGCTCTGGGTAGCAATCATAACCCTACGCAAGTCGGTCTTGCCATGCAAGTTGTCTACCCAGAGGCCCGTGATGGGCTCATTCGGAAGTTTATGTAGGTTCTTTAGATGCTTCACTTCTTTCTTGTAGAATTCGTTTGACGTTTCTATGAAGGCCTCGTAGATATTGCCGTCTGCGGCACCGATAAGGATTTCTCTCGTGGAAGCAGTAGGCAGGGAAGGGTTCCAGGCTACGCTTTCAATCACGACGTCGCGTAATCTGCTCAAAGCTCTAGGCTGCTTAGATTGTGAATGTAGGTAAAAATTCTGGCCAGTCGATGTGCAAATCAAGAGATGCGACGCTGTAGGATCGAGGAACATGCGTCGAATGATGCCAATGTCGGATGGCTTCTTCGGTAGATCAATGTCTGCGCCAGGCCACCCAGATTAGCCCAAGACTATTCTCAAAACGTTTGCTACCCCTCCCTCCCTTCTCCATATGCCGCTGAGCTCACCGTCAATGTCCTCGGGTCGGTTCAGGTCGATGCGCAGGATGCGGCCATTCGATAAGGCCAGGATGATGACATTGTTTGCAACCTGCGCAGCGGCAAAGTCAGCTGCTATCGAGAACTGCAGCTGCACCCGCTCAATCGTAAAGATTGGCAGGTCACCGCTCTCCAGATCCGCAGCATCGGCGGCGACAAATCCGTCGTTGGGATCGAGCGACATGGTATCGGCTTCTCAGGCAGACATGCTCGCGCGGGGCTTGAACACGGCGGTGGATGCCCCCGAATCCTGCTTCCGGTTCGCTAGGAGCACAGGCGAGGGAGTTTTGGCTATTCCCACAAGCAGCGATCGGTTAGATGGACGAGAAATTGCAACGTTGAGCAGTGCTTTTGTCGAAGGTCGAAGCTGGTGATGGCGGTGCAGATGAGCGGGTGGTGAAGTCGCCAGGCTGCGTCAGTGACTGTTGTTTGGGCAGCTCCAAAAGGCTCTTGTGGCGCTCATTCGCAGGCAGAGGCGGTGGAGCAAGGGAGCTAAATGCCGTATCGCGTTAGGAGGGTACAGGAGTACTTGCAGCCTCGCTTTGGCTCAGCATGGCAGCTAAAGCCACAAATGAAATGCCATCCGCTTTTGCTGGTACGTCTTTATGTGGCTCTCCATAACTAAGGAACCTCTCTTCACAACCGACACTTGAAATATTCATGTATTATTATTTCTTCATTTTCCTTATGCCGTTCCCTCTTCTTTCCAACTACATCGCGAATCACATGTACTCCTGTACAATTTCACACGAGACTGACGTGGCGTGTAGAATACCTACGACTCTCAGCTCCTTCAATCCCATTGCCAATACCCTATATACAGCTGCAAGAACTTTGTAATATCTGAACAATGAATTACACAATAAAACAAGGGTCAATGAATAGGATTCTATATCGTTATTCAACTGAAAAAGGGGAAAAAAAAAAAAAAGCCATGAAGATTCCAAGGTTCCGTAGCCAAGGCTTCTATCGTTCGGCTGTGTGCAAAAAAGCGGTAAACGAAAACAAGGATTTTCAAAGAAAAAGCTTGCATGTTTGCTTGCGATCAAATTTCATCGTCTTCATTAAAATTCATGATTGTAAATGGTGTTTTATCGCTGTCATATACCCATTCGATAAATGGTAATCAGGGTCTGCTTCAACCTAATCGCCGTAACAGCCACTCCCGCAGAAATCGAGTCACACGGCTTATGAAGCTCTTATCAAAGCGATATGCTGCTCCCAAAATGACGGTGCTGGTAAATGTAGAGGAATAGCTGGCCAGGGTGGATAACCTATACCAAGATGGCACATCGATTTTTTTTTTTGTCTGGCTCTTACCCTCCGCACAACTTCTTCCACATTTCTCTCACTGCCTCTCGTATATCTGTTCAATATGTACCATTTGGAGTGAGATCTCCCGTGATAATATGTTCGGTTGTCTGGCGAGGTGTTTCGTTTGGCGTAGATTCAAGCTCGGGAGTTCCCTCTTCTCTTCGAGATCGAAGAGAGAAAGGTTCATCCGCAGGCCAAGCGGCGTTTGATCTGGGTGCTTGAAGAGGTTTCCGCGCTACGACGACGCGAAGCTTTGTAGTGAGAGTTTTGGCAGCCTCGGGATTTTTGGTAACATTAGCCAATTCCCTAGCCACCTGTTCGCAGACGGCTTTGCATTCCTCGGCATCCCAGTTCATATACTCAGTAAGGAGGCGCAAAGCCATGGATTCAATGCCGTCTATAAGAGCCATTAACCAAATCTTATCAACAGATGGTTCACCAAATATGACGGGAAGAGAATATTCCATCACACTGATATCCACGAAGCCCGCTTCCATGAAATCAGGTGCGTTCAGGTGAGACATGGAAACCTTTCGTCCCGCCATATCCGCAGCTATGTGAATGTCACTGAATAACCTATGGATAGGAGATTCGGGTGGGAAGTGACTGCTGAAAAAATCAATGGTATCAAAACCATCAAAGTCGAGGACTTCTATCCAGCCACCAGGCTTAAGCGAGTAGTATGCGCAGTCGTAAATGAAATTCCAATCACGGAAGGCCCCCGCTAACCAGCGCATGTGAATCATATCGTAGTGGTCCGGCGGCCGGTCCCAGTCTTCGGCATCCTCGATTTCAAAAAACACGTTGACGGGAACGCTTTCGGTTTCGGCAATGGCGGATATGTCGGTCCCAACAACCTCGCATTCCGGATACATCTCTGCAATCCTGATTGCCCATTCGCCGGTGCCGGTGCCAACATCGAGAATATGCGAGGGCAGCTCCTCGAACGGAGCAAGACTCAGTTCCCCATCAAAGATGTGCAAGAAGACTTGGTGCAGTAATGTCAGTCGAAGTTGTTCGATCTCATCGTTTGGCATGTGATACTCTCGACAATATCTGCGACCATGCAGGTCACGATAGTCAAGGTCCATGGTCCATAGAGACCGAGTTGACGCTCTTGGCACGACCGTTAGCAGCTGTCAAGTAAAACGACGATATTGAGAACCAGATATTTGGGCCTATCAACTACGCCACAGCCAATATTGATTGGAAGGGGTCAAAAGCCTAATGACAAGACTTACAAGTCAGAAGTCAACGTCCGCGAATCTCCAGCCACAAAATGCCCGCCGGCTGACCTGTATGTGCTCATTGCGCCATGCCGGAATTGGCTCGCTGGGTAAAGAGAGGCTACCTCGAAATTGTCGTCGTCGTCTTCAGGGTCGTCCACGAGGTCCGCGACAGTATCGCCGCCTGCTGCTTCCTCCTCCTCCTCGGCACCCGCCATGCTGGCTGGTGCGGCTGGATGGTAGTCGCTTTCTCCGTCGATGGATGGGCTCCCAGATTGTGACGCACGGGGGTCATTAAGATGGGATTTTTGTTGCGCTCGTTGGCGCGCTCCCTTTCGACCTTTTCGCTTCTTCGGCGCCATATGCCCGGCGTATGTCACGTAGTTGTGAATACTAAGTAGATGCTGTCGTGTAGTGTGTGTTCGAACCCAGGGGTTTATCGTAGATGAGTGGCCGTGATCGTAGATTTGGAAGACATGGTACTAAGAATACAACGCAGGCAAAACGGGACGGGCGTGGACGTCCAGGATGGATCAGCGAGAAAAGAGCGATTGCATGTCCCGCTGAGTAAAAAAGCAGAGTCTAGTGCGGCTAGTTGAAAACGAAGAAACAAGAGCACAGGCAAGGAGCGAAGAAGAAGCAGAAAAGAAGAAGAAGCAGAGTAAAAAGTGCAGCGCAAAAGAACGAGCGACTTCCGCACAGACAATGGGGAGGGCGGGACTGGCTGATGGAAGTTGGAGAGACTGGGAGCAGCTGAAATGAGCTCCAACGCAGCAGAAGCTGACGCAGAGGAAGAACAAAGACGGGGCGCAAGGAGAGGAGAGCAACAGACGGCCAACCAGCACCAGCAACGAAACGAAGCCCTTGAAAGCGCTGGCTTCACACACAAGCCCAAGGCGCAGGGGGGCAGCAAAACGGCGAGCAGGTAATATGAACAGTATGAAGCTGAGAGTCGGGAGAAAGAGAAACAATGGACTCCAAAGATGGTGGTCGATCAATTTCCTGAGTGGGCCTGCAGACGGGCTCTCTGTGGAGGAATCCAACACTGTGGGTTCGCTGTGGGTTCAGCGGGTTGAGAGGGCCCGGAGCCCGCCACAGAGGGGCGCTCCAGGGCACAAGGTCGCTAGCAGGGCTGGCCACTTGCTTCGTCCGGCTGCGGCTGCACGAGGCAAACCCTGGCCCTGATGCCTACCCGCGGCTGTGATCCGCGAGGCCAGGGCGTGACACGTCTCCAAAGCAGCCGTGGGTGCGTCGAAGGGCAATTAGCACATGCCGTTGGTAACATTACTTCCTTAAGCGAGTAGAATAGGCGTCCTCGCAGTGGCGCTTCTCGCTTTTGGCTCACTTATATAGGCCGAGCCGGAGCATTACCCGGAGCGCAGGGTACATATGTTAACGCCGTTATAGTCTACTAGCTCATCAATGTTTCTACTGGAGGACTGCATATTATCAAAGCATTGTCATGTACTGTTCGTCGGTAAGCACAGATCGGCCGACTGCTCGGTCTCGTGAGATAGACGGTCGTTGGCTTGAGAGGAGCAGCTCGCTAAGGCAGGGCGAAGGGGGATTTTGAGTCATGTCTTATCCGGCCCGCTGGTTATGCTAATTCAGACAATGGAACAATGGAACGCCCTAAAAGAAGAAGATACAAGGGAGAGCAAAAGACCTGCACGACACAAAAGCACAGCGCAAAAGAGGAAAGGAAACAAAAAACTATAGCCACTTCAGGCAAGTCTATGCTGCCCTTCAAAGTGGAACAGCAGTTGGGAATGGGTACATATAGTGCAGCGATTTTCAATAGGTATTAGTATATTTATTAAATTTAACCTTAGCCATATCTATTTATTACACAAAGCAACCCATTTCACAAATATTCCAGCAGGACTATGCAGGAACTAGAAACCTACTTGGAGGCCTGATACAGTGTCTGCATGTAAGAATGGCACTGTACAGAATACTCAAATCCCTGCTGGAAAGGTGCTAAGTTGGCCCGCAGGCGCCAGACAGCTCTTGTGTCCCAAAACGGAAATACCGCTTCCTTTGGTTTGTCTGCGGGATGCTTGCGATGCCTCATGTTTCTCTACATCTTCCAGTTTTCAAAGAACATCAAGTCTTCAATTGAGGGATGACTAGCTTCAAAGATCCAAAGCCCGTTGCATTATTATCGCAAAACAGTCGTCAAGTATTATTATAAACAACATCCATTTCTCCCACCTTCAAGCCTCGACACATCAAATATCATCCCCAGTTATGTTTGCAACACAGCCGTCTAGTTCAATCAACGGATAAGGCAGCGGTAGCCTCATTTACATGCATGTATTCATATGCAAAGGTATTGGTCCTAACCTCTCGGTAACACATATAGCAGTTTGTTGATTACCCTTAATGGTTTCAATTTGATGTAGGCTTCCTCCACCTTAATCATCTGGTCAACAACAGGGATACTTGCTATGATACTAACACCAGATATCAAAGGCTACTTTGTAGTCGCCTGCTTAAATCCTACAGACTGCCTTTTCCGTCCCTGATTTCTGTCGCTATTATGCTATTCTTTTTAAACATCAATGTTTATTAAAGGACAATATTTATGAAGAGCACTCTGAATATATATGAAATGCAAGGATCTATTCCTTTGGTTGGTTTAACTGTATAGATAAACTACAAGGATGTTTTACCGTGATTTGTTCAAATTGCAAGACATCAATGACAACCAGTTTACCAAGGCATCATATGCAGCCAGCAATCTTCCATCAGTTGTGCCGCAGCCGCATCATTTTCTTGTTCGTCCGGTGATGGTATCTCGCAGCTTCTTTCTCATGTCACATGTCACAGAACATGCTCCAATGCGTGCAAAAGCCGTCTTCCCTCCATCCTCGACCAGTTTGGCTATAGCATAGTGCGTATCCATCAGGCGAACTGTCTGGCGGAACATGCCGTAGCCCGGGCTAGCTGTTTTATTAGCTGCGCCACACTGGGAGCCTCCCGCGGCCTAGATCTCATTCGGGAAAGGCAGAATTAGGGTTGGCACCACCAGCGCAGCTCCTGAGGCCACTACGGCCTTTTGACAGTTCAACTAGCCCTCGTCTAGCGCTGCTGAAGCAAGCCTCCAGTTCTCCATACTCTGCGCTACACGTTAGATGTTTGCGGCTACACACAGCGGGCGCTCTCTTGCTCGGCAGCAAACAGGCTCTTCTCTGAAACCTCCATTTGCCATCGAGGCAACGCTGCCACTGTACGGTCCGCAGCAGCCCGCGCAGCCAATTTCCCCTGCAGCCATGGCCAAACAGCAGCGCAGCAGTGCATTGGACGCATCTGCAGAACCGGGGACAGGGCACCGGGCTGACCAACATGCCACGCCTGCAGCCGACAGCCAGCCATTGAACGAGCCGTGGCCCAGAAAAAAGCAGCTGCAAGGACCCAGCGGGCCAGGAAGCGCCAAACACCGGGACCCGGCGGGTGAATCAGCAGCTGGGTGACCTTGCTCGCTTGCTTGCTGGATATGGAGTACGAGTTACGCCCATGCGACGGCTTGGGCGGCCCTCGTCGAGCACACGACAGACATGGCGGGCGCACACGTACTGCTGCTAGGATTACTATGCAGGCACTACCCAGGACCTGGTAGCGTCGCTGCTACGCACTGCACTGCACATGCCGCAGCAATTGGGCTTCGTACTTCGCGACGGGCTTCGTCTTACGTGCATGGGCCGGCTCTTGCTATTGCTTGGCCATGTCAAACCGCTGAGCTGTCAGCATCACGACCCGACAGCTTGGGCCATTTGCGCGAGGGAGTCATGTGTGGAGAGCCCGTGCAGCAAAAGAGTGCAAATCGCGAGCTTACATCTTGGTTTCAGCAGCAGATCCAGGGGCGTATTTTGTTTCCTCATCTCTGTCGCTTGTTTCGTCAGCGCTTATTTGGCCACCGTTTACGGATTGAGTATTTAAGCACGCGGCTGCAGCACTGCGCAGCTACATGTACTTATATCGCCGGCACTGCATACAGTAGGTAATGACGCTTGTGCTGTGAGCATCGTACAGCAGCAACAAGCTCAAAGAGGCGGGTTTTACTCAGGTGCACCCCAGAACATGCTTGCTTGCACAGGCGGGCAGCTCACGTTGCGTCCAGGTACGAGCAAAGCTAGCCCAGGGGCACAGCGGCCGCCTCCCTTGTTGTTCAACGACGATCGTATCAATACGACCATTTGCACTTTCAACGCAGCACAACACAGAGATCGAGCTCCCATTCCATCCATTATGAGCGGTCCATATGGTAGAGCCATGCTACAAGCACAGAGCGAGAACACGCGTTTCGACACCCATTAACCAACACTAGTATCCGGGCGTTTTACTTCTCAGGGTTGGTGCAAAATAAAAGCAATGCTGGTGCGTAGGATCCGCGCCACCTCGCCTTGTCGCGACAGTTCTTGCTCTACGCCCAGAATTGCCGCTAAAGCAGCAAATGCGCATCATACACGCACGCAGCAAGCTGGTAGGTATGTATTAGTGCTGATAGAAGCACTCCAAGAAACATGCTCATGATACTACTAGCTACTGCCATCTGCACGGAATACGAATACTGACTAATACAGCACTACCACTACCACTACCGACTTCTCTTCCGTGCTCTATTTCCGGCGGACCGGAGTTGCCCGCCACGGTCCCATGCCAGGTTGCCATGTGAGAATCCGTGGCATTGACATGAGGGGAAAACGTGGGAATGCCGCGCGCTATCATCCACTTCCCGGTGAATTAGGGGCCGTCGCAAATGCAGGCAGAGGTTCATTTAAGATGCAAAGTGCTTCACACGTGCGAGAGAGCCTCATACAAAGAGAGAATGAATGCGTGAAGCCATCCCGCGAGGCTACGAATGCAAAGCCAGCTATGCTGGATATGAGCATCACTATGGCTGACACTATGGCTGACACTGTGGCATTAATATTTCCGCCGTTAACAAATCATGTCGCTGTGAAGTGGAAACTTGTCTGGCAGCAGATACGTGCATACATGAAAAAAACTAATGGCTCATGAACCTAATACGGAAGGGATTTACAGTTTACAATGCAAGTCGAAAATCAAGATTAGATGACATTTGCTCTAGTATTACCGTCTTATGCGTTCCCGCGCATCAGTAAACATACACAAAGTTCGGGTTCTCCTTATCCGTCATGTCAACAAACGCCGTGGCATTCAGCTCGCCAGCAATAAGCTCGCCGCGCTCTTGAAGCTCTGCTCGAAGCTTCTCCTTTTTTTTGTTCTCCCATATAAAGGCGTATCGGAAGACGAAGAAGAGTGCTAGTTCGACGCAATTGGCAACGAGGAGGGAGCCAATACCAAGATGGTATGACGGCGCCTGATTAGCCTTGTAGAAGAAGGGGCCGGCGATATTGCCTATGCAGGCACCGAACCAGATCATGCCGGAGACAATCATCTTCTTGGACTGGCCACCAGTGTTTGAAGTGATGAGAGAGAGCGAAATAACGAATGAAGCTTGGTATGAGCCGGTCAAGTAGCTGTTCGAAGTCCGTGTCAGTCCATGTTTAGTAAAGGGTGAAGATACGCCGGTTCAACATGGGAGGGTAGGGAGAAAGAGGAGAGAAAAAAAGGATATGAATGGCTTACAAGCAAATCAATCTCCCCACATATGCATCATTTGGAGCAAGTAAGAATCCAAGGGCTCCAGCGATTGTGGGCAGCATGAACAGCGCACAGACAAGCGTACGGCAGTTATTTGGCATAAACCTGTTCGCCAAAGCACCCAGCCCAATCCATATCACCACCAGTACTCCCTGCGGAATTCCCAGCAGGGCTGTATGCAGCGTATCGAAATGCAGGCCCTGGATAACAAGAGTAGAAAAATTGGAAATGCCGCCGTTCGGGATGTTGGATGCAAAACCGAGCAGCGTGAAGAGCCAAGTCTTGTAATCCAGATAGGCCTCCTTGATCTGTTTCCAGTTGATCTTGTTCTGCTCTACTCCGGTCTGGTTGCGCCTCATTCGCGCAATCATGATGAGCTTCTCGTCATGGGTAAAGCCCCAAATTGTTCGAGGCGAATTGGGTAAGCAGATGAAGAGGCAGATTCCCCAAACGGCGCAAAACGCTCCGACGATGATGAACTCGTAGCGCCATGACGGCAGCATTCCCTTGATCTGACCGATGCCATATCCTACATTCAAAAGGATGGACATTAACAAATCTTATTCCCATATAATAAACAACATATTTTAAAGAGCATTTTCCTATTCTGGTAAAATTCGCTGGGCACTTACCAATAAGCCCGCCGCCCGCAACACCCACTCCATTGAACGCATACCACGCAGAAATCCGCGATGGCTGCTCCGCCCTCGTATAATACATCGACGTGATAAGCATAAAGGCAGGGTCGGCAATTGCTTCAAATGCCCCAGACAGGATTCGAAGGGCAAGCAGTGACTGGAGATTCTTCACCGCGGCCTGGCACATGAGCAGGGCGCCCCACATGAAGATGTTGAAGGCGAGATAGTATGCAGGCGGGCTGCGCTGCATGAGGAGGTTGGACGGGATGGCCCAGATCAGCCAGCCGAAATAAAAGCTGCTGGACAGCCATGAATAGTCGTCGCCCACGAGGTTCAGGTCCTTCTTGATGCCGAAGATGGCGGCATATGACAGTGTGGTTTTGTCGACGTACTTACGCCCAGGTTAGTATCTTTCATCCGAAATGGGGTTTGCATGTTTTGAAGGCTCACATAGAAGAAGTAGCAAATGCCTAACAGCGGCAGAATTCGCATGTCTAGTTTGCGCAATAATCGCTTCTCCGCCGCTTGGTCGATCGCCTCGTCGTTGGGATACCGCTCCATGGCCTCTAGGTACATCTCGTGGACCGGGCGGTCAGTGACCGCGGCCACAACCGTCTTGATGTCCTTCTCGACATGTTCGACATCGCCATCTCCCTCGCCCAGATCCTTTACGGAAGGGGGAGGGAGATAGGCAGCTTCGTTAGATTCAGTGGCCATGATCTCTCTATTTTGGCTTGCTAGAGAGAGTCAAGACTTGTTGCACGCAAAGATCAGCGCAGGACCAAAGAAGGCACAGCTCGATTCCGTTGGAGCAAGCTTCGCCGTTTTATACATATCTCGGGTGTTACATTCTTCATACGCTGCCAATCCCCCCTCACATAAACGTGCATTCCCCATCGGCCAATAAAGCCGTCGGTACACCTACAACCGAGCATCACTACCGAGAACGAACATCCTCTGTGGGGGGTTAGAAAGTCGGGGGAGCTGGAGCAAGAACGACGACAGCCGAAGGCGCATATGTGGGGGAAAATAAACCGGAATGGCGCAAACGCCGTCGAGTTTCTCTCAAGGGCAAAAAAAACGTGGGGTCTTCCCCAGAATCCCTAGCTGAAGGAACTGGGGAGACGAGCGAGTCTTGTGATTCGTTATCCGTACCAAGGCGCGGTTTCCAGCGTCCTGTGGCGTTCAAAACAACGCTTCATATCCGGTTTACTTCCATGCTCGCTTGGCGCTGTGCTTGAAAGATCCACAAACATGGCTTCATCCAAGAAGCTAGCATAAGCGTTTACCCGCGCCTCTGCGCAGAGAGGAAATCATTGATTCGTGGAAAACCCTGTCGCTTTTGTCTATATTTTCTCCGGTGGCGCTCACTGGTTTTCTATAAGAGCTGCCAAGGCTTTGCCTCGTCCCAGCTAGCTCACACATATATATAAAGAGCGGCTCTTCAGCGCCTCTTCGGACAGATGCCGATAAGAGGGCGTCATTGACATTATCCACAAAGCTCTACTGCGGGTCGGTTTCTGGCTTGCCGAGTTACCATGACTCGTATTTCGCTGTTACTTTGAGGCGTCTTCTTTCTCAAGCAATGCCAGTTAGAGTCTCATGATTATCGCTGGAAGTGTGTCATCATCAATTCACGCCACCTGGTGTTCTCAAGTCCTGGGGAGCTGCACCTCGGGTTTCAAGACACCGATAAGCGCTCACCTTGTGTTGGAGACAAAGGGAAGACTCAAACTAAAGATCTCTTTTGCCCATTTTTTTTTTTTTGGGGGGGGGGGGGGGGTTTACGATGTAGCTCTGCTCATAGTGATCGATATGCCAGCAACGCTGTGATGACTCCTTTATGTCACCAAGAGGTGGACAGTACGCGGGGTGGTGCAAATCAGTGAACCAAATTAGCTACGCAACCGACTTGAGCGAGAAATAAAACAGAGCATCCAATGCAAGACTATTCATCTAAGTCGATCATTTTTCATTATATCTAGATCTTGTATCTCGTGACATGATGCTGCAAAAACAAAGGTATACTCGCCAATTTTCCTCCCAATTGTCCATCTAAGAGGCATATAGCGCCACCGTCTAGCGAGAAGTTTCATAGATACAGTTTATGAATTGAAATCTATTCGTACCGGAAAACCTTGGCAGTCGAATCGTCGCAATCAATCTTTACGTGTGTTGTGGAATAAGAGAAGCCAAAGGGGACCATATCTAATATATCGGATCCCATTGAGGCGAAAGTAGTGCGCCATCGACCACAAATCCAGAAACCAAGGCTGTTCACACGTTGCCCCATGCTCCCAGCGTCCAGTTTGTGTGATGGCCTCCGCTGCCACGAATAAAGCCTCCTGCGCCCATGCTCTGTCGTTGCTGGGCCTTGACGTCGATTTCATTCGGACGCGTAGCACCACTAGCTCCCTGCTGCAGCCATAGCTCGCGGTCTACCGTAGCCATGGCGGGGATCTTGAGTTGGCAAACCAAACTTGCCCCAGCCCATGGTCCAAGAGAATGAAGAGTGCGAAATTCTCCTTGTAGTTGCTGGATTTGTGGTCGATGGCGCGCTACTTTAGCCTCAATGGGATCCGCTATGTCAGATGCCGTGGCTATTGAACTTGGTCGCGAGGACTCTTGTTCTTCTCCAAGGTCAGACGCCGTAGCTGTCGAGCTAACTGACTTTGCGACACTTGCTCTTCTGTCGGAAAACTGGCTGTTTCGAGTCTCTTCCACGTGCTTGCCAGAGACATTGGCCCATCCTTTTTTATTCACCATGCTCATGACTTCGTCTACAATCCTCTCTTTGACGCCCAGAATATTTGAGCAGCCACCAGTGAAGATAATTCTAGGCATGCAAGTAGCTCTCACATCCATTGGAAGTTGTAGTAAATGCTGATATACAAGTAAATGTAACGGAAGTTCATGGTCGTCGAATGTCGTTGGTGCTATTGACAAATCAAAGAACGTCTCGTCGCATATATCCGCAATCCTGTCAATAGATACGTCAAGCGTCCTTGGTGGATTGGTCGATCTCAATGGGATGCTCGCCATGCTGCCTTGCGAGTGCTCCGGCTCAGACTCATCCTGCTCCTCCACCGTATCTAATTGTTGCGACTGTCTCTGAGCTTGAGCGTTCTTGAATGCCAACGGCCGGCACCACGCCAGACGGCACATGATGTCTTCACATTCCGCAAAACTGATAGCCCGTACACCCCCTTCGTCTTCGTCTTTGTCAGTCAAGAGTTTCCGGAGAACCTCGTAGAGCTTGTTGTTGAGGTATCTCCCCGCTCTCTCACTGCGCGTGCATTTGACTTCTCGGTACTCGTAGACACTGGTGACTATCGTTTCGGCCCAACCCATATCAATAATTAGCCCTGAGCGGACACCTGCAGCTACCGCTGACATGGTAGCCGTGGACATGAGAGAGATGATTGGTGTCTGAAAACCCTTGAACATGAGATCAAGCACAGTGGATAGGATAGGTATTGGCACCGCAGGATCAAGAACAAGGCCGGCCCTCCTTGGTCGGGAGTCAATCAGTAGACACCTAAGAGCAATGTCAACGCGAGTGTTCTTTGGAGTGCGCGTTACAGAAGCTTACCTTCCAAAGGCATCTCTTAGCAGACGGTCTAGCTTGTCATAAACAAGCCCCAGGTCGACCTCTCTCAAATCATATCGCCATATCTCATATTTCTCGGCCCAGGATTCGAGATCACCAGCTCCAGGCTGCTGCCAGTCCCTGAAATCTCCAGCTCGTCGTTGGTCTTTTGGCTCACTTGTGAGAACCGCCTTGGGTTGATTGTCCCCCGCAAATCCAGCGCGGATAAACCTCGACCCAATTTGAATGATCAGAAAGTCGTCGTCGGCCCTAATGGTAGCCGGAGAGCCGTATGTGTTCGCTATTATCCGCGGAGGTGTATTTGGCGTGGGACCTGATCCTGAATGCTCTTGAATTGTCGGGGCTGAGCGAATGCTGGCCACGCTTCGATGAGCCAGCGTTGGCCCCGGCCCCGAGGACATGGCCTTGGTGGCGGCTGTTTCAGGCGCCTTTTATTATTTTCAACTTGTTGGATTTTGCAAACTTGAGACTCAACAAAGTTACAAGAGCTACACCTGCTATGTTCTCCTTTTTGGTCAATGAGCGAACTCAGACGCCTCACTCGCAGCTCATTCTCACTCTTGGAGCGCCTGCCCAGAGCCTAGATTGGCGGGTGCCGTTAGCGCCGGCCCACCGATATCGATAAGCCATCCTTGCCAGCTCAATGTTTGGACCTGTCGTCATGTTAACGAGAGCAAACAAAACATCACAATCATCTTCCACTGTCCGCAGCTTTTGACAAGCCGGGGGCGTGGAAGTAGCTACAGGGCATCAATGGGGATCAAAGGGTGAGTATTGCGCATTTTTGTCTCTTTAAACAAAAAAAAAAAAAAAAAAAAATGTTCAAAGAAGATCTCACATTCGTAGGATATACAAAGAACTAGGCCCAGGCAAGAGGATCTCACTGTCCAAGCTCGCGTCTGATAGCTTCGAGAATCATAATCGGCCCTTCCGCCTCGCCATTGACATCGCCATTTGGCAGTTCCAAAACCAAGCTGCGCGTGGTGAGTTTACAAGACATCATTCTAGCCAGCTCTTTGCGAGTTTTTGTCTAACTTGTTAGAACAGGTGGTACGAACCCCGCGATTCGAACTCTCTTCTATCGACTCGTCCGACTGCTAGGAACACCCATCCAGCCAATATTCGTTTTTGACGGCCCCAACAAACCCAAGTTCAAACGCAACAGGCGATCAGGGCGAGGAGATGGATTCTCAGCAGCTCATGCCAAGAGGCTCATTCGACTCTTTGGGTTCGTAGCCCACGATGCCCCTGGCGAGGCCGAGGCCGAGTGCGCGTTTCTGCAGAAAAATGGCGTCGTCGATGCAGTACTAAGCGAAGATGTGGATACCATCATGTTTGGATGCACACGAACGATGCGAAACTGGTCGGCTGAGGGCAAGGGCACAAGGCCAACGCACGTCTCCATGTACGATGTCGAAGAATTAAACATGGCCAACCTTGGTCTCGATCGAGAGGGAATGGTGTTAGTAGCCCTTATGAGTGGTGGCGACTATATCCCCGAAGGAGTGCCAGGCTGTGGACCGAAAGTAGCGTGCGAAGCCGCCAAAGCTGGCTATGGGAAATCGCTATGTCAACTCCGAGCCTCGGATACAGAGGGCCTCCGTCTGTGGAAAGCGTCCCTGATCCACGAACTTCAAACAAACGAAAGCAAATACTTTCGAATTCGCCACAAGTCTCTTACCATTCCGGAAGATTTTCCAAATATGGAAGTGCTTCGATATTATACCCATCCGGTGGTCTCGCCAGAATCCACACTAGACATTATCAGACACAAACTAAGAGAAACCAGGGAGATTCAGCTGGAGGGTCTCAGGGAATTTGCGAGGGAAACTTTCAATTGGGATTTCCGAATAGGCGCAATCAAGTTTATTCGCGTGCTTAGCGAGGGTTTATTTGTGAGTCGTCTTCATCAAGACGGCGTTGATGGCGACTCTTTGGTTCAAAAAGTGTCGAGCCGCCGGAACCATTTTAGCACAGATGGTACATCCGAATTACGCCTGGCTTATATCCCTGAAGAGATTGTTCCCATTGATATATCGAATGAAGTAGAAGAAGAAATTGCGTATGCTCGGAGCGGGCTAGCTCTCAATAGCGATGATGAGTTTGCCGCAGCGTCAGGCAGTGTCGACGCGACCGAAGAAGCCCAAGCTAGCGGTGGAAAGGTTTTTGATATAGCAAAACCGGAGCTTACATGGGTTTTGGAAGAGGTCGCCAGGAGATTCGCACCAAATTCTGTTCAAGATTGGGAAGAAGGAAAATCCAAACGCAAATCGCCTTCTAAAAAGAAGGTGCCGGGATCGAAGACGAAGACGAAGAAAGCAGACGCGATGCCTCACGGTGCCCTTGACAGCTTTGTTCGTGTCACCAAGGCGGTGGAATCTCAAGAGAAGGCCAGCAGTAGCAGTGCCGCCAACGTCCGGGAAGATGCCAATTTAATAAAGGAAGTTAGCGAGCCCGAAGATGCGGACGTGTCTCTTCCTCTCCTCCGTCGGCCGAACCAATTCCGTCGACCGCAAACACCACCATCATTACGGGTGTCCAGTAAGCAACCCACGCCTAATATCACATCCCCCAGCCTGGACGGTTGGACGATAACCAGCTCACCAGACTCAACTAGACGTCATGACGATGCAGGAGTTTTCGAAGCTATCGTCATTTCGTCCAGCCCTGCCGGCGACGCATCGCCGCTTTCACGATTTACGCCACCATCACCAATCGCAACCACTTCGGCAACTGGGAGTAAAGAGCTTCCTAAATCGATACGGTCAATTCTGGCGGCTGGCGCTACCTCGCGGGTAACGCATAAACACAGCAAACCAACCTCTTCAATATCGAAACCAAACCCAAAGACATCGTCGCACGTCCAGGGAGCAGCAGCGAAACTCAGGCAAATGCCAATGGATAAGTTTACGCAAAAACAGCCGCAGCCGGAGATGGAACGGCTCATATCGTCCAAGCGCGGCGATTATGGCTCACATAAATCGAATTCAAGTCGAGAGGATGCAACTCCAGCCGCTACCGATGATGATGAAATTGAAATTCTATCATCCAACATTCCCAGTTCACTGCCCAAACATCGCCTCACGACCAGTAACAAAGACTCTTCCTCTCCTCTTCCGCCATCCCGTCATGATAGGAGCCCCAATCCCGCACCAATAAAGAAACTGATCGTCCCCAGCGTGTCGAGGCCTGGCTTCTTTGACGAGGTTGAAGTGGACGTGGACGCATACGAGGAGGCAGTCGCGCGAGAATCGCAATTGCTCAAGACTCGTGGTATTAGATCTAGCGTTACGAGATGGAGTGATGTGGCATTTATTGACTTGACGGGAGAGCATGATTCACGATGAGCTAAGGTTGCATGATTTCAGAAGAGTGCTATAATTGTTGGATTATGATTGAGGAGTACTGATTGTAGGTGTTGGATTTATCATTTATGGATATGAGTAATATAGCAAGCATTGACGAATCACCAAAGAATATTACAAGTTGTAGTATTATTTGTTCCATTAATGAAATGATGCTGTATTGCTAGCCGCCCATTAAACTTCCCGTGGTATAAATAAAAAGACGCCATTCTTCCAAGGCCCAAGGTGAACGCCGTCGCCCGCCCATTTCCAAAATGCCAACCAATAGTAAATCGCGCCGTATGTCCTCCAGTATAATCTAATGCATCAAAGCGCCTTAAAAGTTCCGACTTTTCTTTATTAACTCGAGAGGATTCTTCCTTCTTCTTTCTTCTTTCTTGAGATTCTGGGCCTCTTCCCATCACCGCCTGCCGCTTTCACGGCGTATTCTGTATAACCGTGATGTCTCGAATTTCACTTGCTTTGATAGCAAGAACGTCACGGATTGGGGTTTCCCCCCCGCTCAACGCAGCCATCTATCCGCTCACAAAGCTAGTGAAGAGAGAGAGGTGTCCCAGTGGGGGTATTTCGTACTCGCGGCGCTGCCAATATCGTCGTATGCTATAGCTTGTCGTAGCGCTGCTGCGTCTGGTAAGAAAGGCTATTGACTTATGTGTTTCGATCCTAGACGACGACCAAGGCTATTCAACCGGCCATGCTAGGGAGCTCGCTCAGCGGGACAATATGCCAAGGCGGCGGCTCCCAAGACGGGTACAACTGCGATATACTCTGCATCGCCGTCTGGATCTGCCGAGCCATCCGCCCTTGCATGGCATCTTCTTGATCGCCATCTTCTTCTTCCCAAGGCACAAATATGAGCTCTTCTAGTCCTGTCATGCGCGTTGCAACCTCCCTCAACACCTCCAAGGTGAAGCTTGCAGCCGTCATGGAGTTGTACGTGTTACCAATCCAGAAAAGCGCATCGTTAATGGCCAAGCGACGCACGTTCGCCAGCTCTTGTGGATCGCACAGCATCATGCAGGTGTGAAACTGAGAATTCGTGGCCATGAAGTCCTCACGAGGGCCAAAGTACATGATGTCGATTTCAGGGTTGAAGAGAATCTGGCCTGGGCCTCGGGCGAAGCCAAAGGAAGGGCGGTATGTTTGGAGAGCCTCGAGGCGGGATTCTGTGCAGACATGCAGGTTGACGGGTATCGGTGCGGTAGACATGCATCCAACAGTCATGCTGTTCTGACGTGATGATGTGAGGGGAGTTGAATGGGAGGATTCGGGAAGAGATATGCTGTTGCTGCCGCACTGGATGGGAACGAGGCGTGGACTAGGCAGGCTGAGCTCCCATATTCTGAGACGAAGCTCTGTGGGGAGTTTGGCGAAAGAATGCTAGATGAAAGACGAGGTGTTAGCCGAGATGTCGTCGAGAGGGAGACGGATGGTCACGGCAAGGAGCTGGACATACAAATGAATCGAGGTGCTTTGAGGGTGCGAGTCTTTGGCATGACCGTTTCTCGATGAGTCGGCTCCTGGTGACGGGCGAGGATCTTGTCTTGCGAGGAGAGGATGCGCCACGACAGCGCCGTAATGCTGGTTGTTGGAGAGCCATGGCTCTTCCCGGTGGCGTTTGAAGAAGGATGTGTCGCTGGATCTGGTGCCGTTCTCCAGTAGAAGGGATGCGTGTGTCTGTCTATAATAAGACAAAAAAACAAGAAGGCAGCGTTATAGATGGATATATATGGCCCCCAGCCCCGGGAATAGCAAAGCCTAATGGATATCGAAACGGCCTTGAGCTATGCAGAATAGAGGAACCCCCCCCCCTTTGACATGGGCAGAGCAAGGCTCAACCTTGACACTTGCTCTCACACACAGCTCAACCTATTAGGACTGGGCCCTCGGAAAAGAAGAGTGAACAAGGAATTTTGGAGCAAGGAGAAAAAAAATTAAGGTTCGTGGGGCGTCCAGGATGAAGCTTCCCTTGAGCTCTGTAGCGTCGTGCCTAGCTGGACTAAGGAAGTACTTGGGGTCATGCACGAAGTAGCCGATTTCCTTTTTCTCACTTCTGCTAGGAACAAGTGGGACGAGCGGGTGTACAGAAGAGGATGAAGAGGCAGTCGGTTCGAGGGTGTGGAGTTTTTAGCCAGAAAGGGGTGTGTTTGTATATATCAAGAGGAGGAGAGGAGGAGGAGAGGAAGAGGAGAGAACGGTTGGTCTAGTTTTGAACAAGACAGACAAGTCCAAGTACGTGTTGCCGGATGTGTAGGTATCGTTTTGATATACCAGCAAACAACAAGCAGGACGATGGACTCTGCTCCGTCGTGATGCTGGATCTCACTAGAATCAGAAGGGGATGGGGGCGTTGTAATAAATAATGCTCTCGAGCTTAGCAGGAACAGGGGATGGAAAGGGAAAGGAAAGAGAATGAACGAGAGAAAGCTTGTTGATAAAAGTACCTACAAGCAGCAAGACTTGATCGCTACCAGGTTCAATGTTTACTGTACGCCAAATACCATAGCCAATACCCATCCATGTATCCACCTTCGTCATCCGCGGGCTGTTGGGCTTCACCACGCACGCACGCTACAGGCTGCGTTGCAAGGAGCACAGTACTAACTGGGAAGTCGTATTTTCTCGCTGTCTGTCTCTCTGTCTCTCTGTCCATCTCTTGGCGCCTCTCGGATCTCATCTCTTCCGGCCAAGCAGAGCAGGGCTCTTTTGCCCACAGCCCCGGGCTGCATACCGAGGATGGACAGCTATTGCATCAGTCCAGCCGGATGGGATTACGGGGAACATGGGGGCCGCGGTGGGTACCTGGGAGGTACTAAGCGGCGGACATGGCCAGGTATGTATTGCTCAAGACGGATGCGAAGCTGTCTGCTCCCCACGTTATATTGCGCACAATTTCATTCGAGGGCCAATATACAGGTACAAGCATTATACATGCTAGCTCTCCGTAGGAGCGGTACGTATTGGCGGTAGTGGACGGTAGTCGACAGTAGCAGCATCCATCCATACTAGTCGTAGCCTTCTGCCCACATGCACCTAGCAGTAGTAGTATAGCATCTAGCATATAATACAGCACAGTACTGGTGGCACATGCTGCACCCGTAAGGAGAAGACAGAAGAGACAGAGAGGGAAAGGGGGGGCGTGTGCTTTGTGCCATCGGGAGGATGGGAGATTGTCAAATTGGCAGCTCAGCAGGCCCCGATCGCAGTGACAGGTCCAGGACGGTGGAATCGGATTTTGCGAGCGCCCATCGAGAAAAGTGGTGGCGATTTTTGTCTTTCCCACCCCCCTTCTACAAACGCCACAGCGCCTCTCCGGTCTCTTCCCCAAGAGGGCTGGCCGGGGCTGAAAAGGCAACCCTGGATCGGGGCATTGCAGACTAGCCAGAAAGAAAAAAAAATAGTGAGAAAAAGAAGGAGGAGGAAAAAAAAAAAACAGAAAAAATCCAAGACATGCCAGGGCAGAAAGAGGCAAAGCGTACTGCGGCGGTATGCAGGCAGGGTATGAATGCAGTGCCCAAATTGAGAATGGCTCTCTGAGGCCCTGTCAAAGGAGAAAATGCTACTGGGCGGAGAGCTCCAAGTTGTGTAGAATGAGGCTGTCGTTGGTTGTGCCGGCATGGAGCTGCTCATGAGTTCCGTAAACAAGTGCTACCCAAGTGGTCAAACAAAACTATGGGTCTAGTACAACAATGGAAATATAGCTAGCTAGGTACTGAATTTATTAATTACTCGTCATGATGGGTGGTTAGGAGGCAACGAGAGAGCTCCTCTCTATGAGAGAGAACGTGCTCATACATGCAGTATCTCAAAATGGGCATTACAGCTTCGCCCAAGGTATCAGCACAGCCGCTGACGTAGCAAAGGCGGTCCACACGCAGCTGATATACCTACCTATACTGCCTGGTATAGCTGCTCCATAATAGAATGCAATGCAAATACTGCCTGTCTTTACTGGGTACCTTATTCCACCAGGTCAATATCCTAAAGGGGAAATACGAGAGCACCAATAATTCGAAGAAAGAAAGAAACCCCATTTTGGCCAATCGCAATCCTCTAGTGCTCTCTTTCAGCGCATCGGCCAATGTGCTCTCTAGCTCCGACCAGCCCATCTCTTTTCGCCAATTACGAAGAACGAAGGATGAGCGTAAAAAAGGGACAAGATGAGCGCCGGGGGGGGGGGGAGTTCAGGGACCCCCATGCTGTTGATGTTGATGCCACTGTGCAAAATTGCCTGGAGCCCTGGCCCGTGGATCTGACGGACGGCCCAAGAGTTGGCGACCCCTGCAACAGCTGCTAGTACTACTACTATAATGAATGGGGCCTGGCCATCCGTCTAGCCTACGGGCGGGCGAGCAACGACGCAACGCACTCGGCCGATCCTCCAGAGGAGCCTGTGTGCTGGTATCCTGTATCTCGAGATGCAGGATGCGGATCGAGGACCTCGCCAGGAGCAGATGTGTGTTTATGCCTGCCGAGTTTGGAATCAATGGCCCGTCACGGGTGTCCAGCAAACCTGGCAGTTCCGCGTAGATGGCCGCAGTACGTGTATGCATTACGATTATTACGTGCTACTTACATATACGATGTTTTGCAGCAGTAACACGCAGCGAAAGCCAGCATTCCGCGTCAAGTCCCGTGTGTGACCTCGTGGGCAGAGCCTTTGGCACGCAAGAGGCAATACGAATGAATCGAACTGCCAACAGCAGCCATGGCTGTCTCATCAGGCTCCATGCACCTTGATGGCCCTCCCGGTGGCGTTTGTCCGTCACGATGTCGTGAGTGTCTGAGCATGGCATGGCATGGTCCACCAACGCTGCTCGTGTACTGTACATGACAGGTGAGACATTCGGCAAACGCTCGCAGTGAGCAGGGCTGAGAGAGTCGAGACGAAGCCCATTGCATGGAATGCCGGGGAGAGAACCAAAAAAAAAAAAAAAAAGCCTGTTCTTCTCTATATGCGTCTTTGGCTTCTTATTCGCTTGCCGCCCATCCCAGTCCACCAGCGCGCCGTTGTGCCCCCTAGTGAGTGAGTGGTGAACCATGATGCACCGCCCTGACTCGAGCTGGAGGTCCAACGCCTAGCTGTTTGTTTATTTGATGGTAACGGGCAAAGGCGACCAGCCCTACAGCGGATGGGATGTCGCTGCTGCACGCCAAGAGGATCGGAAACTTTGTACAAGCACACTCGGGGGCGAGTCCCTGATGCTGTGCCCCCATACGACGAGTAGCAACACCTACTACTACTTCTGCTAGCTGGCTACTAGATAGGACAGTCGTACAAGATGCCTGGATTCCATTCAGGCGCCCGTATCTATGGCGTTCGAGTCTCTGTGGTGCCGTCAAGCACAGCTGTAGCAAGACCCGACGATGCGACGCTGGCGCTGAGAGCTCTCTCAATCTGGTTAGCAGTGCTTGTCAAGTGTCAATCACGCATATCCATGCCATCATGCGTGCGTAGCCGATCGATCACTTTCGATGCCATCTGCCAGGCAAAGATTCCCAGCGTCACAAATGATAGCACCCATCGATCCATCGTCGTCGGCCGCTACGATGCCTACAGGCAGCTCGCCAAAGTCCGATGTGCTCTGCCTGCCTGCCTGCCTGCTTGCCTGCCTGTTTGCTGCGACTAGTTCTAGAACCGCTTCGACGACGACGATCACCAAACGGTGGCTTCCTGGCTCCAAGGCGGCGGTAGGTCCCGAGGACTGAGACATCCGCGACACTGAGCAGCTTGCGGTTTAGCGCATTCGCAGGGCAGCGAAAAGGTAGTAGTACTGGTTGACTGAATTGCGCATGCAATATACGAGCGAGAGCCGCGTCGGCGCACTTTTGTGATGCGACAAGCGTTGAAACATGTCACGTACTTTTGTATGTATACTTAGCTAGTAGATAGAAACAAGCCGCGGTAGCACCAAGCAGCCGTGCGTGCTAAGAGCAATAGTCCTGAAAATCCCCTTGCTCCGAGATGCCAGTCTCAAACTCAAAAAAATGGCCAGAGTTGTGCTGCTGGACAGAGCAAGACCATACTTGCATGTATCTGGTGCTAGCCAGCATCGTCGGTGCCAAAGCAGTTTAGATTTCGGGGTCCATTTGCATAGTCGCCGAACATCCATTGCATTAGCATGTCTGGATCCAGCTGGACAGGGATCTTTAGCGGATCCGCTTTCGACGATCCATCTCTCGAGGTTGATGCTGCCCTACGCATAGGCATGGCAGCCGTGCAGTTGATGAAAGGGCTAGGAAAGGAGATGCAGAAGAAAGAAGGAAAGAAAAAGACACTGCGGAGCAAGGTTGCTTTGGAGCCGCCTGTTGGTGCATTCATTGCACAGCAGCAGCATGGGATCAATCACATTGGATTCCGGACAAAAGGTCTAGGTAGTAGGCTGAAGGATACCTGTGACTACCCATCTGCGACGATACATCTCCAGACTTCCATGCCCTGTAAATGTGTAAGCAGAGGACGGCGTTTGCACGGCCACGCTGCCGCCGCATTCATTTATTTTCCTCAGCCTCAGCGCTGTGAACAGGGAAGCCATGCAAGGCAGAACGGTGGCAGTACCTACATGGTGTTCTGCTACGACTTGGAAGCACACGCAAATACAATACTACCTGTATACACGCAACCAATAACATGCCGTATGGGTGCATAGCAGATAACAGAGTCCACGACGGACATTACTTCATACGCTTGTTCGGATACATGCTAAGCTTGTCCCGGGGATGCCAGAAAGCATTCGCAGCGCAGGATATGAATCCCTGTCGAGGCGAGCATCACATCTGGGTGTCCACTGACGGAAGATTTCCTCTTGTACGTGAGAAAGCGGGATGTATTCCGTAGTGCCATCCTCACAAAAGTGTTACTCGCAGATGGATGCTACTCTATTCTGATTGAAGGCTCGCCATAAGCGTGTACGTCGGTATCGTCAGAAGTGCATATGAGGTTATACGTGTATGTACGGGGTGCTGGCTCATGCCTTGATACCCTAGAGAAAGGCAATACATGCATGTAGATATCAGCGCTTATACTACATGCCTTCGTCCCTCGCCGGCTTTCCCCTTTCTTCTCCCTTCTCGTCTCTGCTTTTTTCTCTTCTCGGTCCTATTTCCTTACACCTACCGTCACCTAACGAGTCATTTCCAACCCTTCTCTCCGGCCCTCACTGCACCGACTAAGCAACGTTTTCACCGTTGCCCTCGGGCTTCAGCTCCGCGATGTTCTGCAGGGCTGACAGGTAGCAACGCTCTAAAATGTCAATCGACTCCATCCCACCGATGTTGCATAAACAACCTCCAGTTCAGCTCATATTCCTCGTGACTCGAGCTGCTCTATCTTGAGCGGCTGGGCTGCAGCAAACCCCCTGCTCGAGGTTAAGCACACCACACGTACGGCGGTCTCCAACGTCACATCTCACATATATGCCGGGCGAGAAAGTGTGTTCCATAAATTGGGGCAGAGATTCGTCTGCTCGTATCTCAACAGAAGCCTTGTTCCTTGAACCTTGAACAGGCGACAAGGGGAATTTCCTCAGCCTTTTATTTTTCCCATTCATCAGTGAATGGCTCTCCTTGCACACGCCCCCCCCTGTCCAAGCAAAATGACATTCCATCCACAGGCTAAGCCTAGGGGAGACGATAATCTTCCTAGGCCCCACACCAGGCGTTTAGATGGCAGCTGAACAAGTTGGTGGGGATGACGTTTGGAAATGCTACTGGCTGCTGCTGCGATGCAACTTAATATGGGGAGCGCAGCCTTCTTGCGCGTGCAGGTTGCAAGTCCGCACACTGCTGGTATAAGACGGGGATAAGGCAGCAGGATGGAGACATGTAAACAGCACGGGAAGATGATAGATGATAGCGGGAGATAAAGAGAAGAAGAAGAGAGACCAAAGCTGAAAGCCGCAACGGGGGGCCGCCGTTTGATTTGCTCGGCGGGTCGGTCCGCCCAGCTCGAGAAGAGAAGAGAGACAGAGCAGGGTCTTTGCTCGTACACTTTCCCATGTTTGGAAATGCATATCCCATCCTCACCGTTTTCTCTCCACTGCGCTTGTTGCTTTAGCGGCGCTGTGGTGATGCTGGTAATGTCTACTATTCCGTCTGATATACCATGTGCTCAATATGTATCCAGCTGTAATTCTCCGTGGTGTCCCAGTATGCCACTGCATGCTACGGGCAGATATCACGGAGCTGCCAATCCCGGGAGCAGCAGCATACGCCCGCGTCTGCACTTGATGCCAAGTAGTGCAGTGCTGGCAACTGAAGATACACCAAAGAGTATCACAATGGGATCGTCAAGAGCTAGCCTTGATTTGCACAACGTCCCAATAGTTGATGTGTGCCGTGCCTTGCATATCGTCGACGCTATTTAGCGCGCGACAATGAAGCCCATACTCCATCTTGCTCTACGGCATCCATCCCAAGTCCTGTATCTCCAAGAGCCTCATCTCCCATGCACTCCAGCCTTATTAAAATCAGAGGCGAAAAAAAAAAAAAAAAAAAAAAAAAAACTTCTACTATTGTCCACGCACGAGGCTAAACCTGCAATTTTAACAGCAATGATTCATTCAATGTAACCCAAAACAACTTCATGCACCTTCTTAACCGCCGAGTGCCTGTCCCTTTCCCCAAAAACACCCAAAGTTTCTATTTACGGCACACGCTCCTCGCCCCTCATTGGTCCGGCACTTTTCACCCAAGCGCCCTGTCTAAGAAACAACGCCTCTAGAATGCGACCCCAGATTATCATCATCTTTGACTCAATCCAATTGCACGCGGCATCTTCTTGTTCCTCTCGCTTTTCATTGGCGACGCAGCGTCAAGACGGCAGATAGCAGCGCGGCTAAAAGATGCATCTCCATCGCCGGCGTGGAGTTGACTGCATTGCGCTGTGCATGCCATTGGCTGGGGGCTCAACATCATGATGGATCTGAGATTCTCGAAGCGCCGGGAGATGATCTCGCGGAAATCTACATCTACGCCGTGTTTCCCCCCAGGATTCCATCATGTATGTTTCGTGGTAAGCAAGTCTTGTCCAAACAAACCGTCTCTTTTCGTTTCTCTGCGTCTTTTCTCTTTTTCTTTTCTCTATTCGCCGTCTTTCATTTTCCCTTTTCAGCCCTCGTCTTCTTCTGTTTAGTCGTCCAAAAAGATACCCCCTTCCCAACATCTCACATTTCTCTCCTTCAAAATGTCCAGCCTCAAAAACGAACTGTCCTCTTCCGACTTTGAAGTCGAAGCCCAAGGCTCCGAGCGACACTCCCAGCTGCAGTCGAAGCACCGCCTCATCGGCATTGTTCACAGTTCTCGAATCGCCCTGACGGTCCTGGCCCTGGCGGCCGGCATCACCATCCTGGGTGTTTCGGCCAACGGACTGCTTGTCTACCACGAGACGTATCTCCCCGCCGAATTCTACCTCTCATTATGGCCGGCTCAGTTCGATCTGCGTCCCACGGCCGCATTGATTGCTGGCGGAGTCATTGTTACCGTGGCCAACGTTGTGTCACTCTTCTTCAGCAAGGTCCAAGCCGTAAGTATTTGGCCATGCCATTCGAGTTTTGCCTTCACTCATTAATGTTATTGGCAATACAGCTCCGTAGCCTGACGGGACCCCACGCAATTGCCAGCATCGCAGCCCCAGCTATTGGCTTCATTGCTTCCCTTGTCGCCATGTCTCTCTTTTACGCCGTCAACACCTCCTCCACAGTCGACAGCCTCCAGAGCTGGACATGCCGCTGGACCGACGTGCCCACAACCGCCCAGCCGCACTTTGGCGCTCTGTGCAAGCAAAGCCAGGCTGGTGTCATACTATCAGTGTTGCTTGTTCCACTGGAAGCGGCCATTCTGGGAGTGGCGGGCTACCAGGCTATCCTGGAGCGAAAGGCCACAAAGGCATGATTTGTACGGACCATGCCTGAGCCTGCGACAGAAGAGAGGGTTGAAGGAAGCTGCCTTGGAATACTGTAAGGGTGGCTTATTGAGACGGTGTCGTGCTCTTCCGGTGTACACTAGGAATGGGCTACATGCTTTTCAGTTAGATGTATTTTAATTACTTTTCTTCTTGGTGCAACATGTGCAGCATGTGCAGCAGTAATGCTGAATGTATATGCGCATACAGAGCAGCCAAGTTGTATAATTTTACCACGTTTTTGAAGAATATGAATGATAATTCTGCACCTTTTTCTTCCTGTGATCGCAAAATGTCGACTGCCTTTTGATACCTTGGCTGAGATTGCAAGCATCCGCTCGTGTTTCTGTAGGCTAGCCGCAAACCGGTTATTAGAGTGGTCTGTGTGACGATTTTCTTCCCATCGAGATGGAAAATTGAAAGGATGCGGGTAACGGGATGTGAAACAAAAACGAGTGGTGGATATGGAAGCTGCGCGGATGGTACAGTGTCTGTGGCAATCTCTCGTGCCAGATGGCTGTGTGTGAGACTTTTGTCAGTTTCTGTTGACATGCTCACAAACAAAACAAAACAAAACAAAAAAAAAAAAAAAAAAAAAAAAAAAAAAAAAAAAAAAAAAAAGGAAAAAAGGTCATTCTAGGTTCTTGGATGTAGTGAAATAAGCACATCCTACGCGTTTACTCAGATGGATATGTGTATTTACACATGCACTCATCTTTTTAACTCCAACCTTTGAAACTTATTAGAAAAGCCCTAACCCAGCATCAACATTGGCATCAGCAGTATATACGACCTGCGCCAAAGAAAGAGCGAAATATCTCTAGACCTATTGCTACTACTGTCCATAGACCCGTAATGGATCAGCAACCATCTCCGTCTCCTCTAGCACAAAGAACCCCGGTCGTCAGAATCACGGAGCCATCCCAAGATACAGCAGCAGCAGCACCCCCTTCTCCCACACCTGAGAGAAAACTCAAGACTAAAGCCAAGATGTCTAGCTTGGAGACTGTTCTGGAAAGCGATTCTCGAATCCATCATGGCTTATCGCCAGATGATGCAACCAGGCCCGTTGCTAAAACAGCATCTTTAACTCCGCATGGTGAAAATGAGCGTCAGGCTGAGAAACGAAGCCAGTACTTTCACGACGCGCTTTACGAACGATCCGGACGGTGTTCAGCTACGGAAGCCGTACGAAGAGAGGCCTTGGTTTATGCCGAAGTGAGAACAAATGTTACGGCAAGCGTATTTCCACAGTAACTCTAATGTAGCAAAAGGCGTTTCTAACTGGGCCAGAAAACCAGGTTGAGGACGAGCAGCACTTTCTCATCACCTTCTCCCATCAGCTCGCCGCAAGGTACAATCGCTATCCCGCTTCCGCCGTTGTTTCTCTTGTCCACAGTCAATGCCTCTTCTTCGGCGGCTCATCGCATCCCGCCTACATCCTCACCGTTACGGCTCTCCCTTGCGAAATTCAACCGGCCACCAATAAGCGGAACACGGCTGTCTTGCAGAAACACATGGAAGCTATTCTTCGAGTCACCCCTTCCAGAGGGATGGTGCGCTTTGTCCCCATAGCAGAAGAGTGTCTCGCTTGGGGGAGTAAAACAGTTGCGGGACGGATTTCAGATGCTGTGGTTAAGGATAGAGAGATTGCAAGTGAAGGAGAAGGGAGCAGAGCGCGTGAGAGACGGATATTAAAGGTGCTTGCTGTGCTTTCTTTATACGTCCAATTCTGATTTGTATTAGTTTTGGTAACAGTGTCAGGCTAACTTTGAACAACAGTCACTATCGTTGCGAAGATCTACAGCAAACATTACGCCTCCGAATACACAGCCTCCAACTTCTTCAAACCAGGGGCAGGAAGCCGCCCGGAGCCCAGCTGCTCGCAAAGAATCTGCTGATAAGCCCGAGGGAGACGAGAACGTCAAAGCAGTTAAAAAGAAGAAGAGCATTATTCACACGCTGTTTAGGACAACAAAGGCTGAAGACGAGGACCCTTGATTATCCTGAGAGTGGACTTGACGCAGGTGGTGTATGAATTGAGGAGAGAAGAAGAAGAAGAAGAAGAAGAAGAAGAAGAAGAAGAAGAAGAAGAAGAAGAAGAAGAAGAAGAAGAAGAAGAAGAAGAAGAAGAAGAAGAAGNAGAAGAAGAAGAAGAAGAAGAAGAAGAAGAAGAAGAAGAAGAAGAAGAAGAAGAAGAAGAAGAAGAAGAAGAAGAAGAAGAAGAAGAAGAAGAAGACGGAAGTTGAGATGCATCAAGTTATAAAACAGATGAGAAGCAGCAGATTCTACCAATAATAATGGATGGCAATCATCTTACCTTACATGAGTGTATGAGGCGAAGCTGGACGTTGAACCACTTTTATTCGCTTGTAGCCCACTTTGAGGCCTTTTGGTCGCATTGGCTGATTCACAGATGGTTCTTCTTTGTTTTCACCTACTAGTATACAGATTCTAGTAATACTGCGTACTCCTCGGTATATTTCATGTTATGTAGGTACCTGGTATACATGTGCTGTACGGAGTATACATCATCAATTTGGCCTAAAAACACGTCGCTAGCTCGGATCGCCAGAAGCGCGTTTCTCATTAAGCAGTGGCGCTGACTAATAAACTGGACTCACCAAAACAGCTGCTGTAGGCACATGTACTCTGCTGTACACACCGCACAAGCCAATTCGAACCTCTGACTTCAACCCTCACTCTCATCCATTGGTGAAGCTTGGCTTCTGACGCTGCTACATGCCCAATTGCACTCGTGTCTTGTTTATTCGGGCTTTTTGCTTTGTTTCTTGCTGAAACATATTTGCTTTCTTTCTTTTCTTCGTCGTGCTCCCCCCTCCGGCCATGGCAGTCGCCTGCCCAATCTGCAACAAGCCCGTCAAGCCAACCGATATCAACGACCACATCGATTCCGGCTGCACAACCTTGATCTTCGATCAAAACACCCCGATACCTCCGCCCCAGCCCCAGCCATCCGCTCCAAATGGCGCGACGATCCCTGCCTCGCAGTCTCAGAAGCGCAGTGCTTCCAGCTTCTTCACGCCCACCCCCAAGCGGCAGATAACGGACCCTAAAGTCCAAACACCCATAAGCAACATCACATTCCCGCCGCTGGCCGGCAAGAAGCGGACGTTTGTCGAGGGCCCACAGGAAGACAAGAAGATGGAAGACGCGGCGCCAATCAACGGAGATGCGAATGGGAACGGGGCAGCAAATGCGGTAGACGACGATGGGCGAGCAATCAAGAAGACCAAGACACATCGCGCTGCCCCCCTCGCCGAGAGGATGCGGCCAAGGACGCTGGATGAAGTGTGTGGACAAGAGCTCGTCGGACCCAACGGCGTCTTGCGATCGCTCATCGAATCGGACCGCGTGCCGTCCATGATACTCTGGGGAGCTTCTGGAACTGGCAAAACCACAATTGCGAGGTGCATTGCCCAGATGGTGGGGAGCCGCTTCATCGAGCTCAACGCCACCAGCTCGGGCGTGCAGGAATGCAAGAAGCTGTTCCAGGAAGCCGCCAATGAGCTGCAACTCACGGGCCGCAAGACCATCATCTTTTGTGACGAGATCCACCGATTCAACAAAGCCCAGCAAGACGTCTTTCTGCGGCCCGTCGAAGCAGGCACCATCACGCTCATCGGCGCCACGACCGAGAATCCGTCTTTCAAAGTTGCCAATGCGCTGCTCTCTCGATGCCGAACATTCACACTGCGATCTCTCAGCACAGAAGACATTGTTGATATCCTGAGGCGGGCTCGTAAGGTGGAGGAGTCGGTTTACCCCCCTTCGCCTCTCATCGACGACGAGATGATGAGCTATCTTGCCCGCTTCAGCGACGGCGATGCCCGCACAGCCCTGAACCTTCTGGAGCTCGCTCTATCTCTCACCCTGCGCGAGGGCATGACGCAAGAAACCATGAAACAGTCCCTCACCAAGACCCTCGTCTACGATCGCGCTGGCGACCAACACTACGACACAATCTCCGCCTTCCACAAGTCTGTCCGAGGGAACGACCCGGACGCTGCTCTATACTATCTCGCACGCATGATCCAGTCTGGCGAAGATCCCCTGTTCATTGCCCGCCGCATGGTCGTCATCGCCTCGGAAGATGTCGGCCTAGCAGACAACACTCTCCTACCTCTTGCCACAGCCACCTATACGGCCACCCAGCAGATTGGCCTCCCCGAAGCCCGCATCCCCCTGGCCCACTGCGCCGTTGCTCTCTGCCTCGCGCCGAAGAGCACCCGCGCATATCGCGGTCTGAACAATGCCTTTGCTGCTCTGCGAGAGCCCGGCGTGGCGAGCTTGCCAGTTCCGCTGCACCTGAGAAACGCACCGACGAGATTAATGCGGGACCTGGGCTTTGGAGCAGAGTATAAATACCCGCCCAATTACAAGGACGGAAAAGTGAAACAGCAGTACCTTCCGGACGACCTAGTTGGCCGGACTTTTCTGGAGGCAAGAGATTTGGGGACGGTAGTTGATTATGATTACGAGATGAAGGATATGCCAACATGATATCTTTTTTTTGGGTGCTTTTAGAGCATTTGGGATTGGGATTGGGGTTTTTTTCCTAACAAGATTGACTTGCAAGCACTAGCATTGGAAAGATATAATGTCAAGCTGGATGCTTGACTTTTTTCATTTTGGATTGTATTACTACGGGAAAACAAACTGCGGCCACGACTACAATTGAGGAAAAGCTGGACATGGAACGATGTCTATTTATATGTATACTGGGCAGTGATTCTCTGTTGTAAGAGGTTTTTTTTTTTTTTTTTGTATATGATACCAACCGATAACGGCATAGAAAGCGGTTTTACTAAGCATAAAGGAAGGGGAAAATGGATATAGTATATATGGCAATCACAGGATATAAATGACTCTCACAGCATTATCAAGCAAAATCAATTTTGTTATTTTTTTTTTCTTTCTTTCTTCCTTTCCTCTGTTTCAAAATGAGGAAAAATAATTGGCGATTAATACCAATCATATATGCAAAACTATGGGTATATGGGAAAAAAAAATGCTACGTAAGGGGTATGTATTTATGATATGATGGTTGATGAGAGATATGAGAGATGTGTGACATGATGTGACGTGATGTAACATGATTTCGCTGCTTGATGCCCATTTCCTCCTCTTCTTTCCTTTTCATATGCCATTTGGTGCGAGATGATACAAAAAAAAAAAAAAAAAAAAAAAAACGAAAACGCCCATGCTAAATATGTGGATAGATAGGAGATTTATACATGTGTCGATGATATGTGCATCTACCTCCCCCCTTTTCAACGGCGTCAACAGACGCCATGCAACTTTGAATGCTTCGAAAGAAGAGCAGGTAAAAAAAAAAAGAAAAGAAAAGAAAACAAGAGAGGAGAGAGTTGAAGCTCCTCAATCAATCAGCCTGCTCTGCCACCGCTGCCGGTGCCGATGCCGGTGTCGTCGTTGCTTGCGCCAAAGTCACCGATCCATATCCAATTCCCTTCCGCCTTCCTCTCAACAGCGCGCCCAGAGCTTTCCCCAAAGCCGGCATATCAGTCAATATCGAAACATGTCCTCTGTCAGTGCTCACTCTCCCGCCCTTGGCAATGGAGTATCCCTCCGGCAGCATGCTCTCCCGGGCGAGCACCACGCCGTCGCCGGGTCGAAAGACCAGCTCGTCGTACGCGTCGGAGCAAGGAATGGCGTCGCGGCCGTTGACCCGGGCCGCGTACACGGTGGGGATGCTCTTGCCGTAGATTACGGCCAGGGGAGGATATGCGTTGGCCTCCTGGTGGGCTGGATTATGCGCCAGTTCTGAGCGGAACTGCTTGACAGATGCCAGCGTGCGGGTGAGATATTCGTAGTTGCGGCGGAAGAGTGCTGGGTCGATGGACGGCGAGGGCGGAGAGGGAGGCAAGTTGCTGTCGTGAGAGTAAGGGGCTTGAGAGGGCGGGATGCTCAAGGTGTGGCGGTGATTCTGGGGTTTGCGGCCACTGCTGCCGCCAAACTGCGGTGCCATGGAGGCGCGGCCCTGGGGATTGTTGTTGCTAGCAGCGGCATCGTCCTTGCTGGCTGGGTCGGGTCCCGACATGGAATTCCGCCTCTTGTCGGATTTGCTAGGCCGCAGCAGCGCATTAGGGAAGAAGGCGGCCAGGGGCGAATGTTGAGGTTGTTGATTGTAGGGCGGCAGAGGCGGTGCCACGCAGGGGCTCAGATGATACTTGACCCAGTTCTCCGGGTTGAAGAAGTCGACGGGATATTCCTCGCCAGTGTACTTGTCCAGGAAGAGGAATCCATCGTCTGGCAGCAACGCAAACGACGTGCGGATGGAGAAGTTGACCTGCGCGGTGAGCAGCTTGTCGTTGAACAGCACCGCGTCGCCATTGCGCATCGGCCCCAGGATGTTGATGCACCGCATGGGAGTTCCGCAGTACATGACGCCGGCAAACAGGTCCGGCTGCTGGTTCACCGCGTGGCGCGTAATCAGGCCGCCAAGGCTGTGCGCGATGACAATGGCGCCGCGAGACTCGATGGGCACGCCGAGCTGGTTCGAAGGCAAGGCTCGCAGAAACTCCAGGAGCCTCTTTGACGATCGAGCAGGGCTGAGCCGCCAGTCGTAGCCGTAGTCCCACACACGGAGACGCCCCGAGCGCGCGTTTTCGCATGAGCGCAGCTTCTTGAAGAACTTGCGCGAGATGTCAATGGGCCCAATGTGCTGCAGCATGCCGGATGGGAAGATGCGCTCCTCCATCGTCTCTTCGTCCTCATCGTCCAGGCCTACCTCGAGGTTCGCTTTTCGCAGGTTGAGCCCCAGCTTGACCGGCGCCCAGAGCTGCTGGTGCGGCGGCTCGGCAGATCGCAGGATCGAGCCACGATATCCTCCCATGACGACAATATCGCCCGTCAGCTCGTCCAAAACACGGTCAAGACGTTCCGAGTCGTCAATGGTAGTTTCCTTGGGGGCTTCCTTGGGAGCATCGAGGTTCTGCTTGGAATGATTGGCCGGCTCGTTGGAAAAGATGCCATTGAGGGATATGGTGGACCTCCTGGATATGGCCTGCAGCCCAGCCAAGCCCGGAATGTTGGGGATCTTGAAGTTGGGCACGTCGGGCAGGCTGTGCTTGATGGCCATGAAGCGGACGTTGACCATGTCGCGGACGTCGGTGAAGCGATCATCGTCGCCAAGAGAAGAGGCGCGAGACAGGCTGTGATACAGCATGCTGTCGTCAGACGTTGTCCTGCGCAGCAGCGGCGGTTTTGATGCTGCAGAAGCGGCACCGGCAGCAGCATCTGGACTTGACGGAGAATCAGGTGCATGCCGGGGAGGAGAATCCGAGGCGTGGCCGCCGCGGCGCCGGGAAGCGTCAGACCGGCTTCGATGGGTCAGTTTTCCATCCGCAAAGCTCGGCCGCAACGACTTGGGCAACGATGGGAGTAGATGCGAGGGGAATGCCTGCTGCAGCTTCTTCAGCGCCTCCTGGCCCGCTGATCTTGATCGTTGGCGAGTTGGCTCAAAGGCTGCATGGAGAATGCCGCGAGCTTCGCTAAAGGGCTTTCCATCCTTGGTCGACTGCTGAGATTTCCATGGAGAGGGCGGGCTTTGTCGTCGAGGCGAGGTCATGGGTGCAGGCCCCAGCGTAGGAACAGGCTTTCCATTGAGTTGAGTTTCCGGCAGAGGAAGAGACGTCGATTGAGGCAGCGATGGCGCTGTCGCTTCCGGCGTTGTGTCTCCATCTCCGTCGTCGTCGCCATATACTTGCGGCTCGTCAAAGTAGCCGTGGCCTCCTGGCCTCTGCAGTGCCGCGGCCTTTTCGGTTGCGGGCGTGCGTAACGAGGTCAGATGGCTGGCTGCTGCGCTCATGGCAGGCTGCAGAAAGGCCTGGGCGTCATCCTGGTCCCGGCACACGGAGTCATCCGAAAGATTCTCATCCTCGCCAGAGTCTCCGGCGTTGATGCCGGGTGGCGGCGGTGCCCCCGGCGCGGTCTTGGTGGCGTTCATTGTATTCGTGTGAGACTGTCTTGATCCATATGCTCCGTGCAATCCGAAGTCTGGATGTGATGTGATGTGCTAAAGAGTCACCTTGGCAAATAAAAAGGAGATTAAAAAGAAAAATGAGAAAATGAGAAAATTCAATTCCTCTGGGAGAGCTGGGATTAAATGCAAAGCAGCAGAGCTCTCTCTGCACCGCGGGCTGTGTGTGTTATCTGAACGTTTATATGACGTGAATGACAATCGACCAATAAGGGGTGCAGATCGATCTGGTTCAATGATGCTTGTTTGTTGTCCCTAGCGAACCAGTAGCCCGGGTAAGGCAGGCAGACGTCAGAAAGTAGGCTGGAGCTATGCAACGGCGGATGCGAGTGAGAAATCAAACAAGAACAGGGACAGGAACAGGAACAGGCGTGGCTCAGGTTCCGCGTATTTCAGGGTGCCAAGATCCTCTGCTTGGCTTGGGCGAAACGGCACGAGAGCAGAGCAGAGCAAAGCAAAGCACAATGGCCGAGGAAGGCCAAGAGCACAGGATCCAAAGCCTTATTATACAAGGCATGGGCTGAGGAAGCCGAGCCACCCGGCGCTGCGCACGCCTGGAGCAGCGGCCAACGAGCCAAAGCTCCGTGGATCGAAGAAAAAATAGAGTCGCACGCCGGGTCGTGATTGGCCGCCGCGGTGCTTAGCTGGGCCTGGCTAGAGCTGGTTGCTAGTCGCCTCTCCATAAAACGCAGCTCAGATACCGTCAGATCTGGACAGGGCCATCAGTTGGGCAGCCTCGGATCTGTAATACATACCTATTGGTACTCCTGCAGTAAAGCATCCATGGCAAAGGAACCTGGAATGGCGGCGTGCATGCGCCAGCACTAAGCCCAAAGCTGGCTGCAATCGTCGCCGGCGCAATTCCATGATTTCATTGCCATCGTCCATGTCCGCCAGGGCCGTCCCTTGCACTGCGGACGAACAGACTCGCAGCAAGGCCGACTGCGCTACGGGTCTGGCTGGATCCCGCCAAAAGCCCCCAGCCTCCCGTGTTTTGCTCTTCTCCCACTGCTGCCACGATCGTGCATGGTACAGTGTTGTTGTATGTGATGTATGTGTTGTATGGGTACACCAAGTCCAAGCAGTGCTAGCAGCATCGACAAACCCCCGTCTTGTCCGTCCTTCATCCGCATTTTCCCATGTGATTGATGGCATCTGGCCGGACTTGACTCGATCCCGCCCCGGTTTTTCACCACCGTTATGTACTTTATATACCGCAAGTTCCCATGCAGTGTCGTGTGTCTGCATGGGGGTTTCGGGCCATTGTCTAGCAGAGATGCCAAAGATGATGCGTGATTCCAGCACATAGCTAGAACAGAAGCTCCAAACGGCGAGGGCAAGGCACTGGAGCCTCCTCCTCTGCCCCGTATTCCGCACCTCTGGCAGGCCCATCACCAGCCCCAGCGAGCGCGCTTACGTGTGTTTCTCCTTTTCTTCCCACGTTTTTGGTCGTTGCCGGTCCAAGCAGAATAAGATCAATGCTAATTATAACCGCGCTGGCAGCTTAACTCGACGCTAGATGAACTCGACGCTGCTTACGCTGCGGTACCTTTTTGTCCCCTTCTTTTTTACTTTTTGCACGCTTCCAAAGTTCAGGGACCGACCCGCGGATGAAGCCATGTGGCCAATGCCGACTGCAGAGATAGCCATGGGGGTGCGCCCGCATCCATCTTGACGGCAGAAGTCTGCTGTATGGAGGGGGGGCGTCGGTGCCTCGGACATTCGCATCGCAACTTGTTGCCGCGGACATTTGCATCGAATCTTGTTGCCGCATTCATGGTGGGCGGAGGCTTACACGCACCCGTAGAACAAAAGTGATATCGCTTATACGTAAAGACACTAATTCTATACGGATTCCATGCCCGTAAAAAGATTCTGGAAGACCGGATCAAGCCAGATTATGCAATGCAGCACACTGCCCAAGTGTTCAACAAGCAGAAACATAAACTTTGAAGAATTCATTATTCATTCATCCACTCTTCTTTTTGAACATCAGACAAGGGTACCTCTCCCAATTATAATTCAACAGGCCTTCTAAAAATTCCTCTACCACAAAGCAATGCTACAATTGCCTTTGTTCCTCGCCCTCAAACTACGGCAAAATGAAGCAAAGCCCCATTGACATCCCCATCCATCCCGTCATAGATATAGCTAATAGATCATAAAGAGAGGCTTTGATCAGTTGCTGATCTATACGTAATCAACACGCCATGGAATACTCATGCTGTATAGTCATGCTGGCCAGGTTTACGTTCAGAACAATGTCTGTGTTGCGGAGCGTTCCACCCATCTCACTGCAGCCGGCCTATTTGGGACATATTCAGCCGCCAAATATCAAACACTACTACATGCATCCTTGTACTACATCTGCAAATATCTCAGCCCTACAATTCTTGCCATTGTCAACTGCGCTCTTGCACACTCACCCTGCCTGTTTGTCTATCGCTTTTACAAGCTGCGGCGAGTTTATTACGTCTCCTTTAATCCATCAAAAGCAGGCTGTGAAAATGCCAACCTCCATCAGGATGAGGCTGAGCAGGAAAAATGCCTCTCTACTGTATGGACTATCGAGCACAGACTAAGAATCCTGTTCCAATTAATATCCCGAGAACAAAAAAACGCTGAGCCACCAAATCTTCTCTCATTGCCATCAACTGCAATATGCTATAGATGCCAGACTGACTAACATATCAAATTCCCCATAATAACGTGGCTTTTGTCCCCCATGCCTCGGCAAAACGCCACCCAATAGGGCCACTTTCGCTGCCATCGTTTGGCATCAACGCCTGCCTAGTGGCTGAAACCTTGTCACTGCCAGCATTCAACTCCAGTGACGACGTTTCTCTCTCCCAATCCTCTCTCACCTCCTCCAACAGCTCTAGACAGCCTTCACAGCCTCATCAACCAACCAATGCTGAAAGCATCTTGAAAACCAACTTCCTCCCACCATCCAACCCCTCAAGCTCTTCTTGCACGATGACGACACTCCAGCCCCGCCCTCCATACTCAGACGCCGAGCTGCTCGAGCTCTACCCGCCTCGCCTTCACCTCCAGCAAGTCCAGATCCTCCTCCGCCACGGCGAGCGAACGCCCATCAACGCCCGCTTCACCAACACCGGCCTCCCCGCCCACTGGCCCTACTGCAATGCCGTCCGCCACCTGCGCTCTGCCGTGCTGGGCCCCTCCGGCCCGGGCGCCGACCCGGACGTCAACCACACCTTCACCGACGTCCAGTGGCGGCGTCGCCTCGAGACCTTTGGCGCCGACGACGCCGCAGTCCCGGCCACGGGCCCCAACAGCGACAACAATCCCACGCTCGACGGCATCTGCGACTTCGGCATGCTGACCGACCGCGGCCGCGAGACCACCTACGCCCTCGGCACGCGCCTCCGCAAGCTCTACGTCGACCACCTCGGCTTCCTGCCCGCCAGCATCAACAACGCCGACTTCCTCTACCTGCGCGCGACGCCCATCCCGCGCGCCCTCGAGTCCATGCAGCAGGCCTTTCTCGGCCTCTACCCGCCTCACACCCGCGCCGCAGACTTCCCCCCGCTGACAATCGTCTCCCGCACGCCCGCCGACGAGACGCTCTTCCCAAACGACAGCAACTGCCGCCGCTTCGCCGCCCTCTCGCGCGCCTTTGCCAACCGCGCCGCCGAGCGCTGGAACGACTCTCCCGAGATGGCCTACCTGACCAAGAAGCTCGGCAAATACATGCCCGAGGACAGTCCCCGCGTGGCCGTCGACGGCAAGCCCCGCCTCAGCGGCCTCATGGACACGGTCAACTCCACGCTCGCCCACGGCCCGGCCACGCGCCTGCCCAAGGACTTTTACGACCCCAAGGCCCGATCCATCATGGACAAGATTGCCGTCGAGGAGTGGTATGCCGGCTACAAGGAGAGCGAGGAGTACCGCACGCTGGCAATTGGCGCGCTGCTGGGCGATGTCGTCTCCCGCATGGTCAGCAGCGCCGAGCGCAGCGTCCCGCTTCCCGACGAGGCGTTTGCACATGCCCCCGGCCAGGCGAAGCCCGAACAGGCGCCCACGAGCAAGAGCAAGAGCAGCAGCAGTCGCCGCATGAGCGATAACGAGGACGACGACGACGGCTTTCGATTCGGCCTCAGCGGCTGTCACGACACCACCCTCGCCGGCGTCCTCGCCAGTCTCGGCGCCTACAACGACAAAGCCTGGCCCCCTTTCACAAGTCACATCGCCATCGAGCTCTTCCGCGACGCTGAAAACGCCCCGCCATCTTCATCTTTATCATCATCTTCATCATGGTGGCCCTCATTCCTCCGCACGGCTTCTACCCCTTCCATCGGCCGCACCCCCACCCCAAGCCTCACAGACAAGCAAAAGGTTTCCATGCAGGGCTACTTTGTCCGCCTCCGCTACAACGACGAGCCCGTCACCGTCCCCGGCTGCAAGCTGCCCGGAAATCACCTCGCCGGCGACGAATCCTTCTGCACGCTCGCCGCCTTCAAGGCCATCGTCGACAAGTTCACCCCGCGCGACTGGAAGCAGCAGTGCCGCATGAACACAAAGGCTCCCGCTTTTCCTCAGAAGCCGGAACCTGCTGGGTTCTAAGTAGTGGCTGATGATGATGATGATGATGATGATGAAATAAAGCTTGAAGTAGTTTGTATTGTTTGATTAATGTCTTTGACTTTGAATAACAGTAGCCAATAGTAGTAATGTCATTCTGAGAGATGATAAGAAGAAGGAAGAAAAAAAAAAAGTAGATCCGTCTCTTTGGCTTCGTTAGGTAGATGGTTGATTTGAAAAAGAAAAAGATGGCGAATGGCGTTTACTATGATATACAGCATTTGGTTATACAAGAAGGACTGCGTGTAAACAAGGTAGATGAGATGGTAAATACTGTAAATCATTGCAAACAAAAAAGACACCCCATGCTTATACTTATATACACTCAGCTGTAATCAATTACAAATCTACAATGTTATACCTCTCATCACACACAGTATATCAAGCAAAATTTCATATGATATCATCTTATTCAATTGCTCTAGGCGATCGCCCATTAACAAAAGGAAACCTCCATAACGACATAGCATGCAGATGTGTATCCCTCCCCGCCTACAACAAACACCACCACCGGGGGTTTCCATTCATTACATGCCCCGGTTCTCATCTTCTTTTTCTTTTCAAGGGGGTTCGATTTCTTGTGTTTTTGTTTTCTTAAGCATTTTCATCATTGCCTAATTCCATTCCATACTCTCTTCCTATTAGATAGGCCATTGTTCATAAAAAAAAACAGCCGCTTGGATAATGAACATATATATATGTATCTCCGTGTTAAGCCAGGTTGCTTAAAAATCTTGCAGTTTCCTTTCTTCTCAGCGCTTTGGGGGGGAGGGGAGGGGGAGGGGTTAAAAACTCAGGGGGATTTGAAGTGGAAGGTTTTTTTAAAAAAAAAAAAGTTTTGAACATGGTACACCGAAGGAAGTAATTATGAAATATTGTTATAGAACAAAGATGCAAAAAAAAGAAAAAGGAAACATGGGAATGAGGAATCCATAAAACAAAGATTTAAGGACAAGGCAGAAGACTCCCAAAGCCAATTACAACAAATTAGGTAAATCCATCCCCGTAACCCCACTCTGTTCATATGCATTGAGAAGTCCCCTAGCAAGGGACTATCTACTATTCGTCAATTTGGCCTAGATTTAGTTGGCCACTTCCTCTTCCACCCAGCCATTCAGGCCTCCCTGGATAGCCAGGCCAAAGCCAGAGGCTCCCATACCACCGTAGCTGGCCTGGTACTGGTGACCACGCCTCTCGCCGTGGCTGCCGTTGCTCTCCGAAGGGCTGATGCCTCCGTTCTCGAATCCAGGCGCAAGGACCGGGAGACTGACGGCGCGGCTGTGCTGGCCACGACCGTTGCCGGGGGCAAGCAGACCGCCGATAGTAGTGGCATTGGACATGCCACCGTTCATGGAATATCCATTGGAAATGCTAGCAGACTGTCCGTGTCCGCCAATAGGGCCCTGTTGAGGGACGTCTAGTGACAAATCATTCGACTGGGCAGTGTTGAACAGAATGTTTTGCTGTACCGACATCTGCTGCTGTTGCTGTTGCTGCTGGTGAGCCTGCTGTTGCATGTGGCTCAGGTACATCGTCAGCGGATTGTTTGAAGCATTGAACAGAGCTGCCGCCGGCTGTGGTGTGTTTCCGTTGGATGGCGAGTTGCTGTTCTGTGAGCCGTTGGGAGGCGGCGACGAGACGCCATCACCACGAGGAGATGAGCTCTGCTGGGCCTGGCGAGGGGCGTTGCCGCATCGATCCTTTCCAAAGTTGACCTTGAACTTTTTGTACTCCTCCTTGCCGCGGATGGCCTCGATGGCCTTGATGGCGTTTGCGATGTTGGTGAAGTTGACAAAGGCGCAGCTCTTCTCGCGGAGAGCGTTGACCAGCTCAATCTCACCGTACTCGGTAAAGTCCTGGCGCAGTCGCTCCTCCGTCCAAGTCTCATCCAGGTTACCAATGTAGACGTTACGCGAAGCTCCACCGCTAACAGCGAGAGCAATAGCAGGTGGCAGGGCACCAGAATGCTTGCCCCAGCCAATCTTGAGTCTTCGGTTGTGAATCATCAGACCCTGCAGGTTGCTGAGGGCATAGAATGACGCGGCAGCTGTGGGGTCAATAAAGGTCACAAAGCAGATGTGCTTGTCTGGGATGTAGCGGATGTGGTGCAACAGACCGCCTCGGACGACGTTGCAAATCTCCTCAATCGTAGTTTCCGGGTGGATGTTGCCGAGGTAGATGGTTCGATTGCCCAGGTTGTTCATTCCGCCAGCGCTTGTGGCGACAGCGGCCGCAGCCACGGACTGCTGAGCGAGGGCATTGGAGATGAGGTCGCGGTCGGCACCGGTAAGCATGTGCGCATAGCCAGGGGCGATTCCCAAATACTGGGCGGCGTTTTGCTGCTGAGTTTTTGAGACGTAGGCGCATCTATCCTTGCCGTAATACACACGGCGGGGGGCCTGCCACTTGGCCTCCTGGGGCAACTGGGTCACAGCCTTGATCGCGTTGGCAATGGACAGGTAGTGAACGAAAGCAATGTTCTTCTCGCGAACAATCTTTATGGTGTCAATGGCACCAAACTTGGCAAGGTCTTCGCGCAGTTCCTCGTCGGAGACCTCCTCAGGCAGGTTGCCCAGGTAGACGTTTCGGGACGCGCCAGACTGCTGGACAGCGAGCGCGACGGACGTGGGGACCTGGGACGGCTTGCCCCAGCCAACCTTGATATCTTGACCCTTGATACACAGCTTCTTCAGTATGGCATCAGAGTGGAAGTGGGTGGCGGAGCTAGCATCCAGGAAAGAGATGAAGGCGCAGTTCTTGTCGGGCAGCAGGCGGACGGACTCAATCTGACCACTTCTAACATGGCCCAGGATCTCCTCAGCGCTGGTGTCCGGAGGAATGTTGCCGAGATAGACGGTTCGGCTAGTGCCAGTCACCACGCCAGCGCCCATGGAAACGGGAGACGTAGGCTGAATCGGGCTCTGCATACCGTAAGCTCCAGTAGGCGACTGGGGAGGGAAGAATGAGGGCGCTCCGTAAGTCGAAGGAGACACTAGAGCCTGGTAATTCTGGGGAGACATGTTGCCCTGCACAGGGCTCGAAATGCCGCCATTGTGCTGCTGGCCGTTGGACTGCTGGTGCTGAGTCTGTTGGAAAGCAGACAGGCCCTGAAACTGAGGGCTGCCAAAGGCGGCTGGGCTTCCGGGCTGGAAGGGGCTACCGAGGAGCAGCTGCGAGGGGAGCAGAGGCGTGAACTGCATGTCAAAAGCCGTGCCTGGGGTCATATCGTGGCCATTCGCCTGGTTCTGGCTCATGTTCTGAGTGTTGAGCGAGGGAATGTTTGCGCGACGAGGGTGACGGTCAGCAAAGCCCGAGACGTTAGAGGTGAAGGCCCCATGCGAAAAGCCAGTATCGCTGTTGGAAGGCTTGGAAGCATGACCAAAGCGCGTACCGTTGGTACCGTTGGGTGCTCCCTGGCCAGCAGATCCGTTGAGTTCCTGCATCCCGAGAAGGTGAGGGGGGACAAGGGAGTCCCGCCCAGCGTGACCAAGAACAGCCGTTTTGAGAGATTTCAGCGTGCCCGGACAAGGCACGAAAACAGGAGACGGATGAGAGAGATTCGAGCAACCGGATTGGTCACGGAACGTTGGATTGCTGAGTTGCTGTGAAAAATCGACCTTGTCCAAAAAGAAGATGCAACGAGTCTCTTGGACGAACTAGGTCGTGAGGTCCACCACAGATCAAATCGCTGTACTATAAAAAGGGGGGGCCGGCGAATGGACAGGGGGTATGTATGCAAAAGCGTCCGTTTTTTTTTTTATCGAAGCAGATTATGAACTGAGAGTCGAGAATGTCCAATTTCCAAGAATTGCAAATATTAAAAAGGCAATAATATGCAAGCTCCTAACAACATAAAGACGGGCCGTAAGCTGCGAAATTGACGAGCCGTTCGGCGTAACGAAAAGAACCGATAACTGGATAAAGCAGGTACGGGTATAATCGAAGAGTGTCGGTGAGCGAGGGTAGCAAAGGCTGGAGGGACGAATAGAGAAGGCCGCAGGGGAGGCGAAGTCCTCGATATGCGAAGAAGCGGATTAGTCGAGCAATAATATTAGTAAGAAATATGAGCAGAATGAACGTGGCCAAACGGTCGAGGCGGCGGTTCCAAGTCGACGAGAGACGGGCAGTCTGCCGCAGAGTTGACGGCGAGCTTTGGCGAACAGGCCAGGGCCCAATTGGCTTCCCAACACTGCGATTGAGGCTGCTGGCTTCAAAGACGCTCCAGTCGATCCAGCTAGGGAAAACGACACGGGTCGAGGTTGCGAACAGTCTAGGGCCTGGCGCAGTTGACTTGTAGGAGGAAAGCTCAGTCGGGGGGCCGGGGGATAAAAAAAGAATAACAAGAGGAGCAGCAAGAGAAGAGAGAGAAGAGAGAGAAACGATGGAGCAAATGAAGAGAAAAGAGCAATAAGGGATGAACAGAAATAACGGGCCAAAGGCGAGGCGTGCTCGTAGGACCAGCGGGTATTTTTCTGGCAGAGCGCAACGCGAGCAAGGGGCCGCAAGGGGAGAAGATAAACTAGAAGAAACCCTGAAAGGTCTAGGAGAAAAGAGGGCCGGGCAGAAGCTCGTACAAGGACGAAGGTAGGAGGCGGACGAGGAGCAAAAGCGAGTGGAGGGACAGACAGGAGAGGAAGCGAAAGAGAGAAGCGGACGAGAAGAGAAGACCAGGGGGTTGGATTGGATTTGGATTGGTTTGGTTTAGGTGGTGACCGGTTTCCCTGTACCTGTACCCGTGGGAGTACCGGGTACAAAGGGGTACGAGCGGTGCTCTGCAGCTATAGTGGAAGCAGCGCTGTAATACAGCAGGTATAGCAGCAGCCGCAGCTACAGCAGAAGGAGCTAGAATACGAAGGGGGGAAAAAGGCTACACATGGCAGCTATATTAGCAGACACACAAGGTGTTTACTCATGTTTAAAAAGAAAGAAACAAAGAAGAGGCAGAAAAGAGTCGCAAATACTAGGTATTATCGATGCCCTGGCCACAGCATACGGGCGTGGTGCAAACAGCAAATGGAGCCTGCCAACGGCAAGCAGCTCAGGTACCCTCCCTTGTACCCGCTACTTGGCGCAATGCTGCTTCTCCGGGGCCAGACCTTTATGATTGAGATGGACAGTTGCCCAAACGGGACGGGGATGGAATTGGCTGCGGTGGCAGTTTAATGACCCGGCGCAGGGGTTTGCAGCTGCACCACCGCCTAGTAGCGCTAACGAGCCACTGAGGAGAGCCACTGGCGCGCGGTTTAGGGGTTGCAGTGGCGTGCAGAGTCCATCTGACAGGGGGGGCAGGAGGCTTTGTCGAACCTTGAGCTTTTTTTCTTTGGGGGGGAAGCACGCGCTCCTCATGTATCTATCCATAGTGAAACAGCTGTAGCGGTACCCTGCCCTTTTCCAGAGAAGCGTTTCCTTTTACATTTTAGCGCAGTGGAGCTTTGCGGGAATGTGGCCCTTTTTTTTTTCTTATACATCTTTATCCTTTTTTTCCCTCTCTTTTCTTTTTGCTCGTCGAATGTTGAAGACATTTGGGGCAGCCGACGCCTCGCCTAATACGAAGCAAGCAAGATATATACCTTGCATGGCACTTATTACACACGAGAATACGGACAGCACAGACAATTACTTGTAAGCAGTGCTTGTATGCCCTGCGCATGTAGTCAGTATCTGCCTTGGTAGTAGTGCCTAGTACTGCAGCAGGCAATAGAATAGGCGCAAGGCTTTCCCCCTCGATACAGCAGTAAGTACTGTAGCAGCGGCTCAGCAGCAGCGCATCTTTCCGAAGGCCGATTTGCCAGTTTGGAAAAAGGTTCACGATCGCGCCGTGGGATTGGCTGGCCGCGCTGGGATTAGACGGATGCGGCCTCCGTACTGGGTTAGAGCACACAGCAAGCAGGTACTCGTACATGCTGCACAGAAAAGACACGGAGAGGGGGATCCATAACTCGCTGTCAGACGGGGTCAAAGAACCATTGAAGGACCGCCTCCTGGCGCTCTGCTGTCCACGTCAAAGCTGGCAACACACGGCATAAATGGGATCAAAATTGCAGGAAGCAGGCTCATGTGCTGCCCTGCATATTGGTGGTGTAAGCTGTGCAAACTCTAAAGCAAGTCTTCACATGTCAGAGGCGTGGGCGGAGAGCAAAGCACGCATCAAGGATACCGGACGCTATCAAACTAAACTCACGAGGAGCCAGTGAAGCCACGAGTGCTGTAAAATCAAATATGCACATGAAGCCAGATATACACGCAGCTCTGCTCCCACGCAAAAGGAGGAGATTGGGCCTGGCCTGAGCCGCCCAGCCGCAATTCTCACCGCCACGCCTCCAGCAGTAGCGGTACTTGGCCGTGCTAAGAATCCTAGGTGCAGCCATGGCTTGCGCGGTTCGCTGGGCTTCTCCATCTCGACCGCGTCCTAGCGATTCTGCCGTGTACAATTTCGCCGCCTCATGCAGGACAACCCCATTGTCATCTTATTCACTGCGCCTAGCCCCGCGTGCCTGTAGAGGCTTGTCTCGTGGCGGCGGCGGCGGTGGTGCAGCAGCGCATAGCACCTACAAGCACAAGCAGGTATATTCTATTCTTGCTAATTACAAAGCGCTACTAGTGGCAATAGTGGGATGCAGCACGGTGCCTCCCTCCTTGTAGCTTCGATGGACAGTCATCTGCCGCTGCGTGATGTTGCATTTTGCATTGACGAGCTCGGAATGCGCCGCCGCCCCAGCTCCAGCGGCGGCGGCAAGACTTGGGCACAGGGTCTAGTCCACGCTGGCTACACGCAATGCCGTTGATGCAGTTGCAACCACGGGTCGACTAGAGTTCATTTCCCTCGTAGCTCGTGGCTCGTATTTTCATTTTACAGTTTAATACAGCCAGACGGGGACCAACGATGCATGCAAACGGGGGGCCCAGAGCCAACAACGAGACGAGCCAGGCACGACACTTGTGAGCGAGCAAAGTGGCTTCAACGAAAGCAGCCAGGCGAGATGCAATAATAGCAACGGCCCCGGCGCGATTACGCTGCGTGAAAGCAAATACTGGTACCAAGACCCTCATTTCTCCAACAATAATACAACGCAAGTGGTGCCGCCACCCATCGTGCGGAGTCTGCTGTGGGCATTGCCATGAGCAGGCCTCTGAGCCATGGGTGAAACGAAGCACCCCCAGAATACCTACCACCAGACAAGCTCAATGGCATGACGGCTAGATCGGAAGGGGGTCGTGGCTGTGTGATGCCGCTGCTTGCTCTTATAACACATGCTAATATTACTTGCATCTACTTGTACCAAGGCTGCTCAATACTTGCCAAATCATCATCTTGGCCGCGGAGAAAATCTACCTGAGCCGCAGCTCTTCGTACGACAATAAGCGATTCCCAGCCATCATCTTAGCCCTAAACTTAAGGAGGCGTCGAGTAGCATGTGGCAATTTTGGAGTAATTCTGCTGTTTTTTTTTTTTTTTTTTTTTTTTTTTTAGTTTTTTTTTTTTCTTGTTCACCCTTTTTTTCTTTTTTTTTTTTTTTTTTTTTTTTTTTTTTTTTTCGAGAGCTTTGCTCTCTAAAAATAAAGCGCTCTTGCAGCACAGGGCTTTAACCGTTTCCAGGCAGGGCTCTCGCAACTCCGCATTATCGTGGCCGTCTCTTCTGGTACCTTGCATAACCGCCCGACGCCAATGCGGGAAGAACACACGCAGGTCGCATTGATCTTGACGATGCGTGAGAAAAGGCAGCAAAGATGAAAAAATAACCCTGCAATATAATGTTATGTATGCGGGGGGCGGAATCACTTGCAGTAGATGATTGACTTCCTCAAGCATTGATCGATATTGATCGGCATTGTTAAAAGCAGAGGTGCTCATACTGATGTGCTGTTCACGAATCATGAGGCGAGCAGCACTCAAAAACTCGAACTCTGTAGCCATGCCACAAAACACATTCTCGATCAGTAACGAATGCGATTAGGGCCCCTCCACCCAAGTTCTTTGAAGCCAAGATATCGAGCCTGGGGATACATACTTGGCACTGTATGCCTAAAGGATTACTCGGCGCCGTCAATTTCCACAATTGCAGGCTCGTTTCGGTGACCGAGTAATGTTGTGGCTTGCTCGCTAGAATTCGAAGCGTACGAGAGAAAAAGAAAGCTACAGCTAGAGGAAAACTAGCAAACGAGAACTAAACAAGCGTCATTAAACTATCCATTAGTTGGCGGTTTTAGGTCAGAGAGAAAAAGGAGACAATCCAACTGACATTGGTCAATGCGTAGTTCCGTATCTTTAGTGCCGCTGGACGCATAATACCTACGGGCAATAGCAATAGCGATAGGTAGGTACTTACTTGTAGAGATCAGCATCATGTCTGGTCTATTCTCCGCTTCAAACGATGGGGTGGTAAACTCGGCTTCTATTTAAGGAACACATAGTATTTACTATACAAACACTTGGTTAAGAAATGAATGTAATATAGCAAATCTGGAGAGCAGAAAACGGACTCAAAGTCTTAGTTCGCTGTATCAAAACCTCCCATGTCAACTTGCTCCTCCTCCAGACACAACATCGATTCACCCATATACATATATATACCACTTTCATCTTCTACAACCCAATCCATTGAAACCTTTTCCATTTTCAACAAGCAAAGCACAAGAAACCATTACTTCATCCAGTCATAAATATTTCGTCAACCTAACCCACCTCATCTTCCCCCTAGAACATCAAAAACAGCCACAACTTGTCACTTCACAACTCACATCACAGCTCATCCTTCCCCCCAGCCTCCTTCTCCCCTCCCATCCCTCTCTTCACAATCGAGCTCACAATCTCATAAACCGCCTGCGCCGCCGCCAAAGCCGTCTCCTCCCCCCGTCCCTGATACGCCGGCGCAACCTCCACCACATCCGCCCCCACGACATTCAGCCCTTCCACCCCCCTCAAGATCCGAATCAGCTCCCTCGTCGTCCACCCGCCCGGCTCCGGCGTCCCCGTCCCGGGCGCAAACGCCGGGTCCAGCACGTCAATGTCCAGCGACAGATACACCGGCTCCTCCGTGCCCAGCACCCTCATGATGCCCTCGACGATGCCCGCCGTGCCAATGTCATCAATGTCGTCCGCCGAGAAGCGGATCCAGTTTTGCGCCTCGTCGTCTTCGTGGTCAAAGGCCGTGACGCCGCTGAGGCGCGTGCGCAGGCCGGCATGGACAGACGGCGAGTCGGTGGCGTTGGAAAGAAGACCTTCTTGGCTGGCCATCCAGAACATGGAGCCGTGGTTGAAGTGAGTCGAGCCCCAGTGGGAGGGATATCCAGCTGGATTCCAAGTGTCGAGATGTGCTATCCTCGTTTCTTAGTATGAATGGCGGAAAAAAAAAAAGTATCAAGACATATTAACTACCCAAGCTCTGTAAAAACAACTTACCATCAAAGTGAAGCACCCGAACAGGTCTCCCATATATCTCCTTCAACGCCCTCAGCGCAGGCAGCGAAAGGCTATGATCGCCACCCAATGTCACAATCTTGGGCTTCGAGCTCAGCGTTGAAACAGTCCCTCTCTTGCCAAGCTCCCTGAACGCCTGCGTCATCTGCTCTCTAGCAATGCCATTGTCAAAAGGAGTAATAGGAATGTCGCCGCAATCGACAATCCTGGCCCAGTTCTGGTACGGGTTGATGCCGGCTCGAGGGTTGAACCCGCGGTAAGCCGTCTGCCGGGCAGAGGCATGGCGAATAGCTCTCGGGCCAAAGCGAGCACCTGAATCAATTTGAATTGTCCAGTTATTGAAAAGTTTGATTTTTTTTTTTTTTTTTTTTTTTACCCCTAGGGGAATAATAACACTCACCTGGCCGGTAACTCACAGCTGTGTCAAACGGAGCTCCAACAATGGCGATATCAAACTTCTCGGCAGGGTTTGTCAAACACTTGACATAGTCCAAGTGCGCAAACGACCCAAACCCACTAAACGACCACTAACAACAAATGAAGAAGATTCAAACAGAGTCAGTTAAAGACCCATTATTTCATTGCTGCGCTGCAGCAAAAGAAACTCACATCGGTGCCCCATTCCGCCTCCAGCTCAGCCAGCTCCTCTTTTGTCCATTCCCTCCCGCCGTGCCCGCACCCCGCCGACATGCTACCCCAGAAAAGCCAGCTCAGCAGCACAGCCGACTTCATGTCTCCCACTTATCCTAGGCTTCTTCTTGATCGCTATGAGTAAAGAAGAAGAAGAAGAATAATAATAATATCTAATTTCAAATCATGAATAATAAGATGGTAGAACTAAGTAATTGTCAATCTCAAAAATCGAAAAAAGCACATCACTCCAATTTATATATGTGAAGCATACACCCAAACCCTCCTCATCGACGTCACACTACCTCCCTAGTAAAGAAGCGCCACCCGCCAATCTTCGGTACCACGTAATTCTCACATCTCCATCTCGACAAACTAGAAATAGAGAGTAAGAACATCGTATAGGCAGAAACAAGCGTCTATACGTATCTCAACCCAGCCAATAAAATATACAAGTCGCTATCCAGGTTGTCTTGCCTCCTCTGCCGTTCTATTGGGCCGTCCCGTCCCGTTTTCGCAGAGCAGCAACGAACATCAGATATCTAAAAAAGCATTGGTGGAGAAGCCCCTCCTCTTTCAATACCACATAAATGCAGTGAACCTGAACTGCCATCTTGGGAGAAGCGTCGTTCTCGAAGGACAAAAACATTTGACTTGGCTGGATAGGTCACCGTGATACTAGATAGCACCCCTCAACAAACGCTTGGCAGCTCTAATACTAAGGCGCAGATACTAGCTGGAAATATCGTCATTATAAATCCTCAGGGCTGCGCTTGCAAATCTTCACCGAGGAACTTCATCCTGGTGTGATGGGCCAATACTACGCGTCACTGAGGAGAGAGAAAAAAAAACGCGGGGAGACTGAAAATCATCCCACGGTTGCCGAAGCCTAGCTATCAACTCTATTCAAGTCTTGGATCCCTTGCACCTCCTATTATCCCCCACCAATGAATATATATTGAACATGGCAGAAGAAGAAAACAAGCTCTGCTTCAAATAACCATTTCACAAATGACACACGTTCAACGGCAGAGCAACAGCAAGATGAAGTAACAAGTAAGAAAGAAAAATGGCATAACAAAAGGTCCGGTCAATTTAACTGCACTCCCAATCGCCAAACTTTCCCATCGAAACATGCCTGTGTGCATTTTATAAGTTCCCTGGCCCAAAATATAGAGAGAAACAAGAATAGACAGGAACATGGATCCGGTCTCTGGTCTCGAGGCAATCGAGAAATGACGGAGAAATACGGGCAAGGGCTGCCAGCGACACAGCAGACCGCATCCAGGGAGCTCTAGCCACCATCCCATTTCATACCCATCGTGGAAGGGAATCCATGCCTTGATATCGCCAGGCACAAGGGAAAATCCATAGGCATATTTCTTCCTTGGCCAGAAAGCCAGAGAAAAAAAAAACAAAAATGGTCCCCCTCTCTAATTGCTAGTGAAACCAGCCATCATGGGTAGATAGAGCCCAGTTCCAAGTCTATTCGCTCCGTCCAAACACACATCCTCATCTCCAATTGACCTCGTCCCATGTATCCAGAACCCATCCCTTCTGGTCAACTGACCACCGAGTGAAACAATGGCAATATCCTATGAAGCAATTTCCCGAGGCTGTGGTTTATAGAACAAGGCACTTATGGGATTTTTTCTTGGGTGCCGGTGGCTCCAAAGCAGCAACGATGGCCTAGAAGAAGAATGTTAGCGGTGATGCTTGTTTTAATAAGGCAAAAAAGAAAAAGAAAGAAAGAAAGAAAGAAGAGAAAAGAATTCTTTCCCAACACAACCTACCTCGTCAAACACATCTTTGAGCTTGTACTGCGTCAACGCACTGCACTCGACGTATTTAACCGCGCCGAGGTCCTTCGCCATACGCTCACCGTCCTCTCGGCGGACGGGGGCCATCTTCTGCTTGGCAAGCTTCTCTCTGACGCTGGGGTCATCTCTCAAATCGACCTGAGTTCCAACAATGAGGCAGGGAACGCCAGGGCAGTGGTGGTGAACCTCAGGGAACCACTTCTCGCGAACGTTTTCGAATGATGCAGGGGAGGTGACGCTGAAGCAGACGAGGAAAACGTCGGTTTGGGGGTATGAGAGAGGACGCAGACGGTCATAATCCTCCTGTCCAGCGGTGTCGAACAGTCCCAGGGTATAGGGCTCATCGCCGATCCTATTCAGCGCAAGTCAGCCACTGAGTCCCATAAATGAAGGCCACTGACTCGGAAACAAGATTTCGCCAAGAGCCGTGATTAGGCCGTCTTTCAACTCAGCAGGATATTGGATTTTATTTGTCTGTTTTTCCCCCGTGCTCGCTCCAATGCGCGACACCTGAAAATCAAACATGTCCAATCGGCGAAATCGAAACGTCCGTCTTTCTCTCGATCTCTCTCCATTTCAGAAGGGGGGATGGGTTGGCTAGGAGAACCACTCACATGACGGTGACGGCATAGTTGTCGAAAACAGTCGGGACGTATTCCGAGGGGAATTTGTTGGTGGTGTAGCTGATGAGAAGACATGTCTTGCCGACGGCACCGTCGCCGACGACAACGCACCTGAAAGCGAATTGCCATGTTAGCGAGCAAGAAATGCAGATTCAGTCGACGATGGGGGGGTTGCAGAAAGAGGAAAAGGGCCATTGCAGCTTCATTGACCGCCCCCCCCCCCCTCCCTGTCAGCGTGTCGGGGACGATGACATCTTGGGGATCAACAAAGCGCCCTGTGATGCCGACATCGCAGCGTCGCTTAAAGGAGACGACCAGAAAAAAAAAAGAAGAAGCTGAGCAGAGGCGGCGATAGAAGAGCGGTAGAGCTGATGCAAAGGGGGGATGGAATGCAGGATGGCAGAGGGGCTTGCAGATTCGTACTTGATGGTTGCGACCACCATGGTGGTGCTGCGAATGCGGTTCCTGGACGAAGAGGGAGGTCTGACGACGGAGGATACGATCGAGGCGAAGATGCCTTATCGCAGCGCGGGCCGCGGGGGAGGGAGAGCAGATGCGAGGGCGAAGATTGGATGTTGCGAATTGAGGCTCTGGAGTTTTGGAGATTAATTTGGCGGAAGCAAGAGAGTCGTAGTGACAGTAGCAGCAGTAGCAGCAGTAGTGGCGGCGGTAAGTCAAGGTAATAGGTTGGAATGAGCCAGTGAGTGGATGCGTCTGGGGCGGGTATGGGCAAGCAGGTCAATGGGCGGAGGATGGATGGAGCCGACAGGCAGAGCGAGGCTTATCGACGGCGCAGAGGGCGAGGACAGAGGAGAGAAGAAAAGGTTGAGTTGGCTGAGGCCGGGTTCTGGGCCACGGTTAAGAGGGTTAAGAGGGTTGAGAGAGAGACGAAGCCTTTCTGCGCGGTGCTGGAGCCACCAGACCTCAAAATTCAGTTTTGTGCAACCCGCAGCAGCTGTGCAGTGTACAGGCGCTCTGTAGCGTTGGCAGGCAGCACGGGCTAGCAGTTGAAAGGCCCAGACGGGTAGCACCAAGAGGTGATTTGAATTAGCCGGGTGGTGCAGGCCTTCCAACGCTACTCTGCTGTGAGCTGGCCGTAGGACTGACGGGGGGGGACGGGGGGGCAAGCGACGAGGATGCTGGCCGTGCTGGAAGCCCTTTTAGCGGAGCCCGGCGTTGTTTGGCTTGGAACTGCTCGCAGCTACCGTCACCGAGTGGGAAGCTGACACAGCACAACTGGGCAGTATCAGTATTAGGGATGGAGGAGTTCCAGGCAGCGCTACTAGTGAGGTTACGGTATAGCAGTGCGAAGGCAGTTGAGTTAGGCTAGGCAGGCAGCAGCAGCAAGTAGAGCACAGTATCTATACTTGTGCGTGTATCATTGAGTGAGTGTACGAGCAATTGTGGCAAGAAGCAGCAGCTGGTGGCCTAGCTAAAATCAAAAGAGACAAATCAAATCAGGAGAAGGGCGGTGATTGGCTCCAGAGAGATGCGGCCGTACTCTGCACAGAGACACAGAAAAGAGACGGGGTTGGTGATGGCGCTCGGTGAAGCAGGCAGGGTGATTGGTGGGGGGATCCCGCCTGACTTGTTGCCTTTTATCGCAGCGGCTCCAGCGGCGGACCGCAAATCCAGCATGGCCATGGCAGCAAATGATCAGACCTGGAGCGTCTACGGCGCATTGCCGCAATGGATGTAATACAGCCTCGCGTACCCTCTGCAGGAGCCGGAGCATGTACTCTGCCGTCGGCATCCAAAATGTGCGGGCATCACATCTCGAACACACTCTGGACGCGTGCAGTAGCTACATGTACTGTGACTATATGCGGGCAGGCTGGTGGCTGAAGGGGGGCCCATACGTGCTGTACTGTAGCAGGCTAGCAGCAGCAGGAATTTGGGGGGGTCCTTCAATGCGTGACAACGGCGGACCAGGCCAGGGAGGCAGAAAAAGAGGCTGGGCGGTGGTTCGTTGACGATGGTCTAGTTTCCTGTTGCGGACAGGAGAGAAGAGGCCATTCAGGAGACATGCAGCGAGGCAGAGCACTCGCTCGCTGTTGGCAGTGCCTTCAATGCTGTATTATACAGAGCTGGCCATTGTACATGTCTTCATATTCTTATACTATTATACCAGGTAGCCATACAAATCAGTATTGATTGATACTCACACTGATCCGATGCTCTATGCTCGTCTTTTTGCGCCGGCACCCGCCATCTCCATTGAAAATGATGAGCAACAAGCGGAGGTACTGGCTACCAGACAAATGTCTATACCAACGGCGATGGGCCACCCAAGGCCCCTAGCCCCTGGCGGGTATCAGATACAACATGCAGCCAGTTGCGTGCGGGAGTACCTAAACATCAAACAAACAAAACAAAGCGATACAAGACCCTGTTGATTTGATTAGCATCGCCAAAGGCTTAAGATGACGTACATCAATCGCCCTCAACGCAATATTTACCAACGACATGACTACTACCACCGCCACCACCTCTTCCACCCCCCCTATGCAGGTACCATCACATTTCACTCTGCATTTGATGACGTGAGGTCCAAGCACACAGCGCTCTAGCACGCTTCAGCTGCAGTCTAAACGCCACTCGATGCATTGCGATGCAACCGCCAAGAGCCCAAAGAACCATAATCAAAGGAAGAAGAAAGAAGTCCTAAAGGGTGATCGCCGGGATCACGCATCCGGGGCTTCTTCCGCGTGGCCTCGTCCCCCCTTGCAAGCCCATCTGCCAAACCGGCTACTGCCAAACCAAAGTTTCAGCCCATGCAAGCCGCTGTCTACTTGGAGCAGCAGGAAAGGAGACAAACCATAAGTCAAATCGAAACGAGAACAAAAAATCAATCTTCCCGCGCGGATCTCTTTGTCTCACGTCGTCATCTCGATATCATTATTCATATTTACGGGGAGGGAAAGAGGAAGGACAAACAAAGAGGTATGCTATTTTTAATACTGCCACGACCAGCCCTCCCTACCCAAGACCCTGCCTGTTCACGATGACTTCGTTTTTTACTCCGTGTCCCTACTGTAGCATCTCAAAAAAGTGCACGTGAGCAGCCTCCTTAAACGAGATATACATTCTTCTTCTTTTTTTTCCCCCCCTCCTAGCGAGCTCGTTTCCACCATCAGGTGAAATCACCGCTGTGGCTTTTCTTCTTCATCTTCTCATCCCTGTCTCTCTCGATCTGCCCGCTTCGAATGGAACAACAGCCTCCTCTCTGCTCCGTAACTTGGCGCTGGTGTGAGTACTTGAAATTAAAATGACCACCTCACTAGCGGTTCCTCTCCCCGATTGCTGTCCACAAGCTTGTTTCGCGAAGCCCCCCCGGTACGGCTCATCTACTCATGCGTCGGCAATCAAACAAAGGTAATCTCCTAGAGCGCGATACGAAACACACCATGCGGCAATCATCCGACTGTTTCCCAAGCCTCAGAACGACAAGCCAAGCTACTGCTACTGCATATTACTGCCTACTACGGAGTACTAATACCTAGTATTACTACTTCTGCTACCGCCTAATACGGCCATCACTTAATACTACTCGTCACCTCGTACGGAGCGGCGCATTGTAAAATGAAGGGGAAGCGCAGATTGCAAATATGCACCTGACCATGTGCGATGCGCCCACGGGATTGCCTGTCGTGCTACGCTGCAGTTGCGCTTGCAGCTCACCGGTTTCGGTGAGAGCCTCTTCACAATGCAGGACAATAGATTGCATGCTGGTGTAACGACCCAAGCACCGCGACGGAAGATCAATGCATATTCCCGTGATTACACGGCAACTGCCATAATGAGCTTTGTGTCGATGCGGTGTGTCCCGTAGGCATTCTGTGTATTGTCCGAAAGCGTTATAACAATACTACTAGATAGATCATCGGTGGAATAGTTTGGTCATCTCATCCTTAACCTAGATGTAGATATATCTGGACAGTATTGAAAGCCAAAGCCCTCCTGAAATAGTGCGAAGTGATTGAGCCTATGATTTCACCAACCACGATTTGCTACTGCTGAACTTGATTAATTAGCCCAATTGAAGTTGAATTGTATTTTGACATTATTGGTGAGCAACGAGCTTCTTTGAACAACAAACCCGAGTTTCGCCATGAATATGACTGAATCACTTTTCAATGCTTGAAGTCAAGGGTAGGGCTGTTTTGGTGTGGAGTCAACAAAGCTTCTGTTACCCAGCTCGTTTTCATCGTAGCCAAGTTTGGGGGCGTGTTGAAGGTAAAATGTCCCTACTTTGAGAAGCCTGAAAAATGAATATCTTTCAAAATTATCTTCAATTCTCATCACGTTCCCAGAGCATATCAAGTCTCCGTAATACTCAGCACCGATTGTAGTACCTACGGTAGTGTAGCTGAAAAAGAACATCGAATAACGTGGCTCAGCTCGCTCACACACCCCCACCGCAGAATCTCAAGAGCCATGCACTGACGTCAGCCTTTCAACTCATTCGAACCATCTATCAACCAAGTCCTTAAAAAAATGGACCAGCAACACATTGATTCCCTACTGGAGCGCTACTTGTCCCTCATAGACGAGTATTCGCGCCTGAGAGCGGAGCTAACAAAGCTCCAGACCGGCGTTTATCAAAACATTGCCAGAGCCAACTTCACAGGCGAGCGGGGCATGAGATATGGCCAAGACCACTACGATGAGCGGATGCGCGCCCTGAGAGTGCTGGATATTGAGCTCGGAGAGGACAGCGTGCCGAATTTTACGATGAAGAACTTGGATCCTCCCGTTGATGGCGCTGCGGGCGATGGCAAGAGCCGGGAGGAGGCTGAAAAAGACAGCAAGGAAGAAGAGAAAGAAGGGGAAGAAAAGGCAGACGCTACCAGCACCCAGAACAATCCAGTAGAGAGCACCGAGGAGCAGCGAAATGACGAAAAGAACAAGGATGAAAAGAAGACAAAGAAATCGAATCACAACCCTCTCCACTGGTTCGGTCTGTTGGCACCCCAACCCCTTCGAACTGCTCAAATGCTATCTATCCAGGCCGTGGAAGAGGCCATCCCAAGACTCGTCGCTGTCAACGCCGAGATGGAGCACGTCGAAATTGAAATTCGCAGAGCAAAGAAGAAGAGAGCAAAGGCAATGGCTGCGTTGGCGGAAGAGAGGGAAGTTTCAAGGCAGGGGGCTGTCGAGGCGAGGTGATGAAGAGTTGGATCTGGAAGAGTAAAATATGCTAGTATTTGATGTTTTTTGGGGGGATAATATTGTGTAGTTATTAGGGGAATAGGAACTGATATAACTGATACAGCATTATTGAGCAAAGCTGTGAAGCAGATTCAAAAGTGTAACGGGTGAAATGTAATATCATTTGGCTTTGTTAAAAGCAGCAGAAGCAGTAGAAGCAGAAGGCGGCCAACGCAGCAAAAACAATCAATTACCAGTCACCCCCCCCCCCCCCCCCCCCCCCCCTTTTTTTTTTTTTTTTTTTTTAAAGGTCTTTTAGCGTCGGTGTTCTATCTCGTCAATAAAGGCAAAGCTGAAGCAGCTCTCTCCCCCCGGTTGGCATTTTTCGTAAACCTGCTTCGTAGGTTTGCCTAGTTACGCTATGTAGTTTTCATAATGAGTTACAAGTTGCCTAAAACCCCCAATACATCTTCAATATCCTCTCTCAAAAGGCCGTCTCTCGGAATCCCTCGTTCCAACTGCGTCGCAATACCCACCAACGCACTAACAGAATGCGCAAATCTCTTTCTCATGCCGGGACTCGCTTTAATCAATAACGCGCAGCACAACTGTAGTACCGCAACCTGGAGTTCCAACACAAGAGGAGATGGTTCTTGCTGGAGAAATACATCCCACGCTGCGACCGCAGTGATGAGGTTCATCCACTCCTCATTGGTACCGTTACTTTCCTCGGCAACTTGGAGAAGAACACGAACTATTTCGATGCCGCGAGACGTCTCACTTTCACTAATGGCAGAGGCATTTTGACGGAGGATTCCACTGAGGTCTTGGCTAAGCGTCTTCCAGCCATCATGCTGAAGAAGAATGTTCCGACCCTTCTCGAATGTGACCAGCGCTTCGAGGGCAACCAAAGTCGGAGATCGAAAATCTAGCTTCTCGGCTGAACTGCCGCGATACAGATCCATAAACATATCCGTCAACCCAGTGGCCTCTTTTCTCAACATATCATTTTCGTCTTCGCGCAGCCATAGAGCGAGGGCTCTCACAGCAGAAAGAATAAAGGGATCTTCGTCTGCGAGATTCTCTAAAGAGTCCCAAGTAAGGGTAAGCCGTGATCCCATTGAAGTTTCCGCTTTTCCAGATCGAGCGTCTGGATGTAGTCCCATGGCTCCAGCATATGTAGCGTCCCATCTGTCACGCAGGTATTCGATGGTTACAGACATGGTTTCCGATATCCCCTTGCGAAGTTTAAGAAGATTGTCTGGCGACATGATTAGACTCTCCAGTGACTCATCTTCCAGCGAGCGAACCAAATGCCCGATGAAGATGCATATGATATCAAATGCAGAGGCGAGTCGACGAGACAGGTTTGAATATCCAGGTTTGTTGAGCTGCTCTAGTAACAAGGGAGCCGATGAGCGGATATCGATTAGAAGAAGGTTGACGAATAAATAGGAGAATGGCTTTTCATCGCTTCTTTCAGCCTTGAATATCAGCTCCGAAGCTGCTATGGGATACACGCGAAGAAGAGAAGCGGCCGCATTCGTGTAGGCTGATCGGGCTGCTGAGTTTGGTCGACTGGTTACGAGATTTCGAATATAGCTGATGACTGTACTGCGCCATTTGGGGTTTGCTGGGATAACCTAAAACGAGCAATGTTTAGTAAAATTCATATAATGCCGTTTGGGAAGAATTGCACTTACTTCTGAGCTTGCTTGTCGTAGCAGCTGCCCCAGAAACTCAAGAAACGTCACCGCGTCAGTGCCTCGGAATGAAGCTACAAGCGATTGTACGTTGCGATCTATATGATTTGCCAAGTATGATGTATCATCGACAACAACCATAGCATTGAGCCAGGCGCGTAGGAAAATATCCATCGCAATGGCGTGTGATGGCGCTATTTCGGTGATGGAGCTCAAGTCATCTATCCTCACAAGTGCCATAGCACCTTCTTGACAGCTCACAAGAGTATAGAGGAGCTGCAGCAGCATATTTACTGTTTCTTCTGATCTATGCAATAGTCTTAGCAAGCGTAAAAGGAAAGAAGAAAAAAAGGTCATGCAAATCGCATATGAGAGCCTGGCTTACCCATTCAATACAGCACTAACAAGCCTGGGTATCCTGTCCGTGAACTTTGGCTGAGATGTTGCCCCTTCGGGCAAGAGAGCAGCAAATGTGTGCAAGACAGACACGGCCAAGTCGAGCATCTCTTTTGAATCCTTCTTCGACGGATTTGACCCCGTGCGCAGAAGCCTGTCAAGGAACTTGGCGGGGAGACTATCCCACAGCCTTTGGACAACGTCGTGATTCTCCTGGAGCTCGGGAGAATTGTCCAGGACGGATTTCAGAAGCGCCAATCCAACAAACCGCTGGGTGTCGTCTTGCGCCTGGACAAGAGACTGGATTTTGCAAATGTTCGCTTCATCTTGCGGAGAAGTGGCAGCGGCGGCGGATGCTGTCTCGGCTTTATCCCCTTGTGAGTCCATCATTTAAGATTTTTTGCTGATGATGGATAAGCCACTTAGGCGATGGAATCCGGCTTCTGCATTGTCTTTTTCAAGAGGACATCTGTGTAGAATTCTGCGCTGGAGAACGGCTGTGTGCTGAAATGCGTATATTTTTACAAGGAGATGGTATTATTGAAAATATTATGTCAGAATGAATTGGCATTGAAGTCGTTGATTCTACAGCTATGAACCGTACAAAGTCCCTACAAAGTGGCTGTAAACCACCAAAAGCCTGAGCCCCGCCAGCCAATCACCATCCGCGCGCCCCCAGAAACCCGCCCTTGCGCTGCTTAGTTTCAGCTGTCGCGAGTGCCTCATCCAAACGACATTGGATTTTGGTTTCAGATACCCAGGCCGAGGAGATGGAATAGAGAGCGGCGCATCATGTCTGGAGCCCGCGCGAGAGAGCAGCAGCAGCCTTCCACGTCATCGTCATCGCACACTCCAGCCATTGCCACTCCCGCCTCCTCTGAAGACCGCGACGAGCTCGACTTCCTAGGCGACGACAACGACGACCACGACGACCACGACATCCTCGACCACGACCCCATCCACGGCGATCTCAGCACGCCATTGTCCTTCAAGCGCAAGCAGAAGCCCGCGCTGCTGTCGAACCCGCTGCGAGTCTTTTCGACGCTCGCTGGCTCGTCATCCTCCTCGCCTCCGCAGTCGCATCACAGATCCAATGGCCACCAGCACTCGGCCTCTCTCGCATCGCTGACCAGCATCGCCGGCTCGCTGCGAGACCAAGTCTTTGGCAACCCCAAAGATGGCATCCCCAACGACTGGTACGCCGAGGGCCCCGGGCGGCGCGTCGCCTACGAGGACCTGACGGCCATCGACTGGATCTTCGAGTACACAAAGGAGCGGCAGCGCCTGCGCGTCCTGTCGTCGAGCTCGGGCGGCGGCATCGTCAGCTACATCAGACATCTCCTGGACGCTAGCCAGGTGTGGATCGTGCTGCTGTTGACGGGCTTGGCGGTGGGCGTGATTGCGGCCCTGATCGACATCACGACCGACTGGCTGGGCGACGTCAAGCTTGGCTTCTGCACGAGCGGCCCCGAGGGAGGGCACTTCTACCTGAACAAGAACTTTTGCTGTTATGGCTACGATCAGGGCTCCAAGTGCGCGGGTTGGCGGTTCTGGAGCGAGGCTCTTGGCATCCACTCCGCTGCGGGCAAGTGGTTCATTGAGTACTTTTTCTTCTTGGCTTTTGGGGTATGCGCATCCCCTTCCCTCTATGTGTGTGCTAAGAGCATGCGTGTGCTAAGTACGCTGGACAGGTCCTCTTTGCATACTGTGCGGCACTGCTTGTACAGGAATATGCCATCTATGCCAAGCACAGCGGTATCCCCGAGATTAAGACCGTTTTGGGAGGATTCGTTATCCGCAAGTTCCTGGGACCTTGGACATTGGTGACGAAATCATTTGGTTTGGTAAGGTTTACCTATACCCCTTCCTCACCTTTGTTCTTGAATATAAAGCTGACTTGGGATAGGTCCTTGCCGTGTCATCGGGAATGTGGTTAGGAAAAGAAGGCCCCCTGGTACACGTAGCTTGTTGCTGCGCAAACGTGTTTATCAAATTATTTTCAAACATCAATAACAATGAAGGTAACCGGCGGCTTGTTGAATCTATAATCCTCCTCCTCAGATATCAGCTAATCCCAGCATAGCACGAAAACGAGAAGTGCTCTCGGCTGCAGCAGCTTCTGGCATTTCGGTAGCCTTTGGATCTCCTATTGGAGGAGTGCTGTTCAGTCTTGAGGTGAGAGATTCATTAACCTAAAAGGGCTGATGCATCTGGGTTCTAATTCCTGAAAATAGCAAATTTCATACTTTTTCCCAGATAAAACCATGTGGCAGAGCTTCGTCTGCGCAATGGCCGCTGCCGTCATCCTCCAGGCTTTCGACCCCTTTAGATCTGGTAAGCTGGTCATGTATCAGACAAAGTATAGCCATGATTGGCAGGGCTTTGAGATCTTGCCGTATGCCATACTAGGCATTATTGGCGTAAGTAGACTCTCCTTTGGGACTCTCTAATTCTATATGAGCTGGCTAACAATTGAAATCAAAAGGGTGTCTACGGCGGCCTCTTCATCAAGGCTAACATGGCCGTCGCTCGATGGAAGAAATCAAAATCTTGGCTCCCCGGCCCTATAACGCAAGTCCTGGCAGTGGCCCTCCTCACTGCGCTTGTAAACTACCCCAACCATTACATGAAGTTTCAAGCTTCTGACCTTGTGTCCAATTTATTCACCGAATGCTCTCAAAACTTGGACGATCAGATTGGCCTATGCAAAACGGGCGTAGCGTCAGCCGGCACCATTGTACTCCTAATCTTCGCCGCCTTCGTCGGCTTCCTTCTTTCCACCATCACTTTTGGCCTCCAGATCCCAGCCGGAATCATCCTGCCCTCCATGGCAATCGGCGCCTTGGTTGGCCGAGCCATGGGCATCTTGATGGAGATTTGGGTGGATAATGCCCGCGGCTTCTTCCTCTTCAAAACCTGCGCTCCTGACGTGCCATGCGTCACACCCGCCACATATGCCATTGTCGGAGCGGCGGCGGCTCTGGCGGGCGTCACTCGCATGACCGTCTCCATCGTCGTCATCATGTTTGAGCTCACCGGCGCTCTTACGTACGTGCTGCCCATCATGGTTGCCGTCATGATTTCCAAATGGGTCGGCGATGCCTTTTCCCGACGCGGCATCTACGAATCCTGGATTCACTTTAATGAATATCCCTTCCTCGATAATAGCGCCGAAGTGGCTATTCCCGATGTCCCCGTCGCCGATATCATGACCCGCGTTGAAGATCTCATTGTTCTCACCGCCACGGGACACACAATCGCCTCCCTCAATAGCATTCTCGAGATGCACCCTCACCGTGGCTTTCCTGTCATTTCGGATCCTCGAGACGCAATCATGCTAGGCTACATCTCCCGCGCAGAGCTTAGCTACAACCTCAAAACAGCGTCCAAATCTCCACGCAATCTTCCCCCCGAAACAGAGGCCTACTTCTCCCACCAACCTCTGGCAGACCCTCGAACGACGCTCGATCTCCGGCCCTGGATGGACCAAACTCCCTTAACATTGCCCTCTCGCACGAGCTTGCACCTCGTCGTGTCTTACTTCCAGAAACTGGGTCTGCGATACATGCTCTTCACCGACCGTGGTGTCCTGCAAGGTCTGCTCACGAAAAAGGACATTTGGTACGTCCTCAACGGCGCGGACGAAACACGGCGCACATCCGATTTTTCTGCGCCCATTAGAGCCGGAGCCCGGACAAGGGAGCAAGAGAGCGGGATTATGGACGAGGGTGGAGATGAGGAGCAGAGAGGCCTCCTGCGGCCGGGAGATGATGCAGATGATACGGATAGGGGGTCAATATTATAGAGCGGGATATGGAGTTGCAGGAACGTATTTTGCGATATCTAAGATTTCTTTAGAATTGTATTAGAGGAGTAGTTATTTGACATTTCAATATTTGACAATATGAATGAAGAAGAAGGCTGAAATTTGGCATATATTGCATAGTAGTGACATACAAAATAGTGCTCAGCTAATAAAACAAGAGATTCTAATCAATGCATCTCATAACTCATACACAGGGCCATTGCCTAAAGAAGAAATCCAATTCCCACCCGTCCCAGGTATTGATATATAAAAATACCCATAGATAGTCGTCTAATCTTTCCTTTGTATTAGTTTCAATTAATATTCAAAGTCATCATCCACTGATGGACCCTTGTTCTTCGTCACGCTTTCCTGCTTTCTGTACATCTCCGCAACTTGCCTGCTGCTCGTCGCTTCGTTGGGTTTTTTATCGTCTCGAATCTTGATGAATCGGGGGAATCTCAGACTGATGCCCTTCTCGCCTGCTGGATCTACACCTTCTTTCCATCCAGCTTTGTACCGAGGGCTAAGGGTCAAGTCTGCCGTCTTAACTTCCCACACATAGCGTGGCTCAAACCACACGTCAGGTTGGTGCTGTCCGCCCGTAGAGTGTGAATAGAAAGGTTTGGGGCGGGCTATTGTAATTTCGGAGAGCTGAGCATGGAGGTCTTCGAGGACTTGCTCCGAGAAGCCTGTGCCAATGTTGCAGACTGTCTCGTACATATCGGTAGAAGGATTGTAGCAGGCCAGCAAGAATGCACCATAAACTGATGTTCTTTTGCCCTTGCCATAGTAAGCGCCAAGGACAACCAGGTCAAGCGAGTCGCCAACACCAGAGAGATAGTCCTTTTTAACCTGTTATCCGGTATTAGCTGGAGTTGAGTATAGCATTCATAGACAATCATATTTACCTTGAGCCAATTTCGGCTTCGCTTGCTCGGCTCGTACCCGCTTTCTTTTCCATCCAACATCTTCACCATTAGACCCTCGCAAGATGCCTTGACACTCTCATCCAAGAATGTCTGAATCTCATCTAACTCTTGGCCGTTCATGTGAGTTGCCAATTGGAACTCGCCTTCAGTTGGAACAAACGCTGTGCTGAGAAGTTCGCGGCGCTCGCGAAGAGACTTCTCCACGACCGCTTCTCCGTTCAGAAATAGCAGGTCAAAGGCGAAAACGCAGACCTTGACTTTAATATCCTCGGCCTTTACATCCTTCCTCTTGCGAGTCATGAGCTGCTGGAAAGGCAATACTTTCTTCTCAGTAACATCCCAAGCTACAGTCTCGCAGTCGAGAACGAAGCTCTTTGTGTCTTCCTTGACCCATGTACTGAGCTTCTCAAGAACGTCGGGATACTTCTTGGATAGATCTTCCGAGTTTCGAGAGAAAATGCAGGCAACACCTGACTCAATTTGCATGGTCGATCCTTGGGTAGCCGCATCCAAATCCTGAGGGGCGCCTTTGGCCACATAATGGATCTGAGCACGTTCACCGTCATACTTGTACTCGCATGTGAATTTCTGGCCTTCAAATCGGTCCAAGACCTCTGTGATGGCCTTTGTTGGTTTGGCCAACATAGGCTTCAGGGGCACGCCAGGTCGTAGTTTGCAGTGATCTCTCAGATTGGCGATGCCGTATTTCATCATGGCTGGAATAATGACATCGTAGCTCGGTAGCTCGCTATCTCTCGTTAATTTCGAGTCCGTAGGAACCAGAAGAAGGTACATACCTGTAAACTGTCTTGAGAATAGACTCGCCATTCTCCAATTCCGAGGTAGTGGGGATCTTTCCTCTCGCCTCAGCTTCATGTGCTACAACAGCTTGAGCCAATGAAACCAAAACAGTCTTGTCTGCCAGGCCAAGTCGAAGCTTTCCTTCCAAGAATCGGATAATGTACTTTGCTTCGCTTGGACCGCCTTTGTCCTTGGTGATATCCACCTTCTCTTTTAAATGAGAATCCGAAGAGGATAAAAGCTTTTTGATACCATCAACTTTGCGACCTTGGGCACCGTTGCCAGTAACCGTCGCAATGTTCATCAAGCCTTGATGAACGCCTCTTACTGTCAGCGCTTTCGGCTTGAACATGGTTGGCTGCGTCGATCTGCTCTTCACAGCCACGAGACCCAGGTCACCAATTTCTTTCTGGTCCGCCTTGATGACCTGGAGACTTCTTCCAGTGGTTTCGCCGATAGCTTTCATGATTAATGATTCACCAATACCAAGCTCAATGCCGGCGTAATCAGGAGCCAGCTTGTTGATCATGAGCAGGACGGTAGGCAAGAGATCATCAGGGGTGAGCCGCATAACCTGGCGCAGAAACTTTGAGCAATACTCCATGATGATTAACCGTTTCGTCGTCAGTTCAATAAGCGAAAAGGTCTTGCAAAGGGCTGCATATGGTACCGGGGTGCCAGGCTGCCAATCAGGATATGCATCCTTCTCCTTCTTCTGAAGCATTGTTTGCTGAGCTTTGCGTGCTTTGGCAGTAACAGTTGGTTTTGGTTCGGCATCGCTATCAGCCTCTGACGCTGATTCCGAAGATTGCTCTTCCTCCTTTGCAGCCTTCTCAGCAACATCTTCGCTCTCTTTCTTTATCTTAGCTGCCTTTGGCGACTGCGACCTCGACTTCGGGCTTGACTTGGGACTCTGCGACCTCTTCCTCTTAGCCGGGGGGCTACTCGGAGCTTCTTTCTTCGGGGACGGCTGAGGAGCTTCATCTTCGTCATCCTCAACCTTGACTCTTGTCCGTCGTGCTCTTTTTGAAACTGGAGCTTCATCTTCTTCTTCGTCTACTTTGGGCTTTGCTTCGGTGTTCTTTTTTGGTGACCGCGGCCGTTTTTTGGAATCTTTTCATCACGAGTCAACTATTAAACTCTCTGGCTGGGAGCAGGAGAATGGCAAATCGTCTTACCCTTCTCTGGATCTGAGTTCTCTTTTGTGCTTGCATCGCCCTCAGACTCGTCTTCAACCTTGTCGGCTTCCTTCTTCCCCGCCTTGGTCGCAAAAGCCAGTGTTGTTTGTCTTGCTGGTGCAGCCGCTTTCACCCCAAAGAACTTTCTATGTACCAACCACAATTAGCAAGCCAATTCGACGTCAAGCACACCACGGCGTCATGTAACATGCAGCATCAATTCCAGCCCACACACCCTATCGTCTGTTGCGACGGCTTCACATACCCCAGAGTTGCCTGCTTTGGAGCCATGACGTTAAAAGATGCACCCGCAGATGCAGATGGCCAGCGACGAATCGATTGAGTTGATGCAAATCTCCCAAGAGCCAAGGTGTGGACAGAGCAATATTTATAGCGAGGTCGAGCTGGTAAATTAGCGGTATTGGTGCCTAGGCACCGACAGCTGGTTCTGTGCAGCCCAGCTACTAGCATAACGCGGGTCAGATCAGAAGCGCGAGAATCAATTAACCCACGCGTTTCTGCCTGCTGCTTGGGGTGGGGCTATGCGACGCGAAGATCACGTGACTATGCTCTTGGTTTTGGCACCTGTGTTCCGTATAAATAGCGGACTGCCTTAGGTAATAAACAGTACAAAACACAGTGCACTGACTGGCGTTAATATTTCCTCACGTGAATTTCAAGGCATCATAGTAGTCTCCTGCGGATGGCCCGGCACGGTGCAAAGCTACCTGGAAAGTCTATGTCTCGGCGCATCCAAAACAGGCAAGGGGCGCAGGAACTGGTCAGAAAGTAGTCTAGTTAAAATCTACTCCATACAGAGTATACAACAAAGGGTTATCACATAAATAAGGATATAATCGATTGCACAATGAAGTATACATAAATAAGCCTTGATCGCGAGAATACCGACTCTCAGTGTCAGATTCAATATTACAGTGCCACGACAACAGTTATTCGCAAACTTGCTCTTATCCCTTATCATTCCCCATCACCAGATCCAGCGCAAGATTGACGTTGTTCATCATGTCATCTTCCTGGCGATTTATATCAGATCGTTCCAAGGCCTTGAAAGACACCGCATGAGCGGCCGCCTTTTTCCTGTCCGTTTTTCGCTGAGACCAAAATTCGTCAATATTATCCACGTCGAAACCCGAGAAACAACAGATTAGTCGGGCTCATCAAGAAGGATTAAGAATCCGTTTTTCTCATTATTAGTGACACTTGAGATTGAGCGTCGTTGTCTTAACAGCGACGTTCTTCAAGTTGGCGTTGCAATGAAAGCGGCCGAACTACGTTTAATTTCATGAAAATGCAATCCGAAACACTAAACCTTGCCGCGGCTTATAGACTTCATTTTTTAAGATAAAGCCAATGCCGTTAATATGCTCTCCTCTGGATTATTTGATTAATCAGAATTCGTGTTGTATCAACCAGAAGTGTAATTCAAGTGCGGATTTGGATCGAGTTGTGATTGAATTATGATTGCTCCAAGATCTCTTAAGAAACTTTAGAACTTGTCATCACCCAGCAAGCACTTCCTGCTCGATCACGTAGGCGTTGGGATTCCAAACCGGATTCCAAACCAGCTTTGGAACTCGTCATCATCCGGCAGACACTTCGCCTGCTCTATCACCCAGGCGTGCTCATGGGATTCCAAAGGTTGTTACAGTAAATCTCTTCAGAGCTCTGTGCAAAGCTCACCACCGACCAGTGTTATATTTCTTAAATAGCACGGACTTTGCTAGTGGGACTTATAAATGTTCTCCAATACCTCGACGCCGTCATTACCCGTACCAGACAAGCGGGGGTTATCACCATGCACATCCGCATGAGTTATCAGCAGGCCAGGGGTTGTCGGTATATAAAGCTCACTATGCAGCTTTGGGCCAATCTCACCAAGACATTGCCAACTCCTTCTTGACTGACCGTAATGAACCTCTCACAAGCGCCCTCAGGACTTTTTTGGAAACCAATCAATGCCTATGCAAGGCTTCGCTCGAAGCAGTTCTTGCGAGGAAAAGGAAGAATCGAATTGTCGGAGTAACTGCGGCGTAACCTCTTATCGCTGAAACACCCATATCTTTTTTTTTCTTCTCTTTCTCGCGCCCCACGCAAATTAATCCCGCCCTATCCCTGTTGCGGCCTAGCTCGATCCAACAATCAAACCTCCATGCTCAACATTGCCAAATTTCGCAAAGCTAAGCAGCTCTAAGAGCCCTTTTGCCATCTTCACCTGCAACCTCTTCCACAGAACTCCTGAGAGGCGCATCCAGTCGTCGCCATGTTCTCCAGAGCAGCTCTTCGAGTTCCCAGGGCTGCGCCTCTGCGCACCAGGGCCCCTGCGTCCTTTGCCCTCGCTACTCGAGCCGTCACCACCGATGCCGCTTCAGCCTCTCTCTCCCAGTCGGTGCCCAAGGTATGTTCGATACGCCTTTTCTTCGTGTCTCAGCATGGAATTTCGAGCAATGGGACGAACGGATTGGATGTTCTCGAGAGCCAATGGCTGGCGGAAAGCGTCGTGAAAGGAGACTAACCGCTGTCCCGCACAGTCCGATGATGAGCCCTTCCAGGTTACTCTCAGCGACGAGAGCTTCGAGACCTACGAGCTGGACCCTCCCCCTTACACCATTGACGTGACCAAGAAGGAGCTGAAGCAGATGTACTACGATATGGTTTCCATCAGGTACGGAGCAACGAGAGCCTTAAACAACTGCTTTGCCAGGGAAAATACTAATAATCGCTCAGACAAATGGAGATGGCTGCCGACCGTTTGTACAAGGAGAAGAAGATTCGCGGCTTCTGCCACCTGTCTACTGGTCAGGAGGCTGTTGCTGTCGGTATTGAGCACGCTGTTACCAAGGAGGACGACATCATCACTTCTTACCGATGCCACGGTTTCGCCCTGATGCGTGGCGGTACTGTCCGATCCATCATTGGCGAGCTGCTTGGTCGCCGTGAGGGTATTGCCTACGGAAAGGGTGGTTCTATGCACATGTTCGCCAAGAACTTCTACGGTGGTAATGGTATTGTCGGCGCTCAGGTTCCTGTCGGTGCCGGCCTTGCCTTTGCCCACAAGTACGAGGGCCGAAAGAACGCCAGCATCATCCTGTATGGTGATGGTGCCAGCAACCAGGGCCAGGTCTTTGAGGCTTTCAACATGGCCAAGCTGTGGAATCTCCCTGCTCTTTTCGGCTGTGAGAGTAAGTTGAAACATGTATTCTGAGCTATTCGAACAAGATGGACGACTAACACACCGTAGACAACAAGTATGGTATGGGTACTTCTGCTGCTCGTTCCTCTGCTTTGACCGACTACTACAAGCGTGGACAGTACATTCCTGGTCTGAAGGTCAACGGCATGGACGTCCTTGCCGTCAAGGCTGCCGTCAAGTACGGTAAGGACTGGACCGTTGCCGACAAGGGCCCTATGGTTCTCGAATACGTCACCTACCGATATGGTGGTCACTCCATGTCTGACCCTGGTACCACCTACCGTACCCGTGAGGAGATTCAGCGCATGCGCTCAACCAACGACCCCATTGCCGGACTCAAGCAGAAGATCCTCGACTGGGAGGTCAGCACTGAGGAGGAACTGAAGAGCCTTGACAAGGCTGCCCGAAACCACGTTGCTGAGGAGGTTGCCGCCGCTGAGGCTATGGCCGTCCCCGAGGCCAAGCCCGATATTCTCTTCGAGGACATCTACGTCAGGGGCACCGAGCCTCAGTACATCCGCGGACGTACCACCGACGAGAACCACTACTTCTCCCAGTAAATGGAAATAAAATGACCTTACAGTGCCGATGCACCCCCGCCACATAGCCCCTAATGATTCCTCAAAATTATCGCCTTTTTTTGTACTACATACTTTTAGATAGAGAGGGCAGGAAAGGTCCGGATGGACATTCTTAATTGTATGTTTGTTTGATGACCTAAAAAAAAAACATGATAGAGTGCCTTTGTGTATGAGAGCTTCGCGATATTTTTTTTTCGTTATCATGGGATCTAAGGGGAACACAAAATTGGCTGAGGGGCTGGCTGGCTGCTCAACAAAGCTTGCCTAATCGGGCAATGAAAAAAAAAAATGTTCCAGGGGGGGCTCCGAGATCGCACAGCAACGAGGTGGGGGGAAGATGCTGAGCTTTATGAAAATGTTGTTTAGCTAGGAGTTGAGAAATAATATTGCAGTTTGATGGGTTTGAAACATACATATATAAAAGATATTCCTCTCAATGCTGATAAATATTCTGAAATCCAAGAAATGATGATCATGGTCTTCAATTGACTCTTCACGAGTCAGATTATCTGCGATGATTTTGACTTGGTGTGCATTTACTAGCAAAGATGCGTTTGTGAATATTACTTCACGATTCCCTAATTCAATACGATGAATAAAGCTTTGCGAGATTAATATCCCAGACAGCAGCATTTCGGTCATTGCATCCCAAAAACTCTCCATTTTCGAAAGAGCAGCTTTGTCATAACGACGACTGTGCTCCAGGCGATGCATGACCACAAGTACAGTGCATTCTTTAAAGTCAGTGTCAATAATCTCTTGCATGGTTGTTTCGGCTTCATGATCAACACTATTATGACCAGTAGTAAAGGTAGATGAAGGCAAAACGAGAAAAAAAAGGACCATTCATTAGCATTGGGATGCAGTCGAGTTATCTCACTTACTCACTGCCTCATTTAGTATGAGGATCCTGCGACTCTTCGCCATGGCTTAGTCAAAACATAAGAGCTGCTTCTAGCCAGCTGACCAATACGACAGGTCAATCTCTTCATCTATCCCTCCTTGCTCATCAACAATGCTCCATAGTCGTACACGATGAAGTGCTTGTATGATGTCCTCATCAGAAACAACGTCTATGCGTGAGCATACTTTCACATTTAGAGTTGATAAGTCTATACCATCTACCGAGATGCCGCCTCGAACAATCTCAAGCATCTTTAAAAGGGAGAGTATTAGAGAAGTCTTGCCGGTGCCTGTTCGGCCAAAGATGGCAACGTGATCCCCCGCTTTAATCGACAGTAATGTTCCATTTAGCACTGACTTAGAGTTGTTGTAAGACTAAAAGTAGGAATAAGCCAAACTTGTCTTCTCAAAAAAGAATGAAGGAGTGTATACCCGTAAGACGCAGTCCAGCCAGCAGATTCAATACCGCCAGCCTGTGGCCATGTTGCAGGCACACATGCAATTCTCTTATTCTATTTTTCTTTCTCTATTTCCTCTGTAAAGTATTTAGTCGTTGATTATGTCTTCACGGGCTGTACCAGCACCTTGTAATACCTCTTTCTATATCTCTTACTACTAGTAATGGGCTCTACCTCCTACTTGATGTCAGTAAGTCGGAAAGGATTTGTGGATACTTTTTGAATGAGCTGTCCTAGAATGTTCGGGCTATAAGCCACTATGACTTTACGCCACAGTGTGGCGCCGCAGCTGTCGGACGGAAGTCTCTTGCATGTGTTCCGGCTTTCTCCTGCTTAGCCGAATTGTCAATGGCGCCGTTTTGATTGGCCGCGCAGTAGCTTTCATCAAGACCCTATAGCCGAGGAAGAGCCACTTCCAGCTTCTTAGCACTTTCATGACGACGAGACTTCAAGCCGCCCGAAGTTGCAGCTCTCAATTGATCGGTCGCCGTGAGGAAATCGACTCTCCGCTCTCAACTTTCGAGGAGACCTCAGCCGCGTGGCTTGGCTGGATCTGATCTACAAAAGAAGCAATTCGCAGGCAAATCCACATCTCCGACACACATCGTCGCCATCGACCCGCGCGCAATCATGGCCGCTCTCCGCTCCTCTTCGCGAATCCTCAGCTCTTCCAGGGCAGCTTTCCGACCCAGTGCCGTCTTCTCACGGTCCATGGCGTCGGTCAGCGAGACCGAGCAGCCCCGGATCAAGTCATTCCAGATCTACCGATGGAACCCTGATACCCCGACCGAGAAGCCGCGGCTGCAGACCTACTCCATCGACCTCAACAAGACCGGCCCCATGATCCTGGACGCCTTGATCAAGATCAAGAACGAGCAGGATCCTTCGCTGACCTTCCGGAGGAGCTGCCGAGAGGGCATTTGTGGAAGCTGTGCCATGAACATCAACGGCCAGAACACCCTGGCATGCCTGTGCCGAATCCCCACCGAATCTGCCTCGGATGTCAAGATCTACCCTCTGCCGCACACCTACGTTGTCAAGGATCTGGTCCCCGACTTGACTCACTTCTACAAGCAGTACAAGTCCATCCAGCCTTACCTGCAGCGCGATACCCCCGCCGAAGATGTACGCCGACGTCCCCAGATTTTTGACATGTGAATGAGTTACGCTGACAACTTCATTAGGGAAAGGAGTACCGTCAGAGCAAGGCCGACCGAAAGAAGCTGGATGGTCTCTACGAGTGCATTCTCTGCGCCTGCTGCTCAACTTCCTGCCCCTCTTACTGGTGGAATTCCGAAGAGTACCTTGGCCCCGCCATCCTGCTGCAGTCCTACCGCTGGCTGGTCGACTCTCGAGACGAGCGCACGGCTGAGCGCAAGGCCAAGCTCGAGAACTCGATGAGCCTGTACCGTTGCCACACCATCCTTAACTGCACGCGCGCTTGCCCCAAGGGCCTGAATCCCGGCAAGGCCATTGCCGAGATCAAGAAGCAGATGTCTATCGGGGCATAAAAAAAAAAGGTGTTGGGTTATGACTGATGGCGCATTCTTTCAGCTTGTATAGGTAGCTTGTATAGGTAGCTGGTAAATTAATTACACATCAAAGTGTGACAGTACGGCCCGCGTTTGAAGAGAACAATATGCGTTTAATAAGACGGTTAGTCTTTATATATTTGACTACCATGTACACTTACAAAGGTAGAAGATTTCCAGTCAAAATTATAAAGGCTTAGCTTTTTGCCTTGTAACACATTGAACATAAAGTAATTTCGATTGTGTTGCAGCAATCAAGAAGTCTATTCTTTGCACTTTAGTATCCTGTGTACGATAATCTATATAGGGGTTTATACATTATCACGGAATATTATTGACTCTGGTTCTGGCTTTACTTTCCTGGGAGTATTGGTCATTGGGCTGCGTTGGCGCCGCTGGCAGTATCAAATCAGAATTCTACGCAATCACAACGGAGAATTTGGATATAGTTTTCCGGGAATGTAATTGAAGATGAGCAGGTCAGTGGTGGCTCGCTATCAAAAGTAAATGATGCCACTGATTCGGCGCGCATGGTCTCGCTCCCCATTTCAGAATCGGGGAATGATCTCATAGACATTTGTGATGGCTCTGTGTGATACCATGCACTTGTTATTCTTTTAAAGGCAGTCAGTCTCGTGTGATATGAGTTCAATAATGCTTGATACCGCTAGCTCAACTCTGCCTGAGCCTTCTAATTTTAAGCACCGGGTGTATTGTTAATTGCTTGCATTGCATATCTAAAAGCCGATATCGCGTTGGGAAAGATTCTTTATTAAGACAAGGCATCCATACGCCATACGCTTCTATTTAACAGCTAATTCACCCCTGTCTGTGCCTTTGTTCCAGCTGCTGTGAAGATATGATTTGAAAATTCCAATGCCACGCTCTCTTCTTAAAACTTTGTGGATTCTTGGCCACTTTTCTCTCTCCAGGTTTGGTAAAATACTTTAAAACGCCCAAAGGATGGGTGCCAAAGGCAGCATATGTCTCACCATCGATTACCGTTGCGTCTAATCATCATTTGGATTGATGCGCATCTATGTTCGACTAGAAAGACACGGTTTTAAATATTTTCTACTGTTATTTCCTCGTGGCTCGCCATTGAGGCTGTGGTGGTATTAGTATCTGACTGGCTTTTAATATCACGCCCTTTACTATTGGAACAGGCAGTTCATGCATTCCAAGAATCGGTCGTTATGGCAGATCAGCATGCTCAGTAAAACACCAGTGTCTCAAGCATGCGCACCCCTTATAAAGCCGGCCCGTCCCTGGAATCGTCTGTCTGGACATACACGATTCGTTTCTATCCCATCTCAATGTGCTTGATGATTTGAGGGCAGGCACGACTTATCCTGTACGAGCACGATAAATTTGATCTGGATTTCATTCGCACGTATATATGATTAGCCAGACTTTCGGCCCTATTCTTACTGCATTCTTACTATATACTTGCTAATATCAATCACCTCCTAACAGCATAATGGCTACCAAACGCGCGATGCTGGCTGCAGCTCTTATTGGAGGAGTATCTGCCCTGGTAGCGCCAAAGGCCACCGATACAATCTGCGGAGCAACCTGCATCGACGGGGTAGATGACTGCGGCCAACCATATAGACTGTACGCGATTTCCCTTTTCTTCTTCTCATTTCTCATATAATTTCCAAAATTTACATATGCCTCGTACCAGAGTAGACGATATACTGACATAACAATCTACCAGCTGCTACGATCCCTGTACTGAATCAGCTCCTGCACCACCTCCCTGTGTGGCTCCCATTATCAAGACCTATTATCCAACACCTGTACCAACACCCGCCCCAGGAGAGATTTTGGATTGCAGCACAATCACTGTGTGCGTGGATGGCATAAATAGCTGCGGTATCCCATTTAACGAGTATGTTTGCTGTATCATCTATGATGCTAGGCCGAGAGTGGTTTTGCTAACCTGGTTGAATCGATGTAGCTGTATTCCAGACTGCAAGCCTTGGAATATCTCCACGCCTCCATGTCCAGCAGATCTCAATGCTATTGTCCCGCGGAGCCGTAAGACTCCACAGATTCTCCCACGGGGCCCTACCATCCCGGCGAAAGAAGTGCCGGAACCAACTGCAACACCGGGATCAACTACAACACCGGGATCAACTACAACACCAGAGTCAACTGCAACATCGGGATCAACTGCAACACCAGGATCAACTGCAACACCAGAGTCAACTGCAGCGCCGGCGCCGACTACGGTGTCTGAGCCGACTACAACGCCAGAACCGACTACAGTGCCAGAACCGACTACAGTACCTGGATCGACTACGGTATCAGCGGACACTTCGACACTGGGAGACGTTGTGCCTTGGAGTGAAGAAGGATCTCAGTGGTAAAGGACTAGCAACTTTAGAGGTTAATGGGCTTGTCCCTGCCAAATGCAAATTGTCACAAGAATCACAACCTAGAACCCATAAATATTTCCAAGTATGTATTCTAGTAATATGAGCTCCTAGGCGCACCGCCAGTTGTAGAAGCCGGCCCCTCTACCAAGGTTTCGTCGTCAGAGCTCGCCTCTCCGCCAACGTCCTCGGCTTGGTCTGGAGGAGCCCGCATAGCCTCCAACACCTCTCGATCTAGAACAGGGGGCTGGTAGGGCTTGACTGTATGGATCTCGCGGCCTGATGGCATTTTGTTTATTAGTGCACCTATCGGTGGAATAGGCCGTGTGTTCATCTGTGATGCCAGTTAATCAATAAAAAAAAATAAAAAAATAAAAATAAAAAAAAATAAAAAGGCAAAAAAGTTGACGCAGCGTTCTTACCGTATCATTAATCTTGTTCCACTTCGCGTGAAGCATTTCGAGAACTCTAGTCTCCTCCGACTTGCCGGCATCAGCCCCCCAAGCAGCCTCTTTGTCAACCCGGCGATCTTCTCTCTTCTCGCTGAGCCCTTTAATCGCACGACTAAAGCCCAGTCCTTTCTTTTCATCCTTGACCTCCACGCCAAGTTCGTGTAGACCGGCGCGCGCCCAAGCAATGCCTTCCGCCGCCTCTCCTCCCAGCTCAGCGTCAATGCCAAAGAACCGACAAGCTTTTGCTCGACTAGTTCGCCGTAAGTCCTCGAGATATCGTAAGAATCCAGGACTAATGCCGGTTGATCCGGATTTGGCTGACTGACACAATGCCGCAGCTTTTGCAGCATGCTCAGATGCAGCTAGGCAGAGACGAGCATAGAGATGAGCTCTAACTTTCGGAATATCCGGAGCCTTAAACATCCACTCCTTATCGTTCTTGTTCCTATCCTGGGCTACAGCTGCAAGATAAGGATCATCTTTCAACACGGCCAGCAACGTTGCCTCTGCATGACACAGAGAGGCCAAAGCACGGAGAGTCGCAGGAGAGATGTCAGCGCAAGGGGGGTTGCTACCAACTTGCTCACTTCTTGCGGCAATGTAATTGTATATGGAAGCTGATTCTAGCAGATACTTGGTTCCCGTTGTCATGGCAGTTGTCCGTTCTTGCGTGCCCTGGAACTCTGTAGTTGTGGAATAAAGGGGTTGAAGCGTCGCCCTGGCCATTAAAACATGGGCGAAGCCCAAAGTAGAAAGAGTAAAATAAATCTCATGCTCGAGAGACATAATCTTGACTCGGGGGCGCTCACGCCCCGGCACAATGTCGCCAGAAAGCGTTGGTCTCCATGAGATGGACGGCGTCGTTTCCAATATGGTGCTGACGGCCTCGCCGCCAACCAACTGGTTGCTTAGCCCAGCATCAATCGCCAGCAGATACGGAAGATACTGCTCCAAGCTGGAGATGACAGTGCGGAGATTCGACGTCTGCGATGGAGGAGGGAGCCGCTTGTGCTTCTTAAGCGCGTCTCTGACAACCCCGCGGTATGTGCTTGCGCTGAGGGGCAGTGAAGGGTGAGAATCGCAGCTAAACGACGACGAGAAGGAAAAGGCCGAAGTTGTGGGTAGAACGAATGGAAATGGCATCTTTGGAGTATCGAGACCCTTGGAAGCTTGAAGATTTGGCCATCGGGCGCAGATGGTGGAGCGAGAATCTCTGGCTGCTTGGCATTTACATGCATCACGACACAGTGCCGTCTAGGTGCTTTTAGACACTATATTTCAAGCAGCTACTACCCGGAAATCTGCAGCTTAGAGCCTTGGGCATTCTCGCAGCACTACCTCAAGTCGCTGCTCTTAAATGTTATGAAGTTCTTAGGGTTTTTCTCCTTTTGTTATAATAAATATCATTATTTAAGCAGTAGATTTTTATTACTATCAAGTAAAAGCATTGCCTAAATAATAAAAATGTATCACTTAAATAGTAGTAATAGTACCTTTTTTTTCTTCTTTAGCCTTGCCTTTCCTCCGGCGAAATGAATTTCCATCCCTGACGCAGCTTAGCGCAGAGCTCCACTTCTCAACCAAGAATAAAAGTCGTCCGAGGCTGCAGAACTTTTTTGATTTTCTTCTTCTTCTTCCTACATCATCAGTTGGGTTATTCCTACACCGTCAAGTGTTTTAATAATTCAAATGGCGGCTCCGCTATGCGGCTTGCTGAGGGTTAACCTGATTCCCTGTGGGTTTCCTTCCGTTCCCGGCCTCCTAAAGAAAATACCATGTGATACACTTTTCCTATCAGCCGCGAGTCGACGCCTCTAGAGGGCTGTGACTGTGGGTGTCTCTCAACATATTTTTGCTATTTTATCTTTATTTTTTGATAGAGCGGGTGACATGGATTCGAATTGCCGGGGGAGGGATTACGCGTAGAAGTCGGATAATTGTGTGTTTTCAGCGGTATAATCTGGGAAAATGCTACCATTGCCGTACTATGTAGTCTGTGAAAAAAATTGCCAGAAAAGTTTTGGCAGTGTGAGAAACAGACAATGCAAGGGCCAAGTGCTGCTCGCTGTGCTTGGCGCTACTGTATAGAGGCACGTACTGCTCCAGTCTTGCTCAATCCAAGGCTGCATGTATTGGCCATCCGTTGCTTGCCGCTTTCTAGTTGTAAAAGAACGCAAGATGCTGCTGGTACTTTCATTAGCCGAGCTAGGAGCTTATAAGCGCAATAATCTACCGGTAATATAAACCAGAACTTTCTTGATTCTTCAAAGCGTAGCATCACGTGAGCGCGCTAATCCGCAACCGGACCACTTTGCGCTTGTTCCCGAAATTTTTTTGGCCAGAGTCGGAGACGCCTTAGCAGGATCCTCCGGCTTTGCGACAGGTTTGCGAGAGTTCATCTTGTCATCGACCCTCGCAGCACTCGTTTCCGAAGCACTTTTCGGCCCAGAACCAGTCGCCCAGCATGTCTTCTCTGTGGAATGCATTCACCGGAGGCAACAAGCCTGCCCAGCAGCAGCAGCAGCAGCAGCAACACCAGCCTTTCACTCCCGATGCTGCCCCTCCGACCACCCACCTCTACGACCCAACCCAAGGTGCGGGCGTTGAGTCCTTCTTGCAGAGCTCGGCTTTCGCGGATCCCTCACAATTACATCCCCTCGCTGGATTGAACAGAGACACCCTGGAATACCTCTCTCTCGAAGACTCAACGCTGTCCGACCTGCCGGGCGGCCAATCCGTTCTCCCCTCTCGAGGATTCACCGACGACCTTTGCTACGGCACCGGTATTACTTACCTGACGGCACTGTCGATAGGAGGTGCATGGGGATTCCAAGAGGGTCTGCGGAGGTCTGCCGGCCAGCCCCCTAAGCTGCGACTCAATGCCGTTCTCAACGCCATGACAAGGCGGGGTCCATTCCTGGGCAACAACGCCGGTGTTGTCGCCATCACATACAACTGCATCAACTCGCTGATTGGATTCCTACGCGGTGAGCACGACGCTTTCAACACAATCGCTGCTGGTGGGCTCAGCGGTATGGTTTTCAAGAGCACCAGGGGTGTTCGGCCAATGATGATTTCCGGCGGTCTAGTGGCCTCCCTAGCCGGTGTCTGGGCGGTAAGTCGACATGCATGACGGCTGCATAAGCCGTAAGATGAAATGCTCGACCAATAGCTAATGTGATCATTTTGCGCAGATTGCACGACAGTCATTCTTCCCCGTCCCCGAGCGACATGCCGAGCACGCCGCATTGTAATAATACCACCGAAACAGACATTGTAACGAATAGCACACAAGAGAAGAATACTCTTCAAACGACATACGAACCACTATTTAATCTACCACATAAGAGATGGCGGCTCAAGGGAGAAAAAAAAAAGTCTTCTAATAGCTGGGAAAGGCAGTTGGTAGGAGGGGACATGGGGATCTGAAAAAGAAACCAGGAAAAAAAGAATAAGGGGATGTCTCCTCCAACCTTGGTGCCAGACGTGTCGAGAGGAGTTTGGACTGAAAAAAACGGAAAACACCTATATGGTGATGATAGATGATCTCTCCTCCCCAAAGTGAACTGTACATTATATCGGGTAACCGGTCAGCGAAGCATTTAGACCATATAGGGCTGGGGGCGTCTGGTCATCAATTTCAAAGTTTGGATTCAAAAAACAAATGTATGTTGATCGGATGGAAGTGAATTTCAATGTGATTTGGCACAAGATTTAGGTGTGACGCAAAGCTGTGATTGTTGCGTGGTGGAGTTTCAAGAGGTATTGATCAGGTGGATGGCGAGATTTGGGGAATATATAGAGATGAAGACTTGGTTGAAGAGGATCATAGAGTGCCCAGCATGTGAAATCCATGCCGGGTTCAGAGGCCTCTGTAGAGCAGTTGCTGGGCACCTCAGTACCTTCAAGGTAGTAGCTGAGCAAACAGTGGGCATTAATCCGAAGCCATTAACTACGGGGTCTTTTCAGAGGTGCGAGTCAATTGGCAAGCAGCCAAATGCAGGCAAATAAAACAATGGATGCAAAAGCATGAAAGCTCAACTTCCGTAGGCTGCTTTTTCAACCCTTCACAACGCTGCTTTATTCCCGCCTTGAAACGATAACAAGTTCTTTGAAACACAACACAAGCAACACTGCCCTTTCGCTGTTCATCTCGAGACTTTGGATCTGAATCTGAGTTCATAATAGCTTTCTGGAGGCACCGACATGTGTCTTCCTTGCTTCCCGTGGACGTGGACCGAGTACGAGGATCCGCTAGATTCAATGCCAGAGCAGCATGTCTGGGTGCATGATGGGCAGGCGTGGTCTCTGCAGAGATGTGTGAGTGTGATTTCTTTTCTTTCTTTTCTTTACTTTCCTCTTTTAAATATTATCTCCGTCATGTCTTTTATTCCTTTTCCCCGCTATTGCTCGTTTGAGTAGCACTCATTATTGTTTTGTTGTTGTCATTCATCATTGCGGCGACCTTGCTCCCCCTTTTCTTTCTTGAGGAACTGCAGCCCTTATCGAAAAGGTGAAAGATTTGGAACCAGACTCGCGCAGACATTGCGAGAATCTCACTTGATCCTTCAGAGTGGCTGCTATAACGGCATAGATATACGGGCAGCTGTCTTCAGATGATGGAAGTGAATGGGCCAGTCTGCCACTTCTCAGCTCGCACTCCCAGCCTCTTCACCCTCCGCCCACTCTGCAAACAAACGCTTCTACGTCCTTCTTCTCTCTTCGCCTCTTTCTCTCCCTTTCTCCCTCTCTTTGCAATCCTCATTGTCGGCATTGCTTCTTCTCATCTCGCATCCGTCGAAAAATGCCCGAAGCTGTTGCCTCGGACGCAAAGTCTCCCAAGACTCCTCGACGGCTCAAGACTGGCGGCGAGCCCCTTCGTCAGGTGCACTTCCAGAGCCCAGGCAGCAACGCCGATACCAAACCCACGACTTCTTCTTCCAACTCTGCCCCCTTTTCTGCCTCTGCCACCACCACCGTCAACGGCGAGAGCATCAACGTCCACACCGCGGCTCCAGCTCCCGACAACCAGCCCTCGAGCTTCCCCCAACTCGGCGCTCCGCCATACAGCACGCTTGGTTCCGACCAGTGGCACACGTCCATTGACCCGAGCCAGAGCGTCAAGTTGCCCGGCCAGCCGTTTGCAGGAGGCTTCGCACCTGGCCTCGCACCTGGCTTCACCTGCGCGCCACCGCAGACTCACCTGGCCAGCCCCTTTTCTGCTCTACCGCAGGTTTCTGCCCCCTTCACCACCTATATCGGCATCCCTCCTCAGCTCCAGCATCAGCATCAGCATCATCTGCCTCAGCATCACTTCACCACCGCAAGCATGGCCGACTACCAGAACGCAGCGCCGATGGCCTCTGGCGTCAACTTCCAACCTCCAGTGCCCGACACCACATTTGGGCCCATTCCCCACGTCTACGTGCCTCGTTTTGACGGCGGCTTCATGCCCGCTGCTGTTCAAGTCGGTCTCCCCTCGGTACAGTTTGTTTCCGCCCCTGCTGCATGCTCCACCACCGTCGTGATGCCAAAGACGTTTTGCTATTACAGCAACGGCTTCACTTACTATGCAAGTCGACCCGCAGCGCAACTTTTCCTCTCAACGTGGCTCTTTTTCTTTTCTTTTTTCTTTTTGGCTTCCTTCTTCTATTTTGGTCCAATCTCCAGTGAAGCTGCTTGCCTGCCTGAATTCTGTGGCTCGTTTGTTTGCTTCTCAACTCGAGTCTCTTTACAAGCTGGACTTGCTCTTTCATCTCACATCCCTCTCTGTTGTTGATTCAAAATGGCAGTCCATCAACTTATCGAGTCACATGCTGACATTTCTCTCTTCTCTAGCAGCCAGCCGTTGCCGGCATTCCAGTCGCGCACTCCAGCTACGTTGTTGCTCATCAGCCCGCCGTCGTCCCCCAGCCCTTCGTCGGCCAACAGCCTGTCATGATCGGCGGACAGCCAGCCGCTGCTGCTATCCCCTTTCAACAAACGCCTGCTGCTATTCCTGCCATGGGCGTGTCTGGCGTCGGCGGCGTGCCCGTCATTACAGGTAACGGTGGCCAAATCCCCGATGTGTCTGGTCTCGGCCGCACTCCTGGAGAAGAGACGGTGCGGCAGCTCCAGTTTGCACACGCGAACAAGCTGTTCGAGCCGCAGGAGTTCAAGCCGTCGGACGATGACCCATCCCGTTTCTACTATGTTCGCGAAGTTGACGGTAATTGGACCCAGCGCAACCGATTTACTATTGACCACCTAGGTGACTGTCGATGGTATGTCACCGACGAGGGCTGGTTCTATGCCGTCCGGATGCCCAATTAAAGTGATACGGCACTTTGAAGAAGCTTTAGGAAAATAAAAAACGACCATGTAAGCTTGCTACCACCATCACTAAGCGACAGAGAGCAGAGCAGATCACTGATGCTGGAAATAGGCACATTGTAAACCCGTTAGCTTATCGCTCTCACGTCTAAATGCTGCAACGCAATACAGGTTGGTTGAGCCTTAGAAAATGCAGTTTTTAGTAAAGGAATATATAGTAACACGTTATCAGAATACCAGCCGAGGTGTTCTTCAGAAACAAGCTTACATATTTGGTCATCAGGTATACTTTGAGCAGCTTTTGAGTTTGCTTTGATAAGCTCAGTTCCTGACAGAAGAGAACCCTAGAGAGAAAATGATGGCTGGAGGACCTGGGCAGTTTTGGACCATAATAAGTTTTTGGCGTGTAGGCCGTTTGAAAAGAGAAATTTGATCCTGCAGTAAAGCTCTGTTTCTAGTGCTTGCTTGCATCACCCTATGCACACCCACTCTGTTCCATATGTCGTGTCGATCCAAGTATTCTTCCCATTATATTCCCAATCAATAAGGCTAGAGCATGCTTGTTCAAAGATTCGCCTTGAGTTGTTTGGTAACGCTACGAAGTTGCATTAGCTAATTATTAGATTCAGATCAAGAGATGAATCAATCCGATCAAATGTCTTGTCGCCCGGCAGATCTACCCACGGCTTCAGTTTAGGAGCATGGGTCTGCAGCCCGCTCTCTTGCCGGCCCACCCTCCTCGCTTCGATTCTCAGAGTTGGAGTCCGAAACTGCGGCATCATTGCGGCACACTTGCCCACTCAACGATGGATTCCTTTCGCCGCCCCGATTGTAACGGGGGGGGTCTTTATCCAAGATCCTAGCTTGCAGTGGCGTCGCAGATGTCAGCCCGTACACCTAAGACCCTCCGAGGGCTACTATTCATTGCAGCAGCCTAATTCCTTCCGTTACCCCAACTTTTTTCTCCCCATGTTCTGGAGATTAAAAAGTGTTCGAGAAAAGAAGAGAAGAAACTCCGAATCCCGAGGTTTGAAAGCTTGCCGTGATGAGTAATGGAGAGAGAGGGGAGAATGTCGAGTAATGGTCCCGCGGCAGCTCTGTAACCCCTCATCTGGAATTGGAGGCGGGGAGAGTTGCTTTGGGGATGGCGATTCCATTATATATGTATATTAATCAGCCCGGATTGGCGGTTCGATTTTGCTCGTTGAGCAAAACCCGAAGCTTTTGTCGGCGCTAGAGGCCGTGATTATAGTATACGATATCTTGGATGCAATAAAGAAATAAGCTAAAAAGACGTCATTATAAATCCACTTTCCAGACGGGATAAACGAGCTCGACGAGATAGAGACGACGCCCTTCTACATACACCCCAACCTTTCTTTCTCATTGGAGCCTTTTCTTTTCTTTTCTTTTTCGTTCAGTACAGTAAGAAGAAATCCGTCTTTGGAAGCTTTCTTTCTTTGTTTCTCTCGTCCGTTGCCAGGAACCCCAGTTTGCCGTCTCCAACATAGTAATCATGTCAAAAGTCTTCACCCCGGGTGCCCCGTCACTCGAAAACGACGACTCGATGATCTCGCGCAAGTTCGGCCGAGAGGTCATCAACTACTACGGCGGCGGCCTGCTCAACCGCTTCTCCTTCCTGCGCAACGACATCGGCTTCATTTGCCGCGCCGCCACGGCGCCCACCACGCAGTTCATTGCGCTGCGCGACCTCAACCCGCTCATCGCCGACCCGGCGCGGCTGGCCTTTTTCAGCCACGACGACGTGCGGCCGCTGATTGGCGCCGATCCCTTTGGCCGCACTGACCTGGAGAAGCAACAGACGTTTGACTCGACCAAGCCGAGCCCGCTGCTGCTGTTCTTGGGTTTGTTGCCGAGCACGCCAAACGGCTTGGATCTGGAGACGACCAAGCATGGCGTTGTGAATGGGCAGCCGTACTTTGCGCTCGATGTCACGCCCAAGGGCCAGTATGCGGAGGAGGCCGAGACGTTTCTGAAGAAGGCGCAGGAGAAGGGATATTCGGTGCAGGAGAATGTGCGGACCATGACGCTTCACCCGGAAGCAGGTATGTTGTTTTGCTTTCTTGTTGCTGTTGCTGTTGTTGTTCTTTCTCGTGGAAGAGGCTTGCACGGCATCTCATGAGAAAACTCACTTCTCGTTTCATGAGATGCTCACCTCTCACTCACACACTCTCTCTCTCTTATATCATATCACGTCACACACACAAAAAACATGTACATCACTCAAGTTTCACCCGACTAACACACAATCATGATCCAGCCGCCATCCTCGCCCAAGCCCGCTCCCTCATCGACTGGAACGCCCGCAACCTCCACTGCGCCGGCTGCGGCAACCTCAACCTCTCCGTCGAGACGGGCTACAAGCGCGTGTGCCCAACCCACGACCTCGCCGGCGGCGCCACGCCCATCGAGCGCCCCGACTGCCCGACCCGCCACGGCATCTCCAACGTCTGCTTCCCGCGCACCGACCCGACCATGATCGCCGCCGTCGTCTCCGCCGACGCCAAGCGCGTGCTGCTCGGCCGCTCCGCCCGCTGGCCCCCCAAGTGGCACAGCACCCTGGCCGGCTTCATCGAGCCGGGCGAGTCCATCGAGGACTCGGTGCGCCGCGAGGTCTGGGAGGAGGCTGGCGTGCGAGTCGGCCGCGTCACCATCCACTCGAGCCAGCCGTGGCCGTACCCCTCCAGCTTGATGATTGGTGCTATTGCGCAGGCGCTGCCGGACGGCGAGGACATCACCCTGCTGGACAAGGAGCTGGAGGCTGCAAAGTGGTTCACCTTTGAGGAGGTGCGGGAGGCGCTCAAGAACGGCACAAGTGCGCTGGGCGATCCTACGCCGGTGGGATATACCGGGGAGTTGTGCGTGCCGCCGAAGCAGGCGATTGCGCATCAGCTGCTGCAGGCCGTGGTGGATGGCTATTTTGACCCTCTGCCCAAGATGTAGGCTATAGCGTTTTGTAACACTTGTATGTAGCGATCATAGAATGGAACAAGGAAGAAAGAAAGAAAGAAAAACAATAGAACTCACGACGTGTATGTCAACAATCATATGTTTTCCATCAAGCGGTATTGATATAAGTATTACTATTCAGGCAGTAATTCTACTTAACCTAACCCAGATAGATCAGGGCTGCCTAGATTGACTGGAAATAGTAAAATCTCGGCTGTAGATGCTAGTTTAGAGCTTTTAATTAATTAAAATAATTGAAATAATTTTAAATTAAATATAATAATACTTTAAAATTATTATAATTATTTATAGTATTTTTTTTTTAACAAATTTTGATATTTTTTTTTAATAAATAAACTCAAGTATTATTAAATTTATCTAAAATACGCTTTCCGTTTATTAGCCACGCATCGCACATGTCGAATCTTCACACGCGTATAAGCTCCCACCGACAGCCCAGATTTCGGCTAAGCTACGGTGTTCATCCATAAATCCACCGCAGTTCCCCAGTATTGATCCAAGTCTCCCATCTCCATCTGTAAATATCATGTAAGTAGACGCATATTCATTTTTCAATTCCTGCATTTATACAACCCACCTGCCTAATCAAACAAACTGAACCTTGATGAAGTTAGCGAGCGGTTCATCTCAGTTCAAGGCATGCTTATAATCGGGTTAACTGGGTCCATTGCGACCGGCAAATCCACAGTATCATCGCTGCTCTCATCGGCGCCTCACTCATTGCCCATTGTCGACGCAGATGTGCTGGCCCGTGAAGTTGTCGAGCCCGGCACAAGGGGCTATCGTGCCATCGTCAAGCACTTTGGCCCCATGGCACCAGACCTGCTCCTCCCGGCGTCAGACACCATGCCAGAAAATGGACCTGACGGCAATGGCCGGCCACTGAACCGGGCTGTCTTGGGACGACTTGTCTTTGGCGACGAGCCCCAGATGCAGAAGAACAGGGCGGTGCTCTCAAGCATTGTGCACCCGGCTGTGCGGTTGGGCATGGTCAAGATGGTAACGGCCTGCTACTTGAAGGGACACTGGGCTGTGGTGCTCGATGTCCCGCTGCTATTTGAAAGCAAGCTGGATAAGTTCTGCGGAGCGACAATGGTGGTTGCCGTCACAGAGCCGGAGACACAGCTCAAGAGACTGATGGATAGAAACCCAGACCTGAGCAGAGAAGATGCGGAAAACAGGGTCAAGAGCCAGATGGATGTACGGGTAAAGGCAAAGAGATGTTTATCCGCGGGAGAAGGGAAGGGAGTCGTACTGTGGAACGATGGGTCAAGGGACGAATTAAAGACCCAGCTGGATGAGGAGCTACGCAAGCTCAAGGCAGCAAACCCAGAGTGGTGGTCGTGGCTGATGCTGGGATGCCCGCCGTTGGCAGTGGCGCTGGCATCATGGAGGTTTTGGCAGAACATACAAGCTGAGAAGAGGTGGAGAGAGGCGCAGGAAAAGGAGCGTGGTGATTGATATTTCTTTAATAAGTCCTGATGCAATCGAATATCTAAGCGATTTTTTACGAAGGCTACATTACATCCTATTCAAATGTAGTTTGATCTTGAGATTAACGACAACCACGGCTTGCATTATTGTTTACACAAAATCAGCGTAGCTGATAAGTCTATTGTGAAATGCATAAAGTAGATGAGCGAGTAGTTGAACAACTTGACACCCCCCCTTTATGTAACTGTTATATGTAAAACTAAGAGGTTACTTTTATTACTTTTCTTTAAGTTTCTTTTACTATTTTTATTAAAAGATATATAAAAAAAAATATAAAAATATTTAATATTTTTTAAAGCTTTTATTTAAATATTCTTTATAAGATTCCTTTTATAATAATAAAAAAGCTTATATAAGTAAATATTCTTTACTAGCTTTATTATAATTGGGACTACTATTAAGCAACCTGTACTTTTTTTTGCCTCCGTTCCTCGTTTATATCCCCCTCTAACATCCCATTTCTGGAAATACAATCCCCTCCAAAACCGGCGCCGGAATCGACTCAACAAGCCCTCGCTCATATCTCACAGCCCAGACCGCATCCGCGTTGATAACTTCAAGGGCTTCTCTTACCTCTTGGTTTCTTTCCATTGCATCAGCAATGAGATCCAGAATCTCGTCAAACATCTCATCCTCAACTCGCACATATGATATAATGGCTGTAAGGAGCTTCACCACCGCTTCCCATATCCTCGCCGGAGAAGCGTGCTGTCCGAGCCCTCCGCTTGGCTCTGCGGACTTGACAGACATTGGCTGGACTTCGAGACCATCGCTTGATCTTATAGGAATCACAATTTCCTTCCCTGGCATAGATTGTGAGAGGCCCTTTAAAGGCATATTCGAGCGACCTTTATCTCTTGAGGCCTGCTGTTTAATTTTGCGGCACCAGTCGCGGAGCCCGTCCCCCCACTCCGTCTTCCACCGAGTAGCAAGGAAATCCCCCGCTGATCTGCATAAGGCAGACAAAGTTTCACATGCCTCAATAACAATGAAAGTCTCGGAGTCATGTAGCCTAGCAATAACCACAGGCCAGATTGCATTAACAAGAGGAAGAAATGAGTCTTCATCAGCCGCAAGTACGGATGCAGCCGTAGTGAGAAGCTCCAGCAGTGACCTTCGGAGCGTCGGCGTCGGAGAAGTCAAGTAGTGCTGCGTGAGAGATGCCACACGCTGAAGAAGCTGGTATGTAGGCGAATTTGGCGGCTTTTCCTCGTCCCTGGGGGGTTCATCTTGCGCCTGGTCATCTTCATTACCAACCCCCTGTGCCAAATCGTTCGTCCATGGGACCCCAGGATGTCCACCTTTGGCCGCCATGTTTTCCATCTCTATCCTGTCTCGCTCCTCTCTCTCTTTCCGTTTCTCAAGGATCCCCAGTAGAGTTTCTAAATCTTCCATCTTCTGTGCTTTTTTCTTGTGATTAATGGGTGATTGCTCAACATCGGTTAAAAGCCGTCCGTCTGCCTGGGCTGCCTGGTCGACAATCTCTTTCAGGACTGAGAAGAGGCTTTCCACAAACGACGCATATCCGTGATAGTTTTCCAGAGCAGCAAACATTGACTCGACAACATCGTCCAAGAACGGCACCAGGCGGGGCCCCGCCAACCGCACCATCATTTTCATTACCTGCGTTGATGCCGGGGAGATGTCTAATGTATTCAGCCGCAGTGAAACGGAGTTGACCATATAATCGACATTGTCAATAATCAACTCAGAGACACTGGAATATTTGCATGACAGTGCTATGTTATTTAGTGCAGCAATGGCATGCTGTTGAAGATTGCCCTCGTCCGATCCCAGAAGCGTGGCGACGGGGAAGAGCACGTCAATGAGCTCTGGTCTAAACTTCTCACCTGACCTGTGTGCAGCGTACGCCATTATTTCGAGAGCAATGGCTTCTAAACGCCAATCGGTTTCACCCGTCTCGGTATGTGAGTCCAATACTTGGACGGAGAAGTCGTATAACTCGTCATATACTTCGTTTATATCGTCTGATTGGTCGTTAAAGGCTGATAGGTCAAACAGCGCATCCGTATACTCAGAGTGAGTATGCGCTGCCTTGACCAGTTCAAAACAGAGCCAATATGCAGTCATTTGAGTCACAGATGCTGATTCTCGTACACAGTCTAGCATGTCGGCAGCAATCCTTGCATGCTGCGACATCGACCCAACAGTTCGTAAAAGGCCCATTACTTCGCTTTTTAGTCTCTTCTGCCCTTGATAGCCTAATAGGATTGGTTGAAATTGCGATTGGCTCGATGTGGGCGAATCCGAGGATGCATCTTCCAGCAGGAGCACATGGTTGCTGACGCTAGAATGGTGGGTTTTAGACGTAGTAAGGATAGACATTATGCTTTCTCTTAAAGTGATGGCGATTGAATCATCGAGCGTGGACGACTCGATTTTTAGGCTTCGTAGTAGCTCGATTCCCTTTGACAAGTTGTAAGCTGCCTGTTCCTTTACTTTTTCGTCGCTTGCCTGCATAAGACGAGGGAGGCTCGTCATCCAGCTATAGACGGTCGACTTGATAGTTTCTCCCAATTCTGGATATATGTTTACCAAGTATCTCAAGTTTGTTTGCGTCATCAAATCCTGGTCCGACCCTTCATCAAGAATCACCGATGTCTCGACAAGAATGGATGTACAATTTGATAGCGTAGTGTGGCATTCATCCAGCAAAGTAATGCATAGCCTCCCTAGGGCCTCACGGACCTCGGATCCCTCATGAGTTCGTAGCTTCATCATCACTGACAAGGCCACTTGAACTTGGGCTACAGTTGCCTTCAGCCATGCAGGGCTCAGCACCTTGGATTTATCGGCGTCTGTCTGGCTTTCGGTCTCCATGGCGAGAATAGATCGTGTTCGCATATCAGATAGCACCTTTGTTAATACAACTTGCGTCGTCCCAAGGCATTTTGCTATTACCAGCTTTTTGTATCGGTTTGGTTTTGATAGGACCTTTGCAAGCGACGAGATGGTTCCTGGTAGAAAACTAGCTAACGCAGCGTGCTCCTTGATGGCTCCATAGAGGGCCTCCAGCGTCCTCAATGCCTCACGCTGGATTTCTGGAGTTGCGCCTTCTGATACTCCATCCAATATGACTGTAATTCCGTGGCCCAATACTGGTATCGATTCGGGCTCGGAGAGTCCCGCTGCGGCCACAGGAGATGACCCTGCGGTAGTCAGTAGCGCAGTTTCGGCACGAAGTGCTTCGAGAACCGCTTCTTCAGGCACGTCTCTTTTGGGGGATCCCGGAACGCCATCAATGATGAATATCAAGAAACTGAATAGCTGCTGCACAAGTTTGGCAGATATCCTGGATTTCCAGCCGTGAACAATGAGAATAGTCAAGCATCTGACGCAGTCTTCCACTAGACTCATGGGGTATCGTTCCAAATGGCGAAAAATGTGAGACAGGGGAAAGGAGACATATTCTGCTAGTTTCTCGTCAAGAGCCAGCGGGTTCGTCGAGAGCTGCTCATTTAAGATGTCGAGGATCTGCCTGACAAGCTCCTGCAGCTCCTGGTGGCTTTTCGGGTCTTCAGGCTCCCGAATTGCCAGCTGGCTCGCTTTAACACAGCATGGCTTCAGCTACATGGAATTAGGCCTGAATATCCTTGGGAAATATGTAGAGGGACTCACTCTCTGAAACAGCTCGTTTCGTTCTTTTGCGGCTGGAGTTGTCTCCATGGTCCACTAAAACAGCAAAGCTTTTCGAGCAGCTACTTGCACATGGTCTCTTATCGTGTCTTGTTTGTGCAGCTACAGACGCTGAGAATGAGTAACGGTGCTTTGAAATACTGTATTAGAAAACTCAATGCAAATAGTAGCAAATTCACTCTTCACCAGAACCTCCTGCTGGTTTTACCAAAGGGACAGGCAGGCTAGAGGGGACTGAGCACGAATCGCATGAAGTGAAGCTTGCCTCCAATACAGTATTTACACAGCCGGCACACTGTATTTGTCACTCTAAGCTGCCTAAGCCACATGCAAGGCGGACGCTAACGAGGTAGGATTAGCGGAGGCTGAGCGAAGGATCGATCAAGCTCTGCTTGCCGCAGCTGCTAATTAATGTCGATACTGTGCCTAGACTCCTATCCGTCCCTTGAGCTTATGGCTGCAGTCGCGGCTCTCTGACGCCTGGAATCCCCGCCAAAAGCTCCCCCGCCATGGCACCTCTACGTAATGGCATTTGCCCCTCATCAGAAATTGGAAGTTAAACGCAGAGCTGCCTTGCATATATAGACCCGAATAGAACAAGTCCCTTAATTTGCCCATTCTCCAATCCTAGTCTCTCATCTGCAATACGAGGACATCTAAACAAGTAAAATGGCGTCTGAAGGGCCGTTTCCTCTTTTGGCCCACCCGTACCGGTCCCCAGCTCGAGGGACGTGTGCCTACGAGATGGGAAATACAGCTGCCAAAAATGCGCTGGTCTTTATTGGAGGTCTGAAAGACGGCCCTCATACGACGCCTTATATTCGAACTGTTGCCAGACACCTGGAAAAGACGCCCGAGCTTGGCTATTCTGTGTTTGAAACACGAATCAGAAGCTCCTTCGATGGTTTCGGGACCTCAAACCTGGCACAGGATGTTCAGGATATATCTGCGCTTGTCAAGTATCTTCGCTCCATTGGTCGGGACAAGATCATTCTATTTGGTCATTCAACCGGATGCCAGGTATTATTCTCGAATCGTCCACATCAATCCAGATCCGGAAAACTGACGAATTTAGGATTGTATGGAGTACACAAAATATGCCAAATATTCCAACAGCCCCGTAGATGGCTTCATTCTTCAAGCACCAGTCTCGGACAGAGAGTCTTTAGACACTTTTCTTCCAAATTGGCACTCCAAGCTCGACTATGCTGACAAAATGATTGCCGACGGGAAGGGGGGCGACTGCTTGCCTGCCGAGCAGTCGATTGCCATGTTGAACGCACCGATATCCGCCAACAGGTTCCACGACCTGTTTGCGAAAGGGTAAGTTAGCCACCTGTCAGACCGGTGAAGTAATCAAGGCTAATTAACCTTAATAGCGGCGCGGATGATTACTTTTCTTCCGACCTTGATGCCGAAACAGTAATCGGATTTTGGGGCCGGTTCAACAAACCGGTGCTTGTACTACATTCAGAAAAGGACGAGTTTGTGCCGGCAACGGTTGATCAAGTTGCGTTGAACAAGAAGTATCAGGCAGCGAGCCCGTTTGTGAGCCCGTTGTCTGGCCTCATTCCCGGAACGGGTCACACTGTCTTGCAAGAAGAAGCTCGAGAGTGGCTGGCGGGAAGGGTTATCGAGTTTCTCCGCACTATTACTTGACCCAGGCTTTTTATCCGCCACAAGAGTAACTTATACAAAGAGGAGACGGTGGAAAGCTACAGCAAAGGAGGCTTGATGGCATGTTTGTCTTGCCCGTACAAATTATATCATTAGCATATATCATCTTCAATCCTCGATCATCTGCCGATCCTGGGTCAAATGCAGAATAGAATTAACGGCGTAGTGAGCATAATATAATCACAACTAAGACAACTTTCAACAAACATTTTAAGAAAAAGAGAAGGTCAAAAAAAAAAAAAAAACGAATTAAGCCATCGGCATAGTATAGCCCCTCCAGGGTAAGCGGCAGTCTACGGCAATCGGCCAAATGACGTCCGATACCGCCGACTGGGGTCATGGGTATATCGGATTTAGAGCCAGCCTCATATCCCAGCACCTGTGCTTGTTTAAGGAAGTGGTGTGCTAGCACTGCTGCACTGCACTCCATACGGGGTAATAGAGGCTTTCTAATTCGTCACCGGCTTCGTGCCTGGTAGCAGCTGGGGGGGGGCTCTGTGGAACATTTAGCGGCCCCTTTAGCGGCCTTTTGGCGGTACCTGCTGGAAAGACCTGCGCCGGCTGACAAAGCACCGCCAGAAGCCTCTGCAGTTCGGCGCGCGCAGGTCTCCACATCCAAATCCAGTGGGTATCATTCGTTTCCGTTCAATCTCGGCCGCTCGCTCGGGCTGCCTTTTTTTTTTTTCTTTTCTCTGAGCTCAAGGCTTTTGCTCTTCGTCCATTGCTGCCTCATCGGTTTTTATCGCCAGGCCTTGCATCGACTGAGCCTCCATCCATCGCCAAGACTCCTCGCGCCGTGCCGACGCATTGGTCCTTTTTGTCGTGTTGGAACCCCTTGCGTCACTGACCGACTAACAGCAGCAGCTTCGACATCATCGTTGCGACTTAGCCTCACCACCGATAGGCCGACGTCGAGCATGCGGTAACAACTTCACGTACACGTTCGAAGAAGAGAAGAGCTGGACCGCAATCATGGATCCGTACAGCGAGCAAAAGGTGCTGCTGCACACCGGCTCGTTCACCGGCTACCGACCACAGCAAGAGCTGGGCAGCAACTATCTCGCCGCCAACGCCTCTTGTAACAACTTCTGCGGCAACGAAGAGGGATGGGGTCCCCTGAGTCCGTTTCGATACGACTTCACGCCGTGCTTCGTCGATGTCTGGATCGCTGCCGTCTCCGTATATGGTATTCTCTTTGGCGCCATCGCCATCTGGTGGCTTAAGAAGAAGAAGCAGGAATTGTCGACATCTAAGAATGCCCATTTCTGGATTAAACAGGTATGCTATGGCCCATGGAACTGTTACTTTGTCCGCGGGAATGTGGCTAACATGGCTATCTCCTGATTAGACCCTACTCGGTGCCATCATCGCCGACGTCATCGTTCAATTCGCTTTCCAAATCGTTAGCTATGGAAGCATCTGGTATCGCGACTTCCGAGCCTGGACCACCGTTGCCCTCGTCTTGTCCTTATTCGTCATCTTTACAATCCAATGGCTAGAACATTCACGCCTGAGAAATGCAAACGGAGTTGTGCTATTCTACTGGCTGCTGCTTATCATCTCATTCGCGGTGAAGCAACGCTCATTGGTTTCGCAGCAGCTTTATACCAAGAGCCTCCCATATTTCATCACCTACACTATTGGAGTCGGTCTCAGCGTGGTGGAGTTTTTAGTCGAGTGGCTGTGGCCTCGTTCGCTGGACAATGGATATGAAGCCATCCTGGAGGAAGAGGAGTGCCCCCAAGACTACGCCACCGTTTTCTCCAAGCTCACCTTCTCCTGGATGACACCACTGATGAGACGCGGCTACAAGATCTTCTTGACCGAAAACGATCTCTGGGGTCTCGCTCGAGCTGATCAGACCAAAAACACGGGTGTGGCTCTCGAAGAGGCGTGGAAACACGAGCTTAAGCGCCGACCCAACTCACCATCACTTTGGCTGGCCTTATTCCGAGCCTATGGTGGCCCCTATGTCACTGCCGCTTTCTTCAAGGCTGGAAACGACGTTGCACAGTACATCCAACCGCAGCTCCTCCGTCTTCTCATTGCGTTCGTCGCATCTTACAACATTGGAGAGACTCCCCAGCCCATCATTCAAGGCGCCTCTATTGCGCTTGCCATGTTTGCGTGTGCCGTCTTCCAAACCACAATGGTTCACCAGTATTTCCAACTGGCTTTCGAAACTGGTATGCGTATCAAGGGTGGTCTGGCCTCGACAATCTATCGAAAGTCACTGCGACTGTCTAACGAGGGACGATCAACCAAGTCCACTGGTGATATCGTCAACTACATGGCAGTCGATGCCCAACGTCTCCAAGATCTTACCCAGTTCGCCCAGCAAGCCTGGTCGGCGCCATTCCAAATCACCATCTGCATGGTTTCCTTGTATAACCTCGTCGGATGGTCTATGATGGCAGGTATCGTCGTCATGATTATCATGATGCCCGTGCAAGGCTTTGTCGCTCGAATGATGAGAAACCTGCAGAAGGATCAGATGAAGAACAAGGATGCCAGAAGTCGATTGATCAACGAAATCATCAACAACATGAAGAGCATTAAGCTCTATGCCTGGGGTTCTGCCTTCATGGCCAAGTTGAACTTTGTCCGCAACGAGCAAGAGTTGAAGAACCTTCGCAGGATTGGCGCGACCCAGGCCGTGGCCAACTTCACCTGGAACACTGCGCCCTTCTTCGTCTCATGCTCTACCTTTACCGTTTTCGTTCTCACCCAGGATCGCCCTCTGACTACGGATATTGTCTTCCCTGCTCTCGCCCTGTTCAATCTCTTGACCTTCCCTCTGGCTGTGCTTCCCATGGTCATCACCTCTATCGTGGAGGCTTCCGTTGCTGTTGGCCGTCTGACCGCCTTCCTCACCGCTGAGGAGCTACAGACCGATGCCGTTACTGTTGGAGAATCCCCTCAGGAGATGGGTGAGGAAACCGTTCTCATTCGAGACGGTACCTTCTCTTGGAACCGTCACGAAGATAAGAACGCGCTGACAGACATCAATTTTACTGCCTACAAGGGAGAACTGTCCTGCGTTGTCGGCCGAGTTGGAGCTGGCAAGTCCTCGTTCTTGCAAAGTATTCTTGGTGGCTTATACAAGGTAAAGGGCTCCGCGGAAGTCAGGGGAACTATTGCATACGGCTCTCAACAATGCTGGATTCTTAATGCCACAGTCAAGGAAAACATCGTCTTTGGATATAAATGGGATCCCGAGTTCTATGAAAAGACTGTAAAGGCTTGTGCTCTGGTTGACGATTTCGCACAACTCCCTGATGGTGATGAAACTGTCGTGGGTGAGCGAGGTATCTCTCTTAGTGGTGGCCAAAAAGCTCGTGTTTCGTTGGCTCGCGCTGTCTACGCTAGAGCTGACATCTACCTTCTCGACGATGTACTATCGGCTGTGGATTCCCATGTCGGCCGACACATTATTGAAAATGTCCTTGGGCCCCGTGGTTTGCTCTCTACTAAGACTCGTATCCTAGCCACGAACGCTATTTCTGTCTTGAAACAAGCCAGCTACATCACCCTTCTCAAGGATGGAGAAATTGTCGAGAGAGGAACCTACGAGCAGCTCATTGCCAGAAAGGGACTTGTTGCCGATCTCCTGAGAACTGCAGGCCATGATTCTACCAGCCCCTCTAGCGGTAGTTCCAGCGGCGAATCTAGCGAAACATCTACTGTCATCGAACCTCTCAGCACTCAAGACAAGGAAGAACTGGAAGAAGCGCAAGAGCAGGTTCCTGAAATGGCGCCCATTAAGACTGGATCTGCCATGACGGATAAGCCAAGATCAAGCAGTATGGCGACTTTGCGACGTGCCAGCACAGCGAGCTTCAAGGGACCCCGCGGAAGGCTTACGGATGAAGAAGTCGCGGGAAGCTCCAAAACAAAGCAAGCTAAAGAGCACATTGAGCAAGGCAAGGTCAAGTGGTCAGTCTACGGCGAGTATGCCAAGGAAAACAACCTCTACGCTGTAGCCATTTACATAATTGCACTCCTCGCCGCGCAGACGGCCAATATTGGTGGTTCCGTCTGGCTGAAGGAGTGGGCTGAGAAGAACCAGTATCTCGGCTCCAACGACCACATCGGAAAGTACATTGGTATTTATTTTGCCTTTGGTATTGGCTCTTCCCTCTTGACGGTTCTCCAAACGCTTATCCTATGGATCTTCTGCTCCATTGAAGCCTCTCGCAAGCTCCACGAGCGCATGGCCAACGCTATTTTCAGGTCTCCTATGTCTTTCTTCGATACCACCCCGGCTGGTCGAATCTTGAACCGATTCTCCAGTGATATTTACCGTGTCGACGAAGTCTTGGCTCGAACATTCAATATGCTTTTCGTCAACGTCGCCAAGTCTGGCTTCACTCTCATCATTATCTCCGTATCTACGCCTGCTTTTGTCGCTCTCATCGTCCCCATTGCTCTGGCATACTACTGGATTCAACGCTACTACCTCCGAACTTCACGTGAGCTCAAGCGTCTGGACAGTGTTAGCCGTAGTCCCATCTACGCTCACTTCCAAGAGTCGCTTGGAGGTGTCACCACAATTCGCGCCTACCGTCAAATCGAGAGATTCCAGCTCGAAAACGAGTGGAGAGTTGATGCCAATCTTCGTGCCTATTTCCCATCCATCAGTGCCAACCGTTGGCTGGCTGTTAGACTTGAGTTCATCGGAGCCGTAGTCATTCTTGCTGCCGCTGGCTTTGCCATCGTCTCTGTTGCAAGCCACAGTGGTCTGAGTGCTGGTCTCGTTGGTCTGGCCATGTCTTATGCCCTGCAGATTACAACATCTCTCAACTGGATCGTCCGTCAGACAGTTGAGGTCGAGACTAACATTGTATCTGTCGAGCGAGTACTTGAATATGCCCGACTGCCTAGTGAAGCCCCTGAGATTATTCCCAGCAAGCGCCCCTCTGTTTCTTGGCCTGCCAAGGGTGAGGTCGACTTCAAGAACTACAGCACTCGTTATCGTGAGGGATTGGACTTGGTTCTGAAGAACATCAATCTTGACATCAAGACTCATGAGAAGATTGGAGTTGTTGGCCGAACTGGTGCCGGCAAGTCTTCACTGACACTGGCTCTGTTCCGACTCATTGAGCCAGTCACTGGTCAAATCGACATTGACAACCTCAACACATCGTCTATTGGCTTATTGGATCTCCGACGCCGCCTTGCTATTATCCCGCAGGATGCAGCTCTCTTTGAGGGCACTGTCCGTGACAACCTAGACCCAGGCCACGTACACGATGACAGCGAACTTTGGAGCGTACTAGGTAAGTTTCTACTTGTACATTATTTGCAGGCTACTATTCATGTTGCTGCTGGGCAGAACTCTTTGTCATCTGTTTGACCGAACTTTTTGCTAACTTGAACACCCAGACCATGCTCGTCTGAAGGACCATGTAGCCAGCATGGATGGTGGCCTTGAAGCTAAGATTAACGAAGGCGGTAAGTCTTTTACTCTCTTTTATCCCTCTGTATTTCATGACCACGCTGCTTCGATTGTCTACGATTGTCCGTTATCGGCCATCTGTTCGCATTCTTGGTGATCTATGTCTCCACCCCTTTTCATGATGCGTGTGCTATGAGCGCTCTGTCACTCCGCTGTTCTCGTGTTCAACTAGATTGATCCATTTCTGCACCTTACCCACGCCTGCCAAATGTTTCGTCTTATTGCTCATTTAATAAGACCGAACGCCCGCTGTACACTCAATTTAGGGCGAACGGAAGCTGACTGGATGACTACTAATTTAGGCTCCAATCTTTCTCAGGGGCAACGGCAGCTCGTGTCATTAGCCCGTGCCATGCTCACCCCGTCCAACATTCTGGTTCTGGATGAAGCTACTGCCGCTGTCGATGTAGAGACGGATGCCATGCTTCAGGCCACACTGCGATCTCCACTGTTTGCGAACCGAACCATCATTACGGTTGCACACAGACTCAACACCATTCTGGACAGCGACCGCGTTGTTGTGCTAGATAAGGGTGAGGTAGCAGAGTTTGATACACCGAGTGAGCTGTACAAGAAGCAGGGTATCTTTTACAACCTCATGAGACAGGCGGGTCTTGAGATTGATTCTTGAATATTGCGAATCTAAGACTGTCTATCTGAGCATTTTTTATTTGCTTTGCTACCTATTTAAACTGTTTATTTTTTTTCTTATTTTATTCTCAAGGAAAATGTTGAAGAGAGAACATTACTTGGTTAATCAGGGTATTATGATGCTCAATATGGTTGTATGTAAAGGGTGGAACTGGCGATGATGAAAACGACCCGAACCGTTTTCAAAGATGCCCAAATTTTTCTGTTATTTAACTAGCTAGTGATATGGCGTTATCTACGACCATATGGACAAAAAAAGAGAGAAAATAAAAGGGAAACAAGGTATTTTTTGCATGTGTGGAGTCTATTCGATGTGTGTTGGTAGTAGGTAGTTAGAGTAGCAATGGCACAAAGTATCACTCGTCCAATGAGCCCATTTGAGGAACCTTAAGTAAATTGGTACACCATCTTGTTACGACCAAACTTAAAATTTTCTAGGGGACCTGAGCCTTTTTTTGTTCCCCTGCCTCTTCTTTTCTTCTTCTTCTTCTTCTTCTTCTTCTTCCTCTTCCTTCATGCGTACGGCTGAATGGAAATAACATGGGTTTAAATAAAAGCTTCAGTTCTTGGCTTTTGATATTCCTACTTCTGACACGATGCTACTGCCTGTATGCACTATTGGTGCCGCTTATCAATATTTATTGCCTCATCATATTTGACACTATCATTAGTGTTGTAGTAGTTGTAGATCAATTCATGCTTCTTTGCAACCCCCCTGGAAGATTTACGTCTTAGAGCGACAATTAATGCGACTCCATTCTAAACGAAATGGCGTATCCGTGGGGTGGTGGTCGGTAATGAAAGGAAGAAGAAGAAGAAGAAGAAGAAGAAGAAGTTAAAAGCACACACGAATGGGAATGAATCATGCACACACCGCAATATGTCCTTTTATCCGTGAAGAAAAACTGTGCTCCCAGCATTACCAAGTACGCACCTATTCACTTCAAGCTGCAGTCGTCCCTGCATCTTCTGCGGACCCCTTCAGGTATGTTGCTTATTATGCGGCGGCCCTGGAAATCAAAATCAGGCGATTTCCAGGGTTCAAAGTGAAGTTTGGGTTTGTGTTGGTCAATCCTTGGGGCCCTCCCCAGTCATCTCCTTGCAAAATGGATAGACAAGCGGGGGAGAGAAGTTTCTAAACCAGCAAGCACAGCTCAGGAATTATGTGCGCCGTTTTTGCGTCGGGGTTATATGGGAATTTCCTCGGCTTTGGTGAATGATGATGAGCCATTACATGACTCGGTACTATGGGGCGAGTTGTTGCCAGAGAAAAGTTGAACAGACAACGAGAACGAAGAGGGAGAGCGTGAGAGGGACAAAGAGAAATGATATGAATTTGCCCTTTTTGAGAAGATTGCTTTGGTACAGTACTTCGTACCTGCAGATACTTCTGGGACTTTGACATGAATCCGCTTTTTACAACCGATCCGCGCGATGTATACAAGTAATCGTTTATGAAGAATGATAATGTCTAAGCCATGCCATGTGGGGTAGCGAAATGTACTACAACGTCAAGGGGAATCCCGGTCTGGAGCACTAAATACTAGGCGGGATAACCTCGAGGCCATCATTTGTTCAGCTCGGCTACGCTCTCTCTGCGAGGGGTTGAAGGGGGGAAAGGAAAGGAAGACCATGGACATAGGATCAATACAGACAGCAGTGCATTTCTACATACTGTAAGACGTAGAAGTAGTAGTAGAAGAAGAAGGGGATAGCCTATTGTTTGTTATACAAGCAATAGCATCATCCATCTACTGTATGCACTGCCTCGCTTGTCAGGTTTGTGACGAAGATAGACTGCTTACCTGGGATCTACGAGCACGTAGCGTATGTGCGTATATGAACTCTGTGAAATGGATGGGTGGAGGGCCATAAAACGGGTCCCTACGTACCTTGGTGCATGCGCGCTGATGCATGGTACATCTCATTATCGGCTTGTACTCCGTAGAATGATTGCCCTATCTGTGTGAGAAGTGACACATGACGTGGATGGTAGCACTTTGATGTCAAGACCGTTTTTTTTCTGGGGGGGAAGAGAAGGGCCCCGTTTAGCCGTTGCCGCCCTCCTTTTCGCTTCCTTGTGCCTGCGACTAGGGCTGGCACGACCATCGATATTAGCAGTCAAGGATAGTTTGACAGGATTCGCCAGACAAGGGGGACAGATGAGTAAACGTGCCAAGCGATACTCCGTACTCGTGCTTCTGCGTTAGTTCCCAACCCCTTCGCTTCCAGGGTCATGTCGCCATGTCCTCGTGCTGGCAAGGCCGCTGTTGAATAGCGTGTGCGGGAATAGGCCATGCTCCGCGCTGGCCTGATTTGATATCGGCAGTTGTGTGCTTCCGCAATACCCCTTGGCTGGTCACTATGGGAAACGGCCATAGTGTCACCCCTGAGATTTGCTTTACCCCAGTGACGGCTCCGCGGCCCCTCCGTATATAGAGAGTATACAACGTGCTATCAAAGCTGGGACTGTACGGTTACAAGGAAGTTCTGAAGGATGAAGCACACAATAAGCCTAAACGAGGCAGTAAAAAAAACATACGAGCAATCGTGACCAGCTGTACCGTTTCTATTAGGAAGAGTAACGATGGGATTTAAACGGCTGCGAGTAGGCATCTCCTCCGGCTCTCTGTTAGCCTCGGCGCAATCCTGGATGCGATGCACCATGCGAAGAGCTGACTCGGCTTCGCTGACCCTTTGTGTCGTGTCCAACCCACGTTGGCGAATGGGTCGACAAGGCGTCGCAAAGGCAGCTGGATGTCCGTTCTGGGGAGGCATCATGTAAACGAAAAAGAATGCCTGCAGCTTAGGTCCATTTCCAGTCAATCAACTCATGCAAAGTGGCACTGGAAATCTCTTTTCCAAGCTCTTTCATGTACTCACCGTTTGCCAAGCAAGGCAATCTTTGGTTATCGGGAATAGAGCTAGTTTAGTAACTCAATTACCCACACCCAGTGGTACCAGCGGAGGTGTATGTGGGAAGCCCAAAATGGCGAAGTTGAAGGACGTCGATGAAAGAAGAGGGATAAAATAGCGGCCTGTACATTATACTAGGTATACTCCGCACCGCCTTATGAGTTTCTAGCGGTGTGTTTTCAAAGAGGCCGTACATCTTCACCATGCTTTAGCATACAGAATTCATCCCAAATCATTGCGATGTTATGTGTATTTCCAGCGCTGCAGTGAAGTGGTGCTGACGGAACGCAAAGTTAAAGCGTTCCAGCATGCGTGACCTGGCGCATGATGAACAGGACTAGCCATGGGTAGGGCTAATAGCTTCTCTAGTTCCAACAGTCTTAGGTAGGGAGAAGAGTCTAGAGAGGTGCTAATGTTCTAGCGGCGCATTCCGAGGCCGAAGCGGGCGTCGAGCTCTCGTGGCAGGTTCTCATGGGAAGGTATTTGCGCCTTGAGCTTTGAGCCAATATAATGCTAGTACGTGTACTTCGTAAAGTAATGCGTATTAGTCTACCCAGTTCTCAAAACAAGATTTAAGGCGACTTGTCGGTAACTACTCCGTACATAGTATGGCAAATGTAGAGCGGGTCTTGTCCATGCAATGCTGGCAGCTCGCAGCTCTGACGGAGTACACATTGCCATCTCACGTTGGCCGCCTAGTCCAACAAGATGGAGGAGGATTGGCGGTGCTTCTTTCACCATTGGCCAAGCTCTCTGCGGGCCGTACGCCGTAGTGTGCGGTTAAAGTGCTCCTAGCGTTCCGCATTGAGCTTGCGATGCATAATCTGCTTGATTCGTTAGTCTTGTTCATCCTGCGGAGAGAGTGACTGGGGCTAATAATAGCTGCTCTGCCCTTCCCATCAGCCGGCCCAGGTAGATCTCAGCTGTCACTCTAATGGCTCGGTGTGACCCGAAGGAGCGATTCTCTTGAATTTAACTGAAATTGTGCTGATAGCCAGCGGAGACAGAACATAGCGGAAGAAAAATTCCGTGCAAAACATCCATGAAGCCCTGGCCTACTAGGCATCAGTAAGGCTATATTGGGTATATCTGAGCGCCATAATGTCCAGGGTGGCGGCATGTTTAAGCCGAAGTGCGATTGCTAAAGCATCTAAGTTTAGCAGCTGAGGAGAGAACATATTTATCAGCCGATGTCATATCTGGAAGGATTTGACTCAAGAGGGAGCAGGCGCCAGCTAACTTGGATCCACGGTATACAGAATGCTTATGCTGATGCGTCTGTCAAGATATGAAGATTTCGACTTGGAGAAGAGACGGGTGTTGATCCAAGCTGTCCCGTACTAGACTGTTGGGCTTCGCTAGGACAAATGTACCGGGAAGAATTAAATAGCTAAGCTAATAGCTGTGTGTAAGAGAGGGATGCTTCTGCTTGAACCAGATAGAGGGTTTTTTTTTTTTCCCCAGCGCCAATATCACGACCTCCTGGCTATTCTATATCGTCCATACTCAAGCGCCTGTATTCGTATATGCTATTCAGTAAGCAGAAGCTAAAAGGGCCATTTTCAAAAGAAGAGATAAGGCAGTGGCTGCTCTCGAGTTTATAATTTGGGTTCAACAAACAAAATTTTGATCGCTGAGAATGTAATATAAAAGAGATCTCAGCACTGTCTCGCATCCGTCCCACATGAAGTACCTGATGGTCCATATCGGCCCCATATTTGGCCGTAGCAATGCGACACAACCGGCGTGAGAGTGCAGTTGATAATATAATATGCTGTTTAAAGGGTTGCTGATTTCTCTCTCATTAACCTTCTGGCTTAAATGGCGAAAAGTACCTTTGTGGGTGACGGAATTAGCGATCAGTGGCCAACTAAAGTGATGCATATCAATAGCTGCCGTTAATAGTACCAGCACAATGTTGGGAACGTCGCCAAGTTAGTCCAACCATAGCAGGTTGGAGAGTTGATTCGTATGGCGACGCAAAGCATCAGAATTCAGTACAGGTGGCCCAGCGTCACTACCTTATCCACGAGTGATGGTAGCCCTGCCGTTGGCCCTGACAGTCATTTTGTTTTCTTTTCTTTTTGCATCGGAGCTGAGACGCCGGCGGGGTTCGAAGGATCCGGAAACCGACCCGGGACCAACACATAGACCAACACATAGGATGATAGGCTGCGATGCTTTGGAAGAGCCGTATCTGCATCTAGTGAAGCATGGCTTTTTTGTCGACTGCCTAGGCTAAGCAATCGGCGCTCCTCTCCGATGCCCCTCTTCCCTCAAGTGCACAGCATGGAACGTGCGCGGATCTTCAAAATTCTTGCCTTTCCGAATTGAGTCGGCAATAGGAGAATGAACTTTAGAAAGGTGGACTCCGTTTCATAAGGTCTGCCTCATAATGTGACGTAATGAGATGGCGATCAAGCCAGACACGCGACTGCCCAGATCGTCCAGTAGTACAGGTAGTAGTAATACATACTAGCAGAGCCCTCCATGTTCCAAATTGTCTCTGCAGCGAGGCTTTACTACCGATGCTGACCCCCAACTTCTTCTCCTCAGGTGGTGGTGTTTACCATCGGATGGGGACCGGTCCGTGTATAATACGAGGCAGGGCACTTCCCGTCTTGAAACCCCGTGGATAAGCAACAGTAGCGAGTGGTGCTATTGAATGAATGAGGCCGCTAGGATGAAATGAGGACAGCGGCTTTTACCCAATTGATTGCATGATGCTAAGTACGGGTAGAGGGTTTATTTTATGTCTTAGCAGCTGTGGCCGACTCGTCGTCGTGTTCTTGGTTAAATTGTCTCAAACCCCCCCACATAGGAGCACAGAGGCTGGGAATAGTGATCTCGGAGCTATGGCGCCAGTGTCCAAGTTTCTCCACAGTGGCTTGAAACATAACAAGGATATGCTGCCGGTTGTCCGGGATGGCACAGCCAGGTGTTGCAAGCCTGGATCTCACTGGCAGAGAGGGCTCCCGCATCCACTGGCTCAACCGCCATGTCGGATTGACAGGTCTCACCCGCGAGACATTGCAAGTCGTTTGGTAACAGTAGCGCGATAGCTTGTCGCGCCTCCACCTCCACCGCCACTGCCACGGACATCCAGTCAGCTATGGTTCGGTCGACAGTTATTGACGAAGCTGTCTCACCTCGGACGGATTCGATTTGTCCGCATGAGGGTGGTGCTACAACAGCGTGGCCAGGACCAGCTCGTTTGCCCGGCTACAGAGCGCCTCGGTTACCGGAAAGCGTTTCATGGCTTTTTTGCTATGTGGAGGACGTCCGCCAGCTAAACTAAGAGCTCGAGCCGTACCGCGTCCCACTAGAATTGTTGATCCGTTATTAGTGACGACGTTAGAGAAACTAATGAGCAGCGAGCAGTTCTAGCGGCATTACCCAGCTGTGTCCAAATTCCTATAGGAAACTGTTAAGATTCGCTTGCCAGGTTCGTCTCTTGTCTGCTGCCTCATCAGCGTTACCGCAGACAGATGCGCAAGGGCCTCTAAAGAGACATCCAGTGTGCAATTTTGTCCAAATTCTGAATCCTTTTCGCTCAAATTCACTCAATAGTGGCAATAAGCGTCAGCTCCCCGTTGGCCCAACCGTGTCAACCATATTTTCGGCCAACTTTGTCCCGCAGCTCCAGATAGGAATAGAAGCAATACTTGTAATAGACAGCGCCGCTGCTCCGGGCAGAAGTCCGCCGTTGCTGAAACCAGTAGAGAGATGCGGCTCTTATCCAAATCTAGCCCGCTGCACTTGTAAGAAGCCGACCCTTTGCGAAAGTTTGGTCCATGGCGGCTATTAGTTTGACGCACGAGCCTGCTTTAGGAAACGAATCTTGTGAAAAAAAGGCGTTGGTGTTTAGTAAGATGGCACTGGGCTGAGGAGTTGAAGTATCCAAGTACTGCTACTTACCAGCGTTGCCAATTTGCATCACCTCAGCTACAACACCCAAGAAGTCGGGTCCCTACTAGGTACTAGGTAGTAATGGAGGGCACTACTAATATACCAGGTAGTAGCGGGACGGGGCAGGAGATTCTAAGCACCTTCCTCCCCTCCCTGCCATTGCCCAGCCCGGAAGTCTGGCTGTCACTGTCGCCTTCCTGTTGGCCCCGACCTGCTGGAATGCTAAATCTCGGGCGCAGGGTAGGTACTCTGTAGTACCAGTTCGAGACTCGAGCAGACATAACGTGCTCTACCCCATGCGTTGGCTCTGAACTGTACCAGCCAAGTACGTCGTAGTGGCCGACGAGGCAGGAGTGCTACTAACTTACCGCATGTACGCTCTTTCACCATCCCTACAATAGTGGCATGAAGAGAGGTAAGAGGTATTGGGTAGTTCTACGAAGTAGGCAGAAAGGGATTAAACCTGCCTTGGAGGTAGGTCACTTTCACTTCTAGAGCGAGATTGCCCCGAGGCTACCAGTGTAGAGTCTCATTCGTTTAAAGCAAGTATGAAGGGAGGAAGTTACAGTATCTATCTAGCGTCTCAGATTATTAATTTGCCGCCCACCCTCTACTCAGCTTTGGCGAGAATGGTTAAACGCGAATGCAGGGAGAATTTTGGCCAACCGAGCACACAAACAAGAAGCATTGGCAGTGCTAACACTACTTCCTAATCGGTGACTTGATCCAATGGCTTTCTCATGGCGCCAAGTTCTCCAAGCCAAGGATGGATCCAGCTGGGTCTCGTGACGGGGCACGCCTGCTGATCAGCGCATACAACAGCATCTAGCGACATCGAGCCAAAAACCGCCGCCCATCCCTGCCTCTTGTTCCTGGCGACGATCTACTCGTGCGTGCGTGTGCCGTAAAGAGCAGTCTTTTATTGCCTCGCGGCTCCATAATGGTATGGTCTTTTCGAGAGTGCTTCCGCAGCGCGGCTGTATCAGGACGGACTGAAACTATCTCTACCCTAGCCCAGACTCAATGGTTGGCAAAGCCTGCAATGGTTCATGACAAGCTCCGTTCGAGTGGTACTACTGCCGATAGCAACGTGGTCTAAGAAAGTGGATTAATTGGGCCAATCCGCAACGGGCGCAAGCGGAACGTTCTTTTGTTTCCAACTTGAACGGTGTCTATTCCATTGGCCGTGGCTGCCGAAGAGGGGGGAGAAAAAAAAGGGGGGACACAGAGGGCAGCTATTCATGAGGCATCGTGATACAATGTTGTGTGAGCTCGTCACAAGCCGACGGATTTTTCTGTCACTGCTTGTATGCAGACGACCCAAAAGGCAAGTCATCTGCATCATCGATGCCTCCTACTTCGCATATGTACGGCGTTTGCTTGTGTTTCGAACTATGACCTAATCAGCATCAGATTGGAGAGATCCAGTGAATAGAATAGCAGGCAGCCTGCTCGCTACTGGCCTGGCCCGCAGAGAAGGATGCGATGTTTGATGCTGGCTCCAGGCCTTCATTCCCTTGAAAACCCCACCTTCTTTGTTTTCCTTCTCCATATTGCGTGGAGCCAGAGTTGCGGTATGTCTCACTTCTCTTGCTGGCAGCGGAATGGGTTTGACGGCATAAATTTTGCAAATCAAACAACTCAACCCATGCCTTGTCTCAGAGTAGAAGGATAATCATGGGGCACTACTGTCAACATGAGCTTCGGGTAAAATACCACTAGCAGAGCTCTGGAGACGGACGGCTGTAGCGGTGGAATGGTCGCACTACTCTGCAAGCTCCGTTTTTCGTACCAATTACAGTATGTATGGTCCACAGCCCATTTTCTTTCTCCCTGAACAGATAGTCCCTCCGTTCGGGGCACTAACTTAGAACGATGCTAATGTTATTTAAGTTATGCAAAAACCAAGGTCTGGGGACGCATTTAATTGGCATCTGCTCTCTTCTTGGCCTGATTTTGGATTGTTTCCCTTTTTCGTCTCACCGTTAGCCCCGTGGGCTACGCAATCCTCGCTGGCCCGAGCAGGGTTATCCTGGAGCTGCCGCTTGTCACCCTGGACCGCCAGCCCTGGTAACCTGGCTCGAATGCCGCTTTTAACTTCCCGAGCTTCCATGCGGCACAGGTACGCTCGGGATATGCTGACCAACGAAAACGCTCTACCATCTAGCATCTTGGTATCTATCCAAGAGAGGGAAGGGGAAAGAGAAAGCGAGCTGCTTCGATACCTGGGTGGATACACTGGAGATTTCCGAACTGCTCGTGCTCCGGAGTAAGAAGCGGCCAATGAGGCCGAGTGAATTGCTGGTGGCACCTGTGCGAGGACCACTACTTGTGGTGATGAAGAGAGGTGACACTGGACTCGTGCGTGTAGAAACAACGCTTTTTGGTGAGAATGGGCTAGAGGCAACGCTACACGACGCAAGGATCGTGACCAAATCGAAGGAGATGCGTCAGCACCGTCCCAACGCGCGCTGTCCTCAGCAGAAGTGCTGGCTTTGTGTTTAGCTCTTCCTGGAACATGGTGTTGTGGTTAGGCCAATGCTTGGCTCGAGCCTGGGCAAAATAAAGGCTACATACACCCTTGCTGAGGGGGGACCTCCTTCGGTACGGACAACTGAACTCTATCCCACTAGTACGCTCGGCTGTAGGTAGAGCGCCTTACTTGTGCAGACACGCGACTTTGCCGTCATCTCCCTGGTCTTGCTTGAGGAGGTGGTGCTGCCACTTTGTCTCGTACTAGCGCCAAGTGGTGCTCTTGTGGTAGGTAGGTACTCGTGCTGGTCGGTGATGCTGCCGGAGCATGAGCCGCACAGCTTTGTTTCGGGTGCCGGATAGGATGGGACCAAGGGCTCTCTCTGATGCTCTCTAGTGCCCTGCAAGCAGCTCAAGTGTCCAATGTCCGTTTCTAGCCACCCGCAGAGCGCGTTGCGAAGCTCCCCAGATGCGCGGGGATGACGACGAACAGTACACACCTGCTTGCCAGTCTGATGATTACGAGTATGACTGTGATGTGCTGGGGCTTTCACCTTTGCTGCACCCAATATCCATACACCATACAAACGACCAACTCCCTCTGTTGGCTGATAGACTGCCAGCCAAGGGCGAGGACGAATATACGGATCCAAGGCTGTAGCTGCGCAGCTTATACCGGCATCGAAGCCCGTATATGCTCGTACCTGTACACTGATGGAGTAGTGCGGTTGGCTGAAGCATGCCAAGGCTGGAGTCGAGCGTGTCAGCGGCCGCCTCTCGCCTTCTCCCTCTTGACTCTTGACGATCCAGCAACGGCTCGGCGTCAGTGGCTAAACGGAGTACAGCACGGAGTGCGTTCCTGGGGGACGGAGTTTACTGGGTCATCCGTGCTCGTGGCGCGTTCTCTCCACAGCTACACGGGGCTAAGAGGTTAAATCTTGGGACGCAACAGTATCTGCAGCCGGGTACTTGTACAACCAGCAACAAACACACGTACTCCGTACTCGACCTCTGCTGCAGGTTGCGCAGACTAGACCTTCGCCAACCACCGGCTGCCTACCTGCGCTGTCCTGCTGGTACACCGCAGCGATGCTACCTAAGGCAGGTATACCGCGCTCATACCTGTGCCACTCCAGGTACGAGTCGTACCCAGTACTTGGAGACTCCACGAGCTCGTACCCTGCCAGCCCGTGTCGCCTCGACTGCTAAAAGGCGCCGGCGCGGGTGACATGCCGACCTGGAAGGCCGACGGACGGCGTGGATATTGCTGAGCATGGCCTAGGCCCTGGCCAGGTGGGTGTGCTGTGGCATTGGCGCACTACCGGCGGACGCTAAGCTGCTGGCGCTCTGCTGGGAGCGTGGCCTATGGTGCTGCCATGCCTCGAGTGGATGGCAGCGTGAACCTTCGTGCTGTGCCTTGGCTGGGAGCGACGCCAGCGACCGCTAGCGCCAGCCCAGCAGTGCTACGAGGGCTCGTACGGAGGACTAGCAGCAGTCCCAGCTGCAGCCGGAGACGTTCCAGGTATCGCGCCAGGCGAGAACCCCAGCTTCGTGGCTCTAGGCTCGTGGCTCTACTAGGCTCTGGGGCCTCAGCGGCGAGCACGTTGACGGGCCGGACGATCTCTTGCCTTCTGCCCAAAGCGTCTGCGGCACTGGCCTCTCCCAACGAGTTGACGAGGGGAAAAGGCAAAACATAAAAAGAAAAAAGGGACGAGGGGCGAGGGATAAAATTGGGATAGCAGTAATGCAAGCGGGAAAAAAGGAAAGAAGAATATCCAAATAAAAAGAGATGGATATAAAAATAAAACACACGTTCCGGGGCTGCGTGCATATGCCGCGCACAGAGGCTCGGCGATTGGCCCAGCGCTGCTGCTGCTCTGGCTCCCTGCCTGCATCAGTATCTCAGGTCAAGCCCGCCTTTTTGCTCCGTGGACAGGCTTCATGCCCCATGCCTCGACCTGCCTTGCATTGCCTTGCCTTGCCTGGCCTCAACTGAACTGGACGGCACTGCAGCTGCGTTTTCCTACATGTACCTGCCACTCTACCCTCGCCCTCGCCCTCGCCCTCGCCCTCACTCCCCCATTCGCTCTGCCTCTGCTTCTCTTTGCCCGGCAAGCCAGGCCCTCGATTCTCCGCTGCAGCTCTTCGCCGTCTCCAGCTCTCCCTCCTGTCCCTCCCCATTGGCCGTCTTTGCTTCTTGACGTGCGACGCTGCTGACACGCCAGCCCGTTGGACCCAAGAGGAGACTACCGTCCAAAGTGGACTGGCCAACAACCACAAAACGGCCGCGAGTAAGAAAGCGACAAGAGAGACAGACACCCGCTGTCTTGTGCGGGGCTCGCAGCTGCCATCGTCCTTCCTGGTGGTGTCTGGGCCTGTTACTAATTGGGCCAATTGTGTCTACCTATCTTCTGCCGCTTGGATCTCATATCAACCGACACGTCCTTGATTCTGCGCCCTCTCTACTCTTCATCCTGGGAACGCACTTCTCCCGGTGACTGCCGCTGCTGCCCAGGCCACCTTGACTCTCGTTTCGCTTCGGCCTCGGATCGGAGTTTTTCTTCTTCTTGTCCTCCTTTGGTGGTTTTGTTAGAGTCCCAGAGATTCAACGTAGCGTTTCCCTTTTTTAAGAAAAAAAAAAGTGGAAAATCTTATCTCTGCGTTTGCGATATTCTAAGCCTGTCCGCCGTGCTACCGCGCCGCACTCGTGCTTGGCAATACCACAACACCTGACGCCCTCTGCTTGATCTCTTTGTGCCTTCGGCAGAAGCGATCTAAAGCGACTCTTGCTTATCTGCCCGGCTACTTGGTATTTCTGTCTCGTCTAGGGGAGCAGTTCCGTGTGTGGAAACCAACGACCCCCCTACCTCTCCCTGGTCTTGGTCTGATTCGCCCAACGCAACTGTCCATGCTATAAAGCGATCGGCTGCGCCTTGCACAAATTCGTCGTCGACCACGGCGCACTGCCGGCCAGTACCGTCTGCCTTTGCTACTCTTGACTTCTTGCAGCAGGAAAAGGTAGTTAGGTGAAAGCTTCTGTTGCTCACTATATCTGCTTTCTACACTTGACATTAGAAGCCATCATCGACATTGCCTCACCTTCAACGCGACCTAGGTCGGCATCACACGGCCCTCGTTTTTTCCGTCGACACCACATCGGCTACTGTTGTTACACAGCATCTCCGATTTATACATTATCGGGTATAACAACATCCTCGTACACACCCCTCCCCAACTGCCAGCAGCGCCATCCCAAGAGATTCTGGCCTTTCACGGCATACAATAATCCCCACGTATGGTCTGATCGCCCGCCTATTCTTTTCGACAAACCCATACGCCACTTTGATCGTGCTGTCCTGTCCTTTTCTACAGCTTTCTGCACCATCTTCGAAGTACAGACCGGATATTTGGCTGTCTCGTCCATTTACAGCAGAATACTGGTAGCACCGCATTACTGGAGGGATTTTGCATCCTGTTTGATTCCACAAAGAGGTTGACGATAGTACAAGGTGGTCAATCTTTGCCGTCAGCTCCCGCCTCCTTCGTATCCCCTTCTTTGGCCTGTGCAAACCGGAGTCGTACTAAGCAGAGCCGAACTTGGTGTTGAATCGCGCTGATCTTTTGGGAGCCTTTATTGTTCAACTACATCTTTTGCCAGCTTACGCTTTCTTCATACCTGCTACCACCTAGACAGAACTCTATTACGACCTATCACTACCAACCATGGTTCAGGACTGGACGCGGGATTCACTTCCCCGTCACCAGACGTTTCAACCTCAGTATTATTCTACTGATACGGCTACGCGGCATCAATCTTTCTCGTCAGAGAGATATTCCTCTGATGTCGTTCAGCGACACCACCCCTTTCCACAGGAGCGCGTTGGCGTAGAAACTGATAATGCTCGTTTCCAAGATGGCAATGACTCGCGCCGCCATTTGATGGTAAGTTTGCACGTTTACAAGCCATCCCCGCCTTCTTTGCTGTTATAGCTTTTTCTGACAATGCGCGAATAATAGTCAATCGACGATGCTCTTCGAACGCATTGCGGTATTGTTGCTAAGCATTATTTTGTCACTGCTATTACCGACGATGGCGCCACTATGACCTTTTTCAACCCTACCACTGGGCGTGGGATGAGCGACAACACGATTCGCCAATTTTTTGATGTTACTAAATATCGCCAGGTTATGGCCCGTATTGATTCAGGTTCGAGTTTCTTAATCTACAGAATAATTTCCTTCCCGGTTGATTGCTAACCAGTGCATCACAAAGGTGCTGATCCTATGTTGGACGATTACACTCTCGAGGACGGCTTTTACGGTCGTTCCGCTGGGCTCAATCGCAGTCGAATGGACCGTCGCCGCAACTCTGCATTCGGAGATTGGAGTGGCAGTCCTGTTCGTCAAGGCCGCAAGCGCCCCAGAGGAACGCGGGCTATAAATGATGAAGACGATCTTCCCATGACCGTTTCATCTCGCAGGTGCATCAAGATTGGCGACTCGGCTGCTGTTTGGGGCTTTTACGAACAGCGGTTCAAGAACTGCCAGCAGACGGCCTGCAAACTCATTGCCAAGGCTTGGGTCAAGGCAGTGGAGCCCAAGAAGCAATCAACGCATCCTTACACTGGTAGCGATGAAAAGGCACCAGGATGGTGGCCGAAAGCGTGGGGTCCCACAAAGGACGACAAGGTCCGGCATAAAGAGCCCGATCATTTATACAAGCGAGGTTAGATGAACTCTTCCCAGAAACACGTATTAGCGATTTCGCTTGTGCTAATCGAGCGAAACAGAGCGTGTCCACCTTCTCGCCCACATCCTCAGGCTGGTCGTGGAACCTAACCACAAGCAGCATACTGAAATCCAGAAGCTTGGCCTGAATGTGAAGAAGCTTGATGAGACCACGAATGAAGCGCTGTCATCCTTCTTCATGGATAACGAGGCAAATGCCAAGAAGAAGCCGTTTCTTACTGAAATCTTCAAGGTAGCTCGCCTGGAGGAGCGGTACAAGAATGGCGAAATCGGTAAGCTAGCTACACCCTCTTCTAGATCTGAGCTTTGAAGATCAAGTTTTTACGTAGTTTTGACATTAACCTTGTCCAGATGGCACAACTGAAGTCTACGTCATGGCAGAAGATAAAATGCCAGAGAGCTACGCTTCAGACCCTGAGGATGTTGGCTTTATCAAGGACGAAGAGGATCATGATGTATCCAGGTCCAAACCTCCAGTTTCTCAGGGCTTGCCGCACCCAGTATCGGAGCCCAGCTCTGCCACGAGCATTCGTGGATCAGCCTTCATTAATGATTTAACAGCGCGGGCCAATACATTCCCTCAGTCAATGATTTCGGACATTCCCCCTCAGCAGCATACATTCGTCGAGGGTAGCGCACTCTCCGTCCACAATGGTCAAGCAGTAACCACTGCTACCACTGCAGCCGCAGCTGCTACTGGTAACCTTACTCTGGATCTGGTTGCCACCTCTCACGATGCCAGCCGACGACCATCGGTGTTCAGCGACTACGCTAGCCCAGGAGGGAACTTGTACCCCCAACAGTGGCCACAGGCCTCGGCGACCACCAGTGGATCCTCCATGTACCAGTATAGTCAGCAGCAAACGGCTGCACAGCCAGCAACATTTGTGAGTTCCGGGGTGTCCATCACACCTGGCCAGCCCTTCATGCCGAACTCTTTTGATGCACCACATCGCAATGAATACGACCCAAACGGAAACGCGATATTCCGATCGGGTGACCTGTCACAAACGCCTCCCGTTAATCAGCAGCAAGGCTACAATTATGCAATGTCCAATGATGCGCGTGGAATGAGGGTCATGGCCCAAGTTGTGGATAGCGCTGGACATCGCCATTCCCTCCAATAGAGAAAGAGAGAGAAAGAGAGAGAAAGAGAGCGAAATGGGCTAGCAGTATCAGCAGGCTGCAGGAAGCGAACTTGTAAAGCCTGGCTTTATGCGTATTATACTACGTACAGGGGTCTGGTCTCGGCAAAACAGAGCGCGGTACGCACTGGAACGCATATTGACCAATAATTGTGATTGGATCTTTCTTTTCTTTTTTCTTTTCTTTTCTTTTCTTTTCTTTTCTTTTCTTTCTTTCTTTTTTTTTTTTCATTTTGTTTGGTTGTTATCAAGTCGGTCTATCCTTGGCGTTTAGTGGACCTCTCAGCTCTCTGTATGGGAGCGTTCCTCTTTGACGATTCATGTCACGGGCGATACAGGCGGTCTTTGCTTATGCTTTATCCCTGGAGGTTTCTTTTCCTTTTCTCGTTGATGCCCCGGAAGGGCAGCGATTTTCGGTTGAAGTAGTGTGCCATGGGAAGTGACTGAACATGGTTGGGTGATAATGCTCTCGGCAAATACTGCCAATTCATCCTTTGGCCTTTGATATATGTTTGGTATACCTGTTTGTGCGGCTGTATCCCCCTTTTATTGAGTGGAAATGAACATTATTGCCTCCAGTGGCAATACCTCTGATTAGATTTGTTTCTTTGTTGCAATTTCTCAAATCTCCCGGCGATTCACACAATCTCTGACTTTATAGCTTTCTTTTTTTGTTGGCTTGGTTATTGAAAGCTTTTGAATACATGCCAACGCCTGACCAATAGCTATACCTGGAGAGACTTTCTTGGAGATTTGTTTTGGGGGCATTTTCTTAAGGGAGTTTTTTCATTTGTTTCTATCTTCTAATCATGTACGTGGGAGCAAAGTGGAAATCGGGGGGGGGGGGGGGGGGGGGGGGGGGGGGGGTTTCTCGTGTGGTTTATAGGGAACTGTGTAGACTGACTGAACAAGGCATAGCGATCCAAGCAAGCGATGCTATCTTTTTTTTTTTTTCTCATTTCTTTTTCCATTCTCTTTTGGCAAGAGGATAGCGGTTAGTTAGTTGGTCAACGTTTCTTTAGCAAGAAAATTGTCTTTATATCTTGATGGGCAGGAGAGAAGGGGGAGGCTAGCAAAGCGAGAACTTTTGAATGTCTTTTTCCTTTTATATATATATGATAATCAATTTTGTCTTTAACAACTGCATGTACAAGAAGCGTAGTAATATATGAGCAATCTATTATACTATTTGTTTGTCCACGTTTAATTCCCTTCTCTTTTATCACTTTGCATTTCTACTTGCTTGAATATGGTTTTACATCGCTAAACGATGATATACGATATATATATATATATATATATATATATTTTTTCCCTTGATCAAGGTAATTGCGGATCATTCTTCTCGGCCAACGTGAAATATATCGGTAAGTGACGGGGGGGGGGGTCAAAAGCATGCCCTAAAGAGAGAGCAACATCAGCGAAGTGGCAATTTGCGAGAAGCCGAGCGCGAATGTGGGTAAAAGTGTGCAGATAGGAGTTTTTGAGCTGCAGCTAGCAGCTATAGAGTATGTAGAAGGGGGTGCGAATAAATGAACTTTTTTTTTCTTCTTTTTGAAATATACCGGTAGATGGAGGTGGGAAGAGACATGTAGTGTGCAAGGGGCAGAGAGGGGAAAGGGTGTGTTGGAAAGGCTACGTGTATATGAGGTACGGCTATCACGGAGAAGTGCCGAGTTGATGGGCCACGAGTAGTACTAGTAGCAGTAAATGGTACAAGGAAGTACTAGGTTTGGCATGGGGGACAGAAAAGTGCCACGAACTAGGTACTTTTATTAGGTAGTTCCCTCCCTGTCTGGGGATCAGATCGGCGGGAAGTGCAAGCCAAGGAGGGAACGGAAGCGATGGGAACCAGCGATGTGATGTGATATGGCACGATTATGATATAATACAAATGACTGAAAGTTTGAAACCTTGGTTAGTTGGGGAGGGCTTGGCTTCTGAGTTCGTGAGGTACAAGTGGAGAGGGAAGAGGATCTTCTGGTGACTTGATTATGGAGACAAGAAACTTGCCGAGTATGGAGCTATTTCTCCGGTATTTTGTACCTTGTACGTATGGGCATGTATGGAGATGGATCAGGCAGCCGGATTCACACAAGTTTTTGAAGAGAAAAAATGATGTGTCATGTTTTTTTTTTTTTTTGTGTGTGCGAGGGGGGGAGAGGAAGTTCAATCTAGGCTAACTTTGGGGGGTTTCCCCCCGTACGTAGATAATACAGGGGAGAACGAGTATCGAAGACGAGAGTAACAAGTAGCAACTATAGATAGCATGTAGTCTACAAGAGAATCAAAGCAAAGCAAAGCAAAGCAAAAGTGAGCAAAGTCGGAGTTGACAGGGATGAAAGGACTGGTACGCCCTGTTGTAGGTATTGCCAAGGCTTGTGCCATTTGTATCTATATAGCACTAATGATGTATGTCTGAGTGATGCGGGCAAAGCGTGTGTGGACTAGGTCTACGGCAGGTTGGGATTGGAGGATGGCAAAGAAACAGAATAGTGTGTTCAGCTGCCTGGGATACATACATACATAGGTAGTATCTAAACATGGGAAAAAGAAAGGAGAGGGGGGAAAGGGGGAAAAGAAGGAGAAGAGAAAAAAAAAGAATTGAAGAGGATGGATGCTATTTTGCGCTGGAGAGAGAGCCAGTACTACTATCTAGTAGTGATATATATAGCTATATGGGCAGTATGAATGAGAAGTTATTCATTATGAGAGGCAAAAGAATATGGCTTGGTTGTTGGATATACTTACTACTACGTCAATATGGGGGGCAATTTACTCTATACTAGAAATTGCTTTGGTCTTTTTTTGTCAGGGTAGGGGTTAAACAGAAGACCGGGAAAACGACTGAGTTCTACGGAAGCCGGGTTTCCACGGCCCGTTGGTGCCAGGATATCATTGCAGATGACTATGCCTAAAACTAACTGCCCACAACGTGTTTTCTTGCATTAGGACAGTACCGGGAGTAACAGCGTAGCATTTTGTGGCTGCTAAACGGCAAGGTATACCTACTTGACCTATGCTTGATGTTTCTGCCTTGGGCAGTTATAGTGCAGGTATCCATCGGTAAGGCGGGCAGCGCAAGGCCCAACCTTGTATATCAGGTCAGTTTTGACCCGGGGGGTGGTTTATGACTCCAGCCATTTTGGTTACTGCTACCATCTCGGCATCTTCGATTCTTGGGTTCCCACCCCCCCCCCCCTTTTTTTTTTTTCTCCAGACGCTCTGCTAAGGTTATGCAGCTCGCGTAAGGGAGCCGAGGACGGTAGTGCTGGAATAGTGCTACTAATATTGCAGTACCGGGTAGAAGATGTAGACATTAGTAGCCAGTAGTGGTTGTCGTATATCACTTGCTGGACGATATCCGTCAACATACAAAAACTACACCCTTAAGTGGTATAAATCCAGCGGTCTGGCCCGTCTCGCCTCACTTTAGAGCTGCATGTTTAATTGGGTAATTTGGAACTACTACATACTAATATAGGCAGGAAAGCGACATGTCTGTCTCTCTTTCAGCGACTTGGTACTGTAAGATGGTGGACTGACCCCTGGGGAGTTGGGAATTGCTCCGCATACTCTGCGGATCGGAAGGGCGGCGAGATTGAGGAGCAAGCGAGGTTTGCTCATTTTGTATAAGCTAAGAGATACAAACAGGGACTTGTTCGGAATACTGATGACGGATGTTTACCCGAACTTGGGGCCTTGTCATGGCTTGGCTTTCCTTGCATGATTACGGAGTGTAAGTATTTATTTGACACATGTTGCAATTACAGCCAATGCGAGCTGATGAAAGATGGGTTTTGTAGGTGGATATAATATAGATAGTTGCTAAAAAGACGAAATGCGGTGATAGGTATTTAGCAAAACAACCCCCATATTCATCGTCAGTATATATCACGGTAAAATACATGTGAACAAAATAAATTATGTGCTGCAGGCTGCGGCCGTAAGCAGCTGAAAAGGCACTCATCTCCTTTTTTTCCGTGCGTGTGTCTAACAAAGGCCATATGAGATACGCAACTCGCCCGTGTTTACCGAAAAGTAATCACGTAACAAATCACACACTGGCAGAGAGTAATGTGCACAATCTTGGCACGAGCCCCCCGTGAAAGTGAAAGTGAGCGTTCACTCATAAAAGCAAAGACAAAGGCCAACCCCATGTCTCCAGATGTCACCGTCGTATAAATGGTGTCATTGATGCAAAGTACATACTAGTGATAACATTCAGTTTACGGTATGTTGCTCTTCCCTCACTGCAATGTAACGCCAAAGGCCCCCCCCTCTCATTTTCAAACCCCCTGTTCCTTGTCAAGAAAAAAAATAAATTAATTAAATACAACGAGCAGGGCAGGGCGGGCGAAAATAAGAGAGAAAACAGCGAGGGCCCCTCTAAGACGAAGAGGCTGGCCAATAGTCAGAGTTCCAGTGACGGAGCTGGCTCCGCGTTTTCTCAGTTGTTAGCCCGGCCCTGCTTCTTCTCCCTGGGCAGCAGGTGGAGGGTAGCATTGCATTGCTTCTTGTCTCTTTACTTGTCCCTTGCTTGCATGCTACACGGCTTGGAATCTTGCATGCGCGTGCGTGTGATTTCTTACTAGGTAGCAGCTACCAGTACGCACAGTGGTGGTATTTTTGCCCTGCTTGTCTTTGCTGTCATGTCTCGTCTTGGTCGACTGAAGCACTAGATTTGATCTTCTATTCGTGGATTCGTACATTCGTGTTTAACCCTTATAATACTCGGTAGTTTAAACGAAGTAGAAGCAAAGGGCTCCCTGCATCGTCATTCGCTACCCCTGGTACAAGCTCAAGCGACAGATTCGTCCCCATCGTCGCTTTGCGAGTAGTAGATCCAAAAGACGAGTGAGGCTTTGCTGCAAAAATAATCTCATCAATTTCACCTCTTTCAGCTGCTCGATCCCATGTCCCCAAACCAGTCAGCCAGCCAGCCACGTCGCCATGCATTTTCTTTTTCTCTCCCTCTTTATAGGGCCTCATGAAACGCAACTACTGTAGGAATATCCAAAAGCAGCCTACTCTGAATGTACTTCGTCTGCGCCAAGTGAGCTGTGCTGGCTGTTGCACAATGCTATTCCGTATGGTGGTGGCGCGCGGCATGCGTAGTCCCCGGCGCAAACGAGCTGAAAAGAGAGGGAGGTCGTCACCCTGTTGTCAAATAGGAAGAGGAAAAGAAAAGAGAAACAGGGCCCAGCTATGGGTCATGGATATGCAGCTCGGGAATAAGCCAGAGCTTTCTCCTGAAATTTTGAGGCCTTAAAAAGGCGCCATCTTGGTCAGCCTGAGAAAGAGGAAAAAAGGCAAAAATGTCTTGCAGCCAACAACATCCGGTGGCTCTCACCTCCCTTCCAAAGCAACCATCCTCCCATATCCAATCTCCTCGTCACAACACATCGCCTCGGGCAGACAATCACACCTTGTCATTTCCACTAGCTTCGCTGGGTTGTCAATCATTGCATGCCCTCTTCGTCAGCCCCTCCCAAAAAAAAAAAAAAAAAGTACTCGGCCAACGCCTGCTGAGACATGGACAGGGCCCAGTATCCAATCGCTTAATCGCGATCCTCTGTTGTGGTGGTTGCGCTCAACGGATGCCAGCTGCCTCCGATGCAATGCACTGCGCGTCCATTCTTAGAGACTCGCGGAAATGCAAGCTTTGCTTCCGCCATGAGCCCCCCAACAAATAGTTACTTGCTTGTAGATTGCTTCGTGGTGAAAAGGAGGCTTAGTGGCACACCCCCGGTCAACACCTCTTGAGCTATTCAAACGGGTTGAAGCGAGAGACACATAGAGGAGAGAAGCACACAGAGAGCCAAAAAAAAAAAAAAAAAAAAAAAAAAAAAAAAAAAAAAAAAAAANAAAGTAAGAGAAGGGAGAGGCAAGAATATAGGGGGGCCAAAATAGGTTGGGCATCATCAAGGATCGTACACATTATCTTTGGTCCGTAAAACCGGAGAGCGCTAACAACAAAAAAGCTCTGCTAATTACGTAGAATCTTTCCATATAGCCCAAAGCCCAACCATGTTTCGTGCGTTTCCGACGCGGTCCAAAAAATGGTCATGTAGCTTGCCCCTCTCGTAGTCCTCCAAAATGAATCCTACCAAACGCCGAGCTACTGGAAGAGTAAACCTTCCAGTTGAGAAATGGTATCTCGCCCTAAAGCTAGGCCTAGTAAGAGTGAATAAAGAAAACAAAGTGAAAGGGGTGCAGAAAGGGTTAGATAGAAGTCGAGGAGTTGGTAAATGAAAAAGAAAACGATTTAAAAACGTAGTCATCGTCATTGCCGAAGCGGAGAGGCGGGTACTAAAAAGAGAAACCGCAAAAGGCATCATTTTGATGTAGCCTTGCACAGAAAAAAAAGGGGGGGGAGAAAGAGGAAAGCAGGGGGGGTATTCACGAGCTATCGTCTTTTTCGGGCGGCGTTTTGGCCTGCTGCGAAACGTAGAGAGCTTCGGAAAAGCTCGAAAGAGAGCCTGTTAGAGAGGCTGGAGGGTGGAAAATCACTAATGCACGCCCAGGTTCCTAACTTGACTGCATGGCGGGATTCGGCTCTTCCTTTGGTGCAGCTGGCGGCTCAAGTCCAGCTTGCTGTGCAACTCGCTTCCACGTTTCCAGCTCCCGATAGAGCCTCTCGCACTCCTGCTTGAGCTTATCATTGGATGCACTGAGCTCCGTTATAGCTTGCTCTGTGAGGAGCTTCTCCAGCGTCCATTTCTCAATGTTCTGCTGCTCGTTCTCCTTAAGCTGAGTGATGAAGCTCACAGCCCGCTGTAAAATCGAACCTTTGTTCTTTTCGCAGCCCGGTACAATCTTGGCCAACTCGTTGATGCCTTCATTAATAGTCTCACGACGGCGACGTTCCACTGCATTTTGTGTCAGTCTCCAAGGCCAGCGCACCAAATACCAATGGGTTGTTGTATTCTTACCTTCTTTGTGGTTGTCTTTGCGCATCTTGTGCCATTCTTCTGATCCAACGCTTGGCTTGGGATTAGACGGAGGAGGTTGGATGACATATCTGGGGTGTGGAGGAGGAGGAGGAGGGTGAGGTTGAACTCCGTTCGGGGGAGGTGGTGGGTTTTGGTTGACCGTTGAGTCCATCAGAGGGTCAGTCTGCTGTGTGACATCTGTGCTGAAAGGGGTATCGTGTTTGAATGCGTTTTCATGGCCGTGATCAGGGTCAACAGCTACCTGAGCCGAGAACTGCTCCTCGGTGGATGGCGGTACGTGGAGCGTCGGATACATGCCCAGGGCAGCCTGAGCTGTGCTGGTAGCATTGGAAGGGTCCGAGGCGTCGGTATGATCCGCAGCGGCGGCCTGCTGAAGGGCATTGAAATCTGCAACATTGACGCCACTGGCTGCGGCTGCCTGCGAGGCCTCGATGGCGTTCTCGATGAAGGCGGCCGTGTCCGCCGGTGACGCTGACATGGCTGCGGGAGGAGCAGCACGCTTTGCGCGTCCGAGGTTGGGGCTTTCTAATTCGCGCTTTCGTTTCTGCCCAGGAGAGCCTGGAAAGCCAGATAGATCAGGATGTTCAGTTACAAGTGTGTCGGCCATCATCTAGCTTCTTCGAGTGGATGAGAGAAATTTGTCGGCGAGCCACCGAGAGGAGTGCGTAGTCCCGGGAGCTGTTTGGCTGATGAGAGAATTTTATAGTCGAAAGTCCAGAGAGTTGCAAAGTCTACGGTTAGAGCTGAAGCACATGCAGCCTTAAGCCTATTGCTCTTGTTAGAGGAAGACACTAGACAATACGAATGCTTGCAATGATATATTAAGGAAGCGCCAAAAGAAAAGTTTCAGCTTGGCATGTACGCCCTTGTCCATGCCCAGCACGGAAACTCATATCACTGGACAACAATGGCAGATGCAATGCAAGGCTGAGATCGAGATGAACAAGGGGGGGTTCAGATCCGGGGGGTGCAAAGCCTGGTCATGGACGAAGTCGAGCAGCAACCGCGCATTCGCCCAAACACTGAATCGAGACCGACGTGCACGATGCTAGAGCAGGCTCCTGCCGTGCGCTGAGACACCGGAAACGACCCAAAGACAGCGCGCCATTTGCTGGCGGCGGCGCATCTCATTCATCGCGGCTCACTCGAGCTCAGGGCGCAGTGAGCGGGTAGGGTAGCGGGCGCATCATCACCGTCGCGACCACGACGCTTCGCTCTTGATAAACTGCGCAGCCGCAGATGCAAATGCGAAGTGCAGGCAGACGTGGAGATGACGACGGTGATTCAGCTCAGTCAACACAACAGGCAAAGTCAAGGGTGCAATGGGGCGTGATAGAGCCGATGTGTTGTAGTGCAAGCGATGAGCTTCAGACGTTCTGATGTGCGGGAAAGGTGATGCGCTGGTCACGTTATTATACTCACGTGGTGGTTATCGTGATAGCTCCGTTCTTTCGTGATATCGGGGATCGCGCCGCGACAACTTCATAAAAAAAGAGCTGAAAAAAAAGAAAAAAAAATATGAAGGAGGAGAGTGTCGCGACGCCCGTAGCCGAGAGCCTCAAGTGACAAAAATTCTTATTCTTACAAGGCGCAATTTTTTCTGCTGTCCTTAGGAAGAACCAGATGTTCTGTCAAGAGCGAGTAAAGATCACGGGAAGGAAGGAGCACGTGAAAGGTAGGCGAAATGGAGGCCTGAGGCAGAAACTCGGGACGCAAGATCACCGAAAAGAGAGGGGAATGCAGGTTCCCAGTACATGCTAGTTTCAAGGTGTGCTGCAGGCACTCAAGCACTTAGCAGCCGATGCCTAGCGGTACCTAGGACTAGTGGTGGTGGCCAATCATCACGCGCGGTCTGGCACGCAGGCGCAGCGAATGGGGAGAAGCGCCGGCGCTTTTCTGGCCTGGGCTTGCGCTGCGCATGGGTGTTGGGAAAGGCTTTAGATTGGATGGGCGGGCGAAAACAGGTTGACAAGGCATTCGGCGCATGATCCAGGAGTTCACTTTAGAGCTCCGTTGGCCTGTTTATTACCTGTACTTGCGCTGAATACGTATCTCCCAAGCCCGGCTAGTAGCTGCCGACTTCTTGCGGTTGCCGAGTACGAGCTGTGAGTACTCTGTACTTGCGCGTTTCAGTGGTCGGTGGGATGGACTCCATGGTATTGTCAACCAAGCGATGTGCATGTACGGCCGACGGGGAGCAGGAGCTGCTGTTCCGCAGTGCCTGCTCTCCACCCCAAGCTGGCCATTTCAGAGCAGAGCGATAAGCTCGACCGGCCTGCTTTGTACCCAGTACTTGTTACTCAGCTGCGTTGACCTTTCCAAGCGGGCGGGGCGTATGGGTGACCATCCGCCATCAGGCGCACCGCCCAAGCATCACCTGCTAGTAGGGGGTTGATAAGCCTCGCATCATGCCTAAAGTACCCTATACCCCACCTTAGCAGGCTATACGCTGCCCGCGGCAGGGAGGGTTGCAAGATGCAAGGAATACCGGCTGGTACGGAACAGCATACTTGCTGCACATATGCGCGGAGGTAGTTGGATGTACTCGCTCAAGCCTTACCGACCGCTGAGCGAATCACTTGACGGAGAAGCAAAGTGGGCCGGTGAGACTCTTGTTCATGCGGCCCCCAAAAAGCTGACGGCGGTTGATGAGTTGAGACAAAGCACTTTGATGACGACGACTACGACGGTGATGATAAAGATGAGAGAAAGGGGAGAAGATGAGATGTTTTCGACTCGGTGCTGGTATGTAGGCTGAGATGCTTAACTTGAAGCATGTTGTCAAGGCCACAGTTCTCGCACACGAGAGTGCCATCATCATTTATCATGTTCTCGACTCTTTTCTATCGCACCTTCTAGTGAATCACATCCCATCACACATGACATGAGCAGCCACCCAGGGATAAAACGCCACATCCGCTAGGCGATGCAGTCTGACAAGAACAATAATTTGCATTTCAGCAAGCATCTGCTGCAGTCGGCCTTTTGTATACATCCCGTCTGTACACTACAGGCTGATGTGTCAAATGTAGACTATTGATGACCATGCATGTGGTTTTTGAGCAATCGCTTAGACGGCAAAAATAGATGGCTTCGTTGGGAAAATATTGTGTAAAGTAGGTACTCGTTACCCAATGCAGGTTCACCAGCACTTTATTTTTGGCACACAAGATATTGCCGGCTTTCATTTTAGCTACGTTGTTTATCCATTATTATATTTGAACGGGTCTCCTATCGGCGTAACTAGTAGAGTTAGCATAAGCAACAATGGCAAGTTCTTCTCAAAGCAGCAATGCGCAACTGATAAAGCACGTCTCATTGTGCCCCTCTTTTGGGTTCAAAGAGGGTATTGTGTAAGGCTCGCCTCTTTACTATAAGGTATAAATAGCGTGATGGCATATCCATCCTTTGCTTATATAGCCTCCTCTAATTAGACCCCAATAGATATGAGCTCAACCATTGGTCTGATGTAAACCTCAAGTGAGGATTTTATATCTTATACTATTAAAGTTTCTTTTCGTCGGCTGCTACAATAGATTTTGGGACATATTTTACAATATCTGCACTTTATAATGTCCAGCAATATCAAGTCATCATATTGTTCAAATTACAGCTATCATGCTGTCTCTGAAGTTTATTTATTGAACTTTATTATATAACTTACATGAAGGCTCGTCGCCTGACTTATAGAAAGAGATGAGAACCCTCTCTTGGTTTGAACCATCTTTGGGCGTTCGGATTGAGCTCCTTATGGCTTCTATTCAGGTCGTAAGTACTCCGTAGACTTCCATTAATTAAAGCTATACGCTGGATTTAGTTCCGTTCTCAATAACTGACTTTGACACTGTTACCTCTTCTACCTCTCAATTAACAGTATTTTCCAACAGTTTAACCTAGAGGTAAGGTACTAAGGTACCTAGGTATCCTCTTTTGTTACAAAGGTATTGCGGCCAGACATATTGGACTGTAATTCTGGCTTCAGGAAGGCTGGGGAAAGTAAGAAGATCAGACTCCCACCCTCATTGCCACCAAATTTAAGCCCCGCGATATTGATGTTGGTAACGCCAAGCATATCATTAATTACAGCCTTCCATCGATTGAGTATGGTGGGATTGGAGGGTGCGCAAACTCGATGTTTTAAGCATTATACAGCATTACTTATTTCCAATATTGAAGAGAAGTAAAGCTGTAGCCCCTTGAGTGATGGAGTTGTATTTAAGGTACAGCAAGTCAGGAATAAGAAAATAAGCAGATCCTCTCTGAGATTCCACTATGCCGAGAGCGAGCTTTAAATATCTTGTTAGGTATATGGTGCTTGGTTTCCTAGGTAGTTGAGATGGTAGTGGGGTGGAATAAGTTACGTTTGCCATTTTTGTCCTAAGAGGCAAGGTTCAAGCTAGTACCTATTTTATGGGCACGTGCCGGCAGAGCCCGCATTGGGGAATCTCCTTCTAGCTGCAATTGTGAGACAAGGCAAAACTAAGTCTTTGCCCACGGCAATGCCATGACGGAGAAAGAAAACGCTGCTTGATTCAAGGATGATCGTCTCCTCTCCGCATCCCTTGCCCCAGAGAAGAAATCATCGGCGCGTCTAAGGAACCTCCAAATCGCAAACTCTAGACACCGCAAAACACCACCCCGACCTGATTTTCCATTCACGCCGCGGACGTCGCGCGGCATCGTCGTCATTGACTTTGGCTCGGAAAGCTGCAGCAGAGTCCGCTTCCAGCTCCGGCGGCCATGGCTCCTCCAACGCAGACTTTTAACCTGGACGTTGAAGCCATCTCTGGCATTTGCGGGTGAGTTTGAATGCTGCGTTATGCCAGTTCAATTGCTGACTTTTGTCCTCTTACCTAGGTCTATATCCATTGCCTGCTGGGGTGAGTGACATCGCCGTTGTGCAACGGCCTCTTGGACGGAACGTTAACTGACTCTTGTCCAGTTGTCGTATTCTCTCCGCAGATCATACAAAACTTCCAACGAAGCAGTGCCGACGCTCTTTCGATTCAATTCATCATCATCTGGCTCTTGGGAGATGTCTTCAACATTCTCGGAGCGGTTTTGCAGGGAGTTCTTCCCACCATGGTACGCTACCATCTGCTCGCGTGACTTCTGCAGGAAGCTGACTTGTCCGTCTTTAGATCATTCTGGCGGTATACTACACAATCGCCGATATTGTGCTGCTGGGCCAACTCTTTTACTACCGTGGCTTTACGTGGCGCGACGAGCCGACCCCTCCATCCCCGCCAAAGACAAATGGCAACGGCAACACTTCTACACCGGCGACCACCTCCACCGATGTGGATGAGTATACTGCTCTGATTGCAAGAGTAGAGAGTCATGGCCACCATCATCATGACCGCCGTGGTCGGCGCGGATCAGATTGGTCTGGCTTCTCGCCTGCAGTACCGCATATTCCCGAGCCACCGACGACCCCACAACCACCACCGACTGCCCTGCAAACTACCATGTGGAATTCAATTGTGATCCTCATGGTATGCGCGGCTGGCGTTGCAGGATGGTTCTTGGGCGAGAGGGCCACTGGCCGCGAGAAGTCCCCTGCCGATAGCAGCGATAATCTAGAGTTCAACACTTTGGGTCAAGTGTTTGGATACTTTTGCGCCGCTTTATACATTGCCTCTCGACTGCCGCAACTTATTCTTAACTGGAGACGCAAGACGACGGAAGGCCTTAGCATGCTCTTCTTCTTGTTTGCTTGTCTAGGAAACGCCACCTATGTCTTGTCTATTGTTGTATATGCACCGCATTGCGGCGAAGAAGCCTGCACTCCAGAGGAAGCAAGGCGCCTCTATGGTCGTTACATCCTCGTGAATCTAAGCTGGCTGGCAGGCAGCGCCATGACGCTTCTGTTAGACTTTGGTGTTTTTATCCAGTACTTTTTGTACAGGGTAGAGGACGATGTTTCGGACGACGAGACCCCTGGCGGCGAGGACAGCAGTGCTATCGATGAGCGTTACGATCAGAGACCGCTGCTTGACCGGGGTGATTAAGAGAAGAGAACCGCCAAATTTGATACTTGGTACGAATCGAATGTCACTTCTTTTTAGAGAGGGAGGGAGGGTTAATGTCATCTTTTGCTGTAATAATCTCTGTTATAGCTTTTTTTTTTCCCTTTGCCTTTTGCTTTTTTCCCCTTCCCTTTGCTTTTGCTTTAGAAGTTGCTGGGTACAGACAAATTGACGAGCATGGAAACATTTTTGGGTAACATATGGGCTATGGCAACATGGCGATAAAACAGGTCAACGGAACAGCACAACGGGCGGTTTTTTGTACAAATGCGATGGGTTCATATTTCTGACGATTTAATAGCTGAAAATAAATAACTTAATCCCAAAGAAACTAAAAATAGTTGACACTCGTAAACTTATCTCCAGCACCGACTATTCAGCAACGCTATCTACCTATACAATGCTCGGTGATACCGTCTGGCAGCCAGGTAGTGAACATAATATCCGGCAGAGCAGCGGATGCAGGCAATAATGCTAGAGAGGGAAATAATAAAGGACATATGGGCACCTCCGTTGTGATATGATTATACTCGTTCATATGCGAAAATTATGGTCAATGGCTGGGGCAAAATGAGGGGATTAACGAATGGGAAGATGAAACTTAAGGACATGAAAAAAGATAAAAGAGGGGGGAAAAGAGAGAAAGGAAGGAATTTTAAAAAAAAAGAAAAAAAAAAAAAAAAAAAAAAAAGACGAAATAAGGAAGAGAAGGCGTTACAGCCAGTGTCGATATCCGGTGGGCGGTCAAACAAACGCAGCTGACATGAGATTTTGGACTTCTGCCAGCCAAAGTTTGGCACTCGCACTTTTCCATGCCTCTGCCCTCTTCTCCTCGTCACACACTCCCTCTAATTTTTCATCTCAGAAAACAGTTAATCCCCGCCGAGTGCCTCAATTTGAGTTTATTCTGCTTCTGTTCACGGCTTTTCTCTACATCTCCAGGAGTTTTTCCCCAGTTGCATGATATGTTCTTCGATAATCTCGCCGTTCGTGCTGAACTCCGGGGGGGTTTTTTTTTTACTTTATCGGCGTACTAACATGATACCAGCATCTAATTTACAACTAATTTGAGCCAATAATTTGTTGCTATTGCCAGCACCAATATGCCTAAGAAGGCGGGCCCTTCCCTCCTCTGCGAGTGGATGGTCGGCACGAGTATTCAATCCGCTCTCGGACCTCTTCCCAAAGCACCAAAAACCAAGCCCAGACCAAAGAAGCGCGACCTCATCAAGCTTCATGTAACAACGGATGAAGAATCTGGCGAAGATACCCTCACAATCACATACCCTCGATCTGAGCGCCTTGACCAAAGCAAGGAAACGCCGGTTGCAGCGCCGGAGCCTGCAGCGCTAGAGCCTGAATCGGAATCCGAACCCGAGGCAGTAGAAGTAGTGAAGAAGGTTCGATTCGAGAAAGAACTTGCTTCAGCCGCAGCTGCAATGCCGAAGAAATCCGCCATGAAGAAGAAGACTTTGGTGACTTTCTGTGAAGAGGAAGAGACAACGTCAGACTCTAGTGGAGATGTTACATCTACCTCCGCTTCCTCGGGAGAAGCGACTCCAGAGGCTAGTTCTTCCAATGAGAGCTCTGCTGCTGATACATCTTCAGCTGGAGACACTTCCTCTGACGAATCCTCCAAGGCAGTCAAAGCGTCAAGGTCAAGGAAATACCCCAAAAGCAGGAAAATGGAGAAATCCACTCAGAGTTCAGATAGTGAGGCGGACTCTGATCCTCACCCTACATGCAAATGCAAGGACTGTACCACAGAGAGGAAGAAACGAAAGCAAGAACCACTCTGTGAGAAGAAAAAGTGCAAGAAGAATGAGAAGAGTGTATCCCCGAAAAGGGCAGAGCCTGAGACTGATTCAGAAGCCGAGGCATCAGCATCTGAAGCGGAGTCCTCAACCAACGAGAAACCTTCGCCATCGAAAAAGGCAAAAGACAATAAGAAAGGAAAAAAGAAGGCCGAAGTTTCTGATACCGAAGGTGAGACCTCGGAATCAACAAAAGAGGCTTCAGAGTCTGAAGATGTGCCGGAAAAATCTCAAGAGAAGAAAAAGAATAAGAATGAAAAGGGGGGGAAGAAGGCAGCAGATTCTTCCAAGAACGAGGGAGAAGCTAAAACCGAAGAAATCAAAAAAGCCGTAGAGAAAGAAAAAGAATCATCCGAAGCAAAATCCGACGCAGGCAAAAGCAAGGATAAGGAGATTGACGATTCAAAGAAGCCTACCGCTGAGGCTACTGTGCTACCTTATGAGACAAAGTACGCAAACGGCCATCCTTACTCACACTCTCGCCCCCCTAACCTCATTGCTCCTATCCGCGCCGAGGTTATGCATACGGAGCGTGTTGTCGAAACGCAAGATGATCCATTACCAAACGCGTACTACGATGCTCTCCATAACGTAGTTCGCATATATCACGGTTCAGTATATGGACAAAATGGACGGCACATGTTTGCAAACCGAGAAGGGACATCCGGGCAACCACATCACCCTGACACAACACATCAAATGCAGAATCCGTATTACTCTAGTTACAACAATGTAATGCCTTTTGGGCCGCCACCACCACCGCGGCAGCAGCAGCTACCTATTCATGGATACGAGCATGTGCCAATTACTCAAGGCATTCCGATGCCAGGCTGGAACGCCATGGTGCCACCTCCCGGATACCCGCCATACAACTACTATGGAGGTCCAATGCTACCACCTTGGTACGACCAACAGCTCAACAAGCAAGCTAGAGACGCACTTGACATGAATTATACTCCTGATAGCAAAAGAGGCAAGAGTAAATCACAAGAGCCAGATAATAACGTCATGCCAGAGGCGACAAAAGTATGTATAAATTCGTTCTGTCATGCTCGTCTAGAAAATACTAACCGTGTGAAGCCGAATCCATACTACACGAAAAGAGTGTCGCCGTTCAGCAACATGGGTAGCAACCGACCAGCTTCCAATGGTAAGCCGCCATCAAATTCTGGAAATTCAAAAAATGGTGGTAAGGATGATGTTCCCAATTGGGATACCTCTTCTCGGAGAAGCGTTGGGGCGTGGGCAAACAGCAGTAACCACGGCGGCGCGACATGGGGCGATGCTGCTCCCGCTGATACGAACAACAACACCGGAGGTGGTGATCAATGGGGCACTGGTGGAGGAGACGCATGGAATACAACAAGCAATAGTGACCAGTGGAATAACACAGGAGGCAATCAATGGGGAGCGGGCAGTAATAACGGAGCTTGGACTGCGTCTGGAAATGATCAGAATAACCAGAGTGTTTGGAATACTGGCGATACAGCAAATACTGGGGGTGCTACCTGGGGTGATGGCATCGCAAACGACCAACAGCAAACGACCAAAGAAGGCGGCAACAACAACGGTAACCAAAATCAAGGGCAGTCAAGTCCTCCAACAGGAGGAAAGGAGCCAACTCCCGCCATGATCGATAACAATGTTGCACCCATCGCGGTGACGACAGCTTCATCAGAGGAACAGTCCAAGATGCCGGGTAGCTGGTGTTCCGATCATGACGGGCAAGCGGCGTTTGTGAATCCGTCGCGGCAGGAGTATCAGCCTCCATCGGCAGTGCCAGAGTGGGGGGATCCAACTTTGGCGGCGAGTACGGGTGGACAGGTGAATTGGTGAGGCGGCAAAGAGAGTTGGTCATGATGGTGAATGCATAAGCTGGACACGATGACTTGGAAGATGTGTATTGCAAAATCTAGAATTAGATCAGCCATTGAAGTTGGGCATTTGGGACAGAGTGAGAGGCGTCCGTTGATCTATCAACCCGCGATGGTATACCATCTACTAATCTTTTCCAAGACTTTTCTTGCCCAGATTTGATTAACTAGAGTCAGATTAACGTGTACTATGCCTTGACGTTGGGCCAAAGAGGCGAATCGAATTCCTATCATCTGGCGTCTTTTTTTCTTCTGAAGTTCCATATCTTGGATTTTATTTGATCCAGATACTCGACGTAGGGCGGGTGAAATGGCTTTATTTCGTTTACAAGTAATTAATTATGCTTTTATAGTAACTGACTGATGGTTGAGCATGCCAACTAGTGGTTGATGAACAAGGTATTATTGAAATTTGTGGATGTTGTTGAATGAAAAAACGAGCGTAAGATGAGTGTATTGGAGATCACTTAGAGAACCAAGTTAGTTCCGTGCGGTATGCCAAGAACGATATCTCAATATAGGTCTATTTTCATAAGCGAACTCTCAACAATGAACGTATCAATGTTCGTTCCTTCCAACAGACGTAGCAGACGTAATAGGTATAAGCAGTGCGCCAGGAAGTGAATTCTACCGTGTTTATTTCTATCGATGCTCCGTTTCTTACTTCGAGCGCCCATTATCCTCTCCACCATCCTCTTCAGCCCCATCACCACCAGCAAAGTTGCTACTCAAGCTCAGGTAAACCGTCCATTTAAGAGTCTCGTCATGACCGAAGCCAGCACATGATGCATCCAACGTTAATCTATCCATGCAAGGCAAGAATCCACCGACTCTGTTCCCACCCAAACGCCCATGCGCCCAGCTTTAAGCAGTTAATTAACGAGGTCGGTGCCATGAAAAACCATTTCCAAAATAGCAGAAAGAAACCGTCATATCCTCAAGAAAAGAAAAGAAAGCGAAAAAAAAAAAAAAAAAAAAAAGACTAACGATGCGCTTAGCACTTCCAATCCTCCAACCGCTTGTACATCCACCCGCTCGTGTGCTTCAGCGACGTCTTCCTCTGCGACATGCCCGGCGCATAGCCCTGGCCCATGTATATCTTGTCGTCCATCTTGCACAGATCCTCGACAAAGTTCCACTGCATGCACTTTGTCCAGCCCTGGCACGCGGCCTCGCACGCCTCGACCGACTCCCAGGCCTTGCTCCAGAGCGCCTCGTCGTATTTGCCGTTGTCGGGCCCCGGCTTCGGTGCCCACTCGCGGTTGCCCGACGCGACCTCGAAGACGCCCGAGTAGTTGTCCCACCACTCGGCGTGCTCCTTGATGCTGGGCAGGATCATGGCGTTGAAGAAGTCGCGATGCAGCAGCGGGCCCTTGCTCCAGTCCCAGCCGCGCTCGACCTCGTAGTAGCGCGCGATGTCGCGGTTGTGCACCTTGTGCCACGACAGCAACGGGCTGCACCAGTTTGCGCTGGCAAAGGCAAAGGCCCAGTGCACCACCGGGTTGAAGCCAAAGGTGAACTTGCCGTCGCCGCCGTTCTCGCCAAAGTTGACGCCGTGCTTGCGCAGCGCGTGGGCCAGAACCTGGTCGCCGCAGCAGTGGTCGGCCGTGTACTGGTAGTACTCCTCCGTCAGCCCGCCGTTCTCGTGGCCCTGCTTGCCAAAGGACTGCTCCCACGCGCCCCTCGACAGCGCAAAGCCCGCGCCGCCGTGGGCGAAGATGACGTCCGACTTGGCCGCGTAGCTGCCCAGGTAGTGCGGCTGCGTCCAGTCGAACTTGGCCAGGTAGCCCAGGACGCCCGGCAGGAAGAGGTACGCGTCATCCTCCATGTAGATGTACCACTTGGCCTTTGGCCAGTTGTCGCCCGCGTGCTGGATGAGCGGGATGAACTTGTACTTGTCGATGATCCAGCCTCCGACGGGGCCCCATTCGTCGCCGTTGACGCCCGCGGCCTCGACGTAGTAGTTGTTGGCCATGTACTCGGGCTGCTGGCGGTAGACGTCAAAGTCGGGCTGCGCCTTTGCGGTGGAAGACATGTTTGCCAGGACGTCGATGATGTTGAAGGGCCCAATGCGCTCGGGCAAGTCAGAGTAGATGACGGTGCTGTCCAGGGGAATGCGGTCGTGGGCGAGCGTGGTGGTGAGGTGCACCAGCATGCGCTTCCACACGGTGGTGCCGCCGGTCTTGACAATCAGCAGCACGTCGTCCGTTGAGAGGCCATTGTATGAGGTGGCCTTGGCCGCTGGCTTGTCTTTGGCCGTACTCTTGTTGCTGCTGCCGACTGGGGCGACATATTGCACCTTGTCGTCGGCAGGCGTCTCGACCTTTTCCACCTGTGGTGTCTTCTTCAGCTCGACCACCCGACGCTCGCCATCGGCAAGCTCCACCTCCTCGACCACGATGCCCTTCTGCTTCGCAGCGTACGGATTGTGTCCATAGTTCTCTAGCGAGGGGTCGATGAGGCAGTAGAAGAGAAAAAAACAGGCGGCAATGATGAGGGCCGGGATCAACCGGTTATTCTTGTAAGTCACCAACATTGTGTGTCACGGATAAAAACAGCACAGCTTTGGCCCATTCACGCATTCGCCGCCGCCAGCCGCTCGCTCACAACCCAAATTCAGACACGGTTGTAGGCTCGAGCAGTGGAAACAAGGTTGAAGAAAGAAATAAAGAGAGCGTGTGTGCAAGATTAAGAGCCCAGTGAGAGGGAAAGGAGAGACTCGAGGCGTTTGTCGATCTCTCTTTGGAGTTGCAGGCCCGGGCCGGATCGTCAACCACTTTTGCTGTTAGTACGCATGCCTAAACTACATACTGCACTCTGTATAAGTACTGTATGTAAGTACATACTGCTCGGGAATCTCGCAAAAGGGCTTCGGCTCAGCAAGCTCCGTCACAGGCAGGCTAACAAGAGACTGCTAATTTGGGCCGTGCCACACAATACGAGGCAACGGCAAGCCCCCTTTGGCGTGCATGACTGACTCCCATCGCGCCAAGCACAGCGGAAGAGAGCCAATGCCTGTCAGCCTCATGGATGGCCCCTAGACCGCAGATTGCCAAAACAGGTAACTGCCGGCCCGGGCGTGCTCAGCCCCCTGACCAAGTCCGAGTCGAATCAACACCAAGTGGCGCCGGCGTCACAAGTTCGCCGCTGCCGGCCGACTTGCTTGCAGTTCCCACGGCTGTCTTCTCCTCCTTCTTTTTGCAGATACAATGTTGGTTTCTGTTTAGGCATGCGTTTTGCATCTCTTCGCTGTCGAGCTGCCTATAAAAGGGGGGATCACGACGATTCACTGATTTTAAGCTGCTTACGGGGTTAACGTTACGACTAATGCCACTGTGAAAAGTGGAAAACCGCGTTGTGTTCCATAGCATGGCTTCTAGCAAAGTTCCATCTTAGCAGTGGGCCGTTCGGGAGATGGGCATGGGTCTCACGGGATTCCCTAGACGCTTGGCCTCTCGTGTTAGTTTTTTTTAATTTTTTTTTTTCTCCGAGCACTTTTTTTGATGGAGCAGCATCTCCCACAATGCGGCCTCAGCCCGTGTGTGCTGCCTGGCTGGCTCAATGCGGCTCGCATAAGGTTGAAAATTTGCATGACGGAGCTTGAGCGTTGATGCTTTTTAGGGGCAAGCTAGGCCCAGCGCCAGCGTTTGTCCGATTGATCGAGATGTGAACTCGGTATCACCAACGCCAGGACGGAGTAGTATCTGAAACAACCTTGTATCTGCACGGACGCTGTCAGACTGCACGTATGTCCACTGCGCGAACTACTACATAGTATACCGTCCGCGATACGCGCAGAATCTGGTTCGAAGATAGCTCAGCTGCCACATTGGTACTATTCTGACGGAACAAGATGGTCGTATCAGCATCACGCAAATAGTAGCTAAACTCGTACTGCTCCCAAGGCACGTCAGTAAGACGACGAAGCCAAGCGCGCAGGGGTCGCGTTCCCTCTTCGTCTGGAAGAAGCAATGGCCGGTGCCCAACTTACACCAATTACCGGCAGACGTTTTTTGGTTCGACCCTTGAAAATCAAATCCCTCGGAAATAATCCTGGACGGCCCCCATTGCCTAAGCCAAGGACGGCTTTAGTCTGTCTGTCCGCCAAGAGAAGTCAAGACGCTACTCGTGAAATTATACGGAGGTGCGGAAGCAGCGCCCCCCCAGACTAAGAAGAATCTGGCCATGTGAAAGGGAATAGTACAAACGAAGGAAAAAAAAAGGATATGACAGAGATGAAGAAAAAACCAGCTAGGCTGACGGGACCAGTTGTAGCCTCAGCTGGGTGTATCCAGATTGAGAAGCTAAGGCAACCTCGGCCGTATTACCAGCGAGGTAAGCAGGGTTGTTTTCTTTGAAATATAGTTGTTGCTCCTTGTTAGAGTAGGTCAGTCAGTTGCTGGCTTGGACTAATCATCATCACCATTGTTAGCACGCGAGGACTCGGGTGGTGTGTGTTAGGTCGATAAGGCTGGCCAGCATCCAACTCATTGTCTCGTTTGACCTTGGTTGCCTGGAAGTTGTCATTGTCCACGGCATTAAGAAAGCAGCGTCTATCGTTGGCAGACCTGCTTTCCACAACCCCCCCTTTCCCTCATCTTTCTTCTTCCCTTCTTTATTTCCATTTGCTGTTTCAGACCAGAAAAGTGCATACTCGAAGTTTCTTCAGTTATTCGTTTGTTTACTCTACTTCTGTCTTTTTTCGCATAGACGCTCTCTCCTCTCCTCTCCTCGCGGCTTAGGCTATCCGGGGCCTCTTTAGCTCTCTCAAAGCTTGCCCATCATGATGGACTCCTTCCAGGATGCGGCTGGTCCCCAAGTCGTGACCAAGGGACGCCATACAACGCTGCTTCGCATGGCCATCAACGTTATTGGCTGCTTGATCAGCATCCCTGCCTACTGGGCCATCACTGTGCACTGTCACTATCCTGTCACTCTGGATCTTGTCTTTACAATCCTCCTCACGGAGCTGAACCGGCTTGTGAACGAAGGCCGTAGGATTCAGTTCTACGAGGAAGAGTCTCCGGAGCCGCTTCTTCCTCCACGAGATGAGGGCTACGGCTCTTACAGCTCGACCCCGTATGACGAAAAGAATATGAGCTTTATGGAGTCGCAAATTGTGCCGCAGTCGAGGTTGGACAGCATGGCTGCTGTTGTGGGATGGCGTGAGGATCCTGCCCTGTTTACTAGGGCGTTGGAGAGTTACAAGAATGCCAAGCACTGCACCTTTATGCTGGTGGGCATTGATGGAGATGACGTGGCTGATCGTGACATGGTTGACGTTTTTAACATTGTAAGTGTTTCAATGTGCGTATAAGCACACACACATATATATATATATATATATATATATATGTATGTATGTATTAATATACGCCACATGTTTGCTGGGGATATGGAAGGACAAGGTCAAGGTTAACTAACACGATTGAAATAGGTATTTCCCACTCAGTCCAAGGTGATTCACGTCCCTCAGCCATTGGGCGAGGTGGCAGAGCAGTTCCTCGCCAAGCATATTGCCATCTGCAAGCAGAACGGCCAGCCCATCAACATGGAGGAGTGCCACGACATTGCAATGAGACACTGCTTCCAGCTTGCCCGCACCATCATCGAACAGGAGGGGGTCAACCTCAGCAACGTGCGCCACATCTGCCTCCGCCAGCGGCACATGCACAAGAAGGGCATCATGTTCACCACGTTTGTCTTTGCACTGGTCATCGCCGACGTCTTGGGCATTGAGTTCCTGTGGTCGTCGGACTCGGACACGCTGGTGCTGCCCAACTCGATCCACAAGACGGTCGATGCCATTGCTCAGGACCCAACCATTGGAGGCGCCAGCTCTGGCCTGATTGTCCACAACGGACACGAGACTGCCGTGACGAACCTGGCGGCCACCGTCTACTGGGGCGAGCTGTATCTGACGCGCTCCTCACCCGCCTTCACCGCGACGAGTGACTGCCAAAGCGGTCCCAGCACCGTGTTCCGCCTGGCTGCGCTGCCGGCCATCTTGATCCCCTGGTACCTCCAGACGCTGCTCGGCAAGCGCATGATCATCAACGAGGACCGCCATCTCACCACCAACCTTCTCAAACGCGGCTGGGGCGTCGTCTTCGCCTCCGACGTGCTCGCGGCCACGGATACACCGACGACGCTCGCCCGCTGGCTCAAGCAGCAGGTCCGCTGGGCGCGCGCCACGCACATCGAATCGCTGCTGCAGCCCAAGGTCTACCTCATCACACACCCGCTGCTCTTCTACAGCATGAGCAAGCGCGAGCTTGGCCCACTGATTGCGCTCATCGCCACGATGTGGTACTTCTTCACGGGCGAGCAGCTCATCATCGTCTTCATCGCCGACCTGTTCGTGCGCGTCGTGGCCAGCGCGCTGTACAACCTGCTCCGCAACCCGCACCGCCTGGAGCGCGCGTCTCTCAAGTGGATCATCCCGGGCATGTTCTTCTACCACATCCCGCTGCCCGGCGTGCACGTCTGGAGCCTGCTGACGCTGACGGCGGACGGTTGGGGCACCAGCATGCGCAACAACAGCGAGATGGCCAAGAAGGACAGCGTCCGGCAGGCCTGGTGGGAGACTGGCTTCTTCGTCGGCTGGATGGCCGTCGTTGCGGGCTGTGTGGCGAGATGGCTGGCGACGTATTATGAGCTGTCGAGCGGGGAGCTGCTGTTGGCCATGGTGGTGAGCTCTGCGGCGACGGCGGCGGTGGCGTGGAGATTGACTATTTACCAAATGTCATGATGGGCGGGACGAGACGAATGAAGGCATTTTTTTTTTTTTTATTTGATTTACGAGCCTGGATTGATTGCATTAATAACGCGGATATACATACATACTTGCATATATATAGAGAGTGCGTGTACGAAGTACGATTGGGATATAGACATGGATAGACGGGGGGCATATGAAAAGGCAATCTCTATGAATTGGAGGGCTATTGAAATGAATTTCATGTAATGCTAGATAAGGTATATACTATTAATATTTGTTCAATTTTATTTTCTTGCAAGAATTGTATTTTTCCTCTACCGATGTGGTCCTGTATAGAAATCTGTTGCCATAGCAGTTGTTTGGCGTGTTGTGGTGGCTGCGCGTTAAGTGGCTACTAGCTAGTTCTAATTGAAAACGCGTAAATACGTCACAAAAGAACGCGTTAACTAAAGATGCGTAGCAGAAAAAAAGATGGAGTTGCTCCATTCCCCCCCAGCCTCTTACTTAACCTTGAACACATTTAACATCTCAATCCATTAAACAAAAAAAAAAAAAAAAAAAAAAAAAAACCGAAAAAATGTCTCCCGTCCCCTCCCCCGAAATCCGCGCCACAATCGCCGAAAAGCTCAGCCAGCTCAGCCTCGCCGTCGAGACGAGCCCGGGCTTCAACCGCGACTCGCCGGCGGCCAGCGGCGGGCTCTTCCACGTCTGGGACTTTGTCAAGCGGACTGAGTATATGCTTTCTGAGGTGGAGGGCATTCGGCAGCCGGGATATGAGTTTAAGCATGCGGGGCAGATTAAGATAAGTATGTTATGTTTTTTGACTCTCTCTCTCTCTCTCTCTCTCTCACTCTAAATATATATATATATATATATACATATGTGTATATGTGTGTATATATACTCATTGCTATATATATATATATATATATATATACATGTATGAGTTGTACAAGTAAAGTGTAATAGAAATAACTTACATGAAAAAAACAAAACCAAACAGCAAAGCGTGGTGAAGCCGCCGCGCAGGAACTCTTCAACGACACCTTTACGCGCTCCATGACCATTGACCAGCTCATCAATGGGCCGCCGATGATGCGCAACATGATGGGCATGGGGGGCAATATTCCACCAGAGGTTGCGGCCGCGAGCAAGGCTGTTTTGGAGGCGTTTCCCGAAAACTAAGGGGTGGGAAATTTCGTATGGTAATGTTTGGATCGAGGGAGAGATGAGAGTTGGAGATGGATTAAAGAGCTCAATGCCATGTAAAGAAAAGGGTATTTTTTTATTGGAAATGATGCAATGCTTCAATGTTCAATGGCAGGCATGATAGAGATGCCATATTCTGTAGGGGGAATAGAAACATGCATAGAAAAAAAAAGGAAGTTTATCCCATGATGAGGAAAACATCCATCTAAACTATGCTTTACACACTACAAGGAACACATCTCAAAGGAACTAGAAGATTGTATATAAAATAAAATAAAAAAAACGTTGAATTCTTCGGAAATGGGTGCGTAATTTGCTCTCATCAGTTCTGTGCTAAAGCACATCTATGTAAAAACCTCCTCCGCGTACGTTATACCCAACCAATTCCCTCCCATTGACAAGCGCCGGTATGCAAAGTATCCCAAAATGAAGCAAAAGAAAGAAGGAAAGAAAGAAAAGAGATGGTCAAAAGTATCCAAGAAATGACCAAAAGTATCCATGACCAGAGTAAAAACGCCCATGGTATCGTTATAATGCATATATGCAATCTCGCCGCTCCGAAAGAGCCAAACCAAAAGAAAAGAAATAAGAAGAAAAAAAGACATGTCGAAAATTCCGCTAAAAGTCCGTTATGAGTTCCAGTTCAAGTTCCGTTAGACGTTTCCAGTATGATGAAATAGATCCCAGTGAGTAATGCAAGAGGCAGAAGAGAGAAAGAAAAGAAAACGCATCGCGCATCACACATGCATGCAAATTGCTCGCCTTCCTTTTGCCCTTGTCTCCCTTAGAGTCCGCCCCAGCGACCTTTTGACTTGCTCTTGGCCAACCGTCGTCCAATGTTGCCAAAGCAAAGACAGGTGCAGAACAACACGCTAACCATCCAGATGCTAGCTTCAATGGTCTCCTGGCTGGCAATGCTGCTCAGTGCTGTCGCCAAATCCGTGTAAGATGCCATAGACGGGACGCTGTTGCTGCTGTTGTTGTTGTGTGCGGCGGGCGCAGGAATCATATCCAGATTGACGCCCCAGACGAGGATGGACCCGGCAAGGCCTACGCCCGCAGACAGAATCAAGGCGGAGATGGATCGGTCGATGAGCCACCACAGCACGAAGCTGGCCAGAGCTACGGCCACTGAGAGCTGCATGCTGGAGCTCCATGCAAGACGACGCTGCACCACAATCACATGTTAGTACGTCATACGACTCCACAATGAATGGCACGTTTGAAACTTACCACCGCAAACGCGACGCCAACAAAGACGCCGACTGCGCGCATCACCAGCGCCCAATCCGTCTCTGACGCAGTCCCTTTGGCGGCATCTGGCAGGGGTTCCTCGGCTTCCACCACGGTTTGTTCGTCCTCGGACCCAAAAAGGCCGTCCCACAGGCCGTCAAACCAAGGCTGCAGCGCGCCGAGAGCCACGCCCGTCAGTCCAAAGCCCCACAGCGCAAGATATGATCCGTTGTATCGCGGGACGATGCTGCTGGCCTCGGTCAGCTGGAGTAACCGTGACTCTTGCTGTAGGTGTGTGACCAGCACTCCGTATCCGGCACCGAGCACAAACAGCACCATGGCACGCGATGCCAGTGAAACCGCAGTACCAGCGGGTGTCACAGGCTGTTTCAGCGGAGTCGCCTCGGCGGGCTTGTACGACATCCGTCGGCGCGGGAGGTTTGATCGATCGCGCATCAACTCGTAGGTGGCGAGGCTGATGCTTTCTCGTCGCTTGACCGGCGTCTCTGCTCCGGTGCCCCATGGCGTATGCAGCTCCTCGTCGTTGTCACCGCCATTGAAGACGTCCTCCTGGTCTTCACAATCGTATATGCCCGCCAATGTCGAAGAATTGAGGTTTGCGGTGGACTGTGACTGGGTGAGGGCGGGCGGAGAGTCGGGCGGCGATGGACGCGAGCCGAGGAGGCCAGAATTGATCAAGTCGCGGCGGAAGCGGGCGAGCTGGATTTCTTCTTCTCGGCGCTGCTCTTCACTGTCGCTCTCGTCATCTTGAGGCGGTGTGAGGCTACGGGGCGGCGGCGTGGAACACTTGAGATCGAAGACAAAGGGCCGGCGAGGGATGGGTCGAAGCAAGGGAGGGCCGTCCCGAGAAGCGTCTGCAGTATCCATGGCAGTAGTGGTGTTGGTGTTGGTTATGGCGAGAAAATGCTGTAGTAGAGTTGGAAAAAAAAAAGCGAAGAGTTTGTTGTATGCAGTAGATTTGCAATGTCGTATGTAGCAACCAAGGGAATTGAAAGGAGTAGAGTAGAGTAGAGTAGAGCTGAGACGAGATGACCAAAGCGCCTCGCAATCCGTCAAGTCAAGGGTGCCTGTGACTCTTTGCTCTGCGTGTGTGCTTACTTGATGCAGCTCCAGGTCCAGATTCAGCTTCAGCTCCACCGCCAAGGCTGGGGTTGTTGAGCGTTCCGAATGCGTGCAATGCAATGCAATGGTATGATTAAGCTCCGGGCCGGTGGATCCGAGGAGGCGAAAAAGGGGATCGGATGATGCAGGTGTTATGATGATGATGTTTTGGTGTTTTGATTTTTTTTTTTCCGACGCTGCGAATATTAACACCTAAAAACCGGTTAGGCTAAATCCATCACATGAAAGAGCCAAAGCGGAAGCTAGACAATTGAACAGCTGGATAAAGAGAGAGAGAGAAAAAAAAAGTGGCTCTGATATGATGGGAAGAATTGGGCTCGGCAGTGGGCAGTTTTTTCGACGATTCCCACTTCTGGATCCATCTCAACCAGATGGCCGAAAACGAATGCGAGTTGGACTTTTTGTTGGACTCGTTTGTCCTGTCTTCTTTGCCTTGTCTTCTTTTTCTTGTTCCCGCGCTCTCTTTTGAGTGTTTCTCCTGTTCGTCTTGTCCAGCTTTCAATGCTGTTTCTACTTACCAATTGCTCGGTGTTGGCCTTGTGCACCGTACAACTGCTGCACAGGCGGCACGCACAGGGGGCGGATAGATGTCCGTGGGGAATGCAGCTGAAATGCGATGCAGATGGATGGAGGCTGCTGTTGTGACAGGCGGAGCTGGTTTTATTTTTAGGCGGTAGTGCGACCTACCCGACGCAGGTGGAGAGCGAGCGTGCAGTATGCAATTCCAACAATTGTGAGTCAGATGCCGAACGCAGTGGCAAAGCAATAAAAGAGAAGCAGAATGGAGGGAGAGAGAAATCGATAATTCAGAAGAAGAGGAGGGGGCGGCAGCAGCAGCAGCAGCAGCAGCAGCCCAAGCAGCCCTTTAATGCTTTAATGGAATGCCGGGCCCGGCGTGGCGCGTGTTTCAATGGCTCGCAATGAAACTCTGCTCATGTCTCTGCGGTGGAAAAGTCTCTCCTCTGGCCTCCATTCCCGCCTGCTTGCTGTAAGCCATCCATCCATGTCCTCAACAAAAATACCCGAACCTTGACAACTCACCTGAGGCGTAAGGCACAGCACATGTGACTAGGCCGAGGAGGGCAATATTGGAGACCCTCCTTCACGAGCCCAGGGCGGGTGACCCTTGAAGCACAGTGCGAATTGGCGAGCATTCTGCATCAGAGGATCAGGCACGCGTAGAGATGTACAAGTACTGTAAAGTTTCTACGTATATCTTTGCTTTGACGATTCACTAGGACCCAGCTCGAACGATGGTTATGGTTCGATAGATAACTATAGATGCCAAGTCCTAGGCAATCGTACACACGATATTCAGTGCCGCCCAACCATTAATAGGCCATAGATGTCCGTCGCAGTAATAGGTAGTAATCGTCGTAATATCGGCCGCTGAGACAGCAGGTACTTGCGTAGGGCCGAAGGTACACGCCCTCTTTCTTTTAGCGGCAGGTGCTCTTCACAGTTACACAGTCTAGATCTTAGAGCAACTTTTAGGCGCCCATCCCGTCCACCTCTGCAACTCTTTCCAAGATCAGCTCATCAAGCAATCTACCAAGCATCTACAAATACAAATACCTTGCTCAGCTCTTGTTATAGCTTCTTAAACAAGATATAAATAGCATATTGTTTTTTCAACTCTCCTTGAAACAACGACTTCACAGCATCTATGATTCATCAACAGCCACCGCTGAAACGGCATTTACCCCAGAAGTCGTAATACTAGTGCCTCGCGCATGAAAAGAAAACAAGAGAGGCAAAAACCCGCTCTCGAATCAAATAAACACACGCACACACACACACACACACGTCAGCTGTGTTGCATCTCGTCTTCTCCACACCATGAACCGCATGTTCAAGCCCCTCAGCGGACGGACGGTCCACCAAGCCAAGCGCTGCCTTTACCCGCCTCATCGTCATGTTTAGAGTTTGCCGCCGGCAAAAGCAAATCAACCCAAACGTGATCAAGAAAACAATAAACCAAATAAAAAAGACAGAAGCCAATGCAAGTCAAACAAGACGGCAGCACCAGCGAGCAACAAACTCTCAATAGTACAAGAGTAAGCTTCAATACTTCATCACTCTACACGTCTCCTCACCTCTCAGCTGCACCTCTTGCATGTAAGTGCAAGTAGGCAGCTTGGCATGAATTGATAGGTACAGCAAAGACATGCACCAGCAACTAGCAATGCTCCGTATTCTTTAGCTCCCCTCGCCTTCCCCTCCCTCTGAGCTGGACGAGTCAGAGGCGCCGCATTTTCAATCTTGACTGCTCGTGTGACATGTGACACCCCGCATTTTCCAGCCCAGCGGCAGTTTTGAGTCTTTATTCGGAAGACGTTGTCTTGGCCATCGGAACCGGCCTTGGTTGGCTGCTTCTTGCAAGCAGTGTATACAAGCTCGAGTAAGGGAATTGCTCATATCCCCAGTGCTCCCAAATTCACATTCTTGCATGTGAGGGTGCCTAATCCTAGAGAAAATCAATCAAACAGAGTCCAGCCTCGTCAGCAAGGCTTCTATATACTACTACCTGCTGGTATACTCCAAGGCACAAAACAAGCGAGCTCCCAAAAACGCCACCCGGTGCTAACAATCTGCAAGTCATGCACACCCAACACCATCCTTCACGAACCCTTGTGTCGTGTGTAGCGTGTCGTGTGTGTGCCTGAGTGCGGGCGTGGCGCTTCGTTAAAGATGATTAAACTTTCTAGATCAATAAACCCGCGTAAGCGAGCTCAGATTCATTTGATTCCCACCATCGTTCTTATTGAGGAGAGGAGAACAGTACAATGCATGCATATTCCTTGAGAGGATGCGAGGCGGACATGTACATCGTATTTGTCAGTCTCTTGAGAGTAAGTTGTGATGTGATCGAACGCTAACCATATCTGTAATATTTTTTTTTTTTTTCGTATCATGGAAACCTCATAGATGAGCCTAAGCACTTACAAGAGGCTTCATCTCGGCCCAAGCAAGCAAACAAACAAACAAACATCTCAACAGCCAGCTAGACAAGCTCACAACTCTTAATCTTCCTCCACTCAACAATCAGCCTATGATCTTTGTGCATCTAATAACGAAATACATCCATACTCCTCACCAAGTTTGAGTCGCTTCCTCAACAAGCCCAGTCAGCACCCAGTAGGCATGCCGAAATGTGAGGTTAAAAAATCGGTATATATGATCTAAAAGAAACCCCATTGCTATTAAGCATCATCATCATCACCAATTAAAATATGCACACAGAACGACAAAACAAATAAATACTTCTTCAAAATAATAATGACCACAAAAACTCCCCTTGCGTTCTCATCAGCCTCGTCATTGACGTTGCGGTTAATCTCGAACTGAAAGCTCCAAGTTCCAAAAGTTCCCCGCTCAAACCTGTCATTTACATCCACCTGTCGACTTGGCAAGGCTCAAAACGATCTGCTAAGCGTTTCAAACAAATGAAAGAACCTTTTCTGTCGGCAGAGATTCTATACAGAGATAGGTGCTGAAGCTCTGCGCCTGGTAAACCAGGTCTGGCCGTATAACAACCGTGCGAACCTTAGGAGAGGTAGGATGCCGCAGTTGGAATGGACATTGTGGAACAAATGTTCGAAATCTGCCGGCATGTCAGGCTGAGAGCCCTCAGGTCCCCCCGCGTTCAAAACGAAAATCAAGGCCATGACTTTGGATCCAGACAGTGCCTGCATTTATAGCTGCATATTTTTCCAGACGAGCTCGTCTGACAAAGATAGAAAGATGCCTGCCATTAGAGTGTGATTTCTGGTACGAATGCCTCGCTTCAAAAGCTACAGGTAGCGACAGCCGATCAAATGTACGAACTTGGTAATGCGTAAAAGAAACGTTGTTCGAAGCTTTTTAGTAGTCTACGCAGTTACCTCGATGAGATTCACATCGCTAGAGTTCGGGGCAAGGGACAGCACACTACCAGATAGGCAACTTTCCAAATTCCCCTCTGATGCGTACCTGATAGCATAACACGGGCAAATAACAATTTTTTTATAGGTACTATAGCTATAATCATAAGAATTCAACCAACTCCACCCCTGTTTATGCCTAGGTACACATATATATATATCATCCACCACTGTCAATCAAGCCATATTATTTAGTTAGATCTGTGCTCCATACAGCAAGCTCACAATATCCCTTCCCCCTCAAATCAATTCCTTCACTCATCGTCTTCCTCGCTGTCATCATCATCCTCGTCCTCGTCCTCATCACCTTCGTCCTCACTATCCTCCACTCCCTCCGGCCTCTCCAGCATCAAAAACGCCGCCATGCAAGTAACCCTGTTATGCGTCACCAACGTTCCCCTCAACACACCCACAGGCTCCTCCTCCGCCTTGTCCTTCTTCTCCCCCTTTGCCAACTCTCGCAGCTCGTCGACCTGCACAGTCCACAACCGAATTTTTCCATCACTGCTCGCTCCCACCACGTACAGCGTGCCAGGGTTAGCCGTGCTAGGTATCGTGACAAAGTCCTTGATTCTGCCAGAGACGCCCTCTCCACCAACGAAGCCTACAAGCTTGGCCACAGGGAGAGTCGCCTCTGATGATTCATCGGGCTTTGAAATGTCATCCGCCTTTGTCGAGAAGAACATGATGCGGCCATTCTCGGTGGCTACGGCCAGCAGCGCCTCTCCCGTCTCCTCATCCAGCGTAACATAGCTAAAGTGGTGTATCTTGACCTTGGTCGTCGGCATAACCCGGCACTTGGGCACACTGTCCATGCCGAAAACAACAACATCCCGGTCGAATCCAACCGCAAACTCGTCCGCGCCGTCCGCCGTTCCCCAGACCACTCTCCGCGCCTCGCCGCTAGAGTGCTTGGACTCTCCAATCTCTCTCAGCATCTCCTTGCTGAAGCTCAGCACGCCTGCCTTCTTTCCCGTGACGAGGTTCCACAGTCGCATGCACCTCTCGCCCTTGCTAACGCTAATCATGAGCTTCATGCTCGGGTGGATAGCAAAGTCGTTTACTCCAGACGGCGTGCCTCCAAACGGCGCGGTATCGCCAGTTGGTCGGCCGTGTGCAGTTGGCTTCGGTGTCTTGATATTGCTCAGCATAGACCAGTCTCGCGTACGTGTCACAGCAATCGTCGAATCGTCGCTTCCCGATAGCAGTTTTGACCTCGTAGGGAACGCCAGCGTCGTAATCGTAGAGTCGTGATGTAGTAGCGTTCCCAGTTCTCTGTTCTTGGAGTTCTCTTGGATCGGTCTCGGTGCCACGCCAGCCAGCATATCTCCCTTCTTCTTGCTCGGAGGATACGCCGACAGATTGTATACATGAATTCTTTCGTCCGTGCTACCGGTTGCAAGCAAGACTTTTTGCGTCTGGCCCGGCGCGGGAGCAGATGGGGGAGATACGGCGACGCATCGGATGGCCGACGAATGCGCATTGAAAAGGAACGTATCTGCGAATTCGACGTCGCCTTTGGTGCCAATTGCAGCTGTCAGCCCATGGAGAACCCGGTCGTATGACCCTGCGACGATCTGAATAGTTTCCTCCACAAAGGTTTTGTTTTTCTTTGGTGCTGCTTTCGTCTTTGCTTCCGCGGCCTTGGCCTTTGTGCTGCTCTTTGTAGGTTTCGTCTTTTCCTCCACGTTTTTTGACTTCTTGGCGGCCACAGGCTCTACAGCAGGTTCACTGGTGGCAGCCGCTTGTCTCTTTCTTTTAACCATTTTTGCGTCGTTGTGTTGTGTTTTAATGGTTTACCAAGCAAGATTCAATCCAAAATCCAGAGGCTGCCTCTCTCTCAATGGGAAAAAAAATATTATGGGTACCTGTCGCGCGATAAGATAAGCAGCATCGTTTTCGCTCTTAGCGCATAATACTGATTTAATACATACATACTTGCACATGTCACTCCTACGCAGACCCTTACGAAGCAGAGAGTTCAACTCCAAAAGGAGAGAGGCAGAGGAAGAGGGTAAATACTGTATTTCCATAGCCGGTGTAATGCTCCCGTATATGCTCGAATATATAATGTTGTATCAGCTTTGCAAAAAAATGTTCGAATCCGATGCCTGTTTTTTGCTTGACAAAGTGGAAATAAATAGAACAGTAAAATAAATCAAAACAAAGAAAAGAACAAATCTCTATCGGTGCGGCCCATCCCTCTCGCGGCCACCATCCCGGCTTAATTCTATGGTACTTAGACTAGGGAATCGTTTCGTAAAGTCCTCCACGTAGTCGTCCCTGTCGTTTGCAGTCATCTCTAGCATTGGCTGCCCAGGGAGATCAATTGCTATCAGGCGCTCAAACGAATGCTCATCTCTCTCCTTGGTTGGTGAGGAGGTTTGCCGTCCTCCTCCCGTGGGTATATTATTCAGGTGGACGGGCTTCCTGGGGGCGGCTGGCTTGGCTACACTCTTGCCCGACACGCTGGCAGAGGCGGATGTCGAGCCCGTGGCTTGTCTAGCATCCACCAGAGAGCTGTCGCTTCGTCGCGGATCCACCACAACGGGCTTCGCAGCTACAACGGGCTTGCGTTTTACTTCAGGGCGCGGCTTCTCCGCCTCGCCCGGTGGCGGTTCAGAGTCCGTGTATTTGCCATAACCATGGGCGGTACGTGGTACGTTCGCCGGCTTCTGCTCTTCACTCAGCAGACTCTGGACCCTGTTTTGTATGCTGGCAGCTCGCGCCGCTCCCATAGGCTTGGGAGCTACGCTTGGTCTAGTCTTGGACGGCGAACCACCTTCCGCAACCCTTCGTCGGTATTCTGCTTGCGCAGCCTCTACTCTAGCTTCCTCCTCTTCCAGCTGGCGACGCTCCATCTCACGACGCATCTCAGCTGTCATATGACCATGACCTTCCCCGTCTGTATCGCTCCTATCATCTGCTGCTTCCGAGCCTTGGATGGGCGTCAACGTACGACGTCCCTGCTCCTTGCCAGACGAAGAAGGTCTAAAATCCGACTCGCTTTCAGATGGAGCATTGTTCTCAAACTTCTTGAAAGCACCGCCAAACTTGCCAGAGAGCAAGTTCTTGGACGTTGATGCAGCCGTCTCAGGCTTCTGCCCAAGTCGATCTTGATCGTGGTCTTTGACTTCAAAGCTTCTCGAGCTTCGAGCCTGTTCTTTCAAACTTACGCCGCCGTCATTATTATTACGGCCCGTGTTGGAACTTGATAGAGGGAGATGCCACGATGAATGCCGATTGGTTGAAGACTGGCGACTAGGAGGCTTGGATGCGTTTTCCCTTTCGCGCAGATATTCCAGAGTGCTAGGTTCAAATGTCGAGCTGACAGGTCGCTGTTTGAGGCCAAGGTCTCCAGCAGAAGATCTCATATCTATTAGATCTTCTTGGGAGCTGAGAATATCCAGTGACGTCCTAGATGAAGCAACTGTACTCTGGCTAAGCCGTGGCTGAACAGACGAAGACCTCGTATTTGCTGACGCCCAGTTTCCGCCAGAAATCCGCTTGGCAGTATTTTGCCCTGTAAGGGCCGCCGCACGGGGTGTTGCGCGGGGAGTTTCCACATCAAGAGAGCGTCTAGTTCTGTCAAAGTCCACTTGTCGCTCCTTCTCAGGAGATGCTTCAGTCATTGTCCCGATGGAAACGTATGAGGAGTTTGCAGTCTTGTTGGCAATAGCTTTGAGCTCAGGGTTGCTTGTTATGATTGACTGGGCCCGGCTAACTCCAGACTGCGTCGCAGATAAGGGCACCACTTTTGACAGAGGTTTGGTGTCCAAAGTGGATTGTGAGATATCGAGGGGAGGGCGAGATGAGATTGGCGCGACAGAGTGTGGTCTCTGGACTGGGGGGGTTGCAGGCGCGGGGCTTCTAGAGGACGCAAATGCTTCATCAGCCAGCCGTTCAGCGACCTTAACACCCAGGTCTCTCTGAGGACGAGGAGAAACTGGTGTAGAATCAAAATTGAACGTCTTTTGGTCTTGGAGCAAGGAGAATTCATCTAGACGTGGAAACCTGGCTGAAAGCTCATCAGGCTCCGCCCGGCGAACGGACGCGGCGGCTGCGTTAACCTTTGAGTCCAGGGCAGCAAATGGATCACCACTGTTGACCTTTGCAGGGACAGGTGTTCGAGATGGCGAGGGATTCGGGCGGCCTCTCCTCATTGGTACGATATCTGGAAGAGCCTGCTGTTCTTTGACGGGCGCTGCAAAAACGGCACCGACGACGGGTGGCTGATGTGATTTCGGCTCGACGGCGGCTTGTTGGGTGGCTCTAGGTTCTGCGCTCGGCCGTCCCGAGTAGATCTGAGATAATTTATTAGTGGCATTATTCCCAAGTATATGGTATGATTTGATGGAGAAGGAAAAAAATAACTGACATCGTGAATCGGTACTTCTCGGTTCTGCATAGCACAGGCCTCCTTCAGGACTTGGTATATGTTGGGTCTTGACTGATGGTTCTCCTTTAGCATCATGGCTACATGTACAGTTCGAGTCAGTGGGATGTTATTCAGAATCGTCAAAAAGTCAAGAGGCTCGGCTGGTTCGTACCAATCAGGCTTTTGAGCCTATCTGAAAACACCGGGTAGCTGGGATATCTGTAGCTCGCATTCAAGATGGCTAGCTGCCCCTGGTCCTCAAAGGGGGTTGTGTAGTAGCAGAGCTTGTACAACAGAACGCCCAGCGCCCAGATATCCGACTTTTCGTTGATTGGCTGTTTCCGGTAGACGTCTACCATTTCGGGGCTTCGGTATTGTAATGTTGTGTGTTTCTGGATATCCTCATCCATCAGGCGACAGTCGACCACGGTCGTGGGAGCCGGTCGCGGAGGGGCGGCGGAACCAAAGTCACAGAGCTTGAATCTCTTGCCAGCGCGGCCGTTAGTGATGAGGACATTTTCGACCTTCAAGTCTCGATGTAATAGCGCAGGCTTGAGGTAGTGCATGCAGGCAACGCCCTCGGCGATGTCAGCAAAGATGTTGATGATCTCGGGCTCGGTCAGGCGGTGTTGCAGCCGGGTATTCATGAAGTCAATCAGACCGCCCCCATCGCAAAACTCCATGAGCAAAAACACCTCATATCCTCCTCCCTTGAGCTCTGACGCGTGGGAATCGATATATGTGACAATGGCCTGGTGCCCCTTTAGTCGCTTCATCGTCTCGACTTCGGTTCGCATGCCCCGCAGGGCCTCCTTATCGGGTACGGCGACTCGCTTCAGGACGGCCAGATCGGTGCCGTCGATGGCCTTGGGCAGCTTGACGAGATAGACGTGCGCAAAGCCTCCCTCGGAAAGGTATTTCTGAATCTGCACTCGGTGGTTGCCGACCTGGATCTTGGTGCCTGGAGCAAAGGTGCCGGCCGGTGGCATCACCGCCGCAGCTTGGGGATATCCAGCATGCGGATGGTGAGCAACCGGAGGGGCCATTCGATGGCTGTGGGACGCCATTCTGGGAGATGAACCGCTCGTCTATCGGTTCCCGAGATGGTGTTCGTGAAGCAGAGCTCGGCGGCCCTGAGAGCTTCGGTGGTTGTCAGGGAAAAGCCCAACGTGCCCTTTTTCTGCTGCCTTCTGGGGGTGACGTACCGGGAACGCTGCTAATGGCACTGGGGCGGAGGGGCGCGATTGTAGAGAGATGGGCTATACCATCAAGACATTGGCGAGAGAAAATGCAATATCCAGACAGGGCGATGTCGGGTCTCGCGGTTCCCAGGAGCGATTATCACGGAGAAGAGGCGCACAGGCCGTGAGGGTGGTTCCTTGATTATGGCGACGACACACGGCCCTGGAGATTTAAGACGCTGGAGTGATAGTACCGGTAGTAGCCTCGCTCGCTTTCCCCCATAGAAAACCCCCTACTGGAGGTGGACTCGACGCTTCTGGAGATGCGATCGGAGTATCGTCGGCTAATCACTGGGCAGCTCAGCACCGGCAGTTGCGCCATAGTGAATGGGCCGTGGCCTCTAATATTGGATTTAGGCATCACTCAATCCGGTCATTTCACGGCCACGTCTGTATGCCATATGCCGTATGCCATATGCCGTATGCCATATGCCAAATGCTGAAGCCTGTTGGAGGCTAAGGCCTTGCCAATCCTGGATCGCGGAGAATGTCGCCGGCGCGCCGCAAGGGGACTCGAAAGATGGGGAAACACTGTGAGATGGCAAAGGATGTGCTTGGCGCCATGGCTGACCACCATAACTGGGTAAGACGATAGCAAAGCTGTCTACTGCAGGTCCGCGTGATCTGGGACTTTTGGAGGGTTGATGCTTGTTAACGTCTGGAGATTGAGTCACGATGGCGATCTAATAATTAGATGCGGCTTTTTTTTTTTTCTATTGGATCCAGCGTATCGATATAAGTAAGTGCACATGATAGCAGAAGAGAGATACTACTCGTGCAGGTGTATTAGACAAAGCTGGCAGCAATAATAAGGGGGTGTGTGTTGGCTTTTTTTAAGCATGAAAGTGAGTTAGGCATGGAATGGCGATGGTTCGACAATCTTAAATCGAAGCTTGCTGCGTCCCACTCTGCGAACTACCTGTCCATCGAGAGCCACCTATAGGCTTGGACTTATAGCCGCTGTATGAGACGCATTGAAAGGACTCTTTAACTTGTCTACTACGCTTGTCAAATAAATTTGAGGACGCTTGTGTATTGCCAACATGGAGCTGTTACTATCACTTAGATGCCCAGTACCTATTCGAGGCATGTGAAGCTGCAGCCGTCGTCTCCCTTCCTCTTTGGATAAGGACCCCGGGTTTTAATTGGCGACGTCACAGGTTAATGTATGATATTCAGGGTTCGCGCGCATCTTTTACGCAGCAGCACAGGACTTCTTGAATGCATAAATGCAGAATGGCATCTTCACTGGACGTGAATGGCCTACCAGGAACTTGTCCGAGATGTTCCAAAAGCACTGCCAGGTACGTACATTGTGTCAGTTCCATGGCCTTTTTGACTTTGCCATCGGTGGCGACGCGAACAGCAGATCCTCCATACTTTTCTCATCAGGAACCCGCTGCTATTTTTACGTCAAGGTTTGCCTCCCTGACGTAAGTCGACAATGACCCCAAGCCATGAGTTTCTGCCCATCAAAGGGTCTTTTGCGCATACTGCACTGATCTACTAATACGCCGTCAGTAGAATATGCTTTTGTATAAGTAGGCACAGGCAAGATTGAGACACAAAGGATGTCGGGGCCCTCATCGGCGCATTGCCGAGAAGCCGCAGCACATAGCCACCATTTCAATGGAGCCCTTTTGGATCCGTTTGCTACTTGTACGCCTTTGCAGATACATACCTACGCCCGGGTAGCATCGTGTACTCCATAAGGGATAAACATTATTCAGGGATTTTTTGCTTTGTCTTTTCTTTTTTTCGTCCGATGCAACGCAACGCAATCCTATTAATGTCCGAGCTTGGCGTCCATCCATGGGGCTGAGACGTCTTACAAAGAAGATACTTGATATGCGCTCACCGTTCTCTATCATTCAGCCCGCCGCCTCTCTCTCCACCGCAGCTTTGTTCAAGTTTTTTTTTTTTCTTGACTATTAGCTGCTAGCGGGCAACCTGCTTCTACTAGCTTGCGTATGTATGCGTTGTGGCTTCTGCTTAGCATCAGATCTTTATTCTTGTGACGTGAAGACCAAGTATATACGTGGCGGTACGTCGCATTGTCTGCAACTGGACATACGCGCTGCCCCTGAAAGCAACATTCTCCGTGGCCTTGAGCGCGCGCCTAGACAGATGGCGGTTCCTTTCAGCTACCTCTTTGTCATTCCAGAACGAGCAAGAATGCCGACCGCTAATCGCAGCTGTATCGTAAAAGCCACTCCCCGTAACGATGAATATCGACATGTGGACTGCCTGTCAAAGACGGGAAGCCATCTCCACATTGATATACTGTAGGCTAGATACAAACTCCGATATGCGTCCATCACCATGGGAGGCCGCTCAGATCAAAGACGCTCCTCATCTCTCAGTGCCGATTTCATACCAGCCCATGCCAGCACACCGTCTCCAAGCTTCTTTTTCAATCGATTCCCAAACATCGCTAGCCCAGCTCCAAAACCACCCCCGTATCGATCATCTCCAGAGCGGCCCTCGGCCAATCAGCGCGCCCCATGCTGAGCACCGCTCGGCTTATTCGTGCCGTGCAAACCGCCAGCCCCCATGTCGTCGTGTCCCAGAAACCAACGGCCCTGGCGCGAAGGTCCCAATTGCCCAAAATGCCTCCAAGCATGGCTGACGCAGTTTGTTTCGGCTAGGCGCGAAGTGGTAGCATTTACGTAGCAATAGCGGATCCCGTACCTGTTTTATCGTGCATTTATTTACCGCCAGCTACGAATCAAGCAGCCATTCCGCGACAAGTGTGATGTACGTACAGCAAGTACTTTGCTGTAACAAAATGGCATGTTGGCGGCATTGAGGATCAACCTGCTGGGCTAGTTGGCATTAGTACTAGCAATAAGCTGATGCTGCGCCCCTGCGTGAGTCTGTGTGATGCTATTTGGGAGAAAAACAGGGCCGTTGGATTCACTCCCTCCCACGATGGGTTTGCTTTTTCCCAGTTATAAGAGACCCAGCAGACCCTCCACCCACTTGGCTTCTCTCTTCTTTTTTTTTCCTTCTTAATTTCATTCATCGCTAATAATAAAGCATTAAACAACGCTTTCGTTACTCTCTTCTTCATCTATATCCCAGAGTTGAACGCCATTCGCTTTCATACAAACCGCAATAATGTCTTCTCCCCAGCCCCAGATGGTCGCCCAGCAGATGACTACCGAGGCCCCGGCACGAGTTAGCTCCGAGCAGCCGGTACGTGTTTGCCAAGACATTGAGTTGATGACTGCATAATTGAAGCAACGTCCAAACAAGAAAATGAAACCGGAAAAAAAAAAAAAAAAAAAAAAAAAAAAAGACTTCATATGCATCATGGACAGGAATGAATGAATTTGTCTGCTAACGCTGGTTTCTTCTCATTGCTTTAGCGTCCCGTCCAGCCCATGAGCATGGACACCACTCCCAACATGCGCGGTGGTGAGGGCGAGAAGGGTGTAAGTCTCCCCAAGCTCTTCTTCAATCCTATACAAACAGACAAGACACCTCCTATACCTACATCCATCCACTACCTATATTCCCACAACACAACAAAATAACTGGCTGTTTCTGCTTTCTGACATATGCGCTTCCAGGCCATCTGCTGCGGTATCTGCGCCGGTCTCGCCTGCTTCGAGTGCTGCGAGTGCACTGAGGACTGCTGCGAATGCTGCTGCTAAGCGCCCATTCGAAATCGAGAAACGCGATTTGGTGGAGCGCAAAAGGGGGGAGAGGAGGGTTCAAATGAATGGTTAATAAACTGATGTGTGGGACATGAGAAAGAACTCGGGAGCTGTTCCTTTCTGGCCGCGGCTCGGCGCCGTTTTGGTCCATTTTTAATGATGTGATATCCCCCAAACTATTCAGCCTGAGGGAGAATAGAGCAAATACCCATAACATTTTACAATATCAAGAAATTACATCTTTTCGTTCACCTATTCCACATATCACAATTCTTTCTTTTTTTGGTTTTGCTTCTCATGTACTAGTATTTTTTTTCTTCATCTTCTTCTAAACCACAATCTCTGCTAGCTTCTTAACCACATCGTCATAGTATCTCACCGAGAGCCTCTCGGCCACTTCATCAGCCGTCTCATCGTCACCCGGCTCCAGCCCGAGCTCCCGCTCGCCCAGCAAGCACCGTCTCGCCGCCTCCTCAAATTTCTCTCCCATCTCGGCTCCCAGATCAGCAACCCGCTCAGTGGCGAGCAGATCGCTGCGCACCTGCCGAACCACGTCCGACTGGCCCTTGGCAAGCCTCATCTCAATGCCGAGCACCCCCTCCACGGGCTTCCAGTGCGCCAGCTCCACGAAGATGACGCCCAGGCTGTAGATGTCGAAGCTCTTCTTGGATCGCTCGCGGAGCTTGCCTTGGTTGGACTGCGCTCTCGGGTGGCGGTACAAGTCGTGCTCGGCGTCGAAGCCGGGGATTTCCGTCACTTCTTCTAAGCCGCCCGGGCGGGAGAAGTCGAAGCCTGAGAGGTAGACTTGGCTGTAGTCGACGTGGCCGGTCTTTGTCTTGAAGAACAAGATGTTGTGGCTGCGGAGGCCCTTGTGCAGCCAGTTGACCGCGTGGAGATAGAGCAGACAGTTGCTGAGGGCGTGCGCAAGCTTGATGCGGTCGGTGACTCTGGGCTTGCGTACCGTGGTGTCCAAGAGCAATTCTCGTAAAGACACCGGCGGCAGAGTGTCGTGCACATCTTGGCTGTCCGGCCGTTCGAATATCAGACCCAATCGCCGGTCCAAGATGTCGACGTCGTCTTCTGGGACGTCAGGATCTGCTTTGTCGAAGAAACCGATGCAGTGAGGCGTCCGGAAGGCTTCTGGCTTGGGCCTGTGGTGAAGTAGACAAGCCAGCTTTCGCACTCGATCGACAATTTCTGCTTTGGACAAGCAGCCTGTGTTACCCGCGTTATCGTAGTCTTTCCATTCAATCCACACCTTCTTCTTTCCTTCGGCAGTCTTCAAGATTGCCTCGCACCGCGGATCCTCAGATTCATCCGTGCTTGGGTCTAATTCTATGAGATACTTGGGAAGCTGGACAAGGCGTTGTTCTCCCGGCTTTACCAGCTCGAGAAAGCCCGCCACAGCATCATCTATCAGAGCTGGAGTATCCGACTTGGGGTCAATGGTTTCGTTGAAAGCCTTGAATTTTGCCAACCGTGAAAGTTGCTTCAGCTCAGCCACATTTGCTTCCCTCTCAACATTAGATAGTCGCGTCCGTGATGGCGCACCTGGAAGGTTCCTAATCTCTAGCTGATCCTTGAGCGCCAGCACAAGATGGCTGAGATCAGCAATCTTGTGGTGAAGCAACAAGACTCCCCGGTTTGTATCTTGCACGGTGTGGCGGATCTCAACCTGCAGCGAGTGATCCAGAATGTTCATCATGGTGTCGTTTAAGAGTGTAAACTTGGCGAGCAACTGCTCAAACCCCTCCTTGTCAAAGGACACCCACTTGAATCTCTTCAAGCCCTCCTGTGACTTTTGCTTGAGGTTCATCATGGCCTTTTTGATGAACTGTCGCTTCTTGTCCGATATAGGGAAGCTGGCCTGCTTAGCATCCAGCTCGGGAGAGACCAGGAACTCTCCATCGTCGCGAACAGGAGTCAGGTTGCTATGCTTGCCCTGATACGCAATAAATTCGTCAAACAGGCACTGAACCTGCACTAGCAGGTCCAAGACTGTCTGGCGGTGCAGGTTGAAGACGTTGGAGTTTAGTATGCGCTCCTGGTTCTCCGTATTCACATCCAGCAGGCCAGACGTCTCGCTCCAGGCAAAGAGGCGCTGCTGCTCCAGGCGCAGGCGCAGATTGAGGTGCTTACAGTCGTCCTCATACCCGAGAGCGGTTACAAGCAGCTGAATGCCTTAATTCCAGCATCAAAAGAAATCAAGTTAACAAGTTTGAACCACGAAGTGAACTACATAGGTAGGCCGTGACATGCCTTGGATACAGCCGGTATAGACTTGCAGGCCCAACGATGCAACGCCAAGAGCCAGACCCGCCGCTGACACCGGATCCATTCTAGATGTCTGAAAAAGCTTGGCAGCTCTTGTTGCCTCCTTTTTCTGCGATGCCGCCAAAGGAATCTTCCCCTGAATGGCGTGCCGCGCAGGGTGGCTTGTTGTTGGGCGACGGTGGTATTTGGAGGCTGCGCTACTCGGCACAGGATTACAACGATTACCATGACCATACGGATGTGTGTGCGAGGGGGGAAGGGCTGGCCTGGCTGCAGCTGGCCTGGGCTAACGAATCTGGCCTACGAGACGGGCTGGGTGGGGAGCATGGAGCGGGCGAGGACCGAATCGTGGACCGAACCGATAAATGGGGCGAGGAACAGAGGACGAGTGTCTCGAATATGAGCACATGCTGCTGGTGATGGTGGTGGTGATGAGACTGCGTGGATTATATGGTAATGGACCCTATAAACAGCATTGAAGAAATAGAGCATCGGTAGAAATGAAATACTGTAAGGACGGTAGAATAAGATTCAATTCTGAGAGCACAACTCATGCTGCTGCTGCTGCTACTGCTGCTGCTGCTGCGGGCGCGCTGTCTGGTCCATCTTGTCCATGGTTTACTTTAATATCTCCCCTATCAACCACTAGCTGGCATGCCAAGCCGCGATCTGGTTAAAGTAAAAGGCACAATTGATCAGTCATAAAAGGACTAATCAGCCAGAATTCAGCATGTTTCAAAACGTGAGATACGGGATTTTGGACAAAAGATGCCAGATATTGGGGGCCCGTTTCCTCTCTAGCCAGCTTCCCCTCTTTCTCTCCTTGGCCGTGGGTAGGGCATAAGGCTTAGCCGCCTGCTAGTACTGATACTACCATGCTCTCCTAGTTTACTACGACGGACGGACAAACCGTAGCTAGAGGACTAGCAACATGTGGCGTTGCGCTTCAAGCCTCGGCGTCTGAGTGTGTTGCATGGCTGAAATTGCACTGTGAGACGGTGACACTGGCGCTCGGGACGATACAGCACTGCCATTGGCCTATGGAACAGCGGCATCTCTGTATCTAGTTTCACGTACTGCATTAGTTTAGAGACACGGGCTGCTCAAATGATGGGCAATTGATTCGCCTTTCTCTGTCATTTTCTTTCTTTTCTTTTTTTTTTTCTCTTTCTCCCCTGTTCAATAGTTTTTGTGCTCCCTGCAGCTCGTCCCAGACCTACTTACATGGGTGTATGGATAGCCGCTGATAGATAGCCTAACATGCCTCATGGGGCAAATCGCAGATATCGGTGGATTTGATTGTGGCCTCCCACTTCCGCGACCCCGATAGCAGTCAAGTCAGTGCCAGTTACGGAGAAGAGTCTTAGCCCGAGAGCCGAGAGCACAGATGGTATGTGTGTAAATCCATACTATTCTGAGGCTTTGGTAGCTGCATGTAGTATGGACGAGCACAAGACTACCAATCTTCTCATAGCCCGTCTTTCATCTTGCCGTGTGCTCGACTCCACGGACTTGCCGGTAGCATAAAAGGCATCTTCTCCATATAGACATGTGTTTCAGCCGAATATAATTATAATATTGTAAAAAATCGGGCTCTCCCGGAGCTTGACGCCTACCGTCTTATCTCCGTCATTCAGTTGTAGATACTTGTACAGAACTGTGCTGCGTCTCCATGTGGAAAACATACATGTACTCTTCCGATCTGGCCCAACGGCTAACATCTGACAGGCTCGCTCAGCGTTCTCACGCACGCGGTTTCGATGCTGCGGAGAGGGCTCCGCGACGGCGTCCAACCAAAACAGGGCGGCGGCGCTGCATGGGGCTAGATCGCAGCCAAGAGGGCCAACTTGCGCACCTCTGGCGATTTAGCCTGGCCTTGTCTTACAATTGCCGGGTCGCATGTCATTCATGGCCCGGCGCTCGACTGGCAACAGGACCTGGATCGCGGGAGGTTTGGTCTCTGGGGGAAGCGCAGTTACAGTATAGAAGAAATTCATTGTAATGGAAACAAAAAGAGGCGAAATTGGCCCGGCGGGCGTGTTTGATAGGTAAGCAGCAATTACCATCTAGGCGATCCAACAGCACTTGAGCCGGCCGAGATTAGAGGCCAAACCACCAGATGCATCGCCCAACCTTGTTTTTAATGTCTCAGGTACATCTTACGCAATGCGCCCCAGTACCCTCTACCTGTGTCTCAGGCCGTCGGTTTTTTGTCTTTTCTTTTCTCCGTTTTCCTTTCTTTTGTCTCTTTTGCCTCCTTTCCTCTGATACATGCCTGTTGATTTTTGCCCAAGCGGTGAGAATCGACAGTGAAACAAACACCCATTTGCTCAGCTTTGGCTCAGAGTTCTAGGCAGAATCCTTCCACTCTGTCGTATGTATTATTGCCCACCAACCAACCGCAGCAATAGAGAGAAACAATCCTACAGCGCAGCCGCCAGTGCCACCCGTTGTCCCGTGTCCCGTGTCCCGCTGCATAGCCGCTTGTACCTGTTACTGCGGAGTTGCAGAGCCGGGAGTCCCTAGACTTAGCCGCAGCATCCTTTGCCCGTGCCGTTGAACCATAAGTTTCCCCACCCCAGCGAACCTCCTCCCCTGAGGCCGTTCAACCAGCCCGAGCACTATCTCGTTCTTATTTTCTACTTCTTCTCTTATCCGCCGCCAGCATCAAGACGAAGCAAGCAAAGGAAAGCTCCCAGCTCGTCCTGCGATCGCTATTTATCAACCATGATGGCGAATGGCCATAGCGTGCAGCAGCCACCTGCTGGTACCCTGTCGCCTCCTGATTCTTCGTCATCCGCATCTCAGTCGCCGATTTCCCCGACGCATGGAGTCCGGATGGCTCAAGCAGTCGCCGACGTGCCCGACACTGGCCTCGCCAGCAAGCCCGAAGACCCAGCCAAGGCCTCCGACATTAAAGAAGACGGCGACGGCCCCTCGCGCGAATCAGCCGTTTCTGCGGCCTGCTTGGCCTGCGTAAGTGGACGATCCTCCTTCATTTCTTCCTCGCCGACCTCGCTTGGAAACAGCATGACAGCTTCTACTTTTTTGCTCTTGTAACCCCCAGCAGCAACTGGCTGCGCATAGCTGCAGGGCTCCATTTCGATGCAGTCATGTAGTAATGCGTGGTGTCGAAAGAAAAACAAAGTATATGCGTCGGGGGGGTGTGCAATCGCTTCCAATCAAGAAACTCTGACTGGTCTCGATTGTGACTTTCACGAGCTGCTGCTGCCAAGTACAAAGGCAGAAACGAAAACCCATCATCAGCCAATTCTCCCCCCTGCATCTTTGCATAATGGACCAGAAATTTGCTAACTCAGGCTACTCGTTTCGGCTGCATAGCGGAGCAAACACCTCAAATGCGATGGCCAGTCCCCATGCTCGCGATGCGTTGGCTCCAACTTCGAATGTATCTACGTAGCTTCTCGACGCGGCTACAAGGGCCCTCGCCGAGGAACCGCTCAGAACCCAAACAAACGCCATGCCACATCTCCTCCGGACACAGACTCCATCAGCATCGCGCCGTCCGAGTGCCCCATGCTGCTGGGAGCCGGAGTCTCCAGCGCCATGTCGGTGCCCGTGCCCTCGAACCCAATGTCCATCCACGGCTTCAGCCCCAGCTTGATGCCCGAGGCGTCTCCAGCAGCATCTTACCAAGGCACCCCGGGCGTCTCGCAAGCTCAGTTGTACAGGTCATATTGTAGCATCAACGGCATTGAGCCGACCGGCCTGGTGACGGGTACCCACCTCCCTTTCCCCGCTCACTTTCCCATGCAGACCCTCCAGGAGAGGTGCATCGACTCCTTCTACCGTTACTTTCATGGATCACACCCTTTTGTGCTCCCCAAGGAGCACCTGCTCCCGCTTGCCACTGGGACGGCCCTTGACCCACTGATGGCGGTGATCCGATGGGTTGGATCGCTTTTCATCGATGTGGGCAAATCTAGGCCGGGTCTATACGATGACGCCATGCGTCTCCTAGACGATCTGAGCTTTCCTCAGGACGGATTCAAGGTCCAGGCTATGATGCTGTCCATTGTTGCCCTAGATGGTTGTTGTGAAAACACGAAAGCTGCCGAGCTGCTTGGCCGGACCGAGACACTGGCCCTCCAGATTGGTCTAAACAAGGGGCATTTTGCGTCTCTAAATGGCCGCGGCAACCCAGTGCTGGAGGAGAGTTGGCGGCGAACATGGTGGGATCTGTTCATCATTGACGGCATGGTTGCCGGTGTTCATCGAATGACCAATTTCTTGCTCTATGATGTCCCTACGGATGTCAACCTTCCATGTGAGGAGTCGCAATATTTCGCAGGGGTGAGTTTTTTTTATTCCGACTTTTTTTGCAGAAAGAGTAGCAAGTCATTTAACTAACGCTTTGTTTAGCACATTCCTCCACCCATGACCTTGGAAGAGCTGGAAGACCGAGACTTTTCTGGTGATGAGCGCCAATTCTCCTCCTTTGCATACAGAATTCTCTGTGGACGAAATCTGGGTAGATTTATGAGAACACCTCCCATCTATGGACCAGAGGATGAAAACCTAGCGCGCATTGAGACCCTCCTTACCAACTGGCGACTCCATTTGCCCGAGGATAAGAAGGACTCTTTACAAGCCAACGGCCAACTGGATGAAATGATGTTCCAGGCGCATATGATGATGTACGCTACGTCGATCCTGCTTCACCAACCTCATTCACAGCTGGACTCCTCGCCCGCTCAAAAAATCACGTCCTGCGCGCCATATCAGCTCGTTCCGGCCGGAGACCTCTTCAACAAGCACACAAAGCATACAATAGCATCAGCAAACGGCATCAGCAGGCTGATTACACACCGAGTGCCGCTACTTTCCCACACTCACTTCTTCACTTGCGTCATCACTCTCTCTTCCATTGTGCATCTCAACAAGTGGGCACTCTTCTTCATCCAACACGATGATGACGACCTGAGACAGCAGATTCGTCTCAATATCGGCGCCCTGAATGAGCTTTCCGCCGTATGGGGTGCTGCCGACAGAGCTCGAGGGCAGGTGAAGGGCGTTGCCCAGGAGATTTATCACATCAAAAAGGAGCAGCAGAAGAACCCGTCGTTCTGGCTTGGTTTCACTCAAGAAGACGTTATTAACAGCATTGCTGCTGATGAATCTATTATCAGCAACTTTGATAACATGACGCCACCTCATTTACTAGGGTAAGTTGAGGAGAGAGGGAGAGAGAAATATCACGTAGATATGATGGGCCATTTTTGGGTCAAAGGCATTAGTTGGAAGAATACCTACCTGGCAACTAAACCAAGTAGATCTGCATATGGGAAAATTCGAAAACTTTTACAATGGAAAAAGCGTTGAATAGGGCTCAAGAGCGTTGGTCGTCGAGGCGTCATTATAATGATGGCCTCTTTGTTTTGGGATATATTTTTGGGTATTTAGGACAAGTTTGTACATTAATGACCATGAATGACAATGTTATTTGGCTGTCTCTCTTTTTCAGTTTAGATTACATGGTGTTTTTTTCCTTTCCAAAATGCAGAGCATCTCGCCAGACGCGTAAATTGATAGTAGTGTTGGTATTTTAAGCTAAGATTATGCATAAACTGCTCAGTTTATAGTTTTCACATATCATCGCGGGAGTGACAGCTCGATCTCAACCCGCAGTCTTAGCACACGGGAAAATGACAGCTTTTGACTTTTAGAATCTAAAGATTAAACTCTATCATTTTACTCCATAATCTTTGCATAAGCAATCTCGTATTCTCAATAGCAGCGGGTGGCGAGTGAAGTTATACTTGGTATGTAGGGTAGACTCTGATGCACTAGCAAACAAACAACCGCGTACCTGTTGCCTGTATGTATAGCAACATGTACGAAGGAGGCACCGCAGTATGCATAGTACATATCAGCTGCTCCACAACCCAGGTGGCAAACGTAAGTATGTAGCTCTCCTGAATTTGAGATGCACCGAGTCGATCAATGAGCTGATTGTCAGACCGCCAATCGGACCCCTTTAGCAGACAGCCTTCGGGGAACGAAAGTCACCGCCGCTGCCGTCTTACGTGCTTGCCGCTTAGTTATCTGTGCTACGTAGAAATTGATACAGCAGCAATTAAGAAAGACAGACAGACAGAGAGAGAGAGAGACAGGGAGATAGGGAGATAGAGACAGAGAGAACATAGACGGCATAGGTGGTTCCAGAATGTTACCGCTTCTGATTGACGAGGGCTATTATTAGCTCGCCGCAAATGGCTTGAACCAAAAAGCAGGAACAGGCAAGGCGAGCTGAAGAGATGTGCTAGGTAGGTAATAGTATCACAAATCTACTTCTTTAAAAAGTAGCATTAGTCGAAGAGTGGACTCTCCCCCATGTCAACATTGGGAAAAAAAAAAAAGCCACGCGGTGTACGAAGTAGGGGTTTTGGGGACACCGTGGCGCCGTGCCATTGGATCGGCCTGCAGATTTCGAAATCCATGCGGCTAACATGTAGAAGTACAGTAATAGGTACCTAGTACCAGTAATGGTAGCAGTATGGAATTACAGCAGAGTCGGCAGTGCTGGAGTTCGTCCAAAACAACGTGGGATCTTGCAGCTGAACGCGCGGCTAAAAACAAAGAATCAATAAATGATGATGCGCATCTCAAGGCGAAGAGCTAAAACTTCACACCAGCCTCCCGCTGACACAAAAGTGGCTCCTCGTGTCGCTAGCTGCTGATGAGGCGGTGCAGTCACATGACTTGTATCCAATGGCAGCGCTGCAATTGCATTATCTAATACTGTTTTGCTCGCTCAGCTGTCTACAAAGGTACGTCCCGTCGCCCCGTGCAACGGGAAGCTGCGCCGATGTGGGGGTGGCCCTTGCTCCTGCCAGGCCTCGTATGGGTGGCTGGTCCCTTTAGCCAACGAGCTGCAGGTTGCTAAAATCGCATCAATTGAGACGTTTCTTGATCTTGCATCCTTTTTTGCGCGGGAGGCCGTTTCTGTTGTTTTTGCCTTTTTCTTGAAGCCTGGATTGCGACTTTGTGATGTGGTGTGGAGTCAGCTTGATTTGATTGACTTCCTCTCCCTCGTGCTCGCGATTCATAGTGGTCTTCCCGATTTCTCCCCCCACATTGGAGCGACTTACAGACATTCTTCATTCCCTTTCGCGGCGCCTGATCGCACGACACGGACATCTCGCGAAACGCCACGACGGAATACGATTGTTTTGGCTGGACGATAAGGCGCCCGGCGGAGGAGATCGCAGGCGCATCGCAGGGAGTCGGCTTCGTATAAATCGCGTCGCACTCTGCTTGGGTCAGGCCGCCAAAACTTGCCATTTACTTTTTCGTCGCCGCCGTCATGGCGCCGGCACCAGACCAACTCTCCTCGCCTGGTTCTGTGAGCTATGACTCGGATACCATGGTGGTGGGGGATGGAACGTGGGATTTCACCAAGAACACGTTCCTTCTCCCCAACTTGGAAGGGACTGATTTTGACACAATGAGATACAATGGTTAGAATAGAATAATAGTCTTGGACTGTCTCGGAGTCGCTTGTCTGACAATTTTGGCACAGGAATGGGAAATCGCTTCTCCACCGTCCACCAGTACCATACCATTATTCTGGCTCACGGCATTATGGCTGCCATGGTCTTTCTGTTCCTGGTACCCCTTTCGGTGATGCTTGCGAGGTTCTACACGAGAGAGCCGGCTCATGCGATTCGATACCATGCGCGGCTGCAAGTTTTCTCCGGCTTGCTTCTGGTAGCAGCCTTCATATTACCCTTCTTCGCTGTTGGGCCAAATCGATCCCTGTCAAACCCGCATCATGGAATTGGCGTTGCCATCTTCGTCATGTTCGCTGTCCAGCTCCTGGGGGGTCGGTTGATTCAGCATATCATGAAGAGTCGCTCCCTTCGCGTAACGCTTCATAAGTGGTTAGGCAGAGCTACAGCCCTCCTTGGAATTGTCCAGGTGCCTCTCGGACTTACTCTCTACGGATCGCCAAAGATCCTCTTTATTTTGTATGCTGTTTGGATGGGTTTCCTTCTCGCAGTTTACTTTGTCCTCAACTACCAGGCCGAGGGACATCACGAGCGATATATTCCAGCGGGACGCTCTGAAGCGGGCAACACTCGCATCACAGAATCTGAATACTATTCTGACCACAGGGAGAACGAACATTCTGCTCTGAAATGGCTGGGACCCCTAGCGGCTGGCGCAGGAATATTTGCTATGATGAGAGGACGCAAGAAGGAGCATGATGACGACCGCAGCCGAGCTCGCACACGATCGCCATCGATGAGTCGAACATCAATAACTCGAAGTCGTGGGCCAACGGTAATCTCATCACGACCAAGTTACTTCTCCGAAAAGTACTCTGATCTTCCGGCACAACGAAGCGGCGGCGGAGGCTTATTTAAGGCATTGGGTGGCGCGGCTGCTGCTTTTGGTGCTGGAAAGATATTCTCCAACTTTATGGACCGTCGCGACCGACGAGAGGAAGAGTATTCTGCTGTATCCACTGAGACCCCTCACCGCAACAGGTCTGTACGCGCCGCGACAGTAAGCGAATTCAACAGTGAGTATACTGATGATGTATCAACCCTTCCACCCTCGCGCGCTCCTGCTCCTACTCAGGCTGCTTCCGCCTATGAAGCTCGACGCTCATCTCCACGACGCTCCAACGTTCGCAGCAACATTTCGAGGGGAGATATGATGGATGAGTCCGAATACTCGTCCTACGTTTCTCCATCACGGCGACCACATGATGAGCCTTCTGGCGGCGGCGGTTTCGCCAAGGGCGTGCTTGCTACTTTGGGAGTCGGATGGTTTGCCAAGAAGTTTGCCGACAGACGTGCTCGAAAAGAAGAGGATCGACTGAGGGAGGAAGAGGAGATGCGGTCCGGCACTCAGTTCTCCAGGTACAGCAACACCGAATACCAATCTCCAATCCGAAGGGACTCTCGTCGTCCACCTCAAAGGCGCAGCACCGTGACAGGAACCGAGTATTCAGATGGAACGGAGTCCACGTTTGACACCCAGACTGAGCTTTCCACCATGCCGCCAAAGGGACCGCGGAATACGGCTGCTGGAGTACGACCCAGCACTTCTGCGTTAATACCTGATGAAATGTCGCCACCGAGGCGTGGTGAGCGTCTGTCCATGCCTAGCATGCCCAGTGACCCCCATGGTCTATTACACCGTTCCGAAGTTGATTCTGATGTGACTTCGCTTGCCGACCGACCTCAGGGGCGCCATCCCTCAAGACGGCAAATGGATAGCGAGAGAGCTGCGGCCGAAGCAGCTGCCCGTGCTAGTAGCTTGGCTGCCAGAGAACAGCGAGGACGCGTCGGATCAAGCCAGACGAGCGGGCCCGTAAGACCCCGCGATGACAAGGAACAAGTCAGACTGCGAAAGGTTACTGAGGAGGAGACTTTGGCACAGACGAGCCGGGGTCGAAGAAATTCGCAATCTAGTCTTTCGGCGCTCGAGTCTCCTACTAAGAATCGTCGGTACCGCAGGGATGACAGCAAGAGGAGGGCGGAATCGGCGGCTGAAAGCAGAGTCGAAAGCAGCAGAGTTGGCAGCAGCAGAGTCCAAGATGAAGCGAGCCGCCTAGGACCACTAAATCCGCCAAACCCATCGCTCGCCAAGGGCAGACGCGGTAGGGATTCAGGTTATAACTCAGGCCAGCCTCCTGCCCAGCAGTCGGGCCAGCCAAGCCAATCTGGTCCTTCATTCTTACAACCACCCGGCCAGCACTTACCAAATGCTTCAGTCACTAGTGTAGGCAGCCATGGTACTTGGAGTGGCATGAGTATGGACCCGAGCGAAGTCCCAACCGAGGTCCCAACCGCACCGCGTAACCCGCCACAGAGTACAGTGCATCAGCCGCCGCCAGCTGACGACAAGGGCAACGAGTCCGCTGCAGACAACAGAAGGCGACGACGAGCGGAGCGACGACGAGCCAGCGGCAGTCGCCCTTCCGGAACGGAGAACACGTACGATACCAGCACATACGATGAGAATGATATGTTCTAGAGAAGGAGAACTAGTATCTCGACGACAACTATTTCTCACTCATCTAGGGTGATGTGATATGGCAAAAGTAGCGCATATGCTTCCGTTAATTTAAAAACATACCCGTTGATGCTTGCGTATATATACCAGACTGAGGTGGCACATGTTTGGCGATTTCTTTTCTTTTCTTTGGGGGGATGCTGCATATATATGTGCAATGAGTCGTAGGATACCTTTCCTTATCTTATTCAAAAGGCGTTTGGGATGGCATTCTAAAGAACTCTGCATTTTGCTGCATTTGATTGGTAATGTGTGTTATTCTTTTCTTTTCTCCTCTTTCCTTTTGTTACACTTTTCTCTGAACAGATGATGAATGGGATGGACAGGATGGGAACGCCTGAGATGAATGGGAATTCTTCTTCTTTTTTTTTTTTCCCCAAGATTGATGGATGGATGATTGGGCTAGAGACGAGGCAAATTTCCGTATATGAATGTATATTTAGATGAAAATACAGACGAATGGGTGGAAGAGGGAAAGATGGAGGTTTTGGTGGGAGGGAGGATTTATGTTATTTATTGATACTATGCACGCTACGAATGAAACACGCCTTTTATTTTAGCTTACTTTATCTTGCTTTTATTTTTTATTTTTATTTTTTTATTATTTTTACTTTTTGCTCTTTGTCGTTTCCAGCTACCGTAGGCGCCAATCTGATTATGATATAGGCATCTTTCTCTGCCTTGCCCGCTGTCAAATAGCTTGGCGGACTGCTCTAATAGCGTGATATGGCGCATCATAGTCACGCAGCTGCCGGTAAAAGCTAGGCTCGGGTCTTCAAATATCCATTGCGCAAGACGTCATCTCGCGGCATGTCAAATTTCAATCCAATCCCGGCTGCAACAGTCCAGTCCAATCCAATTGTCACCGCCTTCTCTCGTTCTTCCACGGAGGTTGCGAGGCAATTGATAGCGCCGGCCACTGCCGGAATCTCTGGAAGCTTAAAATGTCTCAGGGCCTTGCAGAAGAATTCAACCACTCACCTCTCCTCTTCGTCGAGCTCCACAGCAGCTCTCAGCCAACCCGCTTTGCGCTAGGCAGCTTAATGTGGCTCTGCTGAACACCGTAGCTCGACCTAAAGGCCGTCTCGGCGGCTTCATTTTTTCTGCTTCTCCTGATATTCAAGCATTCTTGATCTGTATATTTCTATCGTCTCTCCTTTTTCTAATTGTGTCTCTCCCGCCACTCCCCACCTCTCTGCTCTTCTTTACAGCCAATTGAACAAGTTGCCCCGAGGAGGCCAATGGCCTGCGTCTTGACTGCGGCTCGCAGATAATCAACCAGCCATGCCTCCGCGCAGCTCCAAGGCCGCGGACGGCCTCGACTTCAAGGCCATTTCAAAGCAATTCGCCAAGGCCAAGGCCGCCCGGGAGGCCAGGGAAGCGCAAGAGGCCGAGGCCGTGGCCAAGGGCCTGCCCACCGAGAAGGAACAGACTGCCATCCTCGAGGCGCAGCGCGACAAGCTCAACAAGAAGAGACAAAGGGCGTACGAGAGACGGTGGTGGTGGACGACCGGCTTCTGGACGTTTCTGCTCGCCGTCCATGCCGTGGGCCTCTGGCTCTTCTCCAGCGGCTTCCTGCTGACGAGGCTGGTGCTGGAGGACAAGTCCAGCTGTGCCGCGCCGCCGGTCGAGGGCCTGGCAGCCAGTCAGGCCGCGCTGGATGTGCAAAAGGGGTGCTGGCATCCGAAGCAGTTTGACCGCGCTGTCGTGATTCTGATTGACGCCCTCCGCTACGACTTTACCATTCCCGAGGATCCGGCCGCGGCGCACGCGTTCCACAACTCGCTGCCCTTCCTGTACGATACGGCCGTCAAGACGCCCCAGAATGCCTTCTTGCGGCCCTTTATTGCCGACCCGCCGACGACGACGCTCCAGAGGCTGAAGGGCTTGACGACGGGGACGCTGCCGACGTTTATCGACGCGGGCAGCAACTTTGCCGGAACTGCCATTGACGAGGACAATTTGCTGATGCAGCTGAGGGACTCGGGGAAAAAGATTGCCCATCTGGGAGACGACACCTGGTGGTCTCTGTTCCCGGGTCACTTTGAGCCCAACATCAGCAAGCCCTATGACAGCTTCAATGTCTGGGATCTGCACACGGTCGATAACGGAGTCATTGACAACATCTTTCCGCTTTTGGAGTCATCCAAGGATGGACAGTGGGATCTCCTTATTGGCCACTGCTTGGGCGTCGACCATGCTGGACACCGCTATGGTCCCGATCACTCTGCCATGACTGCCAAGCTGCTGCAGATGAATGAGTTTATTGCCAAGGTTGCAGGATCCATTGACGACGACACCCTTCTCATTGTCATGGGTGACCACGGCATGGACGGAAAAGGTGACCACGGCGGTGAGAGCGACGATGAGGTTGAGGCTGCTCTGTGGATGTATTCCAAGCGACCCTTTTTCGGCAGAACATCGTCCGAGTTTGCCATTCCACCGGCTACTGCCAAGATTCGCCCTGTCAACCAGATTGATCTTGTGCCAACCCTTGCGCTGCTCCTGGGCATCCCCATCCCATACAACAACCTCGGAAAGCCAATTGAGGAGGCCTTTGCGGGCCAAAAGGGCAACAACTGGGCGAACCTTGCTGCTGTTTCGCGATTGGCATCTGCTGGTATCGAGAGATACCGACAGTCGTACTTCAAGGCCCGTGGTATTCATCAGACAACCGAGCCGGGCTCTCCCGCTGCTCTCTGGGAATTGGCTAACGCTGCCGGATTGAAGGACAAGGACGCCTATGATGCCTTTACCAAGTTTGAGGATGAGGCTCTCCAGGTCTACAAGGGCCTGTGGGCTCGATTCGATGTTCCTAGAATGGTGGCTGGTGTCTTCGTTACTGCCGTTGGCCTTGTGATGCTTGTCATGTACGCATCGAAACCCGCAGACGAGGAATTCGTAGTGGCCAACGATGCCGAACTCGATTATGCCGAGAGGAGGTTGGAGCTTATGAATTTGAACCAAGAAGACAAGGAAGAACACCCAGACCAGGGTTACCACCGGAGGCTTTTGGGTGGATTGGCGGATGCTCGAGTGCTCTTTGTTGTGGGGGTTTTGGTCGCCGTGGGGGTGTACCGTGAGCAGCCATTGGATGGCCTTGCAGCTCTGGTTGTAACGTTGTTGATCACGGGTGTCATCTCATCGCTGTCTACTGCCGGCAAGACACTGGCCAACATTCTCCCCAAGACGTTCTGGGGCTGGCTGTCCGTTATCCTCACCCTCAGCCACTCCATCGGGTTTGCGTCCAACTCATACACCATCTGGGAAGACTCGATCCTCTTGTTCTTCATTGCAACCTTTGGTGTGGCTGTGTTGATCTCCTCGTTCCGCATCGAGTCCAAGATTGACCGCACAATGGCCATCTACCACACAATCACGTTCATCGTCATTGGACGTCTTGCGTCGTACTCCAAGCTTTGCCGCGAGGAGCAGATGCCCTACTGCACTTCGACTTACTACTCGTCTGTCACGTCCTCTACGTCTGCGCCCTGGCAGCTTGTCATCCCCTTTGCTGTCTTCATCATCCTGCCGGATGTTATCAAGGCCTTCCTCCTACCTTCGAAATCGTATGAGAGCTTAGCACCTACGTGGATTGGATACGCTTTCCGCGGTAGTCTATTCCTGTCTGCTTTATACTGGACTATTGATTCTGCCAACAACGGCGGATGGCTTGCCGAGCGCTTCTCCGAGAGCACTCTCAAATCAACCGGGGTTTACTTGGCCCAGACTATTTTGGCGCTCTCCCTCATTGTTGGGTCAACGTCGTTTGCCTGGGCTCCGCCAAACATCTCCATTCTGTCGACACAAGCCAAGACTGGACAGCTTGTCACGATTCTCGGATACGGCAACGCCATGGGGGCGCGATACCTCTACCTACCGCTCAACCTACTCGCTGCGTGCATCCTCCTCACGAAGCCTATGGGCTCGGGAGCCTTGGCCCTCATGATGTGGCAGATCCTCTGCCTGGTTGAGATCATCGACCTCAACCAGCTGAAATCCGAGGCCATCGGCCCCGTCATGCTCGCAGTCCTGGGCAACTTCTACTTCTTCAAGACCGGCCACCAGGCAGTCCTCTCCAGCATCCAGTGGGACAGCGCCTTCATCCCCCTCTTCTCCATCCGCTACCCCTGGTCCCCTCTCGCCGTCGGCCTCAACACCTTTGCAGGCCAAATCATCGCCGCAGCCTCCGTGCCCCTCGTCGTGCTCTGGAAGGTCGGCCCTAAACAGCGCGGCGTGCTCGAGAAGTCGGCCCGCGCGCTGGCCGTCTTCATTGCGTACTTTGCCGTCGAGGCCCTCGCCACGATGAGCTGGGCCGGCTGGCTGAGGAGACATCTCATGCTGTATCGGGTGTTTTGCCCGCGCTTCATGCTGGCGGCGCTGTTGCTGCTGGCCATGGACTTGGTGGGCGTTTTGGTGTCGTTGGTGGGCGTGAGGACGAACACCATGGCTGTTTGCGAGGTGTTTGGGTGGGTGGAGTAGAGATGAAGAAGGAAAAAGATGAATCGCTACTACTACTATAGTGCTATTTAATAAATATATGTGTCTCAGTAAAGGGAGGAGGGAAAAGGGGGAAATTTAGTTATTAATTGATGTGTGGAGGTTTGGATATATGGAGGGTAAAAGACAAAAAGTTTGAGCATGTGTCAATATGTTGATCAGGGTAGATAAAATAATCAAAACATTTAAAAATCAGTACAATTCAAAACCAAAAGCGTCACTTTAGCGAAACCAAATCAAACAATAAAAATCTTTGGCCTGAAAAATTACTGCATTGTAAGAATGTTATATGATATAGCTAAAGTACAATAAAAAAAAATAGAAAAAAGCGAGAGAAGGAAGAAAGGAAGAGACGGAAAAACCCCCATCCACCACAAATAGTAGTCCTTTCTGAATAAAAAGCAAGAAAAAAGAAATAAAAAAAAAAAGAAATTAATTAGTCAGGCCGCAGCACTCTCCCGGGATATCGTACAACATGTGAGCTTGTACGGAGTTTATCACCTCACGCACATATATAGGTATATGCTCTTTCTTTCCTCTTTTCGTAGGGAATCCATCCATTAGACGTAGCATTGATATATATATAATAAAGGAAATAAGGATAAAAGGAAATTGGAATTCGCATAGAGGGCGAGAAAATTTGAAGACACAAGGAGAAGAAGAAAAAAAAAAAAGTCAGCAACTCTCTTGCTATGAAGCAGCTGGCTCGGAAGATCCTCCATCTTTCGGCTTATCCCCTTCTTTGTCTTTACTCTGCTCTTTTGGTCTTGAGGCAAGCGATGTTGAAGAAGCAGGTTTCTTGGCTGACGAGGAAAGTGTAGAGGTCCTTGTTGATGACGAAGAGCGGGTTGTTGAAGTGATAGTTGGTTTTCTTGTTACTGAAGGTGAGGACGGGGCAGCAGTAGATGAAGACACCTTTCTTGTTGTCGAAGTAGATCTTGCCGCGGAGGGGGTTCGCGTTGTTGAGGTCGACCTTGTAGTGGGTGTTCTTGTGGTTGACGTTGACCGCGCTACTGAAGGTGTTCTAGTTGTTGACGTTGATCTTGTAGTGGGCGTTCTTGTTGTCGAAGTTGACCTCGCTGCTGTAGTTGACCTTGTTGTTGACGTGGATCTCGCCGTTGAAGTGGTTCTTGTTGTCGAAGTAGATCTTGCTGTTGAGGGAGTTCTGGTTGTTGAAGTTGATCTTGCTGCAGAGGGAGTCCTCGTCGTCGAGGTTGATCTCGCCGTTGACGAAGATCTCACTGTTGACGCGGATCTCGCTGCCGAAGAAGAAGTAGATTTTGTTGCTGAAGAAGAGGCGGAAACCTTTCTGACGGATGGTGAAGAGGATAAGGAAGAGGAGGCGGCGGGCTTCTTGGCCGAAGATGGAGATGCAGCGGGCTTTCTTGTTGACGAAGCTAGAGCTGACGCTTTGGCTTGAGGCTTCGTCTTTTCTTTACCCTGGTCTCGCGCTTTGTTCTCTTTAGAAGCAGGAGAAGGCGAAGAATCTTTATTTTTGCTCTTCTCATCCCTGGTCGACTTCTTAGCATTTTCGTCCGATTTGGCGGACGCGTCTGGGGCGGGTTCCGGGGCGGGTTGTGAAGCAGTGACGCTTCCCTCTTCAGATATATGCTCACCCTTCTCGTTTGTCTGTTCCTCCACTTCCTCTGGCTCTGCCTTCTTCTTCTCATCGGCATAGTCGGTATCGTTATCATTACTGTGGTTGTTTTCGGCATCTTCTTCGTCCTCTTCCTTGACCTTTTCGAGTTCTTCGCGTGCCTCGTGCTCAGACACTTCATCTTGATCCTCAGCTCCTACTTCCGCCTCCTTTGTGTCAGGCTCAACCTCCTTGGCTTTTTCTCCCTCAATCTTATCCTCAGCCTTCTTGTCCTCAATCTCAGGCTTCTTAGCCTTGTCTTCCTTGACCTCTGCTTCGTCTTTGCTAGGGGGCTCCTCTTTGGCTTGCTCCTCCTCTTTCTCAGCCCCTTCTTTTTTCTCAACCCCTGGTTTTACAGTCTCCTCTGCCTTGGTCTCCTCTGCCTTGGGTTCTTCAACCTTGGGCTCTTCAACCTTGGGCTCTTCAACCTTGGGCTCTTCAACCTTGGGCTCTTCAACCTTGGGCTCTTCGACTTTGGGCTCTTCGACTTTGGGCTCTTCGACTTTGGCTGGTTCCTCTTTCTTCTCAGCCTCTGGTTCTTTAGTCTCTTCAGCCTTGGTCTCTTCAACCACCATGGCTGATTCCTCTTGCTTCTCAGCTTCTGGCTCTGTAGTCTCTACCTTGGTCTCATCAACCTTGGGCTCCTCGATTTTAGTCTCCTCTACTTTGGTATCTTCGGCCTTGATTGGCTCCTCTTTCTTTTCAGCCTCTGGTTCTTTAGTCTCCTCTACCTTGGTCTCTTCGACCTTGGCTGATTCCTCTGCTGGCTCCTTGATCTCTTCGCTCGCTTCTGGCTTCTCCTCCTTTGCCTCTTCTTTCGACTCCTCTGCCTTCTTTCCGTGCACCTTCTCCCGAAGAGCGTTCAGGCGAAGCTCCTTAGCCTTTGCCGCGGCTTCATCGGCGACAGATCGCACAGTATCAACGCTAGCCCTCGGGGTTGAACCAACCTTGGGCTCGGGGACTGGTCCAGGGGGAGGGGGAGGCGCAGCGGCAGCTGTATCAGCAGCAGCCTTGGATTCGCTGGCAGCCGCAGCGGCGGCCTTGGCAACCGCAGACTTCTTGACTGTCTTCTTCTTCTTGACCGGCTCTGGGTATTTGTGCGCGATATCGGGAATCGTGCTTTCGTCATAGTAAATCTTGACGTGCTGCTTCAGCTCGCCATACTCGTTCCACTCTTCGATCTCCACGATATCCTATAGTCTCGCGGTTAGATACAACAGCTGCAAAAGCACGACAAGGCAAAAGCAGAGGCAGAGAAATAATGCCGCCTACCCCTAAAACCAGCCCCTCCTGCACCAGCGCTGGGAACTTCCTCGCTCTGCCGTTCTCATCTTTGCCGGCACGGCGGCCCCAGAGCATGCGCGCCTTTTCATCGGTGGCGATATCGATGGCCTTGAACGGGACGCGGTTGGCGCGCAGGATCGTTTCGAGTCGCGATGTCGCGGTGACGATGTGTGAGGAGCCCGCAGTCAGGGAGGTGTAGATGTACAGCGCGGGATCGGTCGAGTAGGACGCCATGATGCATGTGCTCAGCAAAAACAGGCACGCAAACGCTGAAAGGAAAAAGCGGCTACAGAGACGTTAAGCGAAGGAATGGTTGATTCAGAGTACAGATGCAGGCAGAGGGGTTGATGCTGATGCTGGTACAAGATGCATCAGCCGTTACGATGGGACAGACAGAGCACTGGCAGGATGGCTGTGGAGCATCACAGGAGAAGCTACAGTTGCAGTCGCAAGCTTGTGGGGGCGGGGTTCTGCCATGGTTCTAGTACTGCAGCCGCCGCCGCTGGATCGAGAGCGCTGTGGCGGGCAAAAAGGGGTCGATTCCAGCGGGAAACTGTGATGGACAGCGCTAAACCGGGCCGTAATTTGCCCTGCAAGGGACCTGTAAATTGCAGCTTCGTTTTGGGCCTCGGACTGGGCGCGTCTGGCACCATCACCATGTCGAACTTTTGGTGCCATGACCTATTTGGACATGTCTTTCCAAGGCTGGTTTCTTTTTTCTTCGTATTCAATTATTATGATTATTGTTTTCAGCTGTGTTGGGAGCAAGCTAGTGCAGCGCGCAGTTGAAAGAGGGTTAATGAAGGCATCGGGGTTGAAACAGAACGAAACAATAGTTGGCGACTAACAAGAAGCTACCTAACAGTAAAACAACCACCTTGAAGCATTGCTGCGGAGTAATTGCGGCTGATAGAGCAGATAAACACGCCGCCTTGCATCAGAAGAGAAACAAGAAACAACACAGCATAGTCGTCGGTTTCCTCTTGCTTATAGCAGAACTGAACTACATACTGTACTTCTGCCACTGCTTCCGTCTCTGGTAAAAGAGCAGCGCTTCTATTTATGGCATGCTGCTGCTATTAATACTACCTACTGCTGCTGAATCTGCCGCTACTGTAGGTTCCTTAGGCCTAGCCTAGCACCGCGAGTAATGCTGCCGAAGCAAAGATACAATGGCCTTAGTAATCCGTGCCTGAGGCTTTAATGGAAATAAACTTGGACAAAACACACCGCTTTGAGGCCTGAAAATTATGGAGCACCGCAGACATCGCGCGCCGCCACCACAAGCTTGCCATGCAGGGCCTCCACCAAACGAAAATTTCTCAATCGGGTGGCGTCTTGAGCCCAAAGCTCCTGTGCCTTGGCAGAAGCTCGACAGGTCCGAGTCAGCCACCCAAGTTCGTTGAGTCAGCCTCGTGTTGGCCGCTCTCCGCAGAGACTAACCGTCCAACACAGTATCAACAAGGCTCGTCGACCGTCTTACAACACGGCCTCAGCGGGCGGGGGAGCAAATTCTAATTGCCTGTGGGGGACGAACGGCCTGGAAACCCTCAATTTCAATCTGTCCGCGGTCTGGCCTCGTCTTTGGCGCCGCCGTTGTTTGGTTCGAGGCGCGCGCAAAGGGCTGAGGCCAGGGGTCGGCAAACCTAAAGATTAGGGGTCGAAATGAGGTCGCCCTTAATTCCCTGCATAGGTTCGGGGCGACGTGAGCCTGAAACGCGCAAACGACGTCCCTGGCCACGGCTGCTAGCCCAAAGCCAATTTCGTGAGAGCAGAGGGCAAGGCCCAGGCGGATGAGGGATTATGTGCGACAGCAGCATACACGCACACTGTGTCGAGCTTCAAGGATTGGGCTCCAATGGGAGAAAAGCCTCAAATGAGGGCGAAGAAGAAGAAAAAAAAACTTTTCTCTGCGCCCTGCTCGGAGTAATACTCTCAAAATAGCTGCTGAGGTTGCATCAGTCCAGCGCTGCGAAAGAAGCATATCGAGCTCAGCACATGGCCAATCCCGGCTCGCGGATGTCAGAATAGCCCAGCGGAAAGGAGGGTCAATGGATCTAGGATGCGCTTCCGGAGGCCATTTATGCAAGGTACCGCCAGATGGCCAGTGAGATGCTGGCTCACGGTCCACCATCGGGTCTTTGATTCTTGGCCGTGTCCAATCACAGCATGTGCCTGAATGCGCCAGCCCGCCAGCTCACTGAGCAAAATCCACATGCCGCTCAATGGTCTGCGCCATCCCAGGCACACCGGTCGCGCCCAGGCTCCGTTGGATCCATTGGCTTCCTACGTGGCCGCTGCCTGGTGGAACTGTCAGAGATTTCCAGCCTGCAGACAATCAAGACAAAAGGGAATCAGGCCCCCTCCCGCTCTCTTGGCGATTTTCTCTTTCCCTTCTCATCACTCACCACACTCTCTTTAAATCCAACTACAAGCTGTCTTGACGACACTGCTTCAAGCAAACCCACCCTCTCTTACCAACCAATTTACGCGTATCAGCCCGGTGCTCTTTTGCCCAACGCCTTCTTTCAGTAATCAATTTTACGAATCAAATCCTCAAACCGCCAAAATGCAGTTCTCTACTCTCTTCACTCTTGCCGCCGGCGCTGCCGTTGCCGTTGCTCAGAGCACCTCCACTCTGACTTCCACGACAACCTCAACCATGACCGTCACTCAGTGCCCTGAGACTGTCACGAACTGCCCTTACCGCACTCCTACCGCTCCTGCGACCACCAGCGAGGCTGTTACCACCTCTGCTGCTCCCACCACCTCGGCCGTTGAGACCACTGTTGCCCCGACTTCCACCCACTACCCCATCTGGACTGTCTCCAACAGCACCTCTGCCACTGCCGCTGGCACCAACCCCGTCGGCACCGCTGCTCCTACCACCATTGTCAGCGTTCCCGTTGGCACTGGCTCTGGCTCTCTGCCCACCGGCCCCTCTGGTGCTGGTGCTCCTCCTGCTGGCACTACCTCTCCCACCGTTCCCACCAGCGGCGCCGCCAAGATGGTCCAGTCCGGCTCCATCGTTGCCGCCGTGGCTGCTGCCTTTGCCCTGGTCTTCTAAGCTCGCAGCTTGCTTTTCTACTCGGAGCTCAAAAGCTCCACAATTTTTAAATATTCTATTCTGTCACTCGTTATCTTACAAAAGAAATTTATTCTATGGGGAAGGACGTTTGGTGTCTTTTTTTAAATTGGCGGATACAAGGTGAATAGATTACGATTAAGTTGGGTCGATACCCGGTGTTTTTTGGACTTCACTTCTACGCTCTGGATGAGCGGGCTGGTGCTTCTTGACGAACAGTTGTCGAAGCACCAGATGGGCGCATGAATGCAGCAAGGCCTTTTTGGTGGCCTGACTGCGACGAACGCTTTTTTTTTTCTTTTGGGATCGGCCTTGGCCGGGCCGTCTTTTTGGGACGAGACATGAACAAAAAGCATTTTGATACCTTTGCATTTCAATATAAATCCCACATGTCATGATAACCTTGTGCTACTGTTGTCAAATCGTAAAAGTGATTAGGTTAAACTGTAATTGTAGAAGGTGACAGCCATAAGCTAGCGTTGTATGCATTCTCCCTTCTTGGGTTCTACCTCCTTAAAGAGGATAGGAGGCATGTGAAAGTTTTAGTCGGTTTGATTGCTTATTACATGGTAAACTAATGCGGCATGGTGTTTCTTGTAGCGATTGCGAAACCTGCTAAGATATTGTACCCGAGGTAACAAAACACCACGCCATCTCTAGTGTCCATCACTTCCACCAATATATTGCTATATAATAGGCATCAGTTCATAAGAGAGCTCAACGTAAATTAAACCGAGATTAAGCACTCCAAACGAAAAAGGACAAGTTTCCTTTCCTCACCCCAAGGAGGACATTTAGACTTTGAAAGGGGAAGGGGAGTGGGGAGAAAAGTGCAGCCGGCTATACCGACCACTCAAAATGTTGCTTCTGTATTTTTTTTTTTTATAATATATAAACGGCCGCCAAAGGCGACAGTTATCTCACCCCCTTTTAGATAATGATTTTAGATTTTTTTTTTTTTTTTGCCCCTTCATCCGCTTTTGCCGTTTTTACCGTTTTTAACCCATTCTAGTACTATTCATTGTGGGTGGCCCTCTTTAAAATCCGACGGTTGTTACTTTTCTCACCACCGTTGAATATTAAATACATTAAATAATCCCAAAACGAAATTCATGCAAGGAATGAGCACAGAAGAAAAAAAAAAGAGGGGACTTGAATTTTGACAGCCTGGGAACTTCTCCAAAGAATACAGGGGGAGGGGCTTAGACGAAATTTCCTCCCCCATATTGTTTGCTACTGCAAGTATGAACTTAAACTACACTACTCCGCTTTCCATAAGTGAAAAAAACATTTTCCATACAGGGGATTATCCTTTCGCCGTTGCCTATGGCTCGAAGATTCCTGGTAAGAGCATGGCAATTTCAAAATCACTTCACTGTGAAGAAAAGCTAGCATGAGTCAGTTGGTAAGGGATCCATAGAGATACGAGTGATTCAACGCACACGTGGGGTTCTAGGCACGTTAATATTGATATGACTCTCTTAAGTATGACACGAAAACAAAAGCGATGCTGCATTACCAAGATGTCTCGGTATAGGGGCTTTAAATCAACAAGTAAGGGAGTGGGACACAGTCAAGGAGCCCATCTGTATAAACAGAATATCATTATCATGAACTATTCTATAGCAATCAATCTGTATCTATATATTACACCATCAAATAAAATTCATTTCCCACGCAACACAAAAAGCTAGGTTAAAAGAGAAAGAAAAAAACGCTACCGGCCGTTTCGTCATTACTCCCCTTGCTCGCGTCTGGCAATGGGGCTGAAGTCTTCCAACCTGTCCTGTATTTGTGGCCTCGTAATTGAGAATCGCAGACGAAGAAAAGGCATGAAGTAAAAGAAAATATAAGGGGGTCCGTCTGGTTCTGTATCCATCGTAATTGCATCGTATCCCCTTCATCGTATGCCCCTCAATAGGTACCCGAATTCCTCCACTATGTGCCTTTTGCAAGGCGCACGCAAGTCTAAAAATTGCGTCAAGACCTTTAGTACATCTAAGATATCCATATATTCCAACTAAAAGAAAAACCAGCAAGTAAAGAGAGAAAGAAGGAATGAACGAAAGAAGGAGAAAGGCTTGAGTAAGAGACCGGGGCCAGAGAGAGTATGCCAGCGGAGGTGCTAATAGAAGGCAGGAAAAAGCATAGGTAATCCACTGGCTGGGATTTACATCTTCCCCAGATGTTGTCGTAAATCACCCCTCTTTGCCCGTGGAGCGCTCCTCACGCCGTATTCCTCTGAGTTCATGCACCCATGCGTGTTTTTTTAGACAGGCCTTGGCAGAGGGGTCCCCAAGGTGGACATAATCAAGTCGGGTTTGTGGTCCAGCGCATGTCTCGGCAGCGATTTAATGGTCTTCGGGATTAACCGTTTTGCTTCCTTTCATGTCAGTCCCACTAGGGCCCGCTCAATGGCCCTCCATACTAACAGACAATTCTGTTACACATGCACAGCCACGAGAAAGCTTCTCTCCCTCGCTCTGCCATGTCGTAATGAGAACTTTGCCGGTAAGAGGGCCACCGTTAACACCACATTAGGAACATGGCTGGCCGTTGGCGACGGCGTAGGCGCACGCCGTGCAGAGGGAGCCGTTGGAGTCAGCAAGAAACGGGCAACCATGCGTCACGGCATGAGCGCATTTCTTATTCGACAAGGACAGGATGCCGGGGGGGAGTGTCCCATAGTCATAGGATATACGAGCATCCCCTTCTATTGGCCCGTGTGATGACAGAGGCGAAGTTGGTGGTATGACTTGATGTAGGTGTGTCTCGGAGAAGATTTTCATCTTGATAAAAAAAAAGAAAAAAAGAAAAAGAAAAAAAAAAAGAATATGATATGATAGGTCTTTGGTTTTTAGCTGGCTCGCAAATTCGCCTTTCTAGTTCCAAAAGATTATAGCAGCCTGCGTAGGGAGTACACAGAAGAGATGTTTTGAACAATTAAGTAGATGGGGAACGTTTCAGAAGATGCTTAGAAGATTGTTTGTGGGGGCAAAAGAACAAAACAGAAGCATCCAATGGGCTAGCAGCACATATAGCGAGAGACGTGTTGGCGGCTTTGTCTGGGAGAACTTGGGATTTGACTGGCTTTATTAAAGTTTTCAAAAGGAATACAGAACAACCAGTGGCCCTTAATAACGACAAATGGGAATCTGAAAGACAGGGTATGTAGACGGAAAGGTTGTAGGCAGGGCACATGAGCACATGCCGGGGCGCTTGTATGAACGATAGACAGCATGTCTGTTTACGTATGCTAATAACAGTAGCTCTTACGGAGCACAGCAATCTGTCCAGCTCCACTTGCAGGAAGTAGCAGTAGGGCTGAAAACATAAGAGGCCCCCCCGAAGCAAGTGACCAGGAGCATGACTAGGAGCAGGGCTTAGAGTGGATTGGGAGTGCGATAGGTGAGAGGAGTGTAATGAAGCAATGAGAAAAGAAGAGAGTGATGGAACTCGATGTCTAATCCATGCTGGCTTCGGTATAGTGAGCACCGGTGTAGACAACCGGGTCCCTGGTAACTGTATCTCTGTGTGGCGCGGCGTGTGGGTATGGCTGTGTGTGTGTGTGTGTGTGTGTGTGTGTGTGTGTGTGTGTAGGTGTATGTGAGAGGAATGAATCAGCGCGAGAGAGCGAGCGAGAACAGACGAGCGCAATCGAGGCCGAGAGAGGCAAAAAAAGTAGTGTGATGTGAGCATGGGAGATTCTCGGAATCACACGCCCCTCCATTATGGCGTCTTTTCGGGGTTGAGTCCACGCCTCTGTGACGTACCGCCTGGCCTTTGAAACCACTTGGTAAATGGGAAATTAGGAATATAGATGCCTGGAGGGAGACGCGGATCCGGGTCTGTGGTTGATTATGCTGGGGTAGGAGGATTATTCCGAGCTAGAGACAGGGTTGGCAACAGCCCTTTTGATAAGGGTGCTCAGCTCAAAACGCTGTTGCCAAATGCGTATATCAAGAGGTATCAGTGCATATTGCACATACATTGGGTGATGCTCGTGATGTGACAAAAGGGGATCTAGTCACCACCCCTCCTTGTGCTCCCCTCTTTTCGGGAGGCCCCTTTGTGTCTGGCGCTCGATAAAGACACACTCTCTCACTTGGGCGCCTTTTAGATGCCCCTCGATTTCTGACAGACGGCGGCACGTCTGGCCAAAGCAGGTCCTGTAGACTAGCTGCATATACGTCCGCCACTCATAGACCGAGATGGTTGACGGTGTGGCGCCGTGGTGAGTACAAGAAGCTTTACACATTGGGTCACGTTCGTAGGAGGAACTTGTCATCAATGCCAAAATCCTTAGATTTCATAGCCACAAAGCGATCCCGAGCTAATCAGCAAGGACGCATGAAGCAAATCGCCTCACCGGGCTGGCCAAACTGGGAAGGCTCGGGTCGCCATCGATAGACCAAGAAGGGATAGCTTATGCCGAATGGTCTGCTCAAGAATGGGGAGAGGGCACCGCGGCACTGGCTGTGGCTCGCCTACCTCGGGCGATGCTGGGTGGTGGTAGCTAAAAAGTAATTGGATCTGCAGACTCCATCGTCAGCCAATGGGATGCCATGCAGTCGGTTAACGCTCCTGGACAGCCTAGTACGAGAGCGCGGCCGGTTCAAAACGCCATTCATCCATATTCCGAACATTCCACGGGCAGCCCGACCGAAAGCCGGCTGAAGAACATGGAGCAGAGGCGCCGCAACAAAGCTTTAGCGAGACGGGCACTGGAGTAAACCTTGTCTTGCCGAGCCGGGGAACGCTCGGTGAGGTTGGGGAATAGCACGGATCGGGCTCCATCAGGCTATCCCAAGGAAAGCAAAAAGGTCTAGTCAATAGTTCTCGCGGCCGCCTACCATTGCGAAACATCAGGGGTTGCGATTGTACTCGGTACGGAGTAGATCTATTGGCCATTGAGTAATGCGCTTTAGTTAGCATGAAGCGTGTTTCTTTCTAGACGTAGTCGCTGCCTGTCCGCGATTAACCCAATTGAGGTAGAGGTAGCGGTTCGTGTGGCATCTAACGGATCCGGGCATAATATGACCGTACGACATGGAGTATATACCTGGAAAAGTGCTCTGATACTGTGTGAGCCAATGCCTTTGTCTCTTCTCATCTTTCTCCTATTTGGGAGAGGCCGGAACAGGCTTTGCCTTCAGCTGTGCTTATCCAGGGCTGGAGAGTTTCGATTCTCGCGCTCGGTTCGGATAGTCGATACTACTACTAGGCATGTTCCCGGTGGATTTTTGCGGGCTTCGGGCATCTCAGCAAGCCAACGGGACCGCAACAACGCCCCTCCGCAAAAAGCGACCCCATTTCAACGGCGGAACCGTCGTCGTATTGCATGATTCACACCCACAGCCGATTGTCGTCCTTCTAGAAGCGATGCTGCAGAAGGGCTGGGAGGAGAAAAAGACGGGTGGCGCAGAAGCAGGATAGAAGGAAGGAAAAAGAAGGATCGAAGATGGGGAAGCGGCTGCAAAAACTGCAGGATACAGACAGCCCAGAATCCAGAGCAGAAAATCAGAAATCAGAAGTCAGAAGTTCAGAGATGAGAAGCCAACACGGTGGGAAGTCGAAGATCGGAGGAGAGTCGCCGGTGGTCCGGCTGTGGCCAAGCAATGACTCTGATGACGACACAGCCTGATGGGTGTGCTTTTCAGCGGCCGCAGCTGCCAGATCACTTGGCTTGGCATGCGCTTTTAATAGCGTCTGAGACACGAAGGCTGGTGAGCTACGAAGTATTTGGTAGGTATTGGGGTCCAGTCAATGCCCTGAACGACTACTTATTTCTACTTTACCAATAGGTCTTAGGTGTCGCACAACAATGGCAGTAGCAACATATCAAAAACGGAAGGCTGCTCAATTAAGCGAAAAATGAGGCAACTGCTGCGAGGTATTTGAGCCATATACCTGTACTAGTATAGTAGGTACTACCTATCTAAATCTCAATATACTTGTAGTATAATGAATGTAGCGTGCGGAAGGGCGACTTCCGTTCCCATGGACCATCCTCGCTTGGCCGATTGATGACTCAAAGCCCAAACAACGAATTGATGTCCTGACTCGGTAGCTTGGAATCCAGACACCTGAGCATGCACGACGGCTGGGGGCTCTCGCACCCTCGCAATCTCTGCTTCGTGCTTATTCTTGGACACGCCAATACCAGCCTAGGTGCGAAGGTGACGAGGCTTGTGATCAAACTACGACAAGCTGGTACTAGAGCCTGCGGGTGGCTTTCTGGGCCGTGTTGTCGGGACCAGCAGAGAAAGCCAGTTTGCATCGCCAATTCCCATTCCGATGCTGTGCCTGTCTTAGTGCAGGGTCAACGCGCGCTGATGCGAGACGCACATCGTCAGCTACCCGAACCCCTGCGCCTCCTCTGATCATTCTCTGGACTGCCAATGAATGCGGGCGTTGCGTTGATCTATGGTATTACCACGATGCCGCGATGCTAACACCGGCGCGAAAATCGAGGCATAAACATCAAAAGTAACACTAGCCAACGGAGCTACCTTTTTTCGCAGGGCTGAGATTTCCAAGCATGAAATCATAACAATACCCAGATACCCGAGCTTCCGAGTTCAGACAGCATCCTACCGATGATTGAATCAGCGAATGTCTCTGGCCAGAACGGATTTGTGGCATGCTTCTAGAACTCGTGTCCGTCATCAAAATACGCATTTAATGCTTTATGTTATGTGATTGGACGAGCTATTGATGACTCGGCCATCTAAACAAGGATCATCCTGTCTCCGCCATACAGGACCACTGGTACCGGCACACAAACGCCCTCCACATCTCACGAGCATAAACAGGTCTAAAAGGCGTGGAATACCAACTCAGATCTTTCGCTCTCAGCTACTATAGTATTCAGAGGAATATGGCTAGCAAAAAAAAAAAGACATGTTTGGGGCAACGAAAGCGGCAAAGGCCGACAATACGCCTACATGCAGAGAGTCGTTCCTCTGCTTTGACGCACTTTGCCCATGTCAGTCGTACTGCTCGTTTATTTCACATGTCGGAGCGAGATACGACTGAAGCATCGCCAACCATTCGATCAGAACACCCCCAAACAACCCAAAAACAAGACAAGGCTAAGGTGCTGACCATAGCCCCAGTTCACTTAGCGAGGATGCACACCCACCTGCCGTTACGGCTGTCGCCAGGGTTGCTGCCGCCGCCGCTGCCGCCGTAAGAGCAGATCTCCGGATCCCGAAGTGCCGTTTTCAGTGTGGGTAGAGCGAGAGATTGGTTCCTCTCCTAACTTTACACTATTCTCGCTCTTACACCATGGTTCCGCGCCTCTTGCTGGCCAATATATTGACGAGCACATGGGTGCTACCATGCCGGCCTAGGGCTTGTACGTATAATCAAATTACCTGCACGTGCTAATAGTGGTATTGAGCGTACAGTCTTACCGGCAGCGGTTGCAATCGTGTATGTACTTCTTATGTTATGCTGACTCCGCCCCTATGGACCCCATGATCGGTCTCAATATTTTCCTTAGCGTTTTCTACCAACACTTTCTGTTGCTAACTGCTTCTAGAGCCTCATGAACATAGTTACGGCAAAGACCTGTGTGGAGACGTAGGCCCTGGTTGCATTATTCTGGGGGTTCCGGGATGGCTGAGCTTATCAACTGCTGGCCGTCATTAATGCTGTCTTCTCGAACCACATTTAAAGCTCTCACCACAGACGACGCTACTTCTGCTTTAAACTTGAAAAAGGCACAGGAATACAGCCAACTTACAAACTCTTACCAAGAAATTTTTAATTGGTAAAGATGGGCGGCGTGTCTTGCCTGCGGGGGACATCGTCTTGCCGATACCCCAGCCTTGTCTTGTATGGTATGCTGACACAGATCTTCTAATCATAGTTGATTTCAGCAGCTTGTGCGATCCTAGCTTGCATGGGTAATTTGCGGATATGTCTGCGGCAGTTTCCAACATCATAGCTCTCTCGATCATTTATAATATGTCTATTAAATAATTGACTTTGTACGCTTGTACAAGCAGTGCTTGAGAATTGGATTGAATGCTCCTGCTCCAGGGGAAATACCCCTGACGCCACCATGGCTCAGCTTTCTTAATCATATAACCCCTCGTTCTATTTTCTAGCCAGATCACAAAGGATCAGGGTTAACGAACCGCTCTGGCAAATGATAGTACCAACGAAAATAATGCATCAGAACACTAAAAAACAGGGGCCAAGAAGAATCATGAGGAGGGTTCAAATAGCTAGAGAACTTCGTGGATTGAAGGAGTAAGGCTCTAAACGATCCAGCCGAACATTGTGACGTTAGGAAAGCCTTGCAATAAGGCAACTTGCTGGGCTGCTCAAACGAGTGAGGCTACTGACGATGTCTCAGCAAAGCAAGCAATCGGCAAATTTTTAAATATAGTATGTTATGCGAAGGCCAACTTCGATGCAGGGATACAAGCTATGTGGGGTTTCGGTGATGAGAGCCGCCGTGGTAAAAACTCATCATCAGGTCTCATTGCATCACTAATCCATCGACAATCTTACATGCATTTGACGTGAGCGACCGTCCTTATGCGCGGCTGTACCAGTGCGTACTTGTCATAGCCCGAGCCGCACCGCACTTACCCATGCTGCATACATTCCCCAATGCTACAGCATCCCCCGGCCTGGGTTACTCATCTCACGCCCTCCCTAATTTGGGCCAGATCAGGCGCGGTCGAATGTTGTACAAGTATGTCGACTTGATGCCGAACTCTTAATATTTCCTCTCTGGCGCAACATTATTGGTTGAGACTGATAGGCCTAGCCAGCTCATACCGCCGCACGGGACAGTTGGTCCGCCTCGATTTTCTTTTGGTATTAGAGAAAATGGCTCAAAAACCAAAAAGAGCGGCGGCTTCACAATATTACGATCCCGTAATTGGAGTAGGACAGCCGAAGATACTCTCACTTGCCCGATACTGCAAGTCTACTCCGAAAGCTTAATGTTGGCTGAGGACTGATCGAACTACACTTGTAGGTTGATACCATACGTAAATATTCCCCAGGCTTGGTTTCACCGCCCAATGTGGAGGGCCATGATTTGGTTGTCTTTATGCCTTGAAGAGGCATGAAATCTATGTATTGCTACTTTGATTTAAGCGGCTTGGTTTATAGGATTTGGCTAATATCCTCCCACAAGTAGGTAATGAGACTGCTCATCCTTGTTTAGCAATATATCGTTGCCCCAACAGTATGAAGCCGTCCTCAAGCAATTCGCCTATTTACCGCTGGCGACCGCCTTGTTTCAGAGTTACACAAGCGCGACTAATAGACGACAGCGGCAGGCAAGGGTAGTAAGATAGTGCTGCCAATAGCCTTCTTGCGAGCCGCCACTCAAGTGTTTCCAAATAAAGAGTCCCGTCCCGTCCCTCGTCTCCCGGGGGCTACGTAATCGCCCGGAGCGCGCGCGACGTGGGAAAATCTCCTGGACTGGTGCTTATCTTATTACTACTTTGAACTGCTATACATGGTTTTTGCTCGCTTCTCGCCACCACGTTCAACTAGCTCTCATACTATACCGGCGACGCTTGTTGAATCAGTCCACCTGTAAATAAGAAGATACTTTCCTACGCATGCCCTGGGATTCGGCTCCTCACGATATTTCCCCGCACTATCCGAGTCTATCAAAAGTGGCTCATGTTACTATCGATCATCTGCTAGTGTCTTATTGTGTCTCGAAATTTGGCCTCATTTCTTGGTTCGCAATGCCATGCTAGTCCCTCGCATTTAGTCAGCATGACCTAGGACTTACAAAGTAGATAGCAAGATACAAGGAAAAGAAGAGGAGGGATGGGGGAAAAAAAACAAGCTGGGGAGAGGGTAAGTCATGGAGCTCTTACACCCATGCAGTTACTTGCCGAACGCGAGCTCTTGGGCCGGCAGACGTCAATTATCAATTATAGGATTGCTGAATGTTCAACACAATCCGTGGATAAGAGGGTAATACGGGAAAAGAGGTTAACACGGCCTTGCATGAAGTAACTATGCTAATTGGGATTTATTTGCAGGATACTTGGGACTCTCGGCCAAGTGAAAAGACAACACGAGGACTCCGAGA